GGCACCGGCGTCTTACAAACACCTTCTGGCATGCAGACGTATGGTCGACATTGTCATTGTCATCCCTGCAATCGACGCTTTGCGAAACTCGTACCAGGGGCAATGTTTGTATATGAAAACCCGCTACCTTTACGATGAGAACACTCGGGGGGTAGCATCCACGGCATATCTGCCACTGACTGAAAACGCGGGCTCGTCTCAACGTACCGCGCAAGAAACCTGCAAGGGGACAGAGGTCTGGCACAACGACAAATGACTATCTAGGCTTTGTGAGTTTTGCTGCCGAGAGACCCTGTGCCTGAATCAGAGGCCATAAACAAGATCGCTCCCACGGCATGCCTTCGTGTGGTGAAGCCACGAGGTGACCCCAAGCAGAATCTGCACCCCTGGCGACATATTCCGTCATCGTTCCCGATTTCACTGGACAAGGAATTCTCCGACGGAGGGGATACCAAAATAAAAAATAAAAAAAGGGATGGACAGCGCGCATATGCATCTCGCTTACGTGTGTCTGCATCTGTTTCTCTGTCTGTTCTTGTTCCTGCAGCGTCAATCTGCTCCGGGAGTATTTCTTCATCCCATATCTCGGAGCTCATCGGCCTGCTCTGCCCCCTCGGCGACTTTATTTGGAAACCCCTCGATAACCAGGAGCTCGCTTCTTTCAACCCAAATGGCACATTATAAGTCGTGTCTGCTAATCCTCCAAGCGCGCGCAGATGTATCCGTCAATAACGGATCCCCCACGCAGCCGGCTCGGTTGCTTGCCCGTCACTTTGATTGGTGAATTAGTCCAGTTGGGACCCTAGGGGTGACTGTTCACTGTCCAGTCGTGGGTGACATCGCGTGCTCATATGGAGGGCGCACGGGCGACGACGTGATTCCCCAAGGGTATTTTCTGATGATTTGCCCGCAGAGTAGCATCCGGAGAAAACGTCGCGGGCTGTCTACATGGGGGAGGGGCGGTTTATTTGGCTCAGGGACAAACCACACAATTTGAACGAGCAGACCCCCCCCCCCCCCCCCCCCGGGGCAAATACACCGGGACAGGCCGTTGGGAAGCTATCTGTCTGGTCCGCTGCGGAGAGTGCCGAAAGCTCGGCCAACCACATGGGAAGCGCAGGGCAGAGAGATGAAAGTCAGGGGTGGGCACGGTTTAACTGGCCAAGAAGCAGGCCCGTACGTACGTAGTTAACCTACGGGAGGATTGAGAAAAGTCCCATCTCTGCTCTGGTCGAAGCAATGTTCGGACCTCCAGTATCAGCAGGCACGGGATCAAGCCAGTGGCAAGTTGCTGACCGCTGTAAAGGAGCGGCCAAGTGGGAGCTCGGCGAGGCTCGGGTGCAATGATTGACTGGTGAAAGTAGCAATCTGCCGGCCAAAGAGATTCGCAATCTCGTTGTCAGTCCAGCCAGGAACTTGACCTCCAGTGGCCCCCCTAAATACAGGCACAAAGCCTCGAGTAGAAGCTAAACATGACGTCCAAAAGAAAAGACGGCGCCCCCCCTTGTCGAGCCGGCCTGTGGGTTCAGAAATGACGCCCAGCCCTGTTCGGGATGAGTTTCATTCTCGATAAGTCGGGTCGGTCCGGGGTCGTCGTCGTTTGCACTTCCCCATATGCAGATCTCGATGGCCCATGCACAGCAGCATTATGTCACTTGGGCAGTAAATCGGAAAATCAGGACCAGGACCAGGGGGGTCGCCATATTCGTCGGTGGAAAAGAGCACACCGCCGATCACTCGGCTGCTTTTCTCCATTTGGCAGCACTTTGCTCTCTGGTCTATTGATGTGCCCACTTTGATACATGCAAGGCACTATTATACTCGGGTGAGCCCCAACTAGCGAGCTAGCTAGTAGCATACGTTAGCTAATAGCTCGTGGTATCTGGGCGGCAGCTTCAGCTCCAGGCTCCCAGCTCCAACCGCCTCCGCTTACATTTGCTAGACGACGGCCCCCCTAGTCCGCTGGGCCGCTCTCTCCCCTGATGGCATTTGAATTCTATTGTCGTGAAGAATGACCTAGTTCTGGCAAAGCCTTGCCTGTCTGCGCTGGAGAAAGAGTGGTGCAGGGGAGCGGGCGGGCACTGGCCAAGACGGGCGTCGTCGCATTGACCGATTGACGGCTCGATGTGGTGGTGGTCCTAGCCCTCTCCACGTCCAGTGGGCGCCGAGCTAGTAGTACATAACTAGGAGCAAGTTTTCTGCATGTAACAAGTTGCGTGACCACTAGTAGATGTACCTGATGTACAGCAGATACAAGGTAATCTTCCGCGGTAACGGGGTGTCGTCATGATGCGGTAATCCCACAGCTGCCCTGGGCGGCCTCTGATCTCGGCGGAGATGTATCTGCGTTGCCTTTCCCCCCTTGGCCCCTGCCCTTTCCCCCGGGACCCTTCCACAGTACGGGGTCTCGTTTGGAAAAGTTCCTCCTGCCTGTGCCTGGTGGCGCGGGTGTGTGTGTGTGTGTGTGGACGATGCTGTGTGTGAGTGGCCGGCTATTTTGGTCTAGCACAACCTTGCTGCTGGCGCATATGCACTCTTATTTCACGAGTTGCTTGCGAGGCTTGTTTGTCCCCGGGGGGCGGGATCCCTTCATGTATGTACAATGTATTGATTGTCGATCCTGTTGCCACGGGAGTTGTGTGGACGGGGGGACGCCGTGACCAGGGCCAATTCCCCCGTTCGGCATTCTCTGCTGACCTGTCACACCCACATACACACATACACACATATGGGGGGAAAGAGTCTGGGGTGGCAATAACTTAGGGAACTCATCTGACAGCCAACGACGACGCAGAAGAAGGATGGTACGGTGTGATACAGTAGGATGCGCCCAAGGGGCGGTGGAATGGAAACAGGGAAACTCTGCATATGCACAGTTTGCCACGAGATATTCTCATTACTGGAGGGCGGGAGGGGCCTCTCTGCGCGCGTATTTGACTGGGAAGACTTTGGTCCCTTGTTCGCAAAGGGCTGACAACTTGGGCCGCGCCCTCTGGGAAGGCTGGGAAGGCTGTGAAGCTGATTGGGCCGGCGACGCGCTGTTCCGAGCGCCCAAGCCCAGCATCTTTTCATCAATTCTCCCCATCTCTCATTTACAAGCGCGCACGCAAAGAGGCCACTGGCCAGAACGAGATGGGGAAGAAGATGCTGCGACTAGGTGATGTGTTTGGAGCGTCATGACGGCGATGGGATTGGCGGGTTCAGTGTTTGATCCGCGATCCCGTTGCCGAGCTGCGAGACTCCTGATATTGGAGAAGCGAGCTCTATCTTAGCTATGTCTGGATTCAGCTTCCCGGGCACAGCAGCAGCGACGAGGTGAGAAAGGATGGATCCATGGTAGTGTTCGAATTGTGTGTCCAACGGCGCGTATGTTCACACGCCAAACACTTAGTAGACTGCTAGCAACAGCAGCGGCATAAGGAGAGAGGAGTATTGTGCCTCTAGAACCTATCTGATTCACGGCCGCCGACTTTTGGGGTTATTACCATATCGGTCATGGTGAAAGCTCGCGATTATCCCGTGGATAGTCTTATTCAAACGCATGCTACAAGAAATGTAGCCCTCGCAGCTTTGCACACTCGGCTTCTTGTCCAGTTGCCATTGACCATGCACTGGCATTATGATTTACTTTTCAATGAAGCAAGACTACCATATTTAGTCGGACAACTGCGTGTGTGCAGAAACGAAAGCCGAGACTACTTCAACACAGCCAGCAGCAGCGGGCCATGGAACTTGTTGAGAGTTTGATATATTTTAGTAGTCCTTTCACCTGGGCTCTCTACATGATTGTGTATTATGGCCTGTGTGCTGTCCAGTCCATCAATGCTCTGCACTGCCAGAATACTGCTGAGAGGGGCTGGCAAAGGGCCTCCCAAAAGAGCCTCTAAACCAGACTGACAGCAGCGGTAGTTTGAGGATAGGGATGTTCTACACTCGTCTCCCATGTTCCGTGTGCGCGAGTGAGCACATTCTTACCAAGAGCCAACGCTGTCTACAACACAAGCCTCTGGCGAAAGCCAGCGTTGCGAAACAGCGCTGAAGATGACTCTTGTATCATCCTGATCACACCGTCAAGCACCGCCGTATCATGTGCATCGTGAGAAAGTGCAAAGGGAAATGAATACGAGTAACGCAAGTGTCAAAATCACACCCGACTTGTCATGTCATTTCTGTAGCGCTTCTGACCCACCAACGAGGAGAGGGCAATCCGGAGAGTCAGATCGAGTCGCTGCTTGGTAAGAATCCGCCGGCTCGAATACCAATGAAGTTGCCCCGCCTCGCTTGTTAGCTTATAGGAAGGAATTCCAAGGCCACAGGCGGAGTTGAACAGCAGGCAGAGATGGATCATCGTGCCCTATGAAGAGCCAGGTATGAGAGACAGTTGATGACGCTTATTAGCAGGAGCCGCCAAACAAAGCTAAAGTGTTTAACTGAAAAGGAAAAAAGCCAAGAGAGTGGAGTTGACGGAGAAGACATTTGAAGAAACCTGATCCCAGGAGTCCCCCAAAACCTTGAACCTATATGTCGATGACTCACTGCCAGAGAAATTCAGAATGGGAAATCTTGATATATACATAATCAGAGATGATCATAGATTTCCTTGAGAGTCGAGATTGTGTTCCACGGTCTCGTTCCCAATCAACCTCGTTTAACACCATAACATTCGGAGAAAAACATCGAAAGTTGCTGGTGAGTATGACTAGGTTCCAAGTGCAAGTCCTTCGTAAATTCATTCAGGTTGTATTAGTCAGGCTTGTATCTCCCCTCGGCACGGACGCATGCTTTACTTGAGACAAGCACTAGGCGTAGAGTCTTTCACACGAGGAGTTCTGCATTAAGACACCCTTCTCCTGAAATTTCATTGAGGTGAGTTAATTCCTAATTCTATCGCTGAGAAAGACCAAAAGACAGTCGTAAGAACCACTTCCTGGGATATTATCGATGACAAACAACCACTGCCGACAGCAATTTCTTCAACCCCTGTTCATAGCTAGCAATACTCAGTGCAGAACAATCCTCTGCTGGAAAATTTGACTATTCCTGAAAAGGAAGAACCAGCAAAATACGAGAAGCAGGAGGAGCGCGCCAAGCTTGACAAGGTCGTACGTTGGCCGCAGGACGTCAAGCTTGTTAGTGTGGCGGTTCTGCTTGACGCCTTGGTCTTGGATCTTGCCTTCGTACTTGGCGCCGTGCCAGGGGATGGACTTTGCCATGCCCAGGTCGGAGAGGATCTGCTCGCTAGTGATCCTGGCGCCCGCCAGGACGATTGGAACACCAGTGCCGGGGTGTGTGCTCGCGCCGACAAAGTAGACACCCTTGAAACCCTTGGCACGCGTCTTCGGGCGGAACGAGAGGACGTTCCAGAAGCTGTGCGAGAGACCAAGGATCGAGCCCTTGTCGAGGTTGAATTTAGCCTCCCAGGTGTGCGGGTCGTTGATAATCTCGTTGGTGATGAGATCACCAATGTTCTCGCAGCCCGTGCGCTCCGATGCAATTCGCAGCACCTCCCGTCTGGCTCGCTCAACGAGGGCAGGCCAGTCCTCATTCGTGCGGGAAAGGCCTCCTTCCTTCTGAGCGCTATCTTGCGCAGAGAAGCCCTTGGACTCGAGAAGATGACCTGTCGGAACCAGAGCAATCAAAGAGTCACAGCCCTCGGGTGCTGCTGTTGGATCGATGCGACTAGGGACGTTGAGGTAGAATGAGGGCTCGTTGGGGAGGGTTTGTCTGTCGAAGATGGCATCAAAGGATTCGCGGTACTCGTCAGCCAAGAAAATGTTGTGTGTCTGGAGCTCCGGCACCTTGCGCTTCAGAGCCCAGTAGAAGCTGATGCTGCTGCAAGAGCCGTCTCTCTTGCGCAGGTCCTTGCCATACGAGACGGCAGGCGAGGAGGGAGTCTGAGGAAGCAGATTTGAGTAGGCATAGACGAGATCTGCGTTCACCACAACGATGTCGGCGGTCAGGACCTCGCCGGACTGCAGCTTGACACCGCGAGCAGTAACGCCATCGGTGTGCATGAGAACCTGCTCGACCGGGGCGTTCATCCTGTACTTGACGCCGAACCGCTCGCTGACCTTGACGAGGGCCTCAAGGACGGCGTAGAAGCCACCTCGTGGGTACCAGATGCCTTCTGCCAGCTCTGTATACTGCAGAAGCGAGTATGTGGACGGGGCGTCGAAGGGCGACATGCCCATGTACATGGTGGCAAAGGTGAAGACGCGGCGCAGTCTCTCTGTGTGGAAGTACTTGCTGGTGCGGTTCCAGATGGTGTGGAGTGGGTGCAGCTTGATGCCAGCCCAGACAAACCGGGGCCAGCAGAGATCAATAAACTGAGTAAAGTTCTTGTGGAGGACGTGTGTGACGGAGAGCTCGTAGTGGTCGTGACCCTCACGAAGCCAGGAGAGGTAGCGGTCGAAGCCGTCCTTGCCCTCCCAGCGCTCGATCTGGGTCTTCATCTTGGCGAGGTTGGTCGAGAGCTCAAAGTTCTCGCCATCGGAGAACCAGACGTTGTAGTTTGTGGGGCACTGCAGCAGCTCAATGCCCTCGTCCTCCAAGGAGGTGTCGAGATCGTGGAAAGTTTCCATGAAGAGCTTGGGTAGGAGCAGGAGCGAAGGCCCCTGGTCGAATCGCCAGCCTTCATGGTGTATCAGTGAGCAGCGCCCGCCCTTGAACGAGTTCTTCTCCACCACGGTCACGTCGAAGCCAGCCTTTGCGAGGCGGGCTGCCGTTGCGATACCACCAGCACCCGCGCCTGCGTTGAGAGACAAGTCAGTCAGCAATTGAGTCCCGGCACCGACTCCGACGAGGGTTTTTGAGGCTCCTCTGCTACTTACCGATAACAATGGCCGTTCTAGGCCTTTGCTTCTCCATAGTGTGTGTTGATTTTGAGTGTATTCGTGGTGTCGCGACACTGCGATGCAGTGCTCGTTCTTGGGGATTTGCCGTCAGTGGCCCCGAAGCTAAAACAGCACAGTTCTCCACAGCTTATTTTTAGGATGAAGCTGGAAAGAAGACAGTCAGGATGCGCTATCTGTGAGGTCGGAAGTTGCAGCAAGTGCTCGACAAAGGACGGCGGCAAGACGGGATTGAGGAGCTGGATGCTGGAGGTAGAAGTACTCCGGCGTCGCATGCTGGACAGGGTATGCATGTTTACTTGGGCGCGGGGCAGAATGGGAATCCGATGGCCGATGTCGATGGGCAGCTTCCCGTGGCGCACCGCCCGTGCGCCCGGATCGAGCTAGGGGTCGCATGCAGCCGGCCCTCTTGTGCCCGCGATCGTGACAGGCGGGGGGGAGACAGAGTTCACTTACATTTCGAGTAATTATGGAGAGCAGTTCAAGAACTTGCAAAGAGAAGGATTCCAGCGCTGGCCTCCTGTTTTGTGGTTCCTCTGTTGTCGTCTGGGTCAGGAATGGCTGTGACTGTGCAAAAGCCAAAGCTTGCCAGAACACGCAGCACCAGGACGTGCCCACGATGGATGGAGGCAAAGATACAGATATGTATGTATCATCTCGAGCGCAGCCTCATGCACTGCGCCAGGCATGGATCCATGATGGCACGATTTCTGCGGCAGGCGAACTGTGAATAGCCCCAGGCAGGGCCTAGCTATCCGCACGAGCCGGCCATGGATGGAGCAGGCACTAGACTGCGCTGGCATGTGAAGGACCCCAGCACCAGTGTCTGTCTGTCTGTCTGCCTGCCTGCCTGTCTACCTGTCTTTCAGTTGTTGCTCGCTGGACAGCATCCCCGTGCGACGGTGCCTGGTCTGGGCCGGCCGGGCATCGTGTCGCAGCCAGCTCCGTCATGAATCATCACTGCTGCAAGCTCCTGTGGGGAGCTGCCGGGGGACGACCGTGTGCCAGGCTGGGCTAGCCCCTTTCGAGTTAGGCGCATGCCTCCCACCCAGCTCGCCAGGGCCCTCCCTACCCTCTGCACCCACGCATCGCACTGCGACGGAGCTGGCTCGTCCATCGCTATCACGGCTTCATCTTGTCCCTCGCAGGTCGCGGTGCCCTGGATCCCACTCCCGGCGGCCCCTCGCACTCGCTCCTGTCCACACTACCCTCCGGCTCCGTCGGTCAAATCGGGCCCGACTCCTCCGTCCTGCCACCATTCCTCGTGTCCCCTCCCGGCCTCGACACTAGGCAGGCACTTGAGCCCAAGCACGAGACACAAATAACATGTAACCCCCAGCGATGCTCGCGTCAACATCCTCAACGGTCGATCTGGGGTCTGGCTGCCGATCCACCATCACCTCGCCCGGCATGGGCCCCTGGCACCATGCCCAATCCGGCCCACAAATGCCCATCCACTAATACTCACAAGCATCGTCGCCCTCGCTCGGGACTGCCAGCACCTTTCTCGGCCGGGTTTCATCTTGTTCTCTGCATTTACATGACTGCCACCCCAACAAGGGGCCAGTCTCCTGGCAACGTGGCCTGTCGGACCCGTTCGGATATGTTCTCTACCCGTGTTCCACAGGAGACCCTTTCACCAATGCCCAGCTCGCTGATTACGCTGCCAGCGGCGAACCAGTGCATTGCGTTCCATGAAACAACCAAAACAGCGACTACAAAGAGGGTTGTTCTGGATGTCTGTGACTCCACCTGCCTCAGGTGCGGAAGTCTATCTACTTCGTGCGCAAGAAGATAGCTTATCACCGCACATATAGGCGGTGGCAGCAGCCTCGAACACTACTGTGAACGGTGATTAGCACAAACAGGCACTCAATCAAGGAAACGCGACCAGTTCGGGCTGGACGATGCCGGCCAGTATTGGCCGGCCCCACATGCTCGGCGTGCCAAGATGGCCGGGTTCCGAAGCCGATGGCTTCGACGATCGACAAGTGCGGTTGCAGAACGTCTTTGGTAGAAATGCCATGGACTCAGAATCCCTGCAAGCCGCGTCCGTAGCGTCCTTGGGACACCAGACGGCCGATGCACACGCTGCTGGACCCCGCCTTGGCTTCCCCAAGCAGATCGAGCAGTGCGCTGGCCTTGTGCACTTGCTGGATGCCCACAGCCTGGCCTCCCTGTCCAAAACCACTTATTCAAGACACCTCGACTGTGCATTCATGTCCTACTGTCGAGCAGGTAGGGACGAGCAGCACTTGGCTGCAGGTCCACTGGCATAGGATAACTGGGCGTCCAGTGCCAGTGCCGGGGGAGTCGTCGCTTAGTAGGAAGCAAGCGGCCGTGGGCAAGTCGCCAGGGCTTACTGCAAAAGGGTTAGGGTTTCCACGCGCGTGCGGCGGCGCAACGACGACGCTCTCGCATTGCGAGCGAGGCGGTGCCGTTCCTGGCGGATGGCTGGCGTGCGGCAGAGCCTCTGTGTCGATTCGTGCCGTCCAGAAAGTTATGGTGCCGGCATGGATGTTGCTAGTGCCGCTCACTTGCAGGGTCTCAGACGGCTCAGCCGGGGCGGCCTGTGCCCACCACGCATCGAGTCTATGATCTCATGAGTCCTGGCGTCGGGGAATTGCAATGTCCTCGCAGAACCAGCAGCTCAACACAGACTGCCACCTGAGTGCTCGGGGTCCGAAGGGCGAATGCATGATGCCTTGATGGCGGTCGACTGCCCTGGATTGCGCCGACCCTCCCGGCCGCCCAGGCTGCGCCTTTGCCGGATCAGGTAAACGGGGCGGCGTTGCAAGTCAACACAGGGCCGGCCTCTGCGCGCGGGCGCTTTGCGGCCGTGGATGGCGGTTAATCATCCCGCCGTCATTGCAACCACAAAAGTCTCTCTGCCTCGCAGGCCATAATTGTCGCTCAGGTACCTCCCCTCCCCGGTCTCCGTCTCCATGCCTGGCTAGGCCTGCCTGCAAACCGCCCCCTTGACGGTTGCGCCTCCCCTGCACGCGCTCGCATTCAACCAGTGGATCGCCTGCCGACATCCATGACACGCATCGGCGCCGCATCCACGATTGCATCCTCCCCCCCTCCAAGTCCCTTCTCCAAGCTGTCAAATATTACTTGCTGGCCCCAACTCTAAACCCGTCCCGGCCCGAGCTCCATCTGTTGGTTCTTGCTCTCGTATCTTCCCTTTTTCTCCCCAGCTTCACACGGTCCTACTGCTGCTCTTGTCCTCGAGCTCGGTGTGGGTTATCACCGACTTGGCGCGCGTGCAGATCAATCCAGGGCGACTTCTCCCGGTCCAGTCAATGATATCTGCCGGGACAACAACCTGCGCCGCGTGTTCACCACAAGGATTCTGCTATTGCGCAGTCGCCCGCCAGCGCAACAGCTCTTCTTAAGAGGCTACAACATCCGATCCGGACCACGAGGAAAATCAGAAAACCACTCTATTGCCCATCATGGCGTACGACTATGCCGTCGTGTAAGTGCCGCCACATGCCCCGCCGCGGAAAGTGCTGCTGTTAACGCTGCGGACTTTTCTAGACATCTCAAATACACGATAACATTGGCCGCCGTGCTTACCCTCATCCTCAAGCCGCTTCTGACGCGGCTTGATCTGGGCAAGACGGCGGCACTCTGCACCATTGCCTTTGTCGCAACCGTGCCTTGGGACTCGTACCTTATAAAACATGGAATCTGGACATATCCGCCCGATGCCATCATTGGCCCCAGGCTCTTCGCGATCCCCATCGAGGAACTCTTCTTCTTCATTATACAGACTTACATCACCTCAATGCTCTACACCCTGCTCAACAAACCGACTTTCCACCCTCAATTCCTCACAAACGAGGCCAGCGCGACAACACGCATGCGCCAGGCTCGCGCGGCCGGCCAGTTCTTTCTCGCCATCTGCATTGCCGTGGGCGCCTTCCTTGTGATCAAGGGGGGCGAGGGCACGTACCTTGGACTCATTCTCGTCTGGGCGTGTCCCTTCTTGCTCCTCACTTGGACCTTTTCTGGCTACTTCATCTTCAACCTGCCAACCATCTGCATCACGACGCCAATCATTGTTCCGACACTCTACCTTTGGGTAGTCGATGAGCTTGCCCTAGGCCGCGGTACCTGGGCCATTGAGTCTGGCACCAAGCTTGGGTGGTGTCTCTGGGGCAGCCTCGAGATCGAAGAGGCAACCTTCTTCCTCGTCACTAATGTGCTCATTGTGTTTGGCATGGTCGCCTTTGACCGAGGCCTGGCTGTGCTTACCACCTTCCCCGAGCTTGTTCCTGGGTCGAAGCCCAACGATATCCGCCCACTCGACGTGGTGAGCGCCGTGGTAGTGGACCCGGCCAAGTACAACATGGAGCGCATTCGCGGCATTCAGGAAGCTGTTTGCACTTTGCGTCGCAAAAGCCGCAGCTTCTATCTCGCGAGCTCCGTCTTCAGTGGACGCCTCCGGACTGACTTGATTCTGCTGTGAGCCGTCACGAGAACACCACCCCATTCCAGTCGGGCACTAACCAGATGTTTCAGATACTCCTTTTGCCGAGTCGCGGACGACCTGGTCGACGATGCGCAGAGCCAAGCCGAGGCTCTCAACTGGATCACCAAGTTGACCGGGTACCTCGACCTTGCCTATAGCAAGAAGGCGGAGGCGGGAGCCAATGGCGGCGAGCTGGAGTCATACATAGAACAAGAGTTTCCTCCGGCTTCGCGGTCTGCGCTCCAGCTTCTACCCACCCAGCTTCTTCCTAGCGGACCGCTTTACGAGCTGCTGGAGGGCTTCAAAATGGATCTTTGCTTTACCAACGAGGATGGCAGGGCGCCTGAGTTTCCAATCAACGACGAGAAACTGCTCGAGCTGTACGCGCACCGCGTCGCCAGCACAGTCGGTGAGCTCTGCCTCTGGTTGGTATTTCACCACAGCGCCCACGTTGTCTCCGAGGATACCAAGACCTCCCTGGTCCAGGCTGCGCAAACCATGGGGCATGCCCTGCAGTATGTCAACATTGCACGTGACATCAAGGTCGATGCTCAGATTGGGCGTGTGTACCTCCCCAACAACTGGCTGAAGGAGAACGATGTTACTCCGGCCGATATTATCAAGAATCCTGATCAGCCGTTGGCGGAACAGCTGCGGCAGAGGCTGTTGAACCTGGCTTTTGAGGAGTACGCGGCGTCACGCACAGATATGAACATGCTACCCGACGATGTTCGAGGACCCTTAATTGTGGCTGTCGAGAGCTACATGGAGATTGGGCGCGTGCTGAGGGAGAAGAGCGGCGTCATGTCGAAGTCGAAGCCTGGGCGGGCCACTGTGCCGCGCTCGAGACGCATATGGGTTGCTTGGAAGGGGCTCTTCAACGCCTGAGAGTCTATCAGGAGCTGACTCGAGGGGGAAGGGCTGTGTTTTGCTGTTGTGGCTGGGAAGAGGTGTGACTGAGTTCCTGGCTGGGTCCGACGATCTCATTCCACAAACCTTTCTGGTGCCACGCGGATTTTAATTGGGCCATTGGACCATTGCATGCGGCTTTCCCACTCACCCTTGGGTACCAATCTAGACGCTGCCACTGGGAGGCGTCACACTTGCTTTGAACCCTATTCTTGCACATAGACCTCTGGCACACCGACCACGGTTGGTAGCTTAATGAAGAACGAATTGGAATAGTGACAGTACTGCCTATTTATGTAAATCGTGACGGCGAGCGATTTATGGTTTCTGTCTTAACGTGCGGGATGTATCGAGTAGAGCCGGCCAGCAGGCACCTTTTCAGCCTCGGCTCTGGCTCCGGGTCCGGAGCACACACCGGGCCCAGACCCACCTGGCAATGGATCGCCTGCGACTTCGTACATACAATCTTTGGCTTCAACATTGGCACATCTCAGGCTCTGTCGACGTCAAGCATAGCTCCTCGTCCCGCGATCAATCCCACTGCATACGCTCCTCGGAACATTTCTTCAGACCGCCGAGCACAGCCATGCTAGTTCATTGCGCGCGGGCGGCCGGGCGCCGCCATGCCCCGCGTCGCTGCGTCGCCCTCGCCTCATCGTCACATTACGCAACGACGTCTGCGCCACCATTGCTGTCGTCACGGTGCCCCGCTGCCGAAACTACACACGTATCCCGCTCGAAGCAGATCCAGACAGTCGCAACAACGGTTTCGATACGGAAGGACTCGCATCCACCGCCGCCGCCACCACCACCACCACCACATCATCCCGAACAGCAGCAAGAGCAACAACAACAACCGCCCTCCTCTCATCCTCCGCCGCCTTCACACGAGCAACAGCAACAGCAGCAGTCCCGCCGCCGCACGCGCCGCAGGATCCTGTTCGGCGCCGCGTTCCTCCTGCTCGGCAGCACGCTGGGGTCCGCGGTCCGAGCAGCCCTCGCGCCGCCCGACCTGCCCGCGCCCGGCACGGATAAAGACCGATACCTGCTCGCCGCGATCGCAGACAAGGCCGCCAAGCTGCCCCTGCACAAGCAGCTGTCCAGCGACCCCGCCTGGCAGAGCTGGGACGCCTACGAGGCTTTCACACCTTCTTCTTCTTCCTCCTCTCCCGATTCACTACCAGCGACAGGAGCAGCAGCAGCAGCAGCAGGAGCAACAACAACAACAACCGGCACAGCAGCAGGCACATCCGGCCCCTCCCTGACCGCCCACACCCTCTCCGGCTCCCGCGCGCTCGCGTACCAGCGCATCTTCCACAACCCGGCCACCCACGAGCTGGTCAGCATAGTGTACCTGGGCGCCTCGATCGCCGGCTGGCCGGGGGTGGTCCACGGCGGGGCCATCGCGACGGTGCTCGACGAGACGCTCGGCCGGTGCGCCGTGCGCATGTTCCCCGCCCGCACGGGCGTCACGGCCAACCTCGAGATGGACTACAAGGCGCCCACGCGGACCGAAGGGTTCTACGTGATTCGGGTGCGGCCGGTGCCGCTGCCGGAGGAGGAGGAGGTCGAGGGTGCGGGCAAGGGCAAGGGCGAGGGTAGGGACAAGGACAAGGGCAACGGCAAGGGGGACAGGAAGCGCTGGGTCGTGGGCTCGCTCGAGAGGATGGACGGCACCGTCTGCGTCAAGGCCAAGGCGCTGTTCGTCGTGCCCAAGGGGGTCAAGCTGGGCCCGATCGCTGATCGGTACTGACAGCCCTCTCCCACTCGCTGGCTCGCTCGCTCACGCGAGGCGAAGAGCAGCACGCCGCCGCCGCGTGCCTCCATAAAAACAAAACGAACATTAGAGAACGGGGGGGGGTTGGCGGGGTGGTTCAACCCCGGGCGGAGACGGAAGCGCGGTCTAGTTGTTTGACGTTACCAGACTGTCGGAGTTGGGGGTTCGTCCGTTACGGCGCGCGCAGGGTCTAGAAGGAAAATCCCCGAGAGTTTTCTGCTTCCCATTGTTAAATGTTATGGGCGACAGGGTTTGACTTGAAGCCAACCACCGGGTGTTCTTTCGTGTTGGCATTGTAAAACCGAGCTTTCCAATAAAACACACATAAACTCCTGTACATAGAAACTTGACCTTGGCCACGACCAAGCGGCTTACGGATTGCACTGGCTCTTCCGTTCTCTCCATGTGCCTACTAAGAAGTGGCTCCTGGGAAACAATGCGCGTGGGAGTGCAACTTTGACAGTCCACATACCGACTTGTTGTGTCCTTCAATCTATAATTTTGATATGAACCTCCTCGGCTTAGCAGTTGGAACGTCTCGAATTGTATGACAGACCTCTACACAAAGTACCTCTAACGAAGCGCAGGCACAAATGCATAAAAGACCACCAGCGCTATGCTTGGAGCGTAAGCAACACCAAACACAATCTTTGAAGCAAAGAAATCCAGCGGCCCTCACACAAGTATCCTACACCCCTCGCAGTCCATTTTACTCATCCTTCACCACGGAGGCATCGGCATCTGCGTGTCGTTGTAACCGTACGGACTCTGCCACGGCGGCATCTGAGCCGGTGGCCCATAGTAGTTCTCGCGATACGGGTGAGCCCCATAACCACTTCCTCGGCCTCTATATGTCCTCCCGCCACCACGCATGCCAGCGTAGTAGCCACCCCTCTCGTCACCGTTGCCATAATACGGAACATAGCTGCGCTGCGGGCCGTAATTTGGAGGCAGCATGCCCTGGCCGACGAATTGTGTTTGATAGTATGGTTGTTGGTCCGGGCCGTGGTATGAATATGGGGGGGCGGAATATGGTGGCTTTTCGTTGTGGCGAGACGACTGCTGCGGGGACTGCTTGCCTGGTTGGGACTGCGGCTTTGGTGAATGCCCATTCACAGAGGCACCCCCACTGGCGTGGCCATTGGCGTTGCTGCCACCTCCGTTACCGCCACCACCGCTGCCGCCATTCCCGCCTCCACGCCCCTGGCCACGGCGACGATTGAAAGGTCGGCGGTTGTTCTTGGGCTTTCCCTCTACTGAGAAATTGATCTTTAAAACGGGGTCCTCGGCCATTTGCAAGCCCGTCAGACCAAAGCGATCCCAGTCCTCCTTAGGTGTGGTCCAGGCTTGAAAGACGTTTTCCAGCTGCTCAAGCTTTTGGACCTCGGGAACCCAGGTGCGGACATAGCTGCCATCCTTGTCGTAGTCAAAGGCTTGCTTCACCGGGTTGAAGATGCGAGCCTCGCCTCGGGGATCATTTCCAACTCCTGCCACATACTGCCAGTTCGCCCAATTCGACGAGACGTCATAGTCCACGAGCAACATCTCATAATACTCGGCGCCAAATCGCCAATCAATGCTGAGGTGCTTTGCGAGAAAGCTGGCGACGTTTTGTCGGGCCCTGTTCGAAGTGTACCCCGTGTGTATCAACTCTCGCTGGGAGGCGTCGATGAAGCCCATTCCCGTGGTGCCATCAAACAGTCGTTTCAGAGTGTTGTTGACAGCTTCAGGGGATTCCTTCTGCTCGCCATTGGCGTCAGTGGCGTGGGGCGATTTCCATTTGTTGTCGTACGCATTCCGGAACCCAGAGCGGTAGAAAAGCCTCTGCTTGAACTTGCGGTTGCACAGACGCATGTAGTCTCGCCACAACAGCTCGAACCGGATGCCCTTTGTGCCTTCGTTCTCCCCCTTTCCATAACCATCAACCGTTGCAAAGTCCTTGTTGTTGCCCTCTTCAAACTCCACGAGGGCCGCATGTACCTGGCGAGCGGTAATGCACCCTTGCGCAAGGTAGGCTGACAGCTTCGTGCTAAACTCTTCACCAAGGAGTCCATTTCGAGTGGTCTTGTACGTGTTCGCATGTCCTTTCTTGATCAAGGCGTCCAGTCGCTCTAGACCAGCTGTTTCGCCTCCGCTAAAAGGATGCGCTGTCTCGGCACCCTCCGGATATGGTGGAAGATTGGGCATGAAGTCTTTGACGGGAGCCAAAAGCCTGCCTAAGAAGTCGTCCTCGGAGTCCGGGATCTGGAAGGAGTCGCCGACATTCTTCAAAAGAGTTTGGTCGATATTTTGGGGTAACGAAGACTGCTCAAGATGTGGCAGCGGCGCTCGCGGTTTCTCGCGTAGTGGTTCCATCATTTTTCGATATGTCGTAAAAACGTCGGGCAAGTCCTGCGGGTCTTTGAAATTCAGATCGCGACTGCCAGGGGTGTTAGCATATGTCCGTAAGAGTAGGGCTGGGAGATGTCTGAACATACTCGTCGATAAAGTATTTCTCGTCGGTCCACAACTTGAAGCTGATGTTGTTCTTAGCACATACGTCTGCCAGGCTCTTCTCCTCATCCTTTTCCTCAGTGCCCTCCTCGTCTATCGTCCATACCGCGCCCACATGCTTTTTCTCTTGTTCGAGTCGTTGTTGTATTTCCTCCACAATCTGAGAAGGCTTTCCAACTTTAATAATTAATGGACTGCCAGCCTTGTCCATATTATGCCTAAGATTCATAATCGACTCTCCAATGAACTTGGCCCGGTGTGGGCCGCATTTCCATAACCCGGACAACTCATTCTTCGCCGGCGGATATGGCGAAGTCTTGCCATCTTTCAAGAACCCCGAAACCTCGAGGTGTTGTGGCGCAAGAACCACCAAGGGCAAGATGTGCGTGAAGCCGTGCTCAGACGAGCTGCTGAGATGGTGCAGGATGGGGTTATCTGACACGCGCAGGTCATGCCGGAAAAGATATATGAGTATGTTGTTGCCCGGCATGGTTTGCGGTCCTCAGAATTCGAGCAGAAGATTTTTGCGCCGTGTCGTCCTATCCTCTCATTTGTAATGTGATGTGACTCGTGATTGCCCGTAAATAATTTACGGTACGTATCACGTTCGTCCGTCGAAGAAATAAGTGTTCCGCTGCTCCTTCTAAGTGTAGTTGTCGTGTGAAGTCGATGGGTGCCGAAAGAACAAAAGTTTCCAACACGCGGTGCCGAGTCTGAGTAACGGCCAATAAATTGCGTATGTGGAACTCTTTGTTTCCCTTTTTTGGGGCAGCAGGGTCAACAAGCAATCCTGGAGTTCTGGACTGCTGCACCAATCTGTTACCGCACGATGCAGGTCACGACTCTTTAACAGGTTCTGGCCAAACAAGTGAGCACAGATCCCAGGGCTGTGGGGAATCTGGTGACCTCACTGCAAGCACAACTGGAGGCCTAGTGGCGGGAAGACAGCACTAGTGGCCGACAGTCGTGCGGGAGTCTAGAACGGTCCTGAGTCGGCGTCCTTTCAGAGTCGGGCTAGGCGAGCACGGGACTGAAATGAAGGGTCCTACGTGTAAAAGACTTGGACGGAGTGCACCCTCAAGAGCTCGGGGATCGCAGCAGTTATGATGTACAGAGAAGATCTTGTCATCTGGGACTCTGCAGGGAGATCGGGTGTCAGATGTCTGTGGCTCCACAGAGGGCGCTGGGGGCGAGCGAGTGATGGCAGCTATGTCAATGCTATTTCGTTGGGACGTGCGAACGCGGAGCTGAGGGCTGCAAGAGGTCGGTTCCCAGCTTACCTGAACGTGATTATTTCTTGTCGCGGTGGGGGTTTTGAGGGTCTTTGTGCTGTTTCCGCAGGTGTGATGCCTTAACGATCACGGCGGGATGCCACTTGCAAATGCTGATGGCGTCTCTTGAATGACGACTGGAGAGCAAAAGAGGCGTGCCAGGCTTGCTGAGGGAGGGTCTGGACCCGGCTCTAGACAGTGAGAACACAGGATCGGAATTTGACAAGAGGCATCGCAAAACTGACGTGGACAAAGCCGCCAGAGGCGAGGAGCAGGATGGGAGATCCATGGCTGCCACGTGCAGAGCCAATGATCGCACGGGGCCTAGACGGGTTCTGGGGATCGGGGCAGTAGCGAGGCAGGGCCTGGTGGCAGCGGATGTGCGGTGCGGTGGTGGGCAGTGGTCGACGATGTCGGATGCTCCAAGATGGGCCATTGACTGGCGTGATGGCCGCGCGCGGTCGAGGGTCTGGGGATCGGGGCATCCACAAATTAAGATTCTGGCGGCCGGGCAGCCGTGAGGCCCCGCCTGTGGTCTCGACCCCCTGCCAGCCAGGGCGATCAACGTCACCACTGCTGCCCATTTTGCGGCCAGCGGCCCACCCCTCCACCACGTCGCTCAGGGGCAGCACGCCGCCTGCCTGCATAATCGACACATCACTCTTGCCGTCCCGTGCTCGCGGCCTGCACCTAGGGTCCTCCCCAAAGCCGACCCCCCAGCACGCGACTCCCAGCGCTCTCCTCCTCTCCGAGCCAACAAGGACCGTCTGGTAAGCCGGCCAGAATCCCGCTGCTGCCTTTGGCTGTGACCACCACCGCAACACAATGGGGAGGGAGGGAGGGCCGCCGTTGGTCAGATCAGCAGGGACATGGGACGGTTACGCCTGGCTGGCTGGCAGTCATTACAGGCTGCCCAGAAGCCTCACAGCTCGACGACACCCCATTCCTGCAGATGCGCATTCAACCGATACCCACGCGGTATTTTCCACGATGTCCTCGGCCCATGCAGCATCTCTACATCGTGAGCGTTGTCCCCCTGCAAACAAACCTACAAGCTGGGCTGGATGAGCTACATGCCAGGCTGCAGCGGCTCCAGGTGAGGGGCGCGATTGTTCCTCAAAGTCCCAGCTGGGGGAATGTTCGTGACGCAAGGATCGCAGAGGCTGTCTGGTCGTGCTGGAGAGGCCCCGCCTTGTACGTCTGGCCTTCTTTGGTACCCCAACCTAACCTATAAGTGGCGCATCTGTGTGGCCTTCTCCAACAACGTGCGCTATTTTGAGGTTACGGCGCCCTCAGGTGGGGAGGTTGCTTTTCCCGGCAGATGCGCAGTGGACTGACCGATCATCTTTCTGTCCATGTCGGGTTGCCTTGCTCCTGCGATCACAGTCACAATCAGGCCAGTAGACAGAAACATGGGATCATTTAGTAAGCGATGCTTGAAAAGGGTGGCGGGCTGGTGTGTTGTTCCACCTGTGATTGGACTGGGATGCGGGCACTGGTCCGGACGCAGTCTCAAGGGCAGACAATAATGATGACGATGAGATCGAACGCTGAGGCCTGTAGTCCAAGCTTGCCAGTGACCCTCGGGGATGCTCAAAAAGGGTTGACGCACAACGGCGGCGGCCATTTGGTGGGGTGGGCAGTCGCCAACGGCCACTAGCCCTGGCTGCCACTGGTTGGAGAGCCACCTCACAACTGCTATCCATCGGACTCACCTAGAGCCATCACGGCTGAAGCACGCCGTCGTCATCGCTGACTAACTGCCACAGACGCTGTTGCAGAAGAAGCCCTGATTCCGGCTCCATGCTGCACGTCATGCCAGGATACACCAAACGACTCAGATAAAGCTCCGATTCCCACTACGAACCCATTCATCGATGCTACCGGCTATTAGAGATGGAGTCCCCGTGCTATCCCGAGTACGCCAGAAGTTTAGACTCTCCCGTTGGTTGCTGCTCAAGCAGTTCCCCTCCAGCGTAGGTAGTCAAGAAGCGCCAAACTTCGACGTTGCGCTGGTATGTTGGTACTCAAGAGCTGGGTGAGGTCGGATTGCACTTGAATTCGCCATGATATGATGACTGTGACCTCATCCTTCAGTGACTCTTGTTCTTCTCTGGTCCTGTGAGTGCGTCAAGCATATCTGATCGAAAGTGTACAGATAAGCGGCACTACCGTTCCCTTTTCCTGTCGCTTCGGCACATACCAAGGTTATGACTAAGGATTTTAGGTTTGGGCGACGGTCTTTGAACAACATGCTTCCCTCCTGGTGGTGACTGATCCAGGCGGTGGCCAGCTCCAGTGGGCTTGCATGGGCGCTGCAGCGCAGGCCCATGGTCCTCTTTGCGCAGCTTCCAGGCCCACCTGGGCAACCTCTAGAGTTGTCCACATAATTTCCTGAGCTCTGCAGGATCAAGCAACACCACTAGGCGCGATTCCCGGCAGTTGTCATCATGCCCAGTGGCCCATGGCCGAAATGATGATAACCTGCCGCTTGAGCCGTCTGCTGGAGATCATGCGTGGTCCATGCAGGCAACTTCCGGACTCTGGCGGGAGCAGTGGGGACTCCGTGGGATCCATGTGAACAGCCAGAAGATCTAATGACATCACTGTCGCAATCGGTCTTGCACGCCCAAGTAGTCGGTTCCTGTACGCTATGTACAAACATGGTGATGCCAGCTGTGGAATCGAATAGCCAGAGCAAATGCCGTGTAGCTGTCGCGCCCGCCTCGGAGGCAGCCGAGCAGCGATGCGCTGTGTTCTAAATCAGTGGTGGGCCCACCCGGGGTGGCGCAGTAATTGAGAGCCCCAGAACCCTGAATGTCGACCTGCGTCTGCCACTAACAGAACATAGAGCGCTCTCTATGTCTTTGTGTTAGTGCGCCAGCTGCTTCTCCACAATTAGAATGGCCTGAGGACTCCAATCCACACCAGCAAAGCGGGGCCTCCAGTCAGGAACAATGTGACCCGTGCTGATGGCGTCTAGCACTCCCAGTTTTGGTCCAACTTGCTTCCAAGTTGGCGATTGTCCACGTCCGCAATCACTGCTCAGCCCGTCGCTCACCCCGAGAACACTGCAAGACGCCATGCAGATCATGCCGACCCAGCCTGCCGCATCACGACATTTCCCTGCGGCATCTTAGCACTGCGGCCATACACCACCTGACGAGTACCAATCGCGCGCCCGGCACACTGTTTGGCCCGTCTGAGTGACCGTCACCACCCAACCCCAGCTGGCATCAGGCCACCATCGACCCGAGCCAGACCTCATCCGTGGAACGACGAGCCTGTCGGGGCTAGCGCTGTGCGACGAACTTCTCTAGGCTGAGATAGCGACTCCCTGCGCTCAGAGGCAATCGGGCCTCGGGCGACTCTCTTCAACATTGAAAGAACCGCTAGCCACCAACCCCTTTTCTTTTCGCAGTCGAGGGCACTGTTGCTCCTGAATCAGCAGCATGGCTCCTGCGTCACACTCGATATCAGCCATCATGGCGCGATCTGAGCCCCTCTCTGGAGGCGCGATTGCTGGGGCTGTCGTGGGAAGTCTGGTTGGCGCTGCTCTGGTCTTTCTGGTTCTTGGCTTCATTTACTTCCGCATAAAACGCAAGATCAAAGAGTCAGAGGCCGAGGCTGGCAAGGTGTCTCCTCTCCCGCAGCCTCCAGTAGCCCGCCGGGCGTCTTTCACAGGACCAGGATACTCTGCGCATCCCTACGTCCCGCCGTTTCCGGGAGACGAGCTTACGACAAAAGAACATGAGGAACAGCCAAGCACAAGCGAAGCCAGCCAAACAACTGAGAGATCTGAACCATCGAGCTTTCTGGCGACGGCTGATCGAGCTGCCATCGATGGCTCGCCACCAGTACCAATGGAACCAGCACCGCCAGCACCAGGGATTGCAGCGCCTATTGAGCAGGATCCGCTCGCCATGGAAGGTCCGCCGATGGGTGTGGCAAGCCAGGAGATGCGCGAGACACAACCAGAACACCACGAAGCAGCCAACGCTAGTTACTATGACACCCGGATATCCCTCGACTCGGATCCCCCAGCACCTGGCCCGGGAAGCCCGACTGCGGCGATGCACGAGATGTACGAGGCGCAAATCAAAGAGTCGAGAGAAATGAATAAGAAGAAGCAGAGCACCAGCTCAGTCAAAAGATTCTTCGGCACGCTCATGAAAGGTCGCCAGTCGACGCAATCTTCCAACGATGGTTCACGTGGAGTGGATACGCCGGCGTGGACACCTTCGGCGCAGGCCAGCAGAGTTGGCACAGGGCTGGAATCGGTGGAGATGCAGAATGCGCAAAACCTGCATTTCCCCGGCTCACGCCAAATCTTTGACGAGCCCGAGGACATGGGGGACTTTGCCGGCCCCGGCACTGGCGGTTTTGCGCAACCCCCAAGTGGGAGGTCGCCAATTGACGTCGCGCCCCAGACGCGTGCACGGAGGATGGGGACGGAAGCGCAGCAGCTGGCACGCATCAACTCGTGGCGCAAGGATTCCAGGATACGGGAGACGACAGAAGTCGACCCGGAGCTGCCGTCTGCTGTTTACGGGTCGAGGTTCGGCTCGACCGACAGCTACTACGGGGGCGGGTTCCCTCAATCCACTGCGCCCCCGGCAGCACAGCCGCCCCACTCCGGCCGCCAAGAGCCGCAGGCCGAGCGGCCTCACGACATGGAGCGACTTAAGAGTCCTGAGATTCCGGAACCCGTCTACGATGACCAGTCCAATGGCATGCTCGCCGGCCCTCAAGCTATCGCCACCTCACTATCGCCGTCGCCACCTCTCTCCTCCGAGAACTTTGTCCGCCCAATGCACGTCATGCAGCCTACCACTTCCACCGAGAAGTACTACCACACAGACTACCGGCTCGAGAACCCAATCTCCCCGGTCGAAGGCCCGGCGATATCGTCTCCAGAGATGACGACAAGCCCGGAGCTGCACCACAACGGCGGTAACAACTATGTGCTGTCGTCAGAGCACCACGGCATCGACCCGATGGACGAGTTTCTTGACATTCCGGGCTATGATGAACCGCGGCGCTCCAGCGAATCATACGACTACTCGGTGTCCATGGGCCCGAGCTCGACAGATCCGTCGAGCGGTCGGACACCGGACACACGCATCACCATGTCCCCTTCCCCCTTCCCCATGCCCTTCCAACACCAAGTCCAACCCCACCAACAGCAACAGTACCACCACCACCACCAGTCCCCTTCTAGTGGTGACTTTGCGGGCTCGAGCGCCTCGCCGGAGCCGACCCAGCTGTCCCCTCCGCACGGCCCCGGCAGCCTCATTTGTGACGAGTGCGGCCGTACATTTGATCAGATCCACAAGCTCAACCACCACAAGCGGTACCACGACCGCAAGCACGAGTGCCCCTACCAGGGCTGTGACAAGAGGTTCGGCACCAAGACGCACCTGGACCGGCACATCAACGATAAGCACCTCAAGTCCAAGGCGTTCCACTGCACTGAGCCCGGGTGTGCATACTTCAAGGGCGGCAAGGCGTTCCCCAGAAAGGACAACTGGAGGCGGCACATGGTCAAGAAGCATGGGGCGAACCAGCAGACTTTCGACGCCATGGACGAAGGCATGGACTGAGCGGACCCGTGGGGTTAACCCGTGGTGTGCTGGTCCTGCAAGGAGCGATTTCCTCCTGGCCATCGTCCTCCTTTTGGCCCAAATCCCGGACCGGGGGGGTTTATTGGTTGTCGTCCTTGATATCTCTTCTCTCCCTCTCTCTCATTCATAGGACATGTTTGGTTGCGTTATTTCGGGGGCATATGTAAACAGCAAGCGTATCTGTTTGTCTATGTGGGAAATTTCTTGTCATCTTTTTTCTCTCTATCCGGAAGGGCCGACGGATGTTCGTCATCGTCTGCCTTCTTCTTTTATTTTTATCTACTATACTATTCATCTTTCTGGAGTTAGGGGCTACATGCAAACCCTTCCTGGCGAGAAGGACATCTCACTATTGGAACTTTTCTCGAGCTCGCAAGATTTTTCTGATTTGACATGACTGGATTTCGGTGACGAATCGAAGGTTGGACCGAAAAGTCTTCCTCTTCTTGTGAACAACAGGCTGACGGAAGGCCCAAAAGCCGGCCCTGGAATCACGACGGGAATACAAAGTTTATGTCTTTAGAAGGATGTGTCCCCGGGTTGTTGTACTGGCATGGGGAATTCGATTCAAAAATGGCAAGGTGGCAGGTATCTATAAATGGCAACATGAGCAACTTGAGTCTGGCTGGGACAGGACCGCCCCGTCTCTGAGCGAAGCGACGGTTCTCAAACAGAATATAATGAGATGGACGGAACAAAAAGTCAGGACAAGCCAGGACAAGCCAAATGAACCAAAACAGTGCTAGTCGCGTAATATGTAAAGCCAGTGTGCAAAGAGAATCCTTCCAGTTGCGCCAAACGCCGAGGGTCCCAATGTGCTGACAAAAGTTTTTTCCGTCATGATGGTCGTGATACAAGACTGTCGAGGGTCTTGCTTGCGCCTCACTCCTCCTCGCTCACATCGCTTTCAGGCTGGTCCTGCTGTTCCTCTTCAAAGGCCGCCATCAGCTCAGCTTCCAGGTCCTCATCTGCCGGCTCGTCCATGTCATGGTCGGCTGCGGGCTGCTGCACATCCTCCATTTCGGCGTCTGCGTCCTCGTCGCTCTCCTCCTCGTCCTCTTGCGCTTGAGCATGAAACGAGTGTGTGCTGCGGGACGGCGCGTCGCGATGCGACGTGAGGCCCGCACTCTCCTCCATTTGCCTGTTGACCGGGCTAGGCAGAGTGAAATGCTCAATGCTCTGATTGTCGTCGTCGTCCTCGCCGTCCGCGTCGTCCTCCTCCTCTGTGTTTTGCTGCACAAAGTCGGAGAACCGCCGTACTCCAAACGCAGGGGAAAAGTCGCGCGCCGACGCCGGGGGCGCGTTGGGACCACCGGGCTCCTCGATCTGCAGCAGTCCATCGTCAGAGCTGTCGTCATCCGAGTCTGGCGTCGCGGCGCGGTGCTGCTTGGACGAGGACGACGATGACTGGGTCGTCTGTGTTTGCGGCGCGGGCTTCGTCTTCTTTGGCGGGAACGGCAAGTCTCGGCCTTTCTTGTCTTCTTTGCCTCCGGAGGCTCGTGATTTGGCCGTCGCCGCGGCGCCCTTTTGATTTCGCGCATTGTTTTGCCCACCCTTGGTGCTCGAGCCTTCCAGGTGCGGATGTTTCCTCCGCAAGCTGTCGGGATCGTTGTTGTTGGGTGTCTGCGTGATGTTCATTGAAAATGTCGAGTCGATCTTGTGCAGGACAAAGACCTCGCGCGTAGGATCGAAGACGAGCACATACTTGTTGTCGTCGATGCTGCGGGTGCCGGAGTATGCGTACTGGCCGCCGCTGTCGCGAAATGTGAGATCGTAGCCGTCGTCGCTCACGCCGTCGGGCTTTAATCGAGCCTTGGCAGGCGTCGAAGAGGAAGGCTTGTGGTTGTCTGCGTAGGTGATTGTGCTCATTGTCAGTTCAATGGTGCTGAGAGGAAGGGAAGGGGAGCCCTGCAGCATCAATAAGGGGATGGCACTCACACCGGATGCCCGTGTACGTCTCTTTGGGGTCTCTGCCAAGTAAAGCGTCGCTGAGGACGACCGGATATTTGCCCACTTTCGTGGGATCGAGCATGCCCGCCAGGGACATGACGGCGAACGCGGCCGTCGCTAGGCCGGAGAGCGGAGGCGGTGGTGGTGTTGGGGACGAGCTGCTGAAGGATGGAATTGGCCAGCTGAAGCACGTTTGTCCGTACGCCGGTGCCTCGGGGCGGAGTGTGCTATGTGTTGAGGCCGGGGTCGAGTGTAGATGCGTTGGAAAAGGCTTCCCAGACGCTGACGATGCCGAGAAGGGATGGAGATGGCTGACTGCCGTTATCGACTGCAGGCCGGACGGGAAGCGGCTGGGATGTGGAGGGCCGCCAAGTGGGGACGACCTGGAGATCAATCTGGCCCGCGCCTGCATGCCAGTCCCACCTGGGCGCTCTCGATGCATGCCAGTGCACCCTGACTGTGTCCTCAGGCACAAACAATCAGCCCAGCACACAAACACATTTCAGTTCGAGCCTGTGCAAGCGAAACCCTCAGGACAAATGATTTCTCGACATTTTTGGTGACAATGCTTGTGTCATTGTTGATGTGTTTGGCGAAACGCCCGGCCGTCGTCACTTGTATACGTACGTCAAAGGGCGATGGGGCAGTGCATGCCGGTTAACTCTACGTACGTCGAACACATTGAGACTGCGTTGGCATCTTTGAGGCTGCACCTCATCCAAGCCCCCGTCTCTTTGGTCTTCGATATGCTGCTGTATATTCATACAATGGCTTAGGCCAGACTACATATGTGCTGACCCAGTTGCAGAGCAGCTGCACACCTCCTCCTTCGACACACACTGTCTTGCTTTCTCTTTCTGGCTCTATCCCCAGGCTCCAGCGGCTAGGCATATGTCGAATCATCATCGCCGCGCCAAGCCCTGACGATATCCAAACTCGCTTGTTTCGAGAAATACTCATTCATGCAAAGCCTGTCTCCAACAGCAAGAGCATCCCTGATACTGCCAATCACGACAGTACGACTTGATGCTCCCGACCCGAATTCACTTTATGGCCAAGAAGTTTGCGGCACAATCAGTGCTGCATCCGCCCCTGTGTCCATTTCCATTCTTGAACTCGCAGACATGCCGCGGCGACTGTACATTTTCTGTGGATTTATGTTTAGACAGGACAAGTCACAAAAGTAGCCATTGGCTTACAGCGTGGAGTGTGCAGGCAACTGTGGACGCATGCTCAGTGTTTCAGAGCCTGCTGCAAGCAGCCTGTACTCCCGTCGTATCCAGAATGTGTTACCGGCAACAATCCAGCAGCACGAGCTGTTACAATTACTACCGAGCCTTCAAGTCAATCAAGGCGCAAGCTACATGACCCAGGCTCACATTCGGTTAACCAAGCCTGACACAACTTGGTGAAGCAGGGCCCATGCTCGGGATTCGAGGGCTTGGCAAAGGCTTTATCCGCTCGGCATCCGAGCAAAGTACTTGCACCAAGGACACAATATTGCAGGGCCCGGACCGGCGGCTCTCTGGGCCAGAGAACACCGTTGCCCTACAACAAGGTGTGCGTTTCCAGCCAAGGTGAAGGGCAGGTGGTGCGGGTAGTGTAGGCTTTGTGCCGAGGTTACCGACTGTAGCCATGCTCGAGTGCTAGCCAGGGTCCACTCTTGACTAGACTGGGTCGACTCGATGGGCTGCGGCGCTTGGGAAAAAGTTGTAGACTGGGTTCTTGACACGAGTCTTTTGCAAGTGCGTATCGCTATGCAGACGAGGAACAGCTGAAAGAGGACCAGATCCGTAGGAGAGGCCTACGAGGCTGGCCAGCGTGCCCGAAGGCTTCGATGCTTGCCCGTGTCAAGCAGAGAGACGGGCATGCCCCTGGTCGTCATGGCTGAGCCGAGGATAGAGGGAGGCTCTGACGGCGGGGGAATGGGAGAATGTGGGGAGAGCGGCGCTGGACCCCACGCGCGCCCCAGACGATACCCCTCTGCCCCCCGTGGTGTTACCACGCGTGCCAGCGCAAGGAAAAGAATTCCCCTTAGCGCTCGAGGCCGTGAGCGGACTCCGAGGGCGCTGCTCGGCCGTAGTGCTTCGCCGGTCGGTCTTCTTTAAGACCACCGGGGCGGGACGAGCGACGCTGCTGCTGCCCACTCACTCACCTCTTTTCTCCATCTCCTCCTGCCGTCGACACTTGCCTCCCAAGTGTCCCACCTCCCTCCTCCTCCAAGATGTCTGCTGTCAACCGCAGCCTGCGAACCGCCTCGAGATCGCTGCGCCTGCCCACCTCTGCCCTCCACCGCGCCGGCCCCCTCGCTGTCTCTGCTGCGAAGCTCGGTGCCCGCCGCACAGTCGCTCCCGCCCTCGCCAGCTACACCCGCCTCAGCTCCTTCTCCACCTCCACTGCCAGGATGGGTGCTCCCGCTTTGCCCCAGGAGGGCCGCGAGTACGACCCCGAGATCAAGGACATTGCTCAGTACGTCACCAAGCCAATTGACTCTGAGCTCGCCGTAAGTCTATCCTCCGAGTTCTTCCTGCTCGTGCTTGGTGTTTCGCGGCTGCACACACACAGCGCGAGCGTCCTGAGCTCCTCCCACCCGCGCAGATTTTCCCCACTGCTGCTGCTGCTCGATTCTGCCCCACGCCAACCTCAAGTAGCCGCCGCTAACCGCCAGCCGCAAAACAACAGTTTGACACGGCGAGATGGATTCTGCTCGACACCCTTGGCTGCGGACTTGAGGGCCTGCGCTTCAAGGAGTGCACCAAGCTGCTGGGACCCATTGTCCCCGGCACCGTCGTCCCCAACGGCACCAAGGTTCCCGGTACCGACTTCCAGCTCGACCCTGTCAATGGCGCCTTCAACATTGGCGCCATGATCAGATGGCTTGACTACAACGACTGCTGGCTCGCGGCCGAGTGGGGTCACCCTTCTGACAACCTCGGTGCCATCCTCGCCGTTGCCGACTGGGTCAACCGCACCAACAAGGCTGGCGGCAACCTCGCCGGTGGCAAGATCTTCACCGTCAAGGATGTCCTCGAAGGCATGATCAAGGCCCACGAGATCCAAGGCTGCTTGGCCCTCCTCAACTCGTACAACAAGGTCGGTCTCGACCACGTTGTCCTTGTCAAAGTTGCCAGCACGGCCGTCGTCTCCCAGATGCTCGGCCTGAGTGAGAGCCAGATCGCCGATGCTGTGTCCCAGGCCTGGGTTGATGGCCAGTCTCTCCGTACCTACCGCCACTCGCCCAACACCATGTCCCGTAAGTCGTGGGCCGCTGGTGACGCTTGCCAGCGTGCCGTCAACCTCGCCCTCAAGGTCTCCAAGGGCGAGCCCGGCATTCCCACCGTCCTGTCCGCTCCCGTCTGGGGTTTCTATGACGTCCTCTTCAAGGGCAACAAGTTCGAGTTCCAGCGTCCCTACGGCAGCTACGTCATGGAGAACGTCCTCTTCAAGGTCTCCTACCCTGGTAAGTCAGATTCTGGCGCTCACGCAAAGTTATCTTTCATCACAGTCTGCTGACCGCTGTCCCTTCCAGCCGAGTTCCACTCCCAGACCGCCGTCGAAGCCTCCGAGAAGATCTTCGCCCAGCTCAAGGCTGCCGGCAAGTCCGCCAAGGACATCAAGGAGGTGACCATCCGGACCCACGAGGCCTGCGTCCGCATTATCGACAAGCAGTTCAAGCCCATGGACAACTTTGCCGACCGTGACCACTGCATCCAGTACATGTGTGCCACCATGCTCACCTTTGGCCGCCTTGAGGCCACAGACTACACGGACGGCGGCGAGGCTGCCACCTCGCCTATTGTCGAGGACCTGCGCAAGCGCATCAAGTGTGTCGAGGACCCGCAGTTCACCAAGGACTACCATGACCCTGCGCTCCGCACGATCTCCAACGCCCTTACCGTCGAGCTCAACGACGGCACCTTCCTGGACGAGGTTGTCGTTGAGGCCCCTCTGGGACACCGCCTGCGCCGTGACGAGGCCAAGCCGCACATCCTGGCCAAGTACAAGCGCCACCTCGGCCCCCACTTCCCCGAGGCCCAGGTCAAGGAGCTCGTCGAGCTCAGCCAGGACGCTCAGAGGCTTGAGAAGATGTCGATCGACGAGTACGTAGACAAGTACGTCGTCAAGGACAGCAAGTTTGTCTAAACAAAAGTTGAGCGGAGGGAGACCAAGGCGTTATCTCTGTTTTGCTTGGCTCGGAAGCGAGGCCATGATTGCTGCGTGCTAGAAGTCCCCAGGACGGGGTATTGCTTTAGATGTAGATAACCCCCCAAATGTCACACACATGAAGAAGTATATCAAAATCACGGACGGGCCATTGTGAGGATATTGGGTTTCGGGTCATGGAGGGACGGGAGAGGATCATGACCAATCAGGCAGCCCGTGCCAGTTTCAAAGACAGTGGCGTGCCAAGATTACCTGACGTGCGACAGGGGTGCGGGAGTTATCCCTTTGGGGCAATCCGTTGCAGAAGACATTCCCGCCTGCGACAACGACCGGTTCTGGGCACAATGATTGTCTGATTGTGCGTTTGAGCAGGCAGTCCACTTATGGCTGCCACATACGTAATCCTGTGTGCCTATACGAGCTTTTCTCAGGACGAAAGCATGTTAGCTGGGGACTGTTCGAGACCTCGAGGCACGTAGCGCATGAGGCTTGAAGCGTTGGCGCGGAGGCGGGCTTCCCAAGGGTTGGTTCTAAAAATGCGATGCTGGCGGGCGGCCGTGCGGGGCACTGACGGACGGGTCGAGTTAGCGTGTCACAGTCGCAAGCAGGGCTGCTCCGCCACCCACCCAACGAGGCGTGCAGGCCGTTACAGCCATGGGCTCCAGGCAGCCCGCCTCCTGCAGATCCACCCCCGGGCCCTTCGCACTCGTGGTCCACATCCTGTCTTGAAACAACAACAACTTCTCAACAAGACGATCAATTCACGTCCTTCAGTATCCGTCCTTGTTGTCGCAAGCTCGCTTTCACCAAACGAATATCGAGAATACGCGGGGCTATACATCTCGCACAGCCTCGACCCCTCACAGCACGCGCCGGTTCGCCGCACGCTTACTCACGCCAGAGTAAAACACATTCGAGTCATCTCCTCAGCACCATGGCAATGGACCGCCAAGAAATCATTGCGACGAACAAGTCGCTCCGACTCATCAAGAATGTACGATGCGGCATCCTGCAAATGCGCCTCTGGTCAAATGATCCGCTTCATGTATTTGTCTTGCTAATCGAGCTTTGTGCTTAGGAGCTGGAACACCTTCTCGAAAAGGGCATCGTCACCGATGCCGTCTTCGACTCAATCTCGCAGATGCTGCCTGCTGAGCTGTCACTCTCCGGGTCGACCAACCCGCCAACTCCGGTGCAGTCCCCTCCCATAAACGCCATGGCCAACCTCGGCCTCGGCGCCGCCAACAGAACGAGCACGGCCAGCTCTCACCACTCTCACAACTCGATGCCCCCTCAGAACCCGGCGCCGCCCGCATACTCGACAGCCCCGTCAAGTAACGCCGGCGCTGCCGGTCCGCCACAGCTCCCATCGCGGGCAGGCCCGCCGGCAGCAACACCCCCGACCAAGCCCGTGATTGCCCACGCCAAGGCCCTTTACAAGTACCAAGCCGCGGACAGCCGGGACTTGTCGTTTGAGCGCGACGACACGATTGCCGTGCACGAGTACATGAACGATGACTGGTGGATGGGCCGCAATCAGCGCACCGGTGCCGAGGGCATCTTCCCCAAGACCTACGTCCAGATCGACCACAACGTAAGCCCGCAAGGATACCCGAATGAGAAGGCCGGATACTATGCTCCGCAGCAGAACGCCGCTGCCGGTGGCTACCCGCCGCCCCCGGGCCAGGGCCAGGGTAACCCGTACAACTCGTCGGTGCCGCCAATGGGCGTTGCCAACAGCGGTGGTGGCCATGGTGGGGACAACGGCGAGCCCAGCAAGTTTGAGCAAAACGGCAAGAAGTTTGGCAAGAAGCTCGGTAACGCAGCCATCTTCGGCGCTGGCGCAACCCTTGGTGGCAAGATTGTCAACGGCATCTTTTGAGTTGTGGGAGGCAAAATCCGGGGTTGGGCATTTCTGGAGGCAGCATGTTTTTTCTTGCATTGGCTTGGTCCTTTGAGACTATTTAGAGTCTGAAATTTGTATTAATCAGAATCGAGTACATATGATATTCCACGTCTCCTTCTCAAGTGTCCGTTGAAGAGCTACATGTACGGGGCCCTAGAATTAACCACGACTCTCGGTTGTGCGTGCTTGGGCACGTTTATTGTGCTGTGTGAATGAGACGGGCACACCCTCGAAAGGTTCCAAGGTTGTCTTATTCTGCTGGCAGAACTGTCCTACAAGAAATTGAATCACCCCTCGGCGGCTTGATGTGAGCCATATGTGACTTGGGCTTGCATGGCTTGGCTCACCTCGACTCTCGGATGATGACCACAGCTTCCTTCCGCACGAAGCCCGGTCAGCTCGTGATACAGGTCAACCAACCCGTACAAGTGGGGCTATCGACAACCACTGCTCCTTACAAGAGGCCCCAACTCGAGGAGGCACATCACAATCATCGCCTTTGAATTCATACAGAGAAGACTTGCTCTCTCCCTCGACCAGAAAAGTTCAAAGTCTGCCTCCACAGCTCCATATACTGGACGCAATCCTCGCCAAGCATGCTAATCCACCACCCTCTGAGCGCAACGTGGTAGTAGTGGCACCTCAGCCGGCACCCGCTGCGCGCCACCATGGCATCCCGGAGATCAACCTGGTGTTCCCTCTGTGGCGTCATCATCAGCCCCAGTCAAGGCAATCCAGACGAGACTGCAGACCACGAGCTGAGCTGGCTAAGCGACGTGCGTGTAGGTGAGTTGAAATGCAAATGACGGAGGGCCGGTTCCTGGTGAACCGCTTGTGTCGTGTCTTCCCGGCAACTGACATGACCTCCAGTGCGCACCCTGGGCCCCCAATGGGACGTCATCATCACCGGCGTCGGCTATCTCAGCAATCGAAAGCAGGTCTGCGCGTCCGCGGACCCTTCGGACCACTGGCGAATAACACCCAGCCATACCAGCCATGATGACGGCGACGTCAGTGGCATACCAGCGCAAGCCGGATTCGCACCTCACCACTCGCTGTACAACAGCTCCCGGAGCTACTGGTGCTTCCCGATCCACGACAGCTGCTGGCACTTCCTGTGGGACAAGGTCTCGTCATGCAACCGCGAAGACGTGCCGCAGGAGGCGCTCGCGCGGCACCTGTTTGCGATATTCTACAACACGCCCATCCACGCTTACGATCAGCTCATGCCAGGGCACGACTACGGGGGCGCCGCGGGGCTGAGGCAGATCACTCGCAGGCAAGGGTACTATTACCAGGTCCGGGCCTCGCAGTACCCGTACCTCATCGGCAACCCGCACGAGGCGCTCCAGACGGACGAGCACTGCCTGTGGGAAGCGGTGCAGGCTATCGCGGTGCCGTTCAACAGACCCGAGGTCCACTTGCGGGATCGTGTTGCCGTCGCCGGGGAGACTGGCGGTGCTGCTGCCGAGGTCGACGGTGCTGATGACGATCCGTTCACGCGGCTGCCGTACGAGGTGGTTGTGATTGTTTTCACGTACTTGCCAAGTGTGGACATGTGTAAGTTGCGGCTTGCATCGCGAGCGGCGGCGCATATCTCTTCGCCGCAGCGACTACCTCAAGCGTTCTGGCGCAGTCGGTTCGATCCAGAGTTTGAGATGGGATTCGTATTTGCAGGGGCATCGCGGCAGACGACAAAGGCACAGATGGACTGGCGAGATCTCTATGTCAAAGCGAGGGCAACACTGAGCGAGTTCGAGCTGTTCCCTGGCTTCAAGAACCGGCAGCGGATATGGTTCTCCCTGCACGATATTGCAAGCGTGATCAGGGTCAGGCTCAGGAACAAGGACTGCACCAGCCAGGTCCCTTATGCGGAAATGACACCACCGCTGTTGCCAGACGAGAAACATGGAAGCTGGGTGTGCGCGGATGCAGCGCTCGCTCCAGGGCCAGCGCATTCTCTGGCACAATTCGAGCTCGCGGCAAACTGTCGGCTGATGGAGATGCACAAGATTACTTGGCTCCCGTCGTTCCAAGGGCAAGTCAGGTTGAAAGCTTCATTTGCGGACTATTGTGGCAAGACTTATATCAGCGGATTATGTCTGGATGGCGTTGCTTCTGACGGGGGTTCGGCTCACAGCGAGAGAGCAGGCTTTGTGAACACGACACGATTCCAATATATCGAGCTGGACTCGAGCTGGGAGATTTGGCGGGTTGAGATTGCTCTCTGCTGTACAGGTCTGATCGGCGTGCGGCTTCACTTTAGAGGACACGGGTCTACTGTCGTAAAGAGTATTGGCCAGATACCGCCGCCAGCCGCAGATATAGGGATTAGCGATTTGCCGATTCCTTACAATGCCCGGATCTCTGGGCTTGTCGTAGGACTGGATGTAAGTTGAATGTGTACCAAGTACCACTCAGGGGACAACTAACTTACATGACCAGGCCTTCAAGGTTGTGTCACTATCAGTCGTGGAGGAAACACATGCTGGCGCTGTTCACAACGGTACCGCATTTCCCCTCACAAGAGAATTTGCACCCCCATCCGAGATTTGGATACCGACCGCGCCAAGGGTGCCAGTATCGTGGCGCTTCAAGAGTGCGCAGAAGTCACAATTACATAACCTGTGCCTGAACATGGACTTTGGCGGTCACGACGGCAGCCAGCTCCCGAGATTGACACAAGTCGTGGCACGCATGACCCAATATCCCGCTGTGTTTGCGGGAATGAAGTTCGTCTATGTGGACGGCACGGTTAAGGAGTTTGGTGCAAGAAATGGCTTGCCGGTCGCAGGGGACGTCTCGGACCTGGTGCTCGAGCAGGTCTTCAGCATCGATGGGCCTGGTGGAGAGGTTATTGATCGAGTGGTCGTCTCTTACTCGATGGACCATGAGAACGTTCGCAGGATCTCAGTAAGTTATCTACAAACAACCTGTATCAGGAGTCTGTCCTCCTGATCGTCATGTACGGAACGCAACTGATAAGTCGCGATACTGCAGGTCTACACAAACCACAACAGGTCGATTGACTTTGCGCTGCAGTCGAAGAGCGAGCCCAACGACACGCTGTCGGTCAAAGTCTTCGAGCCCAAGCCAGGATCACTGCTCACAGCCTTCTTTGCAAAGATCAAAATGTCTGCCGTCCTTCCTGGAAGGACGAGCTTGACTTGGCTTCAATACGACCTTCGTGGCTACTTTCGCAATTTCTCCGTTGGGACCGCCCCTAAGGATCCTTTACCTGGTATTTGCGTGCAGGAAGCCACACAGAGCACAAGCATCGACCACATGATACCCATCAATCGCAAAACACTGGCTCCGGTAGAAATGATGTTAAGGCATCACGGCGGCTTCGTGTTCGCGGCAGCTGATTTAGCGAATGTGAAGCGGATCCGAGTCTCCATCGGTGGCAAGGGTGATGACCTTCACGCTGACATGATCACCGGGTTATGGATAGAATATCACGACTCAAATCTCCCTGTCATCATTGGGCAGTGGAAGGAGGAATACGATACGATAGAACTCGACGCAGACGATCGCCTTGTGGCCATGCAAATCTGGCACGACTGGAACAGCATTGACAAACGACTGCCGCTGGGTCCGGTAGTTGGGCTGTTATTCAGACTTGCGTCAGGGACCGAGAAGAAGATCGCTCGCCGGTATGTGGTGGAAAGGGACTGTCTTTCATTCCGAGAGAACATGTACGAAAGCATGGTAAGTGGCCCTTCAACTTCCGACTCTTTTTCACCGCCAACCTTCACTTGTGACCCTTGAAGAAATTTCGCAGGAATACTGCTAACATGTGCAAAGACTGGGGTTCTCTGGGGCTGTAACCACAAATGGGACCACGTGTGGGTGTTGATGACCCCGAATCCCAACGTGCCTCGCCTGCTGCTGGTACAAGACACAGCCGACTTAATCCAGTCTCCGGTCATGACCGACATCCTGCAAGAGAAGGTCTTCATCTTTGGCGAGGGATTGCCAGAAAATAACCACAACCCGCTGACGTCGGTAGAGGTGACCTTCTGGAAGCACGACAAGGTGCCGAACAGCATCAGGCTCTACTTTCGACACGGCCCACCGCGGGTCCTGGGCCATCCGCAATCTGTACACCGCCCGCAGAGGATCGATCTTGATGTTGATGGGGGCGAGGAGTTGACTTCTATGCGACTTGGCATTATCGGGCATGGCGACACCAGTCAGATTGCTTTCATTACAGTAAGTGGCTTTTTTGCTTTGATTCCACGAGGGATACAGCACCATGGTCCTCTCGTCTAAGTTAACTACTCGGCAAAAACCGCTTCTGGAAGCCAAAGACTAACAGACCGATGACCACAGTTCACAACGAACAAGGACCGCAAGCTTGATTTCCGTGAGGAATGGTGGTCCGCACCAAGCACGGCCATCACGCGATGGCACGAAAAGGTGCCCCTGCACGTATTCTACCCCTTCGCTCCAGAGACAGCAGAGACATCGCGACGAGTCGCCGCGGCGCTGGCACGACCCGACACGACCGCCAGTACCGGCGGCGGCGCAGATGCCTCGAGACCAGCTGCGCCGGGCGGCGCTGGGCGGTACTCGCCCTTCGCAAGCAGCCCCTTGGTGTTCAGAATGGGCGAGCGGTATGGCGTGCCTCTAGACCGGGGCCCCGGAGGGACCGCAGGTAACAGAAACAGTAGCACGCCGAACTCGGTGGTGGTGGCGGCGACGACCATGGTAACGACAAGGAGTCCTGGGCGGGACAATCCGGGGCAACCAGAACGTGCTACGGATCGAGCGGCGGCTGCGACGGTATCTGTCAAGGCCCCAGCCGTTGATGCCCCCAAGGTCAAGGTCGTTGATGTCCCCCCAGGAGCAGGACGGTTTGTTGGTCTGTGGGCGCTGGCGAATCATGCGCTAGAGTATCCGTTTCTTGGGCCTATGTTTGAGGAAGCACCGTCGTCGTCGTCGTCGTCGCCGGCGGCGGACGCGGTGGCAGCGACATCATAGTTGGTGGTGACCTTGTCATCCTCTTTGGCAGCCCGCGAAGTAGATTGGGGGAAAGTAGCAAACGTGAGGGCGTCAGGAGCTCTGTGTCTTTGAAGAGCTCTTCTGCCCTGATGCCGCCTTCTGAGCAGCCATACAACTTGGTAAAGGCAGGCATTGGCATGCAAGATCAAGAAAGTTGAGTAGTCAAGAGGAATTGATCTCACGTCTAGCTTGACCATATGCTATCACGAGGAGGGCGAGAAAGGGGGTATCTAATCTACACGAACAAAGTGCGACAGGATGTACAGAGGAAAATGAAGTTTTGTGAAGCAAGGCTTGCTGCCTCCCAGTATCTACGGTCTCCTCTTGCTCATGATGCTTCCTCCTCGGCCAGGGCTAAGCACTTTCGGATGGAAAGTCTCCGGTTACGCCTAGGTCGACATCGCGACGCGCGCTTCATACCTAGAGGGGCTGGCTTGGAACTACGCCTGCCTTGCGCCACACGAGCTGCAAAGTTCGTGATCAGGGGTCAGCTGCACCTTCGTGGATCGTGCAGAGTCTGCCGGCTTCTCTGTGTGTGGAACTTTCATAGCCCAGCATGCCAGGAGCACCAGGCGACCCAGAAGTGCTTATAAAGCAACATGGGTATCAAGGTCTGAGAGATGGCCTGCAGCTTGCCACGCGTTCATGGCTTCGCCGCATTGCCTCCGGCAGCCGGCTTGCGGTTCATGAGGTTGCCGAAGAACTTGGCCAAAGTGTCCGTGTCTACTGGTGCTTGGGCATCTGCAGCATCTTCCTCGTCTCCCACGCCCAGGGGTTCGGGCGACTGCCCATAAGCTTGTCGATCCTGTTGGATTGGTTAGCTCTCATCCTCGATAATTTGCAAACGTGACCATCTCATGGTTTGTTCTTCTTACCTTCAGGCGCTGCACCATGTCGTCTGCGTCTACCTGTATGCCACCCATATTGAACTGAACAGGACCAATGTGATCGCTGATCATGTCATCGGAAACGCCCTGTGCAAAAGAGTTGTCCTTGCCAGCCTTGTCGTCGGCTTTCTTCTGCTGCTCAAGCCTGTCCATCTGCTGGGCCAAGAATGCTTGAGTGTCGACCGAAGGAACTTCCAGCTTCGAATTGTCTTGAGCGTTCTGTGCCAGCTGCAGCGCATCGAGACTTGAGTCTTGAACTTCTGCCTCGTACGCATCTACCACGGAAGCTTCATTGGCTGTCGCGTCCATCGCGTCGTTCTCTAGAGTTGGCAGGCTGTTGCTCTTGGCGGTGGGAAATGTTTGGTCGAGGTCCACAGCCCAGCCATTGCTGACACTTTCGACGTCAAACCCATCCCGCAACACGCGGATCTTGCCCCACGAATCCCAGTTCGGGAGCACGAGGATCTTGTCCCTGTCTATTACGTTCGCGTTGAGGGCTTCTCGTTTCAACAACGACCGGATACCCAGACTTGCGTGGACCAGACTTTGCAGCGGAGACGACATGGATGGCGAGGTATATACAAGCGAAGCACCATCTAATACAACCAATACGTCAGCAAGGTGCATGACAGGAAGGCCAAAGGGAATGAACTTACGTCTGAGCAGAACGGTACGAAGATACTGAAGGACAAGGTCGAACTTTTCTTCCTTCCAACCTTGCGTCTTCTCCAGGTTGTCAATATTGGCAGTCTGCGGGCAAGTTAGTCGCACGGCCAAGAGTATGCATGACCATGGAATTACCCACATTCTGACAAACAACACACAGTGGCAAGCCCATGGCTTCGTCCCACTCGCCTGGCCCGAGTGGAATGGTAACATTGCCTTCAGCTGCGACGCCAGCGCTTGTGCCGTCAAGGTTGATCGAGCCTCCCGTGCGGCCCCTCTCTCTCCAACTATTCATATTCTCTTCCATTGCCTCCTTGCATTCTGGGCTCAGCGACATGATGACCGTCTTGAGTAGGAGAAGCCATTCTCGTAACTGGCGCATCCATAGCCATGGCTGTGACCAGTCGAGCAAAATTACTATCAAGGTGTTTGGTATCGTTTGCGGAGTGAGGAGTGGTTGGAGAAGCGACGTGAAAGAAGCAGACGGCCTGCTCAGCAGATATAGCGAAATGCGCGCGAGAACGTCTGTCCGATGAAAATCAGTCTTCTAGCGCCCTGAAAATTCAAGCTGCTAGAGGCCGTGCTTACCTTCCTGATCCGCATCCAAGACATGGTAATATGTATATCCCAGGGCGAAGCTATTGGCAACAGGCGGCACTTTATGGTCTTGGTTCTCTAAGCTAGCCCGGGATTGGTTGGCCGAGAGAGATTCCAAGAAGTCGCGTTGTGAGCTGACGGAGCCGCCTGATATCACATCAGTATTTCAATTTCCGAGCTCGATGATCTGGACGGAAAGGAGTCGCATCTGCATACCGAGGACAAGGAGGTTCTTCTCGGGTAATCTCTTGCCGCTGGCGACCGAGTCCAGCATGGAACTCCACATGTCCTTCTTTTGCTCGCCATCTCTGCTGTCCGGACCTGTACCCACAGAGGTAGTGGTATATGTCGAGAATCTGTTCGCGTTTGTCGTCATTTTCAGGCCCAGCCTCGAGGCTGCATGGAGAATGGGCAGCGCTGGCGGTGAAGGGCGGAGTAGAGTTGTGGGAGAGGACAATGTGTTGCGTCCTCTGCTGCCCGGTAAGACCTGGCGCCCAAGTCGCAACTCTCTTGTGCTAGACTAGGCCCGGTCGGATGTGGTAGGTCGAGCGCGTTGAGGATGCTGGATGGTCCTTGATGCGCCGCTTGTTGGTGCTCTGACTTGAGCCTTGTGAAGGACACGGCTGGCTTGGAGTTACGGCCGCGGGCGCTTCGTCGAGTCTGGTCACGACAGACACTGGGCTCCGGTGGCACAGCCGTACTGCTCCTGGGGCAAGTTCGAGTGCGTGTAGCTGTCGGCTCAGGAGCTGGAGAGTGAGGATGCCTTGGCGTTGAAGTGTCGCTGGTGCTTGCAGACGACAACAATTGAATGGGCATTATTAGGCCAGGTACCTGCAGGTACCAGGGGTTCAGAGCGCTGCAGCTGCTCCCTCCTTGGCCCCACTATAATTAGTCCAACAGACGCGCCAAAGACAAATGACGTGCCATGCGCAATGGCTCCTTGTAACAAAGGAAAAGCAGAATCTTTTCACAACCGGAGCTAGAAAGTGGTATTGTCTGACTGCTTCCTTTCCCAAGCAGCATCCTGGAAATAGCTACAGAGAGTCCCGCATTTGGGTGTAGCAACTCGATCGCAACGAGGTGGGTGCTGCTGGTTCTTCCGTGACTTACTCTGGCCTAGGTCTCAAGGTACCTATAGTTTCGCAGGGGTCAGTGCAAAGGTCGCTTCAGGTACCCCAACCGCATTTGGCCAGCCCCAGACAGAACAACCCTCCCCAAAACTTCGAGCTTGAGGCCCGCAGCCTACACGGTTTGAGACAGCTCTTCAACTTGCGGGTTCCATTCCAACGCTTCTGTACTCCCCTTCGCGACGGTCACAGATTACAGCGTGCAGAGCGCTTATCCCATGCCGCCGCAGTCATGAACCAGATTCGGGCGATCCAGAAGCTCAACCAGCGCGAGATAGAGCTGGGCATGTAAGTCATAACCCTTATTGATCCGAACCTCTTTACGATGCAACGTTCTGATTGCTGTTATGCAATAGATCCCCCGAGGCATCATGGCACACCGACTACCGCGACACGGCCTTTGTCAACTTTGGCGGCCTCCCCTATGAACTCACGGAAGGCGACATCATCACCATCTTCTCCCAGTACGGGGAGCCTGTCTTTCTCAAGCTGGCGCGCGACAAGGAGTCTGGCAAAAGCAAGGGCTTCGGCTGGCTCAAGTACGAAGACCAGCGCTCGTGCGACCTTGCGGTGGATAATATCGGTGGCGCCGAGATTGGCGGGCGGCTCATCCGGGTCGACCACGCGCGCTACAAGGCTCGAGACGATGAAGATCCGGAAGAATGCAAGATCGGCTGGGAGGATATGATACGCAGAGAAAAGATGGCCAAAGGCGAGGACATTGAGATGGAGGACGAACAGAGCGAAGCGGAGCAGGTCACGCGTCGGCCAATGATCAAGGAGGAAGAGGAGCTGCAGAAGCTTATTGACGAGCATGACGAGGAGGATCCGATGAAGGCGTTCCTCATCGAAGAGAAGAAGGCCGAGGTGGAACTGGCGCTTCAGAAGGCACGGAGTCGCAAGGACAAGGGGTCCGACGCAAAACACCGCCATCGTGAACATCGCCAACGCAGCCACCGGTCACGAAGGGATCGGAGTGGCGACAGAGATTCAAGAGAGGACCGCCACAGGAGATCACACAGAGATAAGACACCAGTACTCGATCGTGATTCGCGACAGGACCGGGCAAGGACACCCGAGAAGAGGGACGAAACGAGAGATCATGATCGCCGGAGGCGGGACGACGATGTCCACGACAGGGACAGAAGAAGTCACAGACCTCGAGACGAGGAGCGCGAGCGCGATAGGCATGAAGACCGGCGGAAAGTTCGGCCAGAACGACATGGCGACGAGAAGCGTTCGAGTCGACGAGATAGCCGGGACAGGAGACGGGAAGGAGATGATGATAGAGAGCGAGACCGGCGCCAGAAGAGCCGACGGGATAGCAGGAGTAGATCGCCTCGTAGATAGCCAATTGGTATCACCGCGCAAAGCGTTTGATGCTCGGCTGCTAAACCGGTTCTGGGCCATGCCCAGTCAAATGCCAATTTTGTACGAACAGGGATGGACAGGGCCCGGCAGGCAAGATGTAAAAGTCCGTTGGTATCATTATCTCTCTCAAATTCTGGATTCGCTACATGCTGGTATGTAGGCGCTGGCATCGCAGGGGTCGCCCGGAAGGGCCGCTACCCCACGCCCCAGCTCACTGGAGCTTCCCAATGGCCACCTTGACAGCAGATAGTGCGCCAAGCGTGGAAGCTCACGGCAGAGTGACGTTTATTGGCAGGTATCCTGACCTTCGAGGGGTCCTCTTCACAACAACAGCCCCAAAGACCCAACGACGAGCATCCGACCTCTGCTCATATTCTTCCACACTTCGCGCCCTCCCACGATCGCGGCGCAAGTGCATGGTTTGGCCGTTCCAAAGTCTTCTTTCTGGCCATCCGGCGCGCTGGTCGCCTGCACCACGCAACCTTCGCAACGATGCAGCTCACTTCTCTCATCCTGCCGCTATTTCTAGCCCTTCCCAGCACTGTCCGTGCCGTCTTCGAGGATGAGGTTGGGCATATCGACTACCACCACGAGCTACTCGGCGTCCCCCAGCGCGAGACGACCTTCTTCCACCGACCTCGCCGACAAGACAAAGCCAGCCTTCTATATACGCTTAGCGATCTGGGTATTGTCGGTGCCGTGAATCCCTCGAGCGGCGCCATCGTCTGGCGGCAACTACTCGAAGGCAACTCGACGGCTTCCAGAGGCCATTTGCGCGCCGGGGAGGATGAGCCATGGGTTGTCAGCGCCCTCGACGACGCTGTACAGGCATGGGACGCCACTACAGGTCGCAACCTCTGGTCGCTACATTTTGAGGGGACGGTCAAGGACCTCGAGATCATGGAGATGACTGGCGCCAGCAACAAGGACGTGCTTGTGCTCTTCGACGAGGCGGGCACAACAGTTGCACGCAGGATACACGGAACCGAGGGTCGTGTGGTTTGGGAGTACCGCCAGGTCACCAACGACGTGCCCCTGCAGGTCAGCACCAACGTGGAGAAGGTGTTTGTGATCACGCTCCACGGTTCTTTGCTTTCCTATAGCCTCCATGTGCTCGTCTTGGACACCGCGACAGGCAAGAAGCTAGACGAGATCGTCATCAGCACCAAGGGCGAGATCCAGGGCGAGAACGACATCATGTTTGTTGGCGCAAACTCCGCGGCACCTGTAGTCGCCTGGACAGATAACAACCTGAACAAGCTCAAAGTCAATGTCCTGGGCACCAAGGCAAAGGTGGAGTTTCCTCTCACTGCCGGCGCAGTCAATGTCGAGATCCATGCTCCACACACGGTGCAGTCGTCTGCGCATTTCCTGGTGCATACCCGCACTGAGACGGGCAATAAGGGCGAGGTCTACCACGTCGACCTGAAGACCAATGCCGTCACACAGGCCTACGAGCTGCCTCTCCTCAATGGGCCGGGAGCATTTTCTACCAGCTCCCATGGGGCCAATGTCTACTTCACTCGAGTCACTGCAGACGAGGTCGTCATTACCGCATCTGGGTCCCACGGTGTCATTGGTCGGTGGCCAATTCCCAAGCAAGCCACCGGAGCAGCAGCCCTTCACGGCGTGTCAGAAGTGGTCCTAAAAGGTAACGACAAGTATTCCGTCAGGTCTGCTGTGGTCACCGACTCGGACGATTGGACGCTTATCTACAACGGCGAGTTCGGCTGGACTCGTCCGGAGGGCCTGAGTGGTGCTGTCGCTGCAACTTGGGCTGAGATTCCTGAGTCCGAAGAGTTCGCTCGGACCCTGGAGGCTGAAGCACACAGCAGTCCCTGGGCGGCTTACGTGCACAGAGTGAACCGCCACATCCACGAGCTCCAGTATCTACCTGCCTGGCTTCAGTCCATTCCTTCGCGCTTTGTGAGCAGTGTCCTTGGCACCGATGGCCCAGCTCCCACGGGCCAACTCACCAAGGACAGCTTCGGCTTCCACAAGCTTGTTGTTCTTGCCACAAAGCGAGGCAAGATCTACGGTCTGGACGCGGGCAATGCTGGCAGGATTGTATGGGGCAAGAACGCACACGAGACCCCGGCTGTGAAGCCCTGGGATGTCAAGGCCATCTTCGCGGATGACCGTCTAGGCTTCGTTACCATCCGTGGCGCTCATGGTGAGTTCATCATTGTCCGATCGGAGACTGGCCAGACTGTCGAGGTCATGCCCGCTGGGTTGATGCCTGCAATTGAGGGCGCAATTCCCGTCGACAGCGAGGCTGGTTCTTGGCTTCTTCCCATCGGGATTGGTGGTGAGCTCAGTGAGGTGCCCAACCACTGGGCTCCGAAACAGATTATCGTGACCCGCACTGCTACTGGCGAACTTCAAGGCAGCCAGTTCGTCGCAGGCACTGAGAAATCTACAGCTGCGCCTGTGTGGACTTTCTCTCCTCCAAAGGGTTTTACCATTGCAACTGTGGCAACGAGAAGCCAGCACGATCCCGTGGCCTCTATTGGACGGGTCTTGGGTGACCGCAGCGTCAAGTACAAGTACCTGAACCCAAACACGATCGTGGTAACAGCCGTTGAAGCTTCCACTGCCTCGCTCACTATCTATCTTCTCGACTCGGTCTCTGGACAGATTCTTACTTCGTCTGCCTTTGAAGGCGTTGATGGCAGCAAGGACATCAATTGTGCTCTGGCCGAGAACTGGTTCACCTGCACCTTCTACGGCGAGTACACCCTGCGGGACTCGACCCAGGTGCTCAAGGGCTACCAGTTGGTCATCACAGACCTTTACGAGTCTGAGGTCTCGAATGACCGTGGTGTTCTGGGAGATGCGCCAGACTATTCCGCGCTCGATCCTATCGATCTGCCCAGCGGCGCGCCGCTGCCCTCTGCTGTGTCCAAGACCTTCGTCCTGTCCAGCCCTCTCACCGCTCTTGCCGTCACTCAGACACGCCAGGGCATCACAACAAGACAGGTCCTCGCTTATGCCCCTGAACTGCACTCCATCGCTGGCCTGCCCCGTCAGCTCCTGGAGCCTCGCCGCCCCGTGGGCCGAGACCCGACCCCGGCTGAGGTCGAGGAAGGCCTGAGCCGGTACCAGGCCGCCATCGAGCTGGACCCGCGCATGATGATCACACACCGGCGCAGCGTCCTCGGTGTGCGCGACATCATCACCGCGCCTGCCACGCTCGAGAGCACGAGTCTCGTGTTCGCGTACGGCATTGACATATTCGGCACGCGCGTCGCGCCGAGCCAGGCGTTTGACATTCTCGGCCGCGGTTTCAACAAGGCGACCGTAGTCGCCACTGTGCTTGCGCTTATGGGTGGTGTCGCTTTTCTGGGACCGATTGTAAGTCATTTTCCTTCCTCTGTCAACTGGCCATTTGGGGTGGTCACAATCCAATGACACCCGTGAATGGATGGCACGATGGTTGATACGCTAACCACGCTCATGGCTGCAGGTGAGGAAGAAGCAAATCGACCTTCGGTGGCAGACGAGCTAAGCACATGACTCATGGATGAAAGAAGTTCAAGAAGGACAAAGGCTCTATGACGCAGTTTAGGGCAACGAAGGAGGGTCGAAATGAAGACTCTGGACGAATTGTCTTTAGCATAGAGAGGATAGTACGTGATGCATATACGAATAGAGCGGAAAATTTATAGGATGGCTCGGTGGCGCCACACAGATATCACGAGGATACGATCGCTTTGAGGACCTAACTATGGAGGTTCTTGAACACCCCTTTCGGCTCCCCCTTTCTTTCCCAGTATGCGCGGTTCAGACCTGGTGGTCAACCAAATCACTGGGTTGGCGCCGTATTAGACAAAACGCCGTCATTATTTGTTCTCCCAGTTATCTCCTGACGGGCCCCTATCCTAGCTGTTGCTTACAATGCCAAACTACACTTGGATCCTCGGTTTCTTCTAATGGAAATTTCTCCCTCCTTTCCGTCGGACATCCCGCTGCCAATCCTTTCATGCCGCGAAATTGAATGCTTTGCAGTTACCGTTTCGAGTTCCAACTCAGACCACAAGTGACCCCACGCTTTACATGACAACAGCCACGTGGTCGTCCATATAACCCGAGGTGTCCGTCACAAAAAGGCTCGCAATGATCGACACCACGCCGAACGGGATGCTAGCATAGTACACCCAGGGATAGCTAGCCTCGAACGCCCTCTGGCCGGCGAGCACGACCGCCCGCCAGGCCTCGACGTCGCCGTGCAGGACGTCGTCGAGGATCTTGTCGGTCAGGCTGCCCGCCGTGAGCGCCACGATCCGTCCCACCGTCTCTGGCGCGGTGATGCCGAGCTCTGCGCACGCGGGGACCAGCATGCGCGCCATGTTGGCGCCCAGCTTCGCCGCAAAGACGTTGTAGTACACCGCGAAGCCGAGCGTCCCGCCGATCACGCGGACCGCGAGCGTCAGCGCCGAGACCGTGGCGATCAGGTCGTCTGGGCATATGATCGTCGAGAGCAGGGACGCCGGGATCACGATGCCGCCGACGCCCAGGCCGGCGAGGAAGAGGATGCCGTAGACGGCAGATATGTTGTCAAGCCGGGCTGCTGCGAGCGCGCCGCAGCCCGCGGTCATTAGGCACGACGAGCCGGCAAGGAGGTATTTTGTGCAGTGGCGCCAGCGGCGGAGGTACGACATGAGGAAAAGAGAGCCTACGGCACCCCCGAGCACGGCGCAGGCGAACGGCATCCCGCGGATGCCCACGCCGACCGGGTCGTGCCCGTACATGTTGTGAGCCTGGGGAGGCCATATCATGAGGACGGCGAAGAAGTTGGCGCCCGAGATGAAGGTGATGATGAGAGTAAGTGTGAAGTTGCGCTTCGCCTGGCCGAGGCGTCGTGGGAACATAGGGAACGGTGCCAGTCGGGTCTCCCAGATGATGAAGAGAGCAAGGGTTATGATGCCCAAGACCAGAGGAACGAGCGTGTGCGCGCTGGACCATGAATACTATTAGGCCTGAGATGAGTACCCATCCATGCAACTGGAGGAGTTCACAGTAGATCCAAGAGAATGAAGACACGTATTAGTGGTGAAAAACTTACCTGATAGCCGCCGAAGAGCAAACCACACGTCAGAAGAACAATTCCAACAATGGACAGTGCTCCCCCAATATAGTCTATTCGACGCAGTATCTGAACCCTGGAAAGACCGTCGGAGTTGATGCGCGGAGGTGGAAAATAGAACCAAGCCAAGCACGAAAGAGCCAGCAATGACCAGACTGAGGTGACCAGACCGACAAATCGCCAGTGAGCATAGTGCGCGATGAGCTGTGCCCACAAGACGGAGGCGCAGAAGGGCAGGACTGTCAGAATGAGGCAGGCAACGTAGAAACCACGCTTTGAGGTTGGGGCCATCTCAGCTGTGGCGGCGAGAGCAGTGAGCTCGTTGATCCCAGCTCCTATTCCGGAAATGGTCATACCGGCTGGTCCACCGACACCTCAAAGTCAGCATCATCCTTGGGATAATAGGGGCTGAGCTTCTTGCTGCATTAGCAAGCAGTCTCTTACCAATGAAGACATCCATGTTCATCGCCAGTGAGCAGATGACCTGACCAGCCAAGACACAAGTGACGCCTCCAAGTGCCACATATCGACGACCGAGCAGGTCCGAGAGGGCACCACTGAACGGACAGATGGCCGCGGAACCAAGCAGGTTTCCAGTGACGAACCAGATCCATTTGTCCACGCCGCCGATGTCGCCATAGATTATGGGAGAAATCCCCGCTAGCAAGGACTTAGGACTTGTGATGTTTTCTAGAATGTCAGAGAATGGCTCACCGAAGAGATACAGCGGTATCTGCGATGCTGTCCAAAGTAGAGCCATGGCAATGAAGGGCATGAGCCGGCGACTGGCGGGTGATAGCTCCGCGTCGGAAACTACTGGCCGCTGCCTCACCGAGCAAGAGGCGTCCCAGAAGGCAGGGAACAGGCGGTGTTGCGAGCCATGCTCAGCCTCTCGAATGCCATCTTGGATATCGTGGTTGTCCTTCGTGACTGTACAAAGCACAGGAGAGATCCTGTCGAAAGCCATATCTACCTCCTTCATTATGGCGATCCTTGGGCGTGGTCAGATATTGCACTTGCTGGTTTCGACGTGAACAAGGATATGTAGCAAGGATGGCGCATCTGTAGAAGCAAGAGGCGAGCACGGTGGGTTTGCTAGTAAGGATAGCCCAGGAAGACTAGGAATTTGTCTCGGCAATGTGATCGAGTTTCCGGGTGTGTGTGACGGAAGACAATATTGGGACCCTTCCCTCATGCCCTCGTGGGTATCTTGCCTACTATATGTAACGAACCGTCAACGGACTTGGACAGTGGCCCACAGGACAAATCGACGAAGTCAGCAGAGCCGAAGCATGCCCTGACCCGTGCCGAGGATTCGGGCGTGTCGGGAGAACTCTGCCAGAATTTGGGCGGCACAGCAGACACTGTGCCCCCAACATCCTATGAGAGGGAGATTGCCTGGTTTGTGCAAGGCGCCGTATTGACAAGCTCATCTCGTATATCATATTTGTGCCGCAACGATCGCGCAGATCAGGCAGTTGCCGACCGTTTCCATGCGCCACAAGCCACAGCTTATGTGCAGAACATTGACTGGGTTGTCGCTAAAGTGAGAGGATGGTGGTGTGTGTCATGATGGTTTCTTTAATCCAGGGTGGTACTAAAAGGGACGATACAGGCGGGAGATTGCGATGATTGAGGCACGCGACGTCGCACAATCAGTATGACCATTAAATACAGCAGAGCCGTACAACGGAGACAACCGCTTATTGTGTAACCCCTCGTCTGTCAGGTCAGGGGTTAGTCTAAGCAGCTCCGGGCAGGCTGTTGTCGCCCGTCCTCGGTTAACCGCAACCATTCACACATGGCAATGATGGTCCCATCTGGTTCCGGCCGATATTGGCTCCGCCAAGGGAGAAGGCTTCGGCCGAAGGACGGAGACGCACCTGACATGTATCCGTCTGGACGGTGGGTGCATGTCTGATTTGGTCGACCTGCAGACAAAAACATGTTTGTGAAAACGGTGGCCAGCCACTATCGGGAAGGCTCGGTAATGTTGGCACGGGTCCGGACCAGAGACTCTGCGCAGTCCTGGAATGAGCACACATGTCGCCTTGAGAAAATCGGAGGATATAAGTCGCGATTGCTGTCGCAAGTTGTTGAACCTGACCTCATTTGACCTCACTTGAACACAGTAAACACAGCTGGAGCTCTGGCGCTCCCGGTAGGTATGAACGGATTAGTGTTGCCGATGGTCAGAATGCAGTCGATTCCAATGTTGATTTGGTTCCGCAGTGGGTAATATCGTGAATCTCATTGCAGCCATCATGACAATCCCTGAAGAACAAGCGCCTCCGCTAAATCAACCTTATGACAAGATGAAAACCCGCATCAACGCCGCGACATGCTTGCTAGAAGAGAAAGACAACGGGAGAGATGGCAGGGCCGCTAGTTGTGACGCTCTCTGGCCGCTGCGAATTGCTCTTCCTGCAGTCGTTGCAGTTCTTCGAGGGACATGCCACTCTCCTCAAATTTGTTGCCGCGCTTTTCGCGGACCTGCACGAAAACAAGAAAACAAGATGGTTAGCCTGCTCTGAGAAAGTCATGGTAGGAGACAGTGGGGCAGTAGAGGCTCACCTTCTGGGTCTCCTTGTGCGCGGCTGCGGCATCCAAGACGGCCGGGACGTAGTCCCCGAAGCCCAGTGTCTCGAGAGCCTTTGTGATGTGGTCGCAGGCGATGGTCTTCTTTGCCTCCTTTTCTGAGATGTCGTTGGCCTCCGAGGAGATGAGAGTGATGAACTCGACACAGCACTCAATGAGGACGTCACGGGCCTCTTTTGAGAAAGACACGCCTGTTGAGGGCGGCAGGATCTCGCTGACAATCTTCTGGACCGTCGCTTTTGGTAGTGACAGGTCGTCGTTGGCTGTGGCACTGTTAGTTGTTGCTTTTGGGGTCTTGAAAACTTGTTCGAAGGGCTGGGTGCCGTGCACAGCCGAGACAGCAATGGGTGGCCATGGTGCTGCTTATCACGAGGAACAACAGCTGCAGTCAAGCACGGTGGCTGTGATGTTGGACAACTGGGCATGTACATCCGCCAATAGTGGGGCCGGCCGTGATACATGCCCAGATGGTGGGCTGCAAGGCAGACGCGGGCGAGGTACAACAAAGTGCGAGCAGGCAACATGAGCACTTACCTCCATGCTCGTGGTCCGACATGGCTGTGGTTGGGTTTGGCAGGTGCCGTGAGTTCGTGAGTCTGGAAATTACCGATGCAAAGGATCTGATGCTGTCGGGCTGACGGACGGCCGCGAGAAAGAAGGGGTCTGAAAGTGATGCTGGTCGGGCGTGACAACTTGATATGCCAGACAGTGCACCTGCGCGCGCGAGGCTGTCGGAGCAGCGTGGGGAGGGAGGGAGGGCAGGCGTCTTTTAATACACCACCTGGCCGAGCGTCACAGAGGCGCTGGCTAGAGCTAGGGGTCACATTGCTGCTGCGTTAGTGGCTCCCACCCCTTCCATCCATCCATCTCATCATCGATGGCCACTTGTCATCCTTCTGCACATGCACTGGCTCTGGCTTGGCATCGTGGTAACTGCTTCAGAAAATTATGGTTTCCCTTTGACGGAGTGCACCTCAGTCCTCACTACCAAGCTACACAGGCCAACTTGGCACGGGAGCAACTGCAAGTGCCATTCGCTCCATCGAGATGTTCCCAAAGTGAGAGAGATCCCATGTCCACCAGACCAGGCACGCGCCCCACTTGACAATTTGAGGTGGCTGACTGATCTGAGAGCTGCTCCTCTGCTCGCGACTCCATAAAAAAAATATTTCAGACTGCAAACAATCCACGTCTCTCTCCTTCTTCAACACCATTGTCGTGCGCACCGCTCGCGCCGCCACCACTCTTGCGTCTGCCGGCCAGTTGCCATCATCAGCAGGAACACGATCAGTTTGTTACAGAGCGCTCGCTACCTGTCATGTCCTGACTGGAAAACCAGAGTCGCGGTCGAGCATTGCTGTCAGCCTTCCGTTGCGTCTGCAACGGTTGGTCCAGACGCAAGGCTCGTCCTGCGACTCAGCCTTGGAAATGGTTTGTCACCCTTCATCCCCCTTCCCTTACCCTGCAATGATGATCACGATGTCGCCCCAGTCTTACCACTACATGGTGATTGACCCGTCAAGCCAAATGACACGACTGAGCCCATACCTTTTCAGCCATTTCCTGAACTACTTCACCCGGATGGCATCGCTGACTAGGTGATCTTTAGTCTGCTTCGAGTTTGAAATCACAATGCGTCCAGGCCTGTCTACGCACGAGCTTATCGAGTTGCACGATACTGTCACCTGAAAATCACGCTTGTCTGCAAACGATTGGAAGCTGGGACAACAACAGCGGGAGTGGTCGGAGGTCTGGACGACGCACCAGGTCGCAACTGAGCAGGGTGTCGACTCTTTGACCTCCATACTCCCGAGTCTATCTGTAAGGTAAGGCTACTGCAATCTGCTGTGACAAATGCAAAATGGCCCACCTACCTCCCTGCTCTAATGATGACAAAAATATTCCATGCTAAAACCGAACTACGCTGTGGAAAACAATATCGAGACTTTTCATCTTTCGTCTGAAGCAATACACTTGTTCTATTTCTATTCTCAAGACAACGTTGCTGGGACTATCGGCTAACTTGCATCTTGGTAGTTCTGCACAGGTCACTATTGCTGGAAATCCGCCAGGTCCTCTTGGTTCCATCTGCATCTCATCAGTATCTGTATACTGCGATGGGCATGTTGCCTCAACATACCTGAAGTGCTTGCCACTGAGATCCTTGGGAGCGCGCTCAACCAACTTGGCAATGACGGAGCCAGGAAGCTCGGCGGGCAGGAGACGGCCTGTCTCGTGCTCGTCAACGAAGCTTGCGTGCACCGCGGCTGTCATGCCGGACTGGCCCTCCTCTCTGATCTGTTTCTGCATGTCTGTATCGACCTTGCCAGGTGAAATGGCGACACTCGTAATATCAGGCTCCTCGGCCGCAAGCATCGCGTTGAAATGGTTCAACGCGGCCTTGGACGTGCCGTAGGATCCCCAGGCCGCAATTGTGCCAAAGGCAGTGCCAGAGGAGATAAAGACAACGCGGCCCTTGGTCTTGCGGAGCTCTGGGATCGCTTCCTTCATCTACAGTAGATATTCAGCATATAATGAGCAGACAATCTTTCAACCAGTGCTCATGTTGCAACACTTACCAATGCGACTGCACTGAAGACATTGATGTCGTAGCACCTGCGCCATTCCTCTGCGCTCGACTCGCTGATCTTTGTGATGGGTGCGAGGACGCCATGGTTTACGACGATGCCATCAACCTTGCCAAAGGCCTTGACAGTCGCCTGGATGATGCTGGACGCAGTCTGCGAATATACTTAGTTAGCGGGCGTTGTTGGCCTCGTTCGTGCATTTGGCAACGCATGGGTGTTTTGGTCTGGCAAAATGGCCGACTTGCGGCGTGCTCTCTCGCTGGTGTTACACACGAGATCCCAGCCATCATCATCATCATCAATACCCATAAGTGGTTCACCAATGAATAACCATAACGTGAATGCAGCGACAAGCACACAAGGTTGTGGCTGTCAAGCTCCACCAGAAACCGTGGTTCGCAGCAATCAAGAAATCCCAACAAACTCATCCGGCAAAAACAATGACAAAATCCCGGGGAGACAAACGCACCGAAAAGTCGGCCAGGTCAGCGGCGAGGTAGTCGACGGTGCCCGGGTTCTCCTGCTTGAGGCGCTTCATGTCGGCATCGGAGCGGGCGACGAGGAAGACGTTGTGCGAGCTCCGGAGCAGGATCTGCGCAATGGCCAGGCCCAGGCCACGGCTGGCGCCGGTGACGATGAAGGTCTTTGCCCCTGCTGCTGTGGTGGTGGACATGGTGGCTGGGGCGGTTGTGAAAGGAGAAGCTGAGGGGTCGGATCCTGTATGGCGAGGATATCTTGAAGGGTGGTTTGGTGAAGAGACTCGCTTGGATGCACCTAGGAATTGTGGAATATATACGACATCTTGCGCGACTTTGGTGGGGCGGAATCCGGCCGATTCTGTATCGTGCCTTGCTCGGATATGACGATGTTAGCTGAGGTGGTGAGGGGCAGATGGAGGTAGTGCTTTTGCAAGCAACGACAACATGAAATGACACTGTGAACAATACTGGCAACTAATAGGATCACCAAAGTGGACATTCGAATTGACATCAAATCTGGAGCTCTTACAAACAACTCGCTTCTTCGCGCTTACACGATCCGTGCCCGGAGACTGTGAAAGGACGAGGGCCGGTTTCGCAGCATTACCTGGCCCCCACAAACATACAAACAGACACACACACACGTGTCCGCCCAATGAACAACACGGTTATCCTCGGCGCCGGCATAGTAGGCGTCTCCACGGCATACTACCTCTCGAAGCACCAGCCGGGCTCCACGATCCACCTCGTCGAGGCCTCGCCCGAGCTCTTCGCGTCCGCCTCGGGCAAAGCCGCAGGGTTCCTGGCCCGAGACTGGTTCCCGCCTGCGAGCACGGAGCTGGGAGCCCTGAGCTTTGAGGAGCATCGCAGGCTCGCGGAGCAGGATGACGGGGCGAGAACGTGGGGGTATTCGAAGAGCACGTCGCTGAGCCTAGCATTCGGGAAGGGGAGGAGTGTTGCGAAGAAGGGCGGCGGCGACCGGGCCGATGCGGCAAGCCGGACCGCTCTCGCTGGGGTGGACGATGCACAGAAGGTCGAGTCCTCAAATATCCCGTCTTGGCTTCGGAGGACCGAAGGTGATGCTGTCGAGGTGATAGGTGAGGAGGGCTCTGTGGCTCAGGTGTAAGTTATCCTCGTCGCCTCGCCTTAGCATTGCGTGAGAGGCTTCTCTGCGGATTTTCCAGTGGCATCCGCCACGACAACCACTATAAAGACGAGTGCTTCACCACGTCGTCTGGGGAGAATATTAACACTCTGCCCAAAGAGACCCTCTCGCCCTCTGCCAGCACCTCCTGCGCCAGTGTCTCGACGCCGGCGTCCACCTGCACCACCCAGCAAGCGCCATCTCGATCCAAACTGACGTCCGCGACGAGCTGTCGAGCGTGTGCATCGCGGACACGACATCGAGCACAGAGACAGACGTGCCGTGCACGACCATCGTCATCGCGGCCGGCGCCTGGTCGCCGAGAGTCTTCAGCACGCTGTTTCCAAAGTCGACCGCGAGCATACCAGTCTCCAGTCTGGCGGGCTACTCTCTCGTATTCAAGTCCCCCCGGTGGACGGCCGAGAATGAGGAGCACGGTTGCCATGCGGTGTTTGTGAGCGGTGGAAGGGCGACTTACTCGCCAGAGATATTCTCGCGGGTTGGCGGGCAGATTTACATTGCCGGTCTCAACTCCCCCGGAGAGCCGCTTCCAGAGTTACCTACGGACTCAGCGGCAGGGATGTCCAAGCAGGCGATTGCGACGCTGCGGGACACGGCGAAAGAGGTTGCTGGTCTTTCCGGCACAGACAACGCTCACCATGTGGATGACCTCGAGGTCGTGAGGGAAGGGCTATGTTTCCGGCCTGTCACGAACCGCGGCACGCCGATCCTATGTCGGATACCTGATGCCAAGCTTGGCGAGGGTGTGTCTACGCGGCCAGGCCCCGAAGGAGGCGTTTATGTGGCGGCTGGGCATGGACCTTGGGGCATCAGCTTGAGCCTGGGCACGGGCAAAGTAATGGCGGAGATGATTCGGGGGAAGGAGCTGAGTGCAGATATTTCTGGCTTGGACATCAGATAATGCGAGAGTAAACGATTGCGATTGTTCGTTTCGAGCTCTTTCTCATTGTTGCCAGGATGTCTTCTGCCATGACTTGAGAAACAGACCTGAGCACTAACAGCTTTTCATGATGCGATTCAACGTGTTATATACGCTCAGCTTCAAGCTGTCAAGGTTCCCAGGAATGTCCAAGAACAAGCCCATTGGTCCGCATGTTCATTCGACTCCGTGACACCAGCTCTCACCAGCTTTTCAACCGCGGCCTTTGACTTCGAGTACTATTTGCAGACCCTCACAGCTCGTCTTACTCGACTTGACTCGTGGCATAACTGCAAGGACTTTTACGGCCAACCTTTCGAATCCCGCCAGCCGTATCTCGCATCCTCACACCATCGCCGCCCCCGCCCCCGCCGCCTCCGCCGCGTCCGCCAACATCACAGTTTCGACATTTCAAGTCCAAGCCATTATCATCCGCACCATATGATATCACTCTCTCGATCAAAATTACGTGTAGATATTAGCAACACTAAGTGGGCGACTTTGTCATACAAGCAAAGCCCGCTTGGCTCATCGGTAGAGCGCCTCACTAGTAATGAGGAGGCAATTGGTTCGACTCCAGTAGTGGGCAGTTGACTTCATTTTTGACCGTCTGCGCTTTCCTCCCTCTTCCCTCTTTGCCATCATTTCGGTTTCTTTTTCGTTTTGGCGTGCTTTCAGCAAGAAATGCATGCCGCACGGTAGTTCGCTTCCTTTTGTTTGGTTCTCCTCGTCGGCATCATTCCGTGGTAGGCGGCGACACCGTTCTCTCTTATTTGGCCCACTTCGCACGGATGCGGTTCGGTAATATTTCCTAGACCTGCGAGTTTTGACATCGCCTCAATATCAAACATGGCTTCAATAAGCGGTGCTTCAGTACACTGAGCTCAAGAACGGAGCTGTTTCAAGTAGTCCTCGTCGTACTTATACAACGACCGGTCAGCACTAATTAATAAACATGCAGTAGAAAAATGATTCTTTGAATTCAATGGGACTTTTCTCTATCGCAACCAAGCTTCAGAGGAAAATACAGTGAACATGCATCATCATGAACAGCTTTTCTGTATGCACTTTGCCATACATCTTGTAGGGAGGAAAAAATCAGAGCCTTCTAGTTCCAAATACTCCATTGTGAAATGATACCAAGCATACCTGCACGCACTGCGTGAGGGGCTGTAGAATGAATCGACACCGTGTCTAAGCAAGAACGCCTCTGCGACCGACTACTCGACCTGCTTCTCGCAGCCAATGCGTCCGAGAAGCTCTTTGCGATCGCTGTGTCCGGGCAGGCTCACAGACGTGGCCGTAGCTGCCCGCTTGACGCCAGATCTCCGCTCCCAGCCCTTCAAGTCGATCGACTCGACGCCAACCTCCTCCTCGTACGGCTGGACCTCCTCGTACTCGTACTCCTCGACTTCCTCTTCCTCCTCCTCACCGTCGCTGCGGATGTCGTCGGCGCTGTCTCCACGCAGCACCTTGGTAACCACCTTTATGATCATGGTAAACCAAACGAGCGTAAGGACGAGGAGAAATAGGAGTGCCGACAGGAAGCCCCATCGGACTCCGTCGCTGAAGCACACATATCCCTCGGGGTTGCTGTACGGCTCGAAGAGGTGGCTCCAGTTGTCCGGAATAGGGTGGGGTCCGGTGAGGTTATCCTGACTGCCACGATAACAGCCAACAGGTATAAGCTGCGCAGTATGCTTGTATACGCTGTAGCACGCCATCGGATAGAACACGTGGCGAGTCACAAACCAGGAGAGGACGAACAGGCCAAACACCCCATCGCAGATCGTGGTGAAACCGAGGTACTTCAGGCACTTTGCAAGCTATTATATGTACATCAGCGCACGTTGCAGCAACAAAGATTTCATCTCACGACTTACCGGCAGGATGACGTCAATGGTGTCCATCAGCACGAGGATCAAGTTGCCAATTCGAGTGTGGTGGTAGTTGTAGCAGCCTGAGACAAGTGTAATGGTGATGATGTGGTGGGCAAACATCTGCCAGTGGTCTTTGCGGCGCTCCTCAATGTTGATAACGATGATCTGCTGCAGCCAGAATGCCCACTGTGCGAGCATGTAGAACTTCATGAGACCGTCAACTTCACGGTTGGGCCAGTTCGTCCAAAGCTCCTGCAGGTTCAAGTAGTACGGCGAATTGGCATAAATGTACTGTACAAAGACCTGTCAGCAGCGGCCCTTCCCAAGGTAACGTCTCGTGCGGCAAAATGGCCGTCAAAACTTGACTTACGACACCAAGAGTCCAAAAGACAATGTAGTATAGGAGCATCCAGGCCTGCTCCGAAAAGCGGGTGACGTCTTTCCTCTTAGAGATGCCCCAGTGCTTCGCGAGGGGCGCAAGCACATACTCCATTACACCAGCACGAAGTCCTGTGAAGAGGACAATGCAGAACGAGATGAAGTAGTAGTCGTCCTTGCCGTTGCCATATTGGCCAGTTCTCGGGTTGTACTGTCCCAGTGTGAAGAATTTGGACGTTGTTGGGCGAGCCTTTGGGAGGAAGTAGTGCGCAAGAAACATGAAGGCAAGGAGGTTGAAGGAAAACCCTATAAACCAGGAGGGGGAAAGTCAGCGAATTGCTCAAGAAGCGCCAGAGCGATTGATTGCAGCAAGAACAGGATCCTTGCATGCCATAGACAGCCAAGAGCTCAAGCGGTACGAAGTCCATTTACTGACCAGTCTGATTGTCGACGAACCAACGGCAAAGGCTCTTAAACGAGCCGTCTCCCTTCCGTCTCACTCTGCGGATAAGAGCTTTGTTGTTGCTGGCCTGCATGTATAGCGGGCCGTTCATGGAGTTCCGCGAGGTAACGACAGGTCTCGTTGTCGGAGGTTGGAGCTTGTCATTGGTCATTTTGGGGGCCGTGGTCGGCTTCGATTGCGAACTCTTGACGGGCGCTGGGGACGCTGTCTGTGCCTCTTGAGCAGGGGCCGTGGCCGCAATAGGGTCGCTCATTGTGAATTGTCTACAGGACTTCCCGTTGCCAAAAAGCCTCAGGGGCAACTGGGAACGAAGATTGATCGAGGGCGTTCCCTCGTGCTGGCTCTGGGGTGTGCTTCGCAGATCGTGGCGGTCGAGAGAGGGCGTGCGGTCGCGGAAAGAAAAGGCCTGTGGTGTAACCTCGCGTAGCAAAATGATACGATTCGCAGGAGCTGATTTAAGGGGCCGAAACAATTCTTTTTCTAGAGGATGAGAAACGACAGAAAACAGCGGCCCAATGGACGGAAAAGCAAGCCTGCAGCCGACAATAGCGAGAGGCCAAGGTGAGACCGACGAAGATCGACGAGGACAGCAGGCGAGGTCGAGGTTTAGGGTTCTCGGCGTGGTGAGAGGAAAGCGTGGCAGCGAGTGGAAGAAAAGTCCCCTAATAAGGTGTAGACGATTCCTCAGGAGAGCAGCCAGCTTTGAGGGGGCGCCGGCGACCCTGGTCTATGCCTGGTTTGGGTAGGCGGGCGGGCGGGCAAGGGGTCGAGGCCGTTAGGGTAGCAGAGTGCGAGTCGCCCTGGAGCAAGTGGTGCTGCACGGCGCCGGCAGCCAACAAGAAGCGCTGGCCAGCGGAAGAGGAGGGGGCGGGAGGCCGCTGTAGGCGAGCCGGAGAGGGGCCAGCGCGCGAGGGGAGTACCCAGCCCAGCAGCACCAAACCTGGGCTGGGCTGGGCTGGGCCTAGCCGTGGACATGGAGATGTGCATGTGCAGGAGGAGAAGACTCCTGTTGATCTCCCTGGGCAGCCCCATGATCACCGATGAGCACACTCGCAGTTCATGCCCACCTCGACCGGGAAAGCCATCATTGCATTTTCAAAGCAAGCAGGTCTGATCTCTAGAAACACAGCAATGGTTCTCCCGTGGCATTGGACTTCATGCTTTGGGTCAGGAACTCTTGTACAATGAAAGGCACACCAAGTGGGAAGTATTCCTGGTTGCTCGCGCCTTCCTTCAGGAACAGCATGTGCGCAGAGCTCCAGCTAAGCTCACAAACTCTCGCCATCCCATTGGCTGCAGCACCATGGGGCATCACACCAGACCTCCCCTCAGAAATGGCCTCACGCTTGCCCGGGTGGTGATCCAACTCCAAAAGCTCTGTATGTACCAGGGTTGTTGGCCTATTACTCCGTATGCCCTCTCCTCTCCAGGTTCGTTGTACCTTTGCACTCAGACGTCGGTGCTCAAGCCCCCTTGCTCTCTTGCTGCCCACTCAAGCACCCAGAGTGGACACGTGCAAGGTCTGTGGCAGTCTTGATAGTGGATAAAAGGCCCAATGATTTCTTCTGGAGCCCGCGGCTTCCAGCTGGGGTCCCACTGCCGCTGAACCACTCGCACTCCTGGGCTGGAGCTGGTCCGTCGGTCGCATGTGAGGCGGCGTGCTGGCAGCAACAAGGCCTGGTACGCACGCACGCATCGGGACATGATCTCTCGTGCCCGGGCCCCAGCCCCAGGCGGAGCGGTGAAGGAGATTGTGCCATCTCTTCGCAATGCAAGCACCACACGACAACCGTGAGGGGCATCCACTGCCAAGCTTTTGCCCGTGTCTGATATTTCCCTGCGCAGGGTGCCTTTCTGCAGGCGTTATAGATTTGCGGTGATGGGGTTGGTTCGTTGAGGTGCTGGGCTCGCAGTGGCTAGGAGGACGATCGATCGTGAGAGCACGATTCTTCTCTGCCGTCGTTGAAGCACTCACACAGAATGCCGCCTTTATAGCTCACTGCACTCTGCCATCTTGGCGGCTCACGTCTGCTCAGACATCATCCAGAGGTCAAATAGTCCTATGGTCCACCAGATTTCGCTTCGGCCCGTCAAATTTTGATACGCTGGCAGGTGCAGGACAACTTGGCACACCCCTACCACTGCCCAGCCAGACCAATGCAAGCTTTGTCGTGCTACAGGGCTTCCTGGTCGTCTTCAGCTGCCGCTGGCTGTCGATAACTCAACCCCTATTCGACGGGCAGCGCAGACTGGCCCGTCAAGATTCAAGACATGCGCCTGCCCGTATGATCCTCTGCGCATGTTCACTATGTGCTAATCCTGGCCATTGAACGAACGAGCCTTCTGTGTTTGCCAAGCCCATTTCTCAATGAAGAAGAAAAGCAGGTCTGCATCCGAATGCATGAGCAGAATCAACCTTTTCGTGGTGGAATTCCATCCCAGTCCTCCTCCAGGACATGCGGGAAGTTGCTGTGTCGAACAAGGCCTATCTACTCATCTTGCCTCACGGTAATGTCGCCATTTGCCCGCGGCTTCCAGTGCCAGGTACGCCGACCGTAGCCTCGCCCTGCTCGCCCAGATTCTTCCTCGGCAGTTCTTCCCGTTCCAGACATCCGGCACAGGCAAGAAACCAACCCTGTCGCCAAGCGCGGGCCCCCAGCATGTCCAGGTTTGAGTCCCGGTCACAGTCGTACAGAGACAATTCTTGGGGGTAGGGCAATGCGATGGCCTCCTTATTTGTGGCATTGTGTTAGCCCTGGGTGTGGCTGACCAGGTAATGTAGATGGTTGGAGCCATAGCTCCGATCAGCGATTGTGTGATGAGGAGTTTGTATACCAGCTGTATCCCTTTCCTTATGGGCTGGGAAAAGCTAATGGCCGCTAAAAACTTATTCCGGGACGTCGTTTTAAAGCTCTTTCTAACTATCGAGGAAATGGTCAAGGACGGGCGCCTTTTTCAGCTGGTTGTGAGCAACTTCACCAATGAAGAGTGATATGCCAGGACTTATCTAAGTACAACCTGATGGACTAAGTAACCAGTCCATGAGGTTATTTAATGCAGTTTCCTATTTAAAAAAAAAACCCAAAAAACCCCAACCGCCGTGGGCCCCTGAGCCATTTGCAGCATCTTTTCGCGGAGACGGAGAGGCCCCCCAGGTGCATACATGGGCTTCGGGAGAGTGATCGGCAGCAGTGTCATGAATTGTCTTTCGCGTAACAGCATGTCTCGTTGCAGCGAGTGCCGCCATCATGGGCTCAGCGGTCAGCCTCGTGCAGCCAGTGGAAGAGTTCCTGGTGGTGTCTCATCGTTTCGTCGTGCAAGCAGCCCAGGCGTATGGCGGGTGCTTGTCGTCGTCGCCCTCCTTCTTGCTACAAGGTATCACAAAGAAGTAGCTCAGTAAAACTTCATTTCTCGTGGCCTTTGATCAGCGTCACTGTCTCTATAAAGTTCGTTGACATCGATTTTACAGCGAAGACTGTCGCCCTGGCTAGCGATAGCAACGCTGGCTAACATGCTCACATCGATTAGGAAATGTTGAGGTCTTGACACTAGTGCAGCTTACGTAACAAAGCTCAGTCGATGACCCCATCTGGGGCGCATGACCCGAATGCGTGACTGCATGGGACTCGCCCCCGCGCCATCCAGACGTGCTGGTGATTACATCTTGCGTCAGGCACCAGCCCCAGAGAACTTTGTCGAATCCTTCCATCACCACATCGCTACCCGCCTTTGTCACGGGATTTTCTCACGCACAGCAGGTTCCGGGTGACTTGCCAATATTCCCATACACTTCTTCGAACAAGCCTTCCGCGCACGCGCACACGGCGGCAGAGACAATCACCATGGCAGCCAACACCAAGTACCACGCCGCGCCGACCCAGGACCCCGACGAGGGCGTCTGGTCGCAGCCTCCCCCCTCATATCAGAACAACGAGCCAGCCTCGAGCTCGTCCAATCTCTTTGGCGAGCCGCGCAGCAGCGAGGACAACATTCCCGATGACTTCAAGTTTGGCGGCTCCGTCGCGGAGGCCACGGTCGACATCCGCAACCAGTTTATCCGCAAGGTCTACACCATCCTCACGGCGCAGCTCATCCTTACTGCCATCGTGAGCGGCATCTCCTTCTGGAGTGAGAGCTATAAGATCTGGATCCAGTCGCACCCGGCGCTTGTCTATGTCTCCGTAAGTACTTCACACCCCCGAGCTAAGCAAGCAAGCAAGCATCATACACTGGTTTCGAAAGCAACACCAGGAATACTGACTGTGAACCATCTCCAATCTCTAGCTCTTCGGCGCCCTCGCTTTCCTTGGCCTTACTTTCTGGAAGCGCAAGTCTTATCCGACCAATCTGCTCTTCCTGACCGGCTTCACCCTCCTCGAGGCCTACTCCATCTCCGTCATCGTCTCCCTCTACGACTCCAAGATTGTGCTCAACGCCGTGTTCCTCACGGGCGGCATCTTCGTCTTCCTCACCCTGTTCGCCTGCCAGACCAAGTACGACTTCACGTCGTGGATGCCCTACCTCTTCGGCGCCCTCTGGGGCCTGGTCCTCTTCGGCTTCATGTTCATGTTCCTCCCCTACAGCAGCACCGGCGAGCTCATCTACGGCGGCGTCTCGGCCCTCCTCTTCTCCGCCTACATCCTCGTCGACACCCAGATGGTCCTCCGCAAGCACCACGTCGAGGAGGAGATCGCCGCTGCCATCAGCCTCTACCTCGACATCATCAACCTGTTCCTCGCCATCTTGCGCATCCTCAACAGCCAGAGTAACAACTAGGCTGGAAGACAAGAAATACATCGGGGAACGGCCAGAGCATCCGAAAAACAGAATGTGTGCCTCGGAGAAGAAAAACGAGAGAATGCAGAACATGTATCATCAGCACAGGTAACATTGTTTAGCAAATGGCAGTCTCTTCTTATCATGGGTTGCACCGGGAACGGTCACTTTGTTGACTGGGAATCACTGGCACCACAACGGGCTTCATCCTTGCTCAATGGGCAAGCCGTCCTTTGTCATTCAAAAGGCTTTGATACGTGGCATTCCATGTTGCAATTATTTGCCTTTCTGTACAGCTAAGAAAAGCAGCGTTGCTGGGCTTAGTAGATGTCCAAATAAGAATTCATCTCATTACTCGGCGTTGTTCACTTTGACACTATCACGTTGTACGTCGTCTATTCTCGGAAAGTCGAGTCCTCATGTCGAAATTAGAAGGCCACTAATACTAAAAAAGAAGAAGACATAAGGTAAAAGAAGCTGGCTACGTGACAGGAGCTTAATAGATAAAGACTCGGCGAGTCCCATCCACAGACTTTCTCACTCTCGACAGGATAAGGCTCTTTGATGGACACCATGAATCAGAAGCCCCGCTTGACAAATTGGTTGAAAAGGACATAAAATCCGGTTTCAATTCATTTCTGACAATGTTCGGCCGCCGAATCAAGCCACCTTGGTAAGCACTGTCCCAACCCTGCCCAGAGTCGCATTGCGAATTCCTTTTCCAGCGTAGCATTCCAGGTCGAACGTCAAACGACTGTGCGAAGCCCTGGACCACTCGCCTCCATAACTCGTACACGCTTTTGTGTGATGGGGTGATAAGTCTGCAGGTGAAAAGGACACAGACATCTATTCGCGGTCGTGCTCGCCGTTGGCCTCGGTCGTCGGCGTCGCCGCAGATGCGGCGGCCGCCTCTCTCTGCATCCTGGCCTCGATTTCGCGAAGCTGCGACTCGCGGGCCAACAGCTCCTGGCGCTTCTCGTTGATCTCGCGCTGCACTTTGACTTCGATTTCGCGGAGCTTCTCCTCCTCGCGACGGAGCTGCTCCTCCTTGAGGCGTACGGACTGAGAAGCAAGATCCTCTGGGTTCATCGATGAGTCGCTGAGAAGATATTAGTAAGAAAACATCGCTGAGCAGTAAAACAACCATTGTAACGTACACAGCAGCACCGCCCTCGACACTCTTGCTGAGCTTCTCGGTACGGTAGTTCTCGTACAGGAAGTCGTGGGTGATCTCCTTCAGATCAGCCAGATGGCTGTGGAGAAGGGCAGATCGAATGGCGAGGAAATCCGAGTGGCGAGGGTTGTCAACCTCGACAACACCCCATGGGTATTGCCGAGCACGAACCTTGCGGCCGCCAATCTCGACAACCTCTTCCGAACCGACGATAGCGAATGGCATGAGACCTCTGAGCTCGGCGTTCTCCTCGACGGTGTCCTCATCATCCTCCTCGATGTCGTAGGGGAAGTTGTAGACAGGGATGCGGTAGTGCTCGATATCCTCCATGACAAGCTTCTTGGACTCGGCCAACTCCGCGGGGGTCAACGAGTCGGCTCTGCCAATCACAGGAATGACGTTGACGCGAGGCGCAAGGCGCTTCATCAGCTCGATGTCAAGCTCACGAAGTCTGCGACATGGGATCAGCACAGCCCGAACACTAAATGCAGAGGTGCTAGCGAACATACCCGTGACCTGTGGGAGTGATGAAGTAAAGCATGGCGTGGACGCGGTTGTCCCTGAATCTGGGGTTACGCTTGATACGGGACTCTTCCGCGAGAATGTCATCATATTGTCTCTCGAGGTAGCCCACAATCTCAGAGAAGCTGTGCAAAGTTGCAAAGGTCAGCGATTACTGCAGGAGAGAACTTGACCTTGCTCAATTGATCGGGGTATAGTACCTGGCCTCGTTGTCGATCTGATCACCAAAGCCGGGAGTGTCAACAATGGTCAGCGAGATGCGAGTTCCCTCCTCGTCGAGCTCGAGTTCTGCAACGCCAATGGGTCAGTCCAGAGCCATTAAAATTTGTGACAAGGTGTCGAGTAAGACTTACCGACAGTGATGGGCTTGATCTTGACACCGTCCTCGACATGGGCAGCACCAGCATCCTCCGAATCAAGGTGGTCCAAGACGGACTTGCCGCAGAGAGTGTTGACAAAGGTGGTGCGTCCTGTTGGGGAAATAGTGTAAGCGCCTGGCAGCTACGCGACCGGTGTATTCAGGCTGGCCCAGTGATGACGGGCAGGAGAGGAGTACTCACCAGTTCCTGAGGCACCGCAGACCATCAGGCAGAACTGGATCCCCTTCTTCACGTTCTTCTTGCGGCGGAGCATCTTCTGTCGTGTAAGCATTGCTGGTTAGCTGTGTGTGGTGCAGGAGCAGTCGAGTGCGATCAGGCTCGGTCACGGTCTAGTGCTGGAGGCAACCAGCAGGCGGACGGAAGCCGACAGGGCACGGAGAGGGATGGCGAGGTAGTAAGGCGGAAGGGGTCGACACGGGCGGGAACGACAAGTCGTGGAATGACGATGCTGAGGGCGGAACTGGGAAGCACGAGGCTGGTCGTAGCTCGGCTGGCCAGGTAAAAAGGCGCGGTAGTGCGGTTGCCAGCACGTCCCCAGGTCGACGGGTCAAGATAAGGGGCAATTCATCAAACTCAGGCCGGGGACAGGGACGTTAGCTTACGATTTAGAGGCGGGCAAAGACCAACGGCTGGGTGGAAATGGGGAGGTTGAGGAGCAATGCGGCGAGATGCGGAGCAAGAAGGGGTGGCGCCGGCGACGATGGCGGGAGCTGAAGCGAGGGAGCAAAGAGGCAGAAGGAGAGCCTCTTGCAGGGTGATGGAGGTTGACACGGTCGCGGGTGCTGGGAAGGGAAAGAAGAAGGGATGCCTCCGTGGAGAGGCGTGTGGTGCGGGTCTCCCCTGTTGGGCTGGGCGATTGACTGACTTGACTTGGCCTGGCCGATGGCTGCTGCTGCTTGCTGGAGTGCTCGCAGCAATGTTAATTTCACTGCCGGGCGGGCACGCTGCTGCTGCACCCTGCATTGTGAGTGGGTGGAGGGTCTGCAGCCAGCGGAAGAGCGGTGGGCGGGCTCCTGCTTGCCGGGCCGCGGGCACTACCCCCCTGCAGGCAGGTACTTTGGCGGAGGAAGTGGCACTGAAGCTGGCACAACGCAACACCAGACACATGGACAAGCAAGTCTGGACATGACGCATCAGGGTGCAATGTCACTTCGAGGAAGGCCCCCAAGCAGTGGTTCGAGTGTCGATACCGGCCGGGGGACTGCAGAACGGCTCAGGACGGCGACATGGAGATTGGGAAACACTGATCAACACGAGCGGCTGGGTTTCTGATTGGGCGGGCTCTCCCTGCCCATCCTCATCCCCGCGGAATGGCAATAAAGGGGGGAGCCCTTTGGACGTGTCTACGATTTCAGGGGCGCTGTTCGAGTCTGTTATGGATGAGCAAGCCCGTCGCACGAGATTGTACGTAGCCAATGGCAAAGTCTTGTACTCTCTTGGTGCTGTGAGGTGTTGCCCTTCGCCTTCAGGAATGGGATGTTGACTGTAGCTCAAGAACATGGCTTCGTCGCATTCCAAGAGACGTAGCTCACTCGGGCTGGGCGGGGATTTCATCAGGAGACAGCAGACGCTGCTCACGTGGCCGCGACCCTCGCTGTCCTGTCTGCCTCAAGTGGTTAAGCAAGTCATGACTACCAGACAAGGCCACTTTGCTGCAAAGCATCCGCCACCTACCCAGATCCATGGTCGATTGATTACAACACCCTAGGCTGTCAACCGGTTGGCGGGCAACAAAGCCTCCCTGCTCAAAGTGTGTACATGCACCACCCCTTTCTAGAGCTGTCCAGGTGTGACCCCCAGCCTCCAAGGGACTGAGGCCTGGCTGTAGACAATTGAGGGGTCCAGCCAGCAGTACCAGGTCCCGCCCGAGCTACCTTGGAGGAGCTAGCGGCCTGGTCCGAGCTCTCTTTACCAGGCTCATCTTCTCCACCTGCTCATGAACGACTTGGACATGTTTCAAAGCTTGGTGCTGCCCGTGCCTCCAGTTCCCAGCATGAAACCAATGTGTAAGTGAGGCCGTCAGGCAAGTCGATGGCTCAGACCGCTCTATGGCTATACACATGCTTGATTGCAGCGCAAGAACCAGCGTGCTAAGATTCCCAGAGGCTGGTGGTGACTGCTGACCAGGCAGTCATGTGCCATTGTTGGACTTGGTGCCATCTTGAATGATACAAACCCACGATACTCCACCGGGCCGCTCTCCTCCTAAGGGTGAGCTGCACTGACATATCTGGGCGTCTCAAAACCCGTACCTTCAAATATTACGGCACTTCCGTGCTGCTCAGCAGCTACTTGGCCTTCTTGAGCATTCCAGCTACAGCATCAGACCTTGGACAAGCAAGAGATCCTGCCGGTCTGCGCTAACTCTGCAATGGTACCTCAGAGCTACCACCAACACATCGCCCCCACACAAGCTTGAGCTCCCCGTACCGCTGCCTGGGTCCAACCACAGAGCTGCCTGATACCGTCATTCACACCTGCTCTAAGCACAGCATCTCCATCCAGCAAAAGGAACTGCTCTTACAGCAGGAAGAGCAAGCGGGATTCCTAAGCTACAGCGGCCGTATAAGCGCAACTGCTGTAGCCACGAGAGCTGCGCCCATCACACAACACATCTCACTAGACATCTTGGACGCTCCCCACGAGGCTCTTGACCGTTGATGGGAGCACATCTCTCAACCGCGTAAATCCACCTTCGTGACCGCTGTCTTATCAGCTCCTCGGAACGCTTTCAACGCCTGGTCATCGGCAAGAGCCGTTGAGCGAGGGTCGATGCAGGCATGGACACCCGTCCACCGATCGAGGCTCCGAATGAGTCGCCTGTCCTCTCTGTGGCATTCAATCAAGATGCAAGCCGCTTTGCGGTAGGCCTGCCCACGGGTTTCTGCAGTACGTATGATTTACCTTCTACACTGTTTCAACATGCCGTCTCAAATGCTGACGAAGTCCCTTGACATCAGTATATCTGTCAAGAGCATGTAAGCTGCAGATATCGCGGGACCTCAAGGCAGGTATCGGCCTGGCCCAGATGATGGGCAACGCCAATTACGTCGCTCTAGTCGGTGGCGGGCGTGCCCCCAAGTTTCCCCAGAACAAGGTCATCATCTGGGATGACAGCAAGGGCAAGACGGCGCTCGAAATCACCACGTTGACGGCTGTCCGGGGGGTGCAGCTCTCAAAGACACGAGTTGTCGTCGTCCTACAGAACAGCGTCCGCGTGTACGCCTTTGAGAAGCACCCGAAGCCTCTCGCCATATACGAGACGGCAGACAACCTTCAAGGGCTCTGCTGTTTGTCAGACAGATACCTCGTGTTTCCTGGTCGGATACTCGGACAAGTGCAAGTGGTTCATCTGGAGACAGACAGCGTCAGCATCATCCCAGCACACAATTCGAGCTTGAAAGCGTTGCAGCTCAGTACAGACGGCGAGCTGCTGGCGACCGCTAGCGAGAAGGTAGGTACCCGCTATCCTGTCTTGTAGTTTGTCAGCGATGCAGACATCTGACAACACCCGCCGCCCAGGGTACCATAATCAGGATATACTCAACAAGCAGCTGTGCGCGCATCGCCGAGCGCCGGAGGGGAACAGACTCGGCCACCATCTTCTCCCTACGCTTCAGTCCCTCTGGCTCCATGCTCGCGTGCACCTCGGACAAGGGCAACTTGCACATCTTTGACGTCCCCATTGCCGGCCAGCGGCGCCCCTCATCATCGTCACCGCAACCGCCAGGCTCACCAGGTCGCGCACAACAGCTGCAACCGCAATCAGGATCGGCGGCCGGAGGTGCTGCTGCTATATCCCCACTAGGGACCAGCCCCGGCGAGACGAGGACGAGCAAATGGGGTTTCCTGTCGAGTATTCCCTTCGGGCCCTTCGCAGACGTGTACTCGTTCGCCTCGGCACCGTTCGATTCCGGGCAAGAACCCATGAGCGGACAGGGCGGCGGCGGCGGCGGTACAACTCTGATTGCCGGAGGAGGTCCATCAGGGACTACGGGCGGCGGAAATAGCCCGTTCAGTGGACATGACCACAATGCCGTGCTGGGTACCACGGCGAGACCGATGAAGGGCATCATAGGCTGGCTCGATGAGCGTACGCTCGCCGTGGTCGGCGCAGGCGTGGACGCGCGGTGGGAGAAGTTCCTCATTGTCGAGAGCTCTGAGGGCAGCGGCGGCGGCGGCGGCGGGGGACTGGCGCTGGTGCGAGAAGGATGGAAGAGGTACATGAGTTCGTGAGGTCGTCGACAAAAGAAGCAGACATGTTGATATTCTGGCTGTGTGGCGCGAAAGAGTTCATGCCGCATATCGGTTTCCTTCGTCCTCTGGGTCTAGGACTTCCCCTTACAAGCACAGATCAAGGTATGGGAATCATGATGTGCTTTTCTCTCGTTTACAGCAAGCGCACAATAGAAATGTTTTTCGTTAAAGAGTCGTATCCTGCCTAATATTTCCTTGTCGACTGAAACGCCACGTACATTTACCTAAGTTCCCTACCCAAACATGATTAGATGAAAAAGGCGGAAGAAGTAGTTTCAGCGAGCGCATGATACAGAGCAACGACGACATGAACTCTGATTTGCGTTAGAGGAACAAAGAATTCGCAGAAGTGTCCGTCACTCCTCTTTCTAACGGTAGCACATCTACTAAAAAGACCATGTGAAACAAACATTTATACAAAAAGGTATTCAGATCAAGCCGCAGCCAGCCCCAGCTCCCTGATAAAGATGTCCGCCGCCTTCTCGCCAATGACCAGCGCAGTATTGTTGGTATTGGCGCCCACGTTCTCCGGCGGGATGCTCAGGTCCGCCAGCTTCAAGCCCGTTGTGCCGTACACGTTCAAGTTCGCATCAACGACGCCTTTGTCCTCGCGGGGCGCCATCTTGCACGTGCCCAGGGAGTGCCAGGTGGTGTTGATGCCCTCGCGGCACCACTGCACGATGGCCTCGTCATCCTCGGCGCTATACGGGATGTCGTCGAGCAGTGGCCCGCCCTGGTGGTCTTCGATGCAGGCGGCCTTGGAGCCCGCGGGGAATCGCGGGTGCCCGGCCGCGAGCTCGCCGCGGAACATGGCCGTGCGGCGGATCATCTGCCTCTGCTTCTTGTATGCCCAGAGCTGCTTCTTGATGTCGATGGAGTGCGGGTCGGAGAAGTAGCCCGCATCAAAGTCGTAAGGATCGTCGAGAGAAGGGCCGGTGATGTGGATTGAGCCGCGGGAGTAGGGGTATGCGGTGTACGGAGCCATGGAGACGTATTGCGCCTCTGGGGCGCCTTCGCCGAGGAAACTGTTGAGGCGCAGGTGACATTGGTGTTAGTATGGTCTTCTCGGGTGGAGGTCGTGGCATTTGGTGTTGTACTTACGCGTTCACCATCCCCAACAACATCAGCGGACGATTTGGCTCATTCTTAAAGTCTTTGTCCCATGCGGCTCGGAACTCGGGGCCCAGAGCGTCGATCTCACCTTCATCGTTGGGGCGGATCTTCGACGAGAAGTCGATGCCGTTCCAGCCTGCGAGGCGGTGCTTGTCTTGGACCAGTTTCACTGCATCCATGCGGCTGGTTATGATACCATCAAGCGTCTCGTCCGTAGCCAAACCGACCTTGTACGGGTAGAATATCAGGTGGTGGTCTTGATAGTCGTTGCCAACGCCAGGAACATCGGCAACAACAGGGACCTTTGCGGCATTGAGGATTTCAGGGTTTCCGACGCCGGAACGCTCCAGCACGCCGGGAGTTCCGCAGGCGCCGCACGAGACAATGACCATCTTCCGAGCCTTGACGGTCCGTACAGGGTCGACGACGCCGCCAATAGGCAGCTGGAACGCGGGGTTGGCGCGGTACTCGACCCCCACGGCTTTCTTGTTGTCGTCGAAAAGTACACGAGCAACCTGCGATTCGCAGACGACGTGCAGGTTCGGGTGCTTCCCATCCAGCAGCCGAGGGTGAAGGTATCGGTGAGCCACGTCCTGTCGCTTGCCATCTGGGCTGACGTAGCGTAGCCAGCGTTGGGTGCCATTGTTGCTGTCCAGATCTTGGAGGTCGTGGATTTCTGGCCAGCCGAGTTCGCTGGCAGCTTTGACAATCTCGTCCTCGGCAACACTGCCACGGTATGTGCTGCTGGACACATGGATGGGGCCATTGTATCCGTGAACTTCCTTCTGCCCGCGTCCGTGATACGTCTCAAGCTGTAATGGATTAAAGTCAGTAACTATATGGGTAGGTGTAACGGATCTGCGAGATTGGAGAGCGCTGGATCAAGGACACGCCATAGACAGGACTGACTTTTTTCATAAAGGGTAACAGCTCATCCGCGGACCAGCCTTTTGTCTTCCACGAGTCAAAGTCAGATCTTTGGGCTCGTGTGTACATCATGAAGTTGATCGACGAGCCACCACCTGGTGAGTTTCGTGGTCGGTGTTAGTCTACCACGCATTGACAGAAGACTCTCATGTATGCTCACCGAGGACCCCGCCTGTTGGCACAATGACCTCACGGTCCGCGAGATAGTTGGACTTTCTAGCCTTCCAAAAGAGGGCATTCTTGCTAGTTGGGGCGATATTGCTCAGGTAGAGGAGAGGGTTGACGATCTCTGGAAGGTTGTGATTGTTTTGACCACCTTCAATGACGAGAATGGACAGATTCGGGTCTGCATCAGACAATCTCGAGGCTACAATACAGCCAGCAGTACCGCCTAGACCAGATGGTTGTGTCAGAGAGCTGTTACTGGCTGCCCAACTCGCAAAAACGCAAAGGGGGCCAGATTCACGCGTGTACCTCCAGCCACTATCACATCAACCTCCTTGATGTCATCGGGAAACTTCTTGTGGATGGGCATGGCGGCGAAGACAGGAGAGCAACTTGAAATTGAGCAGGGGATATTCGTTACAAAACAGATCCAAGCTGTTTACAACCGCCGAGACCCTTCACTACGGCAGCGGGCACTTCTTATACACCATCGGAGCAACCGCCCCGCTCAAGCACAACAAAGGCAACGGCAGCGAGAGCGGAGGTATTCCACGAAGGGGTGGCTCGGGAGGACCCCTCACAGCAAAGCAGCAAGATGGAGACAGGCGTGAAACCTTGACTCGGGGCTGGCGAGTGAGGATCGAGGGAGACTTTCAGAACGGGGTGTTTGCAACAGGTGTGGAGGCGAGGGGATACGAGACCATTGGTCGTGGCACGCGCGGCCGCACGGCCGAGGCCATGGGGTTTGCCCACGACAGACCAGAACAAGGCAAGACTCTTGGGCGGACTATACAAGCGCGGGGTGGCACCTCATGTGGTGCGGACCCTTTTGCGCCACGAAGATCGCCAGAGATCACACGAGGTGGACACCCCTTTGTCGGACTGCTCGAGAGCAGTGAGAGCAGAGCTGCAGGCTCGAGATTGAGGCTCAGAAGCACATTGCCATGACCCATCGCGGATTGGCTCTGGCCAGCAGGACGCCTCGAAATTCTCACCACTGTGAGGGTTCACACTGGGCAGGGGATATCTGCGGGCCTTCTCCTGCAACACATTGACTAAGGCGTCGCAGTCGGAGAGGATCTCGACCCAGCTTGTGGAGCTTGTTGGCGCTGAGTGAGTCCCGGAAAAGCACTCCCACCTTTCGAAACCGAGCGACAGAATCCCTTACGTATGAGTTGGCAGAGCAGGTTGCAAAACGAATGCCCATCCATCCTCAGTGACTGAGATCATCTGCCTGCCCGCCCCGCACGCCACGGCAGCGCCTGCGGAAGGAGCCGCCGTGCGTCCGGGGTATCCAGCGGGGCAGGGCTCGGCAGGCAGCCTTGTGAGTGTAGGGCAGCCACGAGCCACCAAGGTGGTGCTCGGGACATACTTCCAAGATTGGTATGAACCTTCACAGCTCTCAAGGGCTGCCTCGCCATGCTCTCATCTCCCAAAGTTGCTGAGAAGGGCGGGTACAAGTATGCATTGTCAGGGCAAGCGATGACCAAATGCTTACACAGTCATGAAGATACTGGCTAAGCTTGTGCAATCCGTGACGGACTCTGGACCGCCAACTGTCAACTGCAATCCTCATCCCCTAGGATGGGAGCCACGCATTTGGAAGATCATGTCGTGATTTTGGTCCACCCTGGAACCTGAGCTTGATGGCCAGCAAGGATTGCAGCCATCATCCCCTTCCAGTCTGTGCAGCCAGTCATTCCAACAGTCAATATGAATCTTCTCCACTCTATTGCATTCCTCAAGTGCTTAGGCAGGCACAGTCAGAGGCAGCATTTACTGTGGTTGACATGAGCATTGCATGCGCTGAGCCTCTCTAGGTCCAATAATAGGGGTCCTGATGGCCACTATTGCGCACTGTGCTAGCGTGTTGTTGGGGCAGAGATCATACAGTGCGCAGCTTACCTCAGTTTCACGGGCCAGATAAGACCACCCGCAAACCGGAGGCTTGGCAGCCATGTTCTCAAGAAGCGCTCTTCCACATGCCACCTTTGAACATCGACAAAGGCAAGATCCCGTGCCTGATAATTGGTCCCGCTCGGAGCACCGAAATGAGCCGGCCCAGTCATTCCTGAAGACGAGTGCCTGCCCATCGCAAATTATCCGAGCTTGCGCAGCCGCGACACATCATTATCACGATGCCCTTCTCGGGCTCCCCAGATACCGGCATCGTTGGGGAGAAGGGGTCCTCGCTACTCTCGCCAGCTTCCTACGACGATGACGCCGCATCCCTGCACAGCCGCAGCGAGCAGGACACAGACAGTGAGGATGACGAGCTGATGCTGGCGGCGCGCAACAGCCGCGAGCTCCGCGCGCGCGACCGCCTCGTGCTCATGGAGGAGGAGGAGATGGACCGGCTCGTGGAGGAGTCGCGCTCCAAGAACAACGATAGGATCAGGAGGGGAAGCAACTTATCGATCCCGAATCCCATCGGGCTCTTTCGGCGCGGCCGGTCGGAGAGCGGCACGCGGAATGCCAGCAACAATAATACCTACAGCCGGAACAGCGACCCATCAAGCTCGGTCGAGGACTTTGGTGACGAGAAGCGCCGAGCGGCGCGGCGGGCGCGGCGGCAGCAGAAGAGAGACAAGCTTCTCCAGGAAGCACAGGATGGTGAGGATCGGCAGCTTATGTACGAGATGGAGAGTGGTGGGATGAAGGATGGCAGCTCGACAGGCGAGAGCAGCGATCGTGACGACAGCGACGAGCTTGACCGAATGAGGCTTGTCGAGATTGCCGATGCGAAGACAGCAAAGAACAAGAGGTGGCGCATATGGGCCATAATATACACCACCATCGCGGTCGGCTTCGTGCTTCTAGTGCTGCTTGCCTGGCGATTCTCGCTGGACAAGAAGCGCGGGGCCTCTGCCGAGCTTGTATCGAACGGTACAGCGTTGTTTGGGCCGACGACCATCATAATCAGTCTGGATGGCTTCAGAGCCGACTTTTTGACGCGGGGCTTGACACCGAGGTTGAACGCGTTCATCAAGGAGGGTGTCTCGCCACTCTATATGAACCCGTCCTTCCCATCCGTCACATTTCCTGTCAGTACCCCTCCAATGTCTCGGACATCCAATACCTGCTACGTATGTGCTAATGACTGTGCAGAACCACTATACCCTTGCTACAGGCTTGTATCCCGAGGCGCACGGTGTTGTTGGGAACACATTCTGGGATCCGGAGCTCGCGGCCGACTTTTACTACACCGATCCCGACAAGAGCATGGATCCCAAATGGTGGAACGGAGAGCCATTCTGGGCCACCGCCGAGCTGCAAGGTCTGCGTACCGCCATTCATATGTGGCCTGGAAGTGAGGCGCATATCCTTGGTGTCGAGCCGAGCTTCCTGGACAAGTACAACGGCAAGGAGTCCCTATCTTCCAAGGTTTCGCGCATTTTGGAGTTTCTGGACAAGCCAGGAATGGAAGACTCTGAAGCGAAACTTGAGGACATGCGGCCACAGCTTATCGCCGCCTATGTGCCCAACGTTGACGGTGATGGGCACCGGTATGGTCCCAACAGCACAGAGATTCGTGCCACCATCTCCGCTGTCGACACAATGCTCGACCAGATCTTCACTGGGCTTGAAGAGAGAAACCTCACAGATATTGTCAACGTCATCATTGTATCCGATCACGGCATGGCCACCACGGATGTCAGCCGGATGATGCAGATTGACGACCTCATTGACCTTGACAAAGTTCACCGCATTGACGGATGGCCATTGTCCGGCATTCGCCCGAAGAACCCTGACGACCTCCAATCACTCTACGACGAAGTCATGGAGAAGACAAGGAACAACCCCAATGTCGAGGTTTACCTGCGAGACAAAGATATGCCTGAGCGCTATCACTTCTCGAACAACGACCGCATCGCGCCGCTTTGGATCATTCCCAAGACGGGCTGGGCCATTGTCGAGCGGACAGAATTTGACATTGCGGCCGCGAAGGAGAAGGACATCGTCTACCACCCTCGCGGGCTGCACGGCTACGACCACGAGCATCCCCTGATGAGAGCCATATTTGTCGCCCGTGGTCCTGCGTTCCCGCATCAGCCACACAGCAAGGTCGAGCCGTTCCGTAAGTTTCTCCCGATTCCAACCCTGCAAGAAGGATTCTGCCGAGAACACAGTCGCTGACCATGGATTCTTTTCCAGAGAACATCAACGTGTACAACATCCTCTGCGACTCCATCGGCCTCGAGCCGCGTCCAAACAATGGAACCCTACGACTACCTCTAAAGACCATCGGGGTCCACGACTCTGATCCGGAGACTGCCCTGCAGGAGGTGCCTGACCCTGCACCGGAGGATGCTGCGGATGGGGCAATCATGTCCATCCTGCCTGTCCCGTCTGCGCCGTCAGCAGACGGGCAAGGCGTCGAGCAGCCCGGCGCGCCGGTCGGCGTCAGCCCCCCAGGCAGCGAGGTCGTGAACAATAACGGTGGCGATAGCGACAGACCGGAAGTTGCAAGCAGCGCGGCGGGACAGCCAACACCGACTGCACCGTCTTCGGCTGTTGGTGAAAACGAAAACGACCAGAACCAGGGCAACGACAACGACAATGACGGCGACGATGACGATGAGGAAGATGGAAGCGGCTCTTCTGGCTCGTCGTCGTCGTTCTGGGACAGCATCTCGGGAACCTGGAACTGGGTCACCAACAAGTTCGATGAGCTGATTGACAAGATCTCTAGTAGCGGGCGGGGCTAAGGAACAGAGACGGGCGATGGAGCTCAGGCTTGAATCAGTGTCGGTTGTCTAGCGCAGCCTTTAAGTAATGGGTCGTGGTTGGCGCATATAAGCGGCGTTTCTTTGGGAAGATATCATCTCGCCGGTAGGCAATGGGTTTTATAGTGTTTGTTTTGTTTCAGCTGATAGAGGGAGTCTTGATAATACCAGAGTACAATGGTCTTTGCTGATAATATTTGCGGATAAGGCACCCGTGGACATGTCTGCGGTGGTTTGTTTGCCGTGCCTCTCTGGTCACAACCCCCACGTGTTTCCGAAAACAACAATATACGACTCTTCCAAAGCTATGTCATCACTCATCGCTGCCGGGGCCATTGATAGACACAGCACCACCATCACAGATGCTGGCCCTGTTGAACCACACGGCCTGTGGTATCAGCTCGCTGACGACCCATCTCGCTGTCGTGGTATGCGTGGAGCCTTGCCCAAAAGGCTCATGAGTCTTGTCCTTCCTCAGCCTCGGACCATCGCTACTCGCAACTACTGCGGGCGCGTCTCCGGAGAGCGACAGCTTGCCCAAGCTCTGGACCATGTCGTCGTCAATACGCCGCCCGCTCTCGCCCTCCTCGTCGCGCGGAAAGCTCGTCCTGCCGTCGGCAAGGGCCTGGAACACGACGAGCTGGTCCTGGAGGTACTCGTCGACGACGCCGCCCTTGCTGAGCTCCGTATACAAGTCCTTGCACACGGTCCGGGATATGCCGTGGCATAGCTGCTCGCGCGACATCTTTTTGCGCGTCCTCTTATCGTACAGAAATTCCTGGCCGTATCCGCCAAAGTCGCGGCCCCAACGTCGGTAGTATGTCAACGGCTCTTCAACGGTTGCGGCGGAGCCGTTGATGGTGAGTGGCGTGGAGTGGGCGACGAGCAGGATATATATCCGAGACTCATGCCCACTGTCCTCGCTGACGATGAAGTGGACACTCGTATCTGGGAACAGGTCCTCGAGGTCTGAGGATATAGCGTTTTGTAAGGCCGACTGCATATTTGACGGAACAATCAGGCTCACGTCAATGCGGTCAAGCCTGGGGGTCTCCCCCGGTTTTGGGCTCTGGTTGGTTGGCTCGCCGTGAAGTCGTGGCTTTAGCGTCTGGCCGGGCCGGATAGGTTTGATCTTGAACCACACGGTACCACGGCGCTGGCTGCCTTGCGCCCAGCCACGTATCAGAAGTCGCCGCTCTACGTCGATGTCGAACTGCTCCTTGAGGGTTGGAAGCAGCACCTGATCGAGATACTCATACGAGAGGGACCAGCTGACATTTGTGCCACCATGGATCTCCAGAATGATGGGCTCGTCGTCCTCGGTGCCCGCGAACAGCAAGAAGGGGAAGATGGCCTGGAAGATGAGGAGGGTGCTTGCTGCAGGCGTGTCTGCGACGATCTTGATATTGCGCTGGGTGAGGCTCGTGGGTGGCAAGGAAGGCCGCAGCTCGAATGACTTTGAGCGTATTGACACGCCCTCAGTCTGGGCCTGGGTGGCAGAGGCGAGCCACTCGATGGCCGAGAGATGCTGGGCCTTGAGACCGCCGCCGCGGGCGCCTTCGCGGTTGCCTCTGACGTGGTGGATACGGATCGGCTGTGAGGTGAGGGCGGAGAGGCCACAGGCAATGCGGACCAGTTGGCCGCCCCCTTCGCCTGTCCGACCATCGAGCTCGATTGCTCTTCTGGCCTTCTTCATGGCTTGAGAGTTGAGATGTGTCTGTCTGGTGGTGTTGAGCAGGCAGTGTGATGTCACGCACGGGTCGGGCCTCGTCTTACTGAGCGGGGGATGGCGAATGGAAAGAAAGGTGCCAAGCCCTTGATTTATATATACTTGGGTTCTAGAGGGTGAGGATGGAGCAATACTGGCAGCAGCAAACAGCGCTCTCTAGATGAAGTGTGGTTGCAAGGCTGCCTCGTCGTGGCATCATTCTCGCTCACGCACTCAGCCTTCCGTGAGTCACGCGGCAGAGAGCTCGTAACGCCGAGCTCGTTTTTGAGCAGGACCCGGAGCTGCTCGCCGCCTCGGCAGACGAGAGCCACGTACCCCTTGCAATCACATTGACCGAGTTGGCGAGGACCTTGCCCACTGGGAGGAACATGACGTCCTGAGATCAGCGGGAGCCATCAATGTTGCTGGGCTGGACTGGCTGGAGGGTTGTGATGCAAGCTGGTGGGCATTAGCTGAAGGCACATGATAGAATACAATCATGCAGGCCCCACCACGCTGCGCAAGTCAGGCACCGGGTAGCCCTGGACAGCCAATGGCAGTGGCTGGGCAGGAGCCCACCTGCATGCGCAGGCAAATTGCATGGAGCATGCACTCACATAACCAGAGCCTGCCAGCCTGGAGCTCGCTCACCTAAGCGTACTGGACCTTGGTCTTGGTGCACGGTCACCGTCACACTTCTCGCCGGCGCTCCAGCTCGTCACTGGCTTCTTCGCGCAATCGTTTTCCTTCCCACGGCAGGCCCAGCAGGAACATCCACGCCCCCCCGAGCATCCCACCGCGACTCTCCCTCGCAGCGTCAAGTCACTCCTTTCGCCTCGTCTTCTCTTCGCCCGCGCTGCTCTTCTCTTGGCTCCCTCCCAGCTGCGACGGCCTTCGTCGCGCCACCAATCGGCCACCCAACGTTTCGCGACACCCCCTTTACGCACCTTCCACGTTTCGCTTCTCAACACCGACGACAACCAACTCTCATTCGCACCAGCCCGGTCTCTGCATCCGTCCATCCATCTTTCTGCGTCCCTCGAGCGGCATCGCCATGCACTAGACCCCTGTCGCAAGCCAGAAGCACAGTCCTATCGTGATCCAGCAGCGCACACCAGCATCGCCTTGGCATAGGATCCAGATCCCGCGTGGCTGCCTGGCTGTATCAATCACAATGGCGCAGAACGACAGCGTGCCCGAGGATGACGCCTTTCCCAGCGCGAAATTCCCGGCCGGCCCCCCCAGCATCATCTCTTCGCGAATGACCGACATCGTCTCCGAAGACGGCAACAACAGGCACCGCAACAACCCATTGCGCAGTGTGCCCGGCTCAGACTCCCGCCCGGGGACGGCAAGGACTGGCCTGTCTTCGTCTCGCGGAGGCGCCTGGCCCCAGCCTACGCCTCTTCGCAAAGGCATCAAACGCTCCAGCTTGACGGGATCGACTGCTGGCTCAATATCCTCCACCCGTCCGCCAAGCTCGGCCGCCAGAAGCCATGTACCGTCCCTCACTTCGCATGCCTTCTTCCGCCCGATGAGCTCTCAGAAGCTCCAGGCTCAGAGAAGCGCCACCCGGCCGCCAAATTTGAGTTTGAGGCGCGACAGCGCCGCAGATGGTTCGGACGAACCCACCAGGGCTGCACCGCAGAGCCCAACAGCGCCTGGTCCTGTGAGCGGCCTCGTGCGCGAACAGGTCGAAGATGGGGAAGGGCGCCCACCCCCGTCTCGCGGTACCGAGATGACGGAGCAGGAAATGTACGAGCGCGGGGCCAGGACGGCCACGACCAGTAGCCCAACCCAAGGCCACTACCCTGCTGCCAGCATTACCGAGAGCATGCGCCCACTGCAGCGGCCCAAGGCCGGAGAACTCAACCTGAGTGTCAATGTCGACAAAACCAAGGCCTACATGGGCTCGGCAAACGCGGCGACACCCACGAGGTCGCCGCATTCGTTTCGATCTGGCTTCTTGAAAGCGTCCAGGCCCGAGACTTCTGGCCAGTCTCGTTCGTCTCCGCACCCGCATGAGAAACTAGCGTCTGCTGCTTCTTCTGCGCAGTTCACACCCGATGGTGACGCCGCTCCCCCTTCGAGACAGAGGGGATCGACCAAGTCTGGCAGTGCTAAACACGGCCGGAATTGGGAGTACTTCCAGGGTAATACCGTATTCTGTATTGGCGGTCGCCTCCAGAACACACGACATCAGCCCATCAATATTGCGACAGGCTTCTTGGTTGTCATGCCGGCTGCCCTCTTCTTCGCCTTCTCGGCACCATACTTGTGGCAACACCTCTCTCCGGCAGTCCCGGTCATTTTTGCCTATATCTTCTACATTTGCATGTCCTCGTTCCTCCATGCCTCTGGCTCAGATCCAGGTGTAAGTTGTTTACAGTGCTTGTTATCAATCTGTCACCGGCTTCAATACTGACCAGCTATCTAGATATTGCCACGGAACCTGCATCAGAACCCTCCCGCCGCAGAAAACGAGGACCCTTTGCGTGTAGCACCTCCCACCAATGACTGGGTGCTGATCAAGTCGGCCGAATCTAGCACTGCCGCCATGGAGGTTCCGACCAAGTTCTGTAAGACATGTAACTTGTGGCGACCACCCCGGGCTCACCACTGCCGCCTCTGCGACAATTGCGTAGAGACCCAGGATCATCATTGTGTCTGGCTCAACAACTGCGTTGGAAGGCGTAACTATCGATATTTCTTCACTTTTGTCTCCAGTGCTACACTATTAGCGGCCTTGCTGGTAGCCCTGTCCTTTGTCCACGTGGCGGACTTTGCCCGTCAACAGGGCGTCTCGTTTGGTGACTCGATCGATCAGAACCGAGTACCGTTCGCCATGGCCATCTACGGGATAGTCGCCTTTTTATACCCAGCTGCCCTGATGGGATACCACCTTTTCCTCATGGCGCGGGGTGAGACCACGAGAGAGTTTTTGAACTCGCACAAGTTCCTCAAGAAAGATCGGTATCGTGCCTTCACTCAAGGCAGTGCGTGGAAGAACTGGATTGTGGTCCTTTGCCGCCCGCGTCCTCCGACCTATTACCGCTTCAAGAGCCAGATGGACGAAGGTGACCAAAGACTTGGCCAGGACCGGAGGGCTGCTCAGCGGAGGGAGATTCCCAAGAATGCTGGACAGGATTTTGAGATGCAGACCGTGCGACCAGCCGGCACACCTCCGTTCCAGAGTCCTGCAACCATGCGGACCCTGGAGACAGCAACAACTCGATGATGTCGTGTCGAGATGGCTTCCAATTCTGCATGCTGTCGGGACAGCACCTCACTATTCTTGGCCTATGTACAGCCAACTTCGCACTCTTTATGTCGCCCCAATGGCACTCACCTTTCCCTTTCTTTTCAATTCTGTCATGTCAAGATGTAATATCTTCACCTCTTCTCGCATGTATACCCCGACACTCACGAAGCTGAAGCGTTTTCTATTATTCAACTTGTTTCCCCTTCACCTTCACCCCCATTTCCGCTTACTGGCTTGCTTGTCTGGGCGACATCCTGCTCTTGCCCCCCTTCGCTAGTACTATTACTGTATACCATGGTCATTTCCCGCCGTCGAGCGAGGAGAGAGTACATGTACATATACCCAACGCACACGCTTTGTTCCTCGCCGGGCAAGCTGCTGTCCTAATTGGTGTAATGCAGAGGAAATCTAGACAAACTATTGCTATTGTAGAGTTGATTTCAGCCTGACTAGTGTGAATTGAGTTGATAGCCTCCTAAGCATCCCTGGCACACACCTCACTTGTGTCGGTCTGGCTCCGTCTCAGATACCCAATCCTGTACTGGACGATCTACACATTGCCCGTCTCCACGATTGTCATGCCGGGATTACATTCCTCACCTCGTCGTGGATCGAATTCGCGATTGTATGGCAATGTGTAGAATATGTATACGTGAAAGAGGTATCTACTTTATCTTTCTAAGGGGACGGGGTGAAATACAAGAAGCGCCAGTAATTCTTCTTGTTTGGTAATTCCTCGTTCTCCTAACTACTCGACGATTCGAATGCGAGGCATGGCGAGAGCTCGTGCTCTTTTCTTGGAACGGCCCCCGGCCCTTTCTTCGCAAAGTATCCTCGTCTCCTCTGCTGCCCCCCCCCCCCCCCCCCCCCCCCGGGGCGGCTGACTATGAATATGCTCCTCCCAACGCCGAAACCACCTTGTCCCAAATGCCGCCCCATACAGGAGAACGACACAAACACACTTCTTCGACATTTCCAGCAGCGCGGCTGCATTGAGACACGCCTACGCTGTAAGCATGTCGACCTCCTCGCTGGTGAAGCCAAAGAGGTAGAGCAAGTCGAGGAGGGACTCGCCGTTGAGCCGGGCACTGGCCTCCATCTGGACGCGGGGCTTGGCGTTCCAGGCGACGCCGAGGCCCGCGGTGGCCAGCATGGCGAGGTCGTTGGCGCCGTCGCCGACGGCGACGACCTGGCTGAGGTCGACCTTCTCCTGGGCGGCGATCTGCAGGAGGAGCTCGCGCTTGCGCTCCTTGCCGACAATGGTGCCCTTGACCTCGCCGGTGAGCTTGCCGGTGGCCTCGTCGATGACGACCTCGTTGGCGTGGGCGTGGTCGATGCCGAGCTCGGCCGCGAGCCAGCTGGTCAGCGGGAGGAAGCCGCCGGACAGCACGGCCGTCTTGACGCCGAGCCGGCGCAGGGCCTTGAGCAGCTGGGGCACGCCCTTGGTCACGTCGAGTACGGGGCGGAGCTGCTCGAAGAAGGTGGCGGGGAGGCCCTTGAGGAGGGCTACGCGCTCGCGGAAGGCGGCGTCGAACTCGAGCTCGCCGAGCATGGCACGGTGGGTGATGTCGGCGACTTTAGCGGCGAGGTCTGGCGGGTCCGATATGTTGGCGGCGAGCAGGTCAATGACCTCCTGGGTGATGAGGGTGCTGTCCATGTCGAAGACGACGAGGCGCGGGTGCCTGCGCCAGGGGGTGTCCTTTTGCAGGACGACGTCGACGTTCCACTCGCGCTCGAAGCGGTAGATGAGCTCATGCTTGCGCAGGTCCTCGAGCTGGAGGAACTCGTCGGAAGGGGCGTGCGAGAGGGTGAGCTCGACGACGAAGGGGTGGTCTGGGTCGTCGAGGCAGCGGTGGGACGAGGTCAGGTCCTCCTCCCCTGGAGGCAAGGGGAAGGAGGACATGAGGTGGAGGAAGGAGGTGATGCATAGGGGCGAAATGTAGGAGCCGTAGAGGTGGTCGAGGGGCTCTGGGTCGGAGGCGGCGGGGGGCTCTAGGGGGAAGGCGTCGATGTCTGTGGTCGGGGCGAGGTTGGCGGGGATGGAGGTCGTGTCCGAGGTCGAGGTTGTGAGACGCGGGGAGGGAGCGAGAGAGTTGCTGGCAGCGGCAGCGGCCTTGTAGATGAGGGTGGCGATGAGGCGGTTTGAGCGCTGGCCGCGGGGAGGGCAGCAGTCTGGGTGGGAGAAGTCGTGGATGACGCCCTCGACGATGCGCGGGGGCTGGTCGCGGCCGGGGACGCCGGTGAAGGGGTTTTGCTGGGGCGAGAGGCGGGCGGCCTGGAGGTCCTCGACGACCGTGTCGATGCCAAAGTGGCTGCTGGAGTCGAGCTGCTTTTGGGGGCGGGACTGCTGGTGCTCGCGCAGGAAGGAGCTGGTGCGGCGGCCGGCGTGGCCCATCTGCGGCCGCTTGGCCTTGACCTCGGCAGACGCCATGGCTTTTTGTCTGTCTGCCTGTCTGTCTGTCTGTCTGTCTGGTGTGGGCGAGACGACAGGTTGCTTGGTGGCCTTGACTCCGCGTAGTGTAAGTAAGTACTTACCTAAGGTAGATAGGGATTGAGGATGAGGCTGCTGACGGGCGGGCTGGATGACTGTTTTGGGCGCCGAGTGCGTGTTTCCGTGGCGGGGCAGGAGCGCCTTGATTGAGTGGGCGATCCCTGCTGCAGGGGTCTGTCTGTGCCGTGCCGTAGTGGGGAGCGACTTGTCAAGGTCAAGCCCTCCCGCGATTCTGACAGCCCTGTCGCCACGTGCTAAACTTCGCCCCCATGCCCAAGCTATGTCCAGTACAACCTACGCTTATGGCATCCTTCGCCCTGGGCTTTTCCCTTTGGAGCCAGGGAGCTCTCTTGGGCAGCTGGAATCATCCCAAGCCCGCAGCTTCGCTAAATTCCCCTGAGATGGCTTCTCATTCCGACACCTCACTCCCCAGTTGTATCATCCTCACCGGCTGCAAGCAATTGCACTCAGTGGCCTTCTTCCTCTCTGTCGTTATGATAGCCAGGTCACAAGCGCAAGAACCAGTGTGTAGCTCGCCCAGCGTGCTCCAGACCAGTGCCAAAACAGCCAGTGTCATTCGTTCGGATATCAACAGACATGAAGGCTTGGAAGACCACCGCATTGATTGCTATGACGGCAGATATCAGCCCTCAGCCACAATCATGACCCGAGTCAAGACACCCGAGACTCGAGACTTTCTCTGACAGGCTATGGCATGCTCTCACGAGCAAAGACCATGGTCGCAAACCATTCCGAGGTCTTGGGTCATGCTTCGTATCGTGGCAACCACGTTGGAGAGTCGCGCTTTGCTCGAGCCGCCTTCAAGACAGCTCCCAACGTGGACGTTGCTCTTGCGCTGTCCCCATCGTCATAATCTGGTCCTCTGCAGCAACTCGGACCCTTTGCTTGCTTCATTGGCCACGTCTCATCGTCCCCAAGTGCTGTTTGGCTGACAAACGCCAGCAAGTCCAAAGGGACGCGTGGACCCCTGGAGGGTCCAAGTCCCAGACGTCAGCAGGCAGTACGTACCTGACTAATCCTCCAATCCAGCCGCTGACAAGACGGGTCTGCCGCTGTCTGCTGGAACCAAGGGCAGACCCTATCAATCAGCTCGTATGTGCCTCCTCTGCTTACCCAATTAACTTGTAAAATCCAGTTGCCATACACATTGTTGACTACGTCCGACTGAGCTAGCTGCACGCCATAAGTATGCTGTGTCTTCCCTTGGCAGTTTGTGTGTGTATTCGGCGGCACCTTCGCATTGATCAGTCGTGGGGTGCGCTTCATGCACAATATCACCGCCGCCGCTGCTGCTGCTGACAATAAAGATCATGAGGACCACCATGTATTAGTGATGGTGTTTTCCGAACATGATCGAGGCGATTGAATGTGAGGTCATCGGATGACGTAATCAACGCAGCTCGGAAGGGCAAGGGCAGTCAAGTCAGTGTGACGCCAGCCCATCGTTTGGGCCTGGCAGCTGATCGTGCAGGCGACTTGGGATCAGCAGCTTGCCGCCACCACCTCACACGGATGCGCCCGACCGTGACGTGTTTGAGAGCGTGGCTGGTGATCAGCATGCCTGCCTGCCTGCCTGCCTGCCTGTCTGTCTGTCTGACTTCAGCACCGCCGTGCGCTCGCCTGTGCTCGCCCGCCTGCGGGTTCCAAGGCTGTCGTCGATGTTACCAAAAGTGGGGCCCCACAGGCTGCCGGCAGTGTGCTGATGATGTGCTCCGGAAATCGGGGCTCCGAGCCGGCGCACGCTCTGTGCCACTCTCCCGGCTGGCTGGGCCCTGTCTACCTTATGACTCGCTTCTGATGCACTCTTCCATGGCGTGTGTGCGGCTCTGGTCCGCTAGGCTCTCGGAGCGGCAAGCACGCGAGCGCGCCATCCCGCCGCCGAGAGATATCGTCATCCAGCGCTTCCATTTCTCCCCAGCACGTCCCGTCGCCCGTTCTGGAGCCATCCAGAGCCAGCCGTCCGACAACCGGCCCCCACTGCCTTCCGCCATCGCCATTAATTTTCGCGAGCACGCAATCGCACCCTGGAGACGTCCGGCGCCACATCGACAACGTCTCCCCCAGATCTTGACGCCCACCAGAGCGCAGCGCTCTGACCTGGACTGGAGCGTTATCGAGAACGGTCCTGCATAAACGGAGTCGTGGCTCCGTTGGCTCATTCCGTCCCGGGTCGCGCCTGAACCTGTCCTGTGTATCATCACACCTGAAGGACTGCATCGGCTCATCAACACGGCACTTTTCAAACTGAGGAATTGTGCATCCATGCTTGTGTTAGCCTTCCCCGACAAGCACAGCATAGCTTGAAGTTATGGCGGTGCTTGTATTACATCACGTTCGATGATCAGACTTGTCTGAGCATCGATGCTCCCTGCGCAATCCTGTCGTGGATTGCTACTCGAGGCCATGTCGATCATGTCAATCATGCTCGCATGCCATACCTTGAATCCTGATCGGTAAAGTCTTGGTCTGGCAGGACAATTCCCTTGTCATAGACATGGGCCGCCTCCTGCACTCAATGGTCTTTGTTGCAGTATCGACGCCTCACTGCAACGTTGAGCGCGCAGGAAACGCCCCGTGGCTCCGCTGTAAGGCACTGTCCAGGGAAAACCAGCCCGCTTCTTCACTCTTTCACTATCGCGAGATGCCGCCGACAGCCTGCTCGGGGCCGCTTCTACAAAAGATGCCTGCTCAGGGGGGGCTTGTCGCTACAGCAGTGGATGACTATGACACGCGACACTTCCGGCCCAAGTTTGACTGCACAATTAATCATCCCTCTTCACAGACACACACGAAGAGCGTCGAGCAGGCTGCTTCTTTAGCTATGGAATCAGTTGTTCGAGCGTAGTGATTGCCAGACTTCCCTACCGGAAGAGATGACTGAGCAGCTCTTGGCGCTTGCTTCAAACTTGACTGGCCGATTCCAGGCCGCTGGCGAACAGGTCGTCGTGAAGGGGGAGATCGGGCTGGCCAGGTACTCGGTACCGACATGCGGACCCCCGTAACGCGCCTGCACAGCAGGTGAAAACTTTGAAATCAAGTACTGTCGACACGCGAGGGCGAGGAGGACGTCTCAGAGTCGCCCGAGAGGCTGGCCATTGCCTCTTTAGGCAATGCGGCAGCCAATCACAGCCTCTGACGATGCATTAGCGCGGATTGCGTGCTCGACCTCAGATTTTGCCTGACCAGCGTGTTAACCTCATCATGGCTCATGGCCAAGGATCGCGCAATGCCGAAGGCCGCTGCAGGGTCTGAAACCACGGGCACCGACCGTATTGCTCCTGATCCTGGCCCAGATCCGCTCCGTTTTGCCTGACGCCGCGCCGTGATTGGTTCGATGCTGGATGCTGGCTGCTTCCCTCGCCCTTCTAGGGACATCTCGTTCCTAAGCCGTCATTAATAATGTGCCCTGGTGTTTGTAAGTATCTCTGTCGGCGGCCGAAGGTTCGAAAATCGGGCTCGCCCTAGGATGTGCCCGCAAGCACGCAACCACCAGGCTCCCCACAACGCTTGACCTCCGTTTAATATCTCAGGCTCCCCTCCCTTGAGCCGGGATAGTGACGACTTGGACCATCTTCTTTTCGTGATCCAGGATACGTCAAGACATATCTCCTCTTGTGAACTGTCTATCACCATCAGCCCAGCTCAAACTCGCAACTCCACGGAACATTCTGCAAAACGATCTTGGTCAGGATATCCGAACAGCAAACCACAGGAGAGACTCACAACATACCAAGTTTCCATACTCCAACTTGGTTGAAGGCCACGCAACCTCCTGCCGTCGCCACCCTTCGCTAAAATGGATGCCTCCACATCCACACAGTCATCTTCCTGCTCGTCGTCGCCTGTCATGCGGCCCGTGAAGGACGGGGTCGATTCTGGATACTCCACAGCCGCTTCCTCGACGACCAGCTCGACAGCAAGTCTTCCCCAAGTGACCTTGACCAAGATGCATCTCGAGCATCTGAACAAGCAGATGTCGCGGATGAGTGCTCTTGACCGGCTCCGCTTCGCCACAGTCATGTTCCCGAATCTGTACCAGTCGACCGCGTTCGGCTTGACCGGCCTCGTCACCATGGACATGCTCGCCAAGATCCAAGCCGAGTCCCCCGAGGCTCCTTCAATCGGCACCATCTTCCTGGACACTCTGTACCACTTCAAAGAGACCTACGACCTGATCGACCGGGTCAAGGCCAGGTTCCCCCATCTCACCATCCACATCTACCGCCCCGACGGTGCTGAGAACACGGCAGAATTCGAGGAGAAGTATGGCGAGGGCCTGTACGACATGGCCGAGGAGTTGTATGACTGGATCGCCAAGGTCGAGCCTCAACAGCGGGCCTACACCGAGCTGAAGGTTGCTGCCGTGCTCACTGGTCGTCGGCGATCGCAAGGCGGCGCGCGCGACAGCCTCTCGTACATCGAGGTCGACAACGAGACCGGCATCATCAAGATCAACCCCCTGATGGACTGGAGTTTCAGCCAGGTCAAGTCGTACATCACCGAGCACGACATCCCATACAACGTCCTGCTCGACCAAGGATACAAGTCGATTGGTGACTGGCACTCCACCAGCCCCGTGTCCGAGACCGAGGACGAGCGGGCTGGCCGCTGGAAGGGCCGGGCCAAGACCGAGTGTGGGATTCACAACAAGATGTCCCGGTACGCGCAGTTCCTGAGTGGCCAGCAGGAGCAGCAGCAGCAATCGTCAGAGCAGGAGCAGCTCAGCTCCGCGCTGGAAAAGGTGGAAAGGAGCCAGCAGATCTCGGTCATGTAGAACTGAGGGGGCGGCTCGTGTGTCTGTGTCCACCATGATTTTATGATGTTTTCTTCTTCTTCTTCTTTCGGGTTTCGGGGCCGACAACGGCATGCGGCGGAGTTTCGGGCGTTTCCCATTCTGGCATGCCTCCGGGCATTTAGCGACTAGCATCACCATCATCGTCATTAGTATCAGCATCATCGTCCTCTCACGTATAATCTACGCTCGCCAGTTGCTGGCGGGAGTGGGGAACCGGGGGGAAAAGTCAAAAGCAGCACTGCAAAGCATTTGCAAAGATAGAAAGGATATGCCATACCACAAAGAGATAGTAAAATTTTGACTCAAGTGTCAGACCTCAACCAATTTCGTTCAACATCGTGATTCCCGTGCTGCTTCTGTGAATATTCGACCGTGGACATTGAAAGGCGACAACTCTCGTCCATGAGAGTTGGTGTCTGGTGGGTGTAAAGCATGCCTTTCACGTCGAGCGTTGATGGTCTCCGTGGATTCCGCGCCCGCCAACAGTCTCGACGCTCAAGATGAAAGAACGAGTGATGTCAAACGATGCCATTAGAGCCGCATGCAGGGGGGGCCATGCTCGACGGTACATATATATACCGGACCACGTGGGCGGCTGGGCAAGGGTTGTTGCTGGTGCTTACTACATCGTCGTGAGCAATAGGATGCATCTAAGACGGCGTCCACCACCACGACGGCGAATAAAATGGAGGGGAAAGTGATCGCCGTTGTGGATGCAGTGAGTGAGGTCTCTGCGATTTGGGGAAATCACCACGCACACGCACGCCGTTTGACTGGCCGCCCCTCCCACCACCCCCGCATTCGAACCTCTGCTGACCAGCCAGGTCATGCTCTCTACCTGAACAACGGCAAGTAAGGAGCTCTCGAGTCCCGACTTCATCCCACATCTGCTGAGCCCGGTTCACTTCACTTCAGGAGAATGCTGCTTGGCAACAAGTAGCTGTGGTATTTCTCATTCACTGTATACGTTTGTGCGCACAACGTGGTACAGATACCACCCCCACAATGTTGACTACGATACTGCCCGCAACAGATACCACTGTCAGGGTCGTCCTGGTTCCAATTATCCTCCCGAACCCAATGAAGTGCGTTCTGCAGCCAGTCATGGAGATGTAGCATAACAAAAGCACATCCTCATCGGGCCTAACTAATAATAAAAAGTGCCACCTCCATTACACTTTTTAAAACATCATCCAACCACCGGTACAGCAAGGAATTTTGAGCATGAAAAGTCCTTTACTGAGCCAATCGCACGGGGTTTCAACGGATCAAGGGTTGAACTCTTGCTGTCCGTGCTGAAAACCGTGTTTCTATCTCCTCCGCTCTCAACTTCAAAAGAATTGGCCGGTGGATTTGGATAGAGCGACGTCGTCACGAGCGACGGGTTCCTGGCTCGCAACACTCTGGCTTTCAGAGCCGTACACGGGAGGGCGGTCGAGGCTGTCGAAGCGGCGGCCGCTCTTCTTTGCAAGAATCCACTGGCAAGCGAGCCGGAGAAGCAGAGCACCAGTGCCCCACAGAATGCCACCGACCGGTGCAGCGACAAAGGCTCCAAAGGCTGACCAGTCATTGCCGTACAGGCCATTCTGCAGCAGGATGAGCTCGCCACCAGCCTGTGCGTTTCCATAGTAGACGGTGCCGAAGAGGAAGACGGTGAAAATGCCGCCAAGACCGCCGACGACAACCTCGAAGCCACGCCAGAAGTAGAAGCGCTCGGACAGGCCGAGGATGAGGACAGGGATGGTGGCTGCCGACAGCAAGTCCGTGATGAGGTAGATCTGGAGGATGCTGGGAGCCTTGAGCGCAAGAATCACCACGGGAACGATGATGACCACGACACCTCCACGGATCCACCAGATGTTGAGCTTGTTGCGGAAGAGATCGTTGGACACGGACGAAACCATGGCCGATTGCAGACTGTCAAATGCAGCAGTGCTAAGCGTGACGACGAGCACCAGCACAATGCCTACGGTCCAGCTAGGCAGAGACTCGAGGAGCAGGAAGAAGGCAACAGAGCCATCATCGACAGGAGGGTCACCAGGATAGGCGCCAGACCAAGCGGCTACAAGGCCGGTTACGCCAACCAGAGTGAGAATAACCAGGATAGCCACCGTAGCCATCGACATGCCGATCCACAGGTCTTTGTCGGTCTTGGAGGCGAATGCACGCAACCAGAAGTTGGCGAGGAAGAAGTCGTTGGTGATGATGGCGACCGGGAGGATGTAGATGAGCTGCCAGCCAAGAAGGCTTGGTTCCAGGTAGCCAGAAGATCGAATCAATTCCGGGTCAATCTCCGCCTTGACACCAATGGTGATTGTGGCAATGATGATGAGGCCACAGACCATGGCTCCCTGCACGTTGTCCGTGATGAAAGAGATCTTGAAGCCGCCGAGAGCTGCGCACAACCGTGGTCAACCAGCCTATCCCCGAGGACCATGTTCTTGGAAGCGTTCTTACATGTGTAGATGGTAGTGATGATGCATTCAACAATAATCACTGGAAGTCCGTCAAGGCCAGTCAGAGCTGTGACAACTTGGCCGATGGCGGACAGCTCAGCGACCATGTAGAGAAACAGTGTGAGCAGAGTCAATGCTCCGAGATACAGCGCCGTGGCAACGCCGTAGCGCTGTCGGGTCCACTCCGTGAGCACGAAGCCTTCCGGACACTTGCTACGAATGACGGGGACCAGGGCGGCAAAGACCAGCAATGGCAGGGCGGAGGCTAATGCATAAACGATGACACCCTGAAGTCCCGCGATAGTAGCCAGCTGAGGGTACGAGAAGAGAATGCCCGATCCCATAGCTGTTGGCGCGAGCAAAGGAAAGAGTCGGCTAAGGTTAGCATGCATGAAACTTTTGGAAGGGAGAAGGGGGTAGATCGTCGCGGCAGCACGTTTCCCACGCAAGCATTAACTTGATCGAGTAATTACGGTACAATCTCAGCCTCATCTCTGCACGCCATCCATGGAATCTCCGCGCACCAAAGTCGCGGGTGGATTCCAGGGAATGGTCGCGCTTTGATTCAGCGCCCGTAGTGAGCCGCAGAACTTCAGCCTCTCCGCCGTTCGAAAGTGGGAGGCCCTCGGCTGTGAAGCCCCAGGTCCAGAGCCCGTGCCCACTTCCAATAGCAAAGAGACCAAAGATCTGTTGATTATCAAGTACGAACCTATCGTCAATATGCTTAAGACTAGAGCGTCCCATCGAGGCCGTCGTCAAGCCTGGCGGGGGGTGCGGGCCGTGCCCGAGTCGTCACGCTTTGTTGTAGAGGCATGGGATCGCTCCACGCCGTGCCAGCTTGCCAGCAAGCGTGTGTGTTCTACACCATGGCCTGTAGGATCTACGTTGTGTCCATGGCCAAGTCGAATGACCGAGCAGGTTGGATATCGGTGCTACCGCTTTGATCTGACTTGAAAACGAGAGCTTGCGCTCTCTGCTGTCTGTGCAGCTACTTACCAGCGGCGATGAAGTTCAACGCAATTGGGAAGGCTGCGGGGACGAATGTTAGTGACTTGATTCGCAGACCTGACAAACAGGGCAACTAGAGGCTTGATGATCCTCGCCAGACCCTCCTCCAAAGGTGACCGAGGAATGGAATGCCTCGTGATGAGGTTTCGGCTGCTGCCAGCTAGGTGAGATCTGACCGGACTGAGTTCTATTACCAGCCAAGAATTCTGACTTGGGCTGGTTGCGCATCCTCCAGGCCAGGCCGGTACCGAGAAGGCTGCATGCAGCATGTCAAAGTCAGCAAGGGGTGATCGAACTCAATGAGTGTGATAAGGTGCGGTGTTGCATGCGTCCAGCAGTATAGATTGGCCAGCGCTGCCCAGGACACGGGAAGGGCGACTAAAAGGCGCACGTCGTCACGCGCATGCATGGACTTACAGGAATGCGCCATAAGTGACGTAGATGAGGGCGTTGGACGCCTCGAACGATGGTTGGCCCATCTCTAGGAGCTGCTCACTGCGCGACGCGATATAGGATGGGAATAATAATGGTTCTCGCCGTGCTTGGGCGGGTAAAATCGTAGGGGAGCGTGGTTTGCAGAATGAATGGTGAGAGTGAAATGAAAGGCGAAAAAGTTTGGGACATCCTCAATCCGACATAGCTCCGCCCCCAGCAAACATTGGGGGTTCGTGCTCGGCAAGTCCCGCCCGCCGATACCCTCCGCTTTCCGGAGCATCACCACGTCTACGCGGCAGGGTTCAGGTCCATGGTGCGAATGATTGACTGCGTGTTTACTCAAGTAATTTACACAACTGGTTTGGCCAGGGCCTGAAATTGCGCCATCACCCCATCGTTTGTGCACTGGCTGCGCAGCTTTTCCTTGACCACATCCCCACCCTCAGACAGATCTTATCCCTGATTCTGGTGGAAAATCCCCTAAAATACAAAGCGTTGTCCATCTTCAATGCGACCAGCAGCATTATCCATCCATGTAACGATATTTCCCACAAACACTCTTCTGACAACGCCCTTTTTTTGTCAGAGCAGCTGAGACTCACGTCAGAGTTCTCCAAGCAAGTCTTAGACTTGAGCAATTTCACACAAAGGTCAGAGGGTTAGCCATGAATTGCAGAAATGTCCTGTGAAGTCTACATTGCCAAGCCCTTTGCCGAGACATTGAACCACGACATCAGTCGTTGGTGCAGGCACGGGGCTAATGCTCACGACTTCCGGCTGGCTCGGACAGATTGTCATGTTTGCCGTTGAATTGCTTTGTTGGCGTTCCCAACTCGTTGGCCCGGCGGGCGAAAGTAGCCTGATTGTACGCAGAAGCAGCAGCGGCATGGGCGTAGCGAGGGTCCGAAAGATAAGGTGTGGCCCAGGAGTATGGGTTCCAGGCTGGGGCAGCGGGCGAGAATGCTGCGGCAGTGTTGTATGTTGCGTACGGGCTGAACTGAGGCGTCACGGGCACTCCCACACCGTATCCCATGTCGACACCATAGGGGCTTGCCACATGAACAGGGCTGGGATACTCGGTTGGGAAACGAAGTTGGGCCAGGCTTGCCAGTGCCGCCTCTTCTGCGATGGCCTCTGCTGGTGTCATGCTCATGTTGCTCAGCTTCCGGTTCAGGGCTGGGGGCGTGGCAGGCTGCATGGATTGCAAGGATCTATATGATCTCAGAGGACGTGCTGGGCTTGCCTCCTGTCTCGGCAGAAAGCTCTGGCGATTGCTGTTCTGCATTGCGACCTCCCGAGACGACTTGGCCTCGACTTTGACTTTGGTGTCATAGATAAGAACGCCATTCTGGACGAGCTGTCAGTAATCGTGCTCGGCCAGCCGTGGCCACCAGGCACTTACCATGCTCTCGATAGCATTGATCGCCATGTGGGGGGCCGCAAACTCGCAGAATGCGAAGGCAACCGCGGTGTTGCGCTCTGTACTTTGCGTCAGGACTGCAGAAATTTCATGTGCTGTCATTGAGACTCACCTGGATTGGGTGGCTTGCTGATCACAGTGACTGCCTTGACCTCTCCAGCCTCAGCCATGACTGATCTAATCTCTTTCTCGAGGTCTGCGGGGGCAATATCTGTCGGAAGTCTGCCAATGAACACGGAGCGTCGCTCGAGATCGTAGTTCTCGAGGTATCGGCGATCAGCGTCAATTCGCGTAGCAATATCGTGTCGCTTCACATCGTAAGGGATGACACGGAAAGTTGGATGACGTCGGTACAGCTGCGCAGTCGCGGGTCAGCCTGTGCACTTGCATAGTTTGAGGTCAAGCACTTACAGCCACAACATCTCGGTCAGGGTCAAAGTTCTGAAACTCAACCAGGACGCCATTGTCGATCTTGAGGGCATCAAGAACATCCTGACTGATGTATTCGGTCTTGATAATGGGACCTGTGCGGCCCAGCTCCTTTGCTGCCTCATCAGCCGTAATGGGGCAATTGTCACGACGGCAAATGATGAACAGACCTGAGACCCAAAGTGTCAGTCAACATCTCTCGACCACATGATGTGCTAGCACTTACGATTGCCACGCACCTTCTCAGTGCGGCAGGGGCGGCCTTCGATGATCGTTCCACGGCCTTCACGAAGAGCAACCTCGGCATGCTCGTCTCTCTGTGGCGAGCAGTGTCAGTCATTGTGCTTGCAAGGTCTAGTACGATCTTTTAACTTACAGTATACTGGGCAAAGGCGAAAGGCATGTTGCGATTGTCACGGCGGATCTTGACGAAGACACAACCGAACTTAGAGAAGGCACTGGTGACAGCCGCCTCTAAGCGAGAGTCTTTGGCACCCTCGGGAAGGCTGTATGCTATGTCAGTATATCTCTGTCGCGCAGGCGCATTCGAGCATCAGGGTGTGAATGGAGCATGCTTACTTGGCAACAAAGACACAGGCTGTGCCCGGATAGTGGACCTGTGCATCCACGCCGCCCACAGCTCGATCATCGTCGTCTGGATCAATGATTGTGCGGACAATGGTGCATGGGATGCCGTCTTGGGTAGTCGTGGTGACTGTGTATGGCAGCGAGCCATGCTCGCCTTCAACAAAGACGTCCTCGTCCTCAGCGGGGTCACCGAGCTGGAAGCCGCCCGTCGATCTGCAGTGATCAAGGTTAGCAGCACAGCTCCTCGCGATGAGGGACCTCGGTTATCACGTACTTGGTTCCGTGCTCACGGGGCTCGGGAGAAGCAAAAATGGCATCCGAGACAGCACGGCTTCGACCTGAGACAACCTCTGGAGAATGCTGAAGCGGAAAGGTCGTGTTGAGCGACTTGTGGCTGGAACTCGATCTGAATGTCACTGTCAGCTCATGTCGCTTTTATTGCCAGCTTTGGTCTCCACCCGTATCCTTAACTCACCCTGGTGGCTTGGGACTGTCGAATGCGAAGGTTGAAAGACTGCCGCAGAGTGGTGCTCCACCACCTGTGGAAGATATTAGTGACTGCCTAGACGGAATGGAAGTGTCGGTAGTGGCATGAGACAGCCGTGAGGTTGGATGATAGGCCTTGGGCGGTGTTGCAGGCCATCACGAGCGGGGATGTAGCCAGTACGACGAAGACTTTATTGAGGCATCACCAAGTGGGAAGGCGTGACGCCTGGTTGACAAGGCCAGACTCACCGACGCTTGAGACGGAGCTCGAAGATGAGCGGCTCATGTTGGCGTTGCCCTCGTTACGTTTGAACGACATGGTTTGTTGTGACCTGGCTCTGTGCCCGGATCGTCGAAGGTAGTGGAATTGGGGCCAGACAGCCTCAAGGGTGAACGTCGTTGACGTTCGTGGAGTGGTTCGATGACGGTGGACCACCAATGGTGGCAATGCAACGGATAGCGGGCACGAAGAACCTCTTTGGATCCAGGCGCGAGGACTCTTGATTAAGGGATGAACGGCGGCAACAGGAGAATCCTGGCTGGGATAATGATACTGACAGAGTCAGGGTGTTGAAGGTGCTGATAGTGCGCAGTTGAGCGGCAAACGACGACACTAGGAGGCGTTGAACTTCCAGGCAGGACAAAAGAAGTTGTGCCGATCAGTCTTCTGCTGGCAACCAAGCTTGGAAGTTAGGAGACCAACCTGCTGGGCTTGCAGGACCAGTGTCAGCCGGTGGTTGTGGAGAGGGGAGTGCCTGGCCAATCTAGATGGCCGCTGCGGGCTTGAACAGGAACGCAAGCGAGACTCTGATTTCTGCCTTGTGGTTGGGTCGACTTGAATGTCCGGTTGCTGGGTTCAGCCATGCAAAATCTCTTGTTTACGCCTTGTCTATGCCCACCAGTCACGGGCATTTCACGGCTGCTTCACGATAACTTCACAAGCGGTGGAAGTCCTCGATTATCCTTCCTCGAGTAAAGACTGCACCTCTGTCAAAACTCTCTCTGGTGCCAATTCGCTTCAAGTCCTATCTCAAAATATTTCTACTGATCTCATGAATCTCCGGTTTCTACTTTTGCCTTGTTGGCACACTGCATGAGTCCCACGAGCTTATGTGATAATGTGGTTGGTGGGTCTTGGTTGAGCGAGGTCTTAGCCGCGGAGCAAGGAAGAGTGATTCAGACGAGCAAGACATCCTCTGCTTGAGGATGATCGACGCTTTATCACTACCGAGAGCCGCCTCGCGACTGGGGACTGAAAAACACACCTGATGCAGTCGAGGCGTGTAAGTGTCGAGATACAGTGTCCTTGATAATGACACTGTAAGATGCACTGTGTGGGAGTTCTCGGGCGCGAGACCACGCCCTAGCTTGGCACCTCGGGAAGCAATCCACCTTGGAAATCCTGGGATATGCGGGCGACAACGACGTAATACCCTCTCTGCACAACAATCCCATCCTCCGACAGCCATTGACTGATCACGACAATGGGTGCGGGCTCCTCGAAACCAGCAGACGCGCACGTCTGGAAGGCGTAAGTTGATCGCTCCGCCCGCGCGTTGCGCAAACCAAACCCCCCGGTGCTGCCGGGCAGCCCTCGTTTGACTTTCTTTCCCCGGCGATAATTGACCCTCGGCTGACCGTTTTCTGTTCTCCGCATTGTGCAGCCCTGGCCCCGTCGGCGTGTCCCAAGATGTCGTTGACTCTCTCCAGACAAATCGCGAGGTAAGAAGCTCCAGCCGATTGCGCCCGTGAAAAGGACGCACCCCTTCCAGCGCCTTTCAGCGGATGGGAGCATACGACCACGATCATGTGACGAAACCCGGGAGCTGACTGCGGAGATCACAACACCCGACAGAGCGACATCTCGCGAGCGCAAACCCTCGAGCTAGCCGTTCAGGCGCGTGTGGCCGAAGAGCTGCGGAAGCTGCAGGACAAGGAAAACGCAGCGCTCAAGGCGGCGCAGCAAAAGGCTGCCGAGATCTCAGAGCAGGAGGAAAAGGCCGCGCAGTCCCAGAACAACCGGCAGGCCGTGTCCAAGGAGGTCGAGACGCTGCGCTCCCGCCTCGAGAAGCGCAAGCAGGTCAAGGAGCTGCCCGAGTCGGTCGAGCGGACCCGCAGCGAACTCGTGTCCTGCCTCATGGAGAACGACCGCCGGCCGCTCAACTGCTGGAAAGAGGTCGAGGCATTCAAGGAAGAGGTCCGCCGGCTCGAGAAAAGCTGGGTCGACAAGGTTACCCAGTAGGCAAAAGCGAAATGGCGAGAAAGAGATTGCCAATGAAGGCCGGTGGTCAGCGCGGCCCAGGCAGTATACAGGCTGCCCTTTTTAGCACTCATGGCCGTCTATGTATTGTAACGAACGTTGGGCGCAGTCGTGATACACGACTTTATAGATAGACTCAAGGTCTACGATGGTAGAGCATCCCTGGGGGCGCAATGTCATGTCATGTTAGGATCGAGGAGGCTATCCTTTGAGACTTGGTCTTCTCCTACTGTGGTCCGTGTTTGCTGCTCCCGCAGAAGTTCTTCTCGACGCCGCAATCCTTCCTCACGCTTGCGTGCTCGCCTTGTTTCCGCGTCCTCCCACTCTGTCCCATCCTTCTTTGTCGCCTTCGTACTCGTTGCGTCCAATACCGCAGAGCGGAACCGGGCTATCCTCTTTGTATTTTCATGGAACCTGTGATTCGAGATATCCAGCAGTCGACCCAGGTATCCGGAGGATACCGTGCAATATCTTTGACCCTGAATTTGTTCTCCAACCAGAGACTCGAGCAGCAAGCCCATTGAGCGTATCGCCACCATGGGCATGACGGTCTCGCCAGCTGAAGCGGTTAGGTTGATGGCGCCACTCTCGCGAAAACCTGCCTGTAGACCACAGCGAAGGAGAAGCTGCGCATGTTCTGGCGAGGCAGTCAGGACGTGGAGGATCTTGACGGGGTTATGTCAGTACAGTTCAAGTAGGAGTTGCACAGAAATGCAAACTCGCTCCAGTCAGATTCCCCGTGGAAGCTTTCCAAGCTGAGAATGATGAGAGACTTACCATGGGCTCAAATTTGAAGTGCATCAGTCGAGAATCCGCCTCTGGTTGTTCAAAAAAAGATTCTGACATGTTCGCACCCGATAGACCAAGGACTTGTGCTGGGTCATCAACGCCAGCTTTGAATGGCACCGGATCATGGGAGACAAACAACCAATTCCCACCTCCGCCTTTGCCTCCAACACCGGCCAGAGTAGCTGGCAGTGCCGCTTCCTCGATCGTCGTAGTGGCGGCGCCGACTTCTGCCTGGCCGTCACTTACTGCCCCTGCAGCAGATGCGTTCTTGACGCCCTCAACAAAGACACTGACCCTGCCTGCGCAGCTGCTCGTTGTCACAAACCCGTCCAGAGCATTGATCTCATCAATCAGGTCTCTGATGCCGACGTCTATAGATCCTTTGGGCGAGGCATCTGTGTACTCGTCTGTGGGGACGGAAAGTTGCTGCAAGATGCGCTGCTTCCTCTCGACAAAGGCTGCAGGCGGGGTGGGCAGCTGCTGGTTGCTCCTCATTGCGGTTCGTGACATGCGTGCGGCTGTTCTCACTTTCTCCCGTGTAGGGCTGCTGTCGACTTCTTTAGCCAACCATGGTCACCCTTTGTCGTGATGTCGGAAACTACACGAGAGACTTGTGGAAAAGCTGCAAGTGGTCCTCACTGACAGGAGCTGGTCTCCACTTTTCATTGTGTGTGAACATGTGAAACTATCACTTGCAACCAACTGGGCCACACCAGGTGACGCGCTCTCATCGGCAATCACAAGATGTGGGCTGGAATATCGCAAAGTGTATCGATCTTTCTCAGCTCGAGACATCACAAGAGGCAAGAGTGCATTCGGGGGCGATTGGACCCAGAGCCCAGGCGATGCTAGAGAATGCCGCTCCCACGAGGGATACTGCTGGAATTGTGTGATTGAGAGATCCAAGAGTGCAGGAAAACATCTGCCAAGGCCCCCAGCTTGACAGATGACCGGCGGCAAGAGACCCTAGCCCAGGAAGGCTCTGTGGGAGCAGTTGCACACCAGCTTTTAGACGACGACGCACGCGTGCCGGGGGCATGTGGCCGGCAGCACGTGGGCCTGTGCGGTGGTTGGTGATTTAGTCTTTCAGCCTCGAGGGGCAGCCCTGGGAGCTTGTCGGCGGGGAGCTATGTCCATACTGGAGAACGCTTGTTTGAAATCCAAGGGCGGCATGTGCAGCAGGGGGGCGTGATCCTGGCAGGGCCGGGCAATGACGTTTCCGGGCACCGTGGCAGCAACCACCAGCCCTGCCCTGCCTGCCCAAATATTTTGCAGGCCGCCGCACCAGGCACAAAAACCACCGGCACGCATCACCACATCCACTCTTGCGCATTCACGCTGCTGCACCCCTCGTAGACGCCCGGTCCGTTCCAAGCCTTGACTGTGCCCAGCACCGCAACAGCGCCAGGTCTGGCCCACAACCACACCGCCGCCACCACCACCACAACAATCTGATCCCATTCTCCCACTCAACACCACCAACAAGCACCCGCGACTCGAGCCTCCAGTCCCCCCTCGACGCCTGAGCGTGCGCTCCCCTCCCTCGCCATGGTCTACGTCCGCGAGAAATATCTCCCCAACCTCAAACTCTACAAGTACTCGAGCGTCGACCGCTCCCTGACGTCAAAGTACATCCTCAAGCCGTTCTACACACATGTCGTCATCAAGTGCTTCCCCATGTGGATGGCCCCCAACGCCATCACTCTCTCCGGCTTCTCCTTCGTAGTCGCCAACCTCCTCACACTCCTCTGGTACAACCCGACCCTCGATCAGGATTGCCCACCCTGGGTCTACTACAGCTGGGCAGTTGGCCTCTTTCTCTACCAGACCTTCGACGCCGTCGACGGCACGCAGGCGTAAGGATCCTCTCTCCTGCCGAGGCGGCATCAAGGGAAGTGTTCCAAAGCTGACTCTTGAATCACAGTCGCCGCACCAAGCAGAGCGGGCCGCTGGGAGAACTCTTTGATCATGGTGTCGATGCACTCAACACCTCCCTCGAGTGCCTCATCTTCGCCGCATCTCAAAATATGGGACAGAGCTGGTACACAGTCGCTACCGTGTTCGCTTGTAAGATGCCCTCCCCCCTCCTCTTCACCTGAACTACAGAGCATCAAGCTGACCACATCCTGCAGCCCTCATGACATTCTACGTGCAGACATGGGACGAGTACCATACAAAGACGCTCACGCTTGGCATTGTCAACGGACCCGTCGAGGGTATCCTCATCCTGGTCTTTGTCTATGCTTTCACTGGCTTCATGGGTGGCGCCTCCTTCTGGCAGCAATCCATGCTTGGCTGGCTCGGAGTGCCCAAGTCGATCGGCATTCCCGACTTCATCTACGACCTGTCTTTCACTCAATGGTACATGGTGCAGGGCACTCTGGTGCTTGTGCTCAACACGATGGAGAGTGCCAAGAACGTCATCGAAGCTCGCCGTGCTCGCGGCGACCGCAGCCGAGGTGCCCTTCTTGGTCTTGGCCCATTCTTCGCAACTTGGGTCTGGATCGTCGCCTATCTCTGGCTCCAGCCTATCATCCGCACTCAGCATCTGATCCCTTTTGTCTTCTTCGCAGGCATCGTCAATGCTTATAGTGTCGGTCAGATTATCACGGCCCACCTTGTCAAGCTCGATTTCCCCTATTGGAATGTGCTCGTCATCCCCTTGGCTCTGGGTGTCCTCGACTCGATAGGACCTGTTTTGCAGGCCAACATTGGTTGGGCATCTGGCTGGCCGAGTGCTCTCGGCGACGGCGTGTACCAGGTCGCCTTCATGTTCTGCCTCCTCGGTATGGCTATTGGTGTCTACGGCTCATTTGTAGTCGACGTCATTGTTACAATCTGTGACTATCTTGACATCTGGTGCCTCACTATCAAGCACCCTCATGTCGAGGAAACCGAGGAGACTGATGGCAAGAAGGTTAACTAAGATCGTCTTCTGTCGCGGGATCTAAACAAATCAGCTTCACCACGTGAGAACCTGACCTCGAAATCTGACATTGGCGGATCCTGAGGAAAGGTCTGGAGTTGTGGTTTGAAGGGGGTGTTGATGGCTATGAGTAGGCATAGGACACTGGTTGTCTGGCTCAGTATGCCTGTTGGGGAGCCGGGGTCATGAGGAGATTGGGGTTTGGCGGACCCTCCAGTGGATGCGGTGTGGTCCTTCCGCAAACAGAGAGGATTGCGATTATGATGCGTTACGTACTTGATGAGACATGACAAGGTATGGGATCAGTGGCCAGGTTCGGCGGTATATAGATCTCGGGTTTTTATGTTTTGCGCAAGTACAAGCAGGCTTGGACCCGCATGGGTTAATAGTTCGGGATATCAATGGCTCTGACTGCTACCTCGGTAGCTTGCAGACGGGATGGTTCAACCAAACTCAAATAAACTCACTTGGGCGCGATGCCTAAATTTCCGTTCGCAAACGACTGTGTACGAGATGATCAGAGATTGCACAAGTCGGCGTGGCAATCAACCACATCACTTTCAACTATGTATAGGCAGAAACCATGCTGCTTGCAGCAACTCCTCGGGGACGAGAACGACATGTGTGGATGGCATTCCGTCCCAGTATAAAACAGGGAGAAATTGATAAGACCGCGAGACTACCTCGAATATGCAAAAGAAAAGAAAAGCCAAACCCCGCAATCCTGAAGACCGGAGAGCCTACTCCGTACAACTCCTCGCCTTCCCTGCCCTAGTTGGTTCCCAAAATAAATCCCTGCCCAAAATGTGTCAAATTGTAGTACTCCGTTTGACTCCTGATGTGAAGCAGCTTTTACGATAAGTTCTTGGACTGCTCGCCGTGGACGTTCCGCTCATCTTCAATGACGGCGACCGGAAACTCTGCCTATACGCCATGTATGGTTACGAGACTGGCTCAGGATGGCCATTGGGATGATGCCAGAAACTCGACGAGAGTCTGCGCGCTGGGCGTGCTTTTGTCTTTAGATGAGCTCGTCGCTCCCACTAGCCACACTGAGCTCAATAGCAGCAAAAATGGCACGTTCCTCGAACACTGGGCCCTGCCCATCGCACCTTGCTTGTGATTTCAAGATCTCGCTGACACGCTCCACATCGACTAGGCCGCGCTTGAAGAGCTCGTGATTGATGATCATGTCCCAAGTAGCACCAGCAGCCAAGAGCCGCTCGCCAGCCTCGGACTGGACGATCCGATGGCTTGGCGTCTTATTGTGATGATTGGCAAGGAGGTCCGAATAGAAATCAGTCGGGTTGTACTGCAATGGCCCAGTCTGCGTAGGTGCCGGTGGTGAAAGCGAGCCCCCTTGCTGGGCATGTGCCTGATTCGTTGCGCGGAGAACTTCGTTCTCGGTGCTCATCCGTTGGATGTCACGCTTCAGCCGCTCGTTCTCAGTGGCTGTCGCGCCCTGGGCGGCCTCTAGTGTCGCAAGCTTCGCTTCGAGATTCTTGACATGCTGCTCTTTCCGCTCTCGAAAGGCGCGTTGACTTATCAGCCGGACGACAGGCATTAGCACTCGCAGTTCTTCTAGTCTTGGCCACAGGCTCTGAGCCGGGCCGGCATGGCGGGTTGTGACTTACGCTGCTCTGTTCTGTGCCTTGCGACGTGACTGTGCTGGAGTCATGTCATCGTCGTCCGAGTTGGAGCCCGCCTGCCGAACATCCGGATCCGACTTTGTAGTTGAGCTGACATCTGGCTGGCTGCTGTTGTCGCCGATGCTGTGTGCTCTGCCATTGGAGTGCGACTGGACACTGCCATTGCCGCTGTGTGTTGGGGGCGTCGGAGGTCCCGGGGGTCCGAGGTGAGGAGGATAGTGAGGCGGCGGCTGGTGGTGTGGCGGAGCCGATGGCTGGCCCTGGTGGTTGAACTGAGGATACTGCTGGAAGTTCTGCGGGAAGTTTTGGTGACCTTCGGTGCTAGGGAAGCCATCAAAGAGCTGAGCATCACAGGTTAGTAGAGTCCGGGGCTCCGGAGGAGAGAGGGAGGCGGACGCACCGGCGGGGACTGGGAGGTGAAGTCGTCGGTAGGGGTGAACTGGTACGGCTGAGGGGCGCCAAAGTACTGCTGGGAGAAGTCCATGGCGAGTTGTGATGGATGGGTCGAGACGGGGGAGGCTGGGCTGGAGTGGTGGAAGCGCAGCGGCGGCTGCGGATGGAGGCTCGACAGAGGTGGCGGCGAGGAGGAGTTCTGGAGATGGTTCCTTGTGTTGTGCGGTCGGCCTGGATGTCTGTGCAGGGCAGGATCTCCAAGGCTCAAGTCAAGGTTGGTTGGGCCTGTGGCACTGGCCAGGCCAGTGAGTGGTGGGAGAGTTTACTTGCAGGGCGGAAAGCTGCGAGGCGGGCTGGGGAAGGCGCGGACTGGGCAGGCAGGCGGGTGGGGAGGCGCCATGCCTCAGCCGGCTAGCCGTCCGTCACGGCCCTCCTCGAGTCGCGACATGGGGGGCTTGGAGTGCAATGCAAGTGGCGTGCTGTACGGATTACGCACCCACGCACTCTGGACGCAGGACTCTGAATTGTTCGACCCCGTCCAGGATTCGCAGAATGTTGCCGCGCGCAGAGCCCTGGTTTGTAATAGAGTGCCTGCCAGTCACATGTTTGTTGTGCCTTGCGCATCTGAGAGGTCCTCGCCTCGCCAACGTCGCCGCATGCTTTTCCGCCCAAATGTGTGCCGGCGGCGCGTGCTCCGGCAACGAGGACACCATGTCATTTCATCTCTCGGGCCCCGTCTGCGATCTGGCCCTGTTCCTCTGCTGCTGCTGCTGCTGCTGCTGCTGCTGCTGCCCTTTTTGCCTAAATGTAACCGTTACCAAGGTCACAGGCGCCTCCAAACTGATCGGCTCCCGTGCGCAGGCACTCGGGTGAGTGAGTGCTATACATGAACGGTATCGAGGCAGCTGCTCGGTAGCCTCGAGTGGAATCGGCCTGCTCAACAACGAGGCTCACCACGAGACGCATGTGCTGTTTCATGTCTGTTGCTCCTGCAAGTGTGTGTGTTGCCCTCGCGCCGTGTGCAACGCAACCCCAAGGGCTGGAGGGCGACCCCCCTGCCTGAGGCTGCACGGCACCCGCGAAGGACGCTGCATCTCGGTCCACCCGTGCTGTGGTTGTCAGCAGTGTACCACAATACCATGCAAGACACCTTTAGCCGTCAGCAGGAACATCCTCGAGTCCATCAGAATGGGTCCCGACACGGCCCGCAGGCTTGTTCCTCGGGGAACCCGCTGCCCTGACGTCCAGTCTGCTCACAGTCCAAACTGGGCATGACGGACCCCTGCTATCTGAAGTCGGGGCTTGATGCCATCAAGACGACGACGGTTCAGGCTGGCTAGTGATGGAAGCATATAAGCCAGCATCACGCATCCATGCCAGACGCCCGAGTCTGCCGTGCTGCTTGGCTCGGTGCGGTGCACATGAACAAAGAGCATTGGGAGGAGAGCTTGCAAACCATGCACACAACCCAGCGGTTGTCCGAGGCCGGGCTTCGGTCCGGCTTACTTCGGCCACCAGCCTCGCTCCTTCCTCGCCGCACCAAGAGGCCAAGATGCCGTGTTTGTATCTTGTCTTCGAGGTGCCTCTGACGTGACAATCCAGGCGTCGGTTGACGACAATGCAAGACGGGCGAGCCACGCAGTGCTGAGTGGTCTTACTGCCCAGACCAGCGCCTCCTCTCATCCTGAGCATTCAGCATGAGCATCTCCTCCTCGATGGAAAACAAACCGCCGAGGTCTCTTTGACGTGGATCCCAGGCACAAAGAAGTGCAAACAGCAACCTTTTGTGTGTGTGTGTGTGGCATCTCTGGGCATCTCCGTCCCCGGCCTTGTTCGTTGGCTGTGCCAAACAACTCCCGACTAACGGACAACCACGACAGTGTCCCGTTTGGCCATCCAGGGACTGCTGAACCGTCACCCAGCTCAGGCTCTCGACATCATCATACCCAGCATCTATAATAACGCCGTCTACCGGTCGCACTTGCTCTTGGTTGTGCATCAACTCCATCCAAGCAAACGCAAGCACGACACCGGCCTCTCTGCACATGCGGCAAGGACGATGGACTTCTCACCAGAACATCACATCATGCAGTCTCCCAACACTCTCGCCACTGGGCCGCTGCTTTGCACCAGCCCGCATATCACGCCCGGTAAGCAGCAAGCCTCTGCGATCAAATATACCACAGTCGGCTCCATCTACAATCCTGCCGCATCGCTGCCTCTGCAGCCTCCTGCTCGCCGTGGCCGGACCGTAAAGTGGCCTCCGACGCCAGCCTCAGGCCCGGCACGGTTCAACAAGTCGCCCTTCCCAATGCTGCCCTCGAGAACACAGTCCCAAGCCGGCATCGGCACCGGCGGACACCCTTCTGCTGCATCGTACGTCCTGCACTACTCACCGCTCCAGCAAAATGCCGATCGTGCCATCAGCCCAACGGCAACATCAGACCCCTTTTCTGTTGCCAACAGCGTGGACGAGTACTACACCACGTCGTCGCGACCTTCTCCGCTGACTCTGGATTTCACCTTGTTCACACCAAAGCCGGCCTTGTCTTCAACAAGCACTACGCGCGAAGCATGGCCTGATGACGGTAAACGCAAGGATGACGAGGATGATGCCATAGCCGACGACAAGCTCAACCAATTCTCCGTGAAAGGACTGACCAGCTTGGCATCATACCCCAATCCAAACCAAAAAGCTGCTCAAGAGCGACTCCAAAGAGCTCGACCGCTGCCTAGCCCAAACAACCTCATCAATCATGGCCTCCGGACTCTGCCAAAAGACCTTTCGTGGCAACCCGCCACAGATGGCCAACAGACAACGAAGGTAGCTCTGTCCGCCAGCACTCTTTCAAAGCTGCCTCTCAACGAAGGCACACTTGCGCGCTCAGGTTCCTTCCACTCTGCGAACCCTCTTTCTCTTCAACCTCTCCAAGCCGATGTCGCTCACCCTCTCACTGCTGGCCCTCCAGGGCAACGTCAAGTGCGGCCCATCGGCTCTCAAATCCCACTCCTCAAGCTAATGACAGACAAGGACAAGAAAGACACCAACCAGCAAAAACACCAGGCACTGGCCTTGAATGCCAGCCATGACGGCACGTTCCTAGCAGGCTCAGGCATGTCGATGTCACCAAGCTACAACATGGCTGATGAGGAGACAGCCTCGCCAACTGGGCTCTGGACGACTCACCAGGGAACCAGGAAGATACGTGACTCGCTCAAGGCAGAAGAAGCGCGATACTGGTACAATGGCCAGCTACCTACCAACTTCGATCGCGACACGCAAGCTGTGGATGCATCTTGGACCCACGAATTGCTCGCCGAGCAAGACTTCATGCAGCACAGCCAATGGCGATTGGCTCGCTCGGTGACACATTTTGGAGCCAGTCACTCACGTATCTGTCTGGCCAACAGCGGTATGCAAATGAACACACGGGACAATGACACTACCTTCGCGTCGCCACAGATGGCTTCTCTTTACAACATCGAAGGCAGCAATCGCCTGCCCAATAGAGCAACCATGGCACCATGTCACTACCAGCAAGGCAGCTCCTTGGATTCCAACAATGATGGTAGTCAGTGGCATCGCCAGTCACCTACAAGATTGCTACAAGTCGCCTGAACCGGATTACTCAAATCCAGGGCAATGCTGACTCACTGCCGAGGACAAGCTTCGAGTGGTACCGCCCACCACAGTGTAGGCTTGATAGCATGTCATCTTTCAAAACACGCCATGAGGTGCCTATCTTATGGCAAGCATACCCAAGTTACACTATACCTGTTTGTTTTATCCTGTCCTGGAAGTTGTCGAAGGCCTTGCACCACAGCCTCACAGGGAGAGTGAATCAAGGGAAATGAATTGGTTGATTGTGCGGAGAGGGTGCTTGAAAACCAACCAGCACAGGCTTAGTATCGCAACACGCACGTCTGACGAGAATACGTGTCTCCTTGACACGTGGATAATATGGACATGGTATCACACATACACTAGCTACCTGACCAGTCACTCCTTGAAAATAGCTCAACAATGCATACTTAAGTAGGCATGGCGGTAGCAGCGCCGTGGCCATTCAAGGACAGCCATTATCAATCACTTAGGGATATGAACTTTTTTATCGATTCTCCTCGTGTATATATGACTTGAGATATGTGTTGCCACAAGTTGACATGACGTCTCTGCAACACAAGCCCCATTCTCGTGGCCTTTGTCATCAAACCTGCTCTCTTTTTGTCTCAACAGAAATCTGCCAATCATTAGCGCTGGTGGGGGCCTTTAACCCTGCAGTGTACAGAGAAGTGAAAAATGACAGTAGGGAAATTCGATGAAGCCAGCAATATATGGATCTTATCACGGAATATCGAGTCCCACCGCAGTGAAGGGTCCTGAACTCGACGACCGGAGAAAATAGATCATCGATATACCAAGAAAGCTGGTCTCCATGGATTGGCTCGTCCACACGTGTGCTATGCAATCAAGTGACATTGACTGCAGTTCCCTTGCGTGGCAAAATGCAAATCGAGGCAACTGAGTATGAGAATGGAAGCGGGACGGCAGTTGGCGTCGTCGCTAAGCAACATGACCAGAGTTCTCCATGCTGGATTGTTGACGAATAAACCCCATAGGATAATGCTGCTCGTGCTCGTGAAAAATGACGCGTAGAGCATGCAGCTCCTAACTTTGTAACCCCACGTATGCATTGATTGAATCATTAGGATGAAAAGTGACTGCTTTGTGTGCTGCATCGGCCGAGGAGATGGTCGGCGACTTGATCCGTTGCAACATATTCTGCAGCCCATGGCGAGCGCGTGCCGCCGTGCTTAGCCATGTGATTATATGGCTGGGTAAGCACCACCGGCCCCCGCTCTAGGAATAACACCGCGACCAGGGCCAGGTAGCTGGAAATCGGGGTTGTTGGCAAGTAGATCAGGCCCACGATTGACGGGTCTCCTTTGCGGCATTTGCCCGTAACCTTGACCTGGTCCAGGACCGGGGTTCCATCGTGGATTGACAGGGCGCTGTGATACTGATGTGAAGCCCGACCGCTCCGAGATGGCTGGGCTTCTTGAGCCCGGGGCACTATGTAAGTCATCTGTCGAAATGTTTTCATCGTTGCGGTTCAAGCTTGGCGGCTGTGCGAATCGCGGATCGACATCCTCATAGTAATCGCTGGCAGCAGGATGTGCTCCTGGTGGTCCTGCCGGTATAGGCGATTCCTGTATCCGTTGGGGAATGGCGAGGGGGGAGGGGATGCCTGGAGAAGCTCTGTTTTGACCCTGGTTCCAGCCCTGGCGTGGCGGTACGTATTGGCTACTAAGGGGATTTGTTAGCGAAACAGGATCTTGGCATGACGAACTTAGATGGAATCGGCGAGTCACTTACTCATCCTGGCTATACATGCTTGCCTCTGTCATCATAGTATCGTGTCGGTAGGGTGGAGCAATGCGACCTTGTTGCAGAGCAAGCATACCAGCAACATCCGCATCGCTGTCGCGCAGCTGGCTGTTAAATTGACCAAAGCCTTGCGGCGGGTGCGCAGGGCTTCCCGTCGCTGCGTCCATCTCAATCGCTTGCCCAACGGCGTATGGCTCCTGGTTGCCCATCGGCAATGGTGGTGGCGACTCGGCGCGCGGCAGGTCCTGCTCTGCTGACGGCATTTCGCCCATTTGCGGGTTGCCGTAGGCAGCGCCTTGTGGTGGATATGGCCCTTGAGGTTGGCCATAGTTGTCATAGGCATTTGCCGGAGACGGTCTGCGATCGTTCGGCCCAGGGTCATTGTAGCCCGTGGGTGTCTGCCGACCACCTCGCGGCCCTCCGTTGCTATATCCTCCACGTGGTCCAACAGCACCGCCCCGGCCATAAGGTCCCTGTCCTGGTGGACCATAGCCGCCTCTTCCGGGTGGACCATAGCCACCGCGGCGCGGGCCATATCCGCCTCGATCATAGCCACCACGACCACGAAAGCTTCCCGGAGCTCCCCCGCGGCCACGCATCCGTTCTTGGGATGGACCACGGCGAACGCCATAAGCGTCCTGAGGTTGACCGATGGGGTTTCCATATTGGTCCCTTGGAAGCGAGCGTGTCGAGCTGGTCTGCGAAGGTTTGCTGTAAAGGGTGGGTGCCTGCCCCTGGTCAGATGCAGCATTGCCTGCTGATCTGGCACCTGGTGACGTTGCCGTCAAGGGGATGCGCTCATCGCTGCTCTGGTCGTTTCTGCTTTCATATGAGGCAAATGTGGGTAGTTTGTCGTTGTTCGCGCCACTCATGACGCTCGGTACAGTTGGCTGCACGGTGGTAGAAGCGGCAGCTGTGGCCGCCAACTGCGCCTCGCGGTTGTAATAATTCTCACCACTCATCTCGGCGTTCTCGGCAATGCGCTTCTTCCTGGCCTTCCTGCTGACCAAAGTGCGCCGCATGGCGCAGGACACGATGAAACTCAAGAATACAAGAATTGTCGCGGCGAGTACGATGTATGAGCCCCACGCCATGTGAGGGACAAAGATGAGCACGTCCACAAGAAAGCACAGGAGGCAGACCAAGAATGTGATGATGGCCAGGATGAACACCACCAGTAGATAGCGTGAGGAATGTGAAGCGGCATGGAAGTGAGCAGCCACAGCCATACCGAACATGATCAACACTAGCAGAGCGGCCACGGGATGAACGATAAGAATGGCCGAGAGGACGGTCCTGGTTTTCGTGTCGATGTTGAAATCATCAGTGGCAGAATTAGTGTAACCTGTGGATCTGATTAGTTATTGCGAACGGTGATTCTGAGGACCGCAATACTCGTATACTAACCAGGATCATAGCCTATCTCAAACGGGCTGCACCGAGTTCTCGTGCAATACCCAAAGACACCAAATTTGAAGCCGCCATGTTCGCCAAGTGGGATATCCTTGATTATAGGTGTTGAGATTGTGGCCAGGAGGAGAAGGGCGAATGCCGCAAAGAGCAATATCGCTAGAGGCGTAGCTGGGCGCAACATTGCGACGAGTCGAGGAGCGCGCCGGCTCGGGTGAGCCGCTGCGCGAGTGGATCGACGTTGGTCAGGCGGTTGCGATGTTGCCGCAGCGTTGAAGATGTGTGATGCAGGTCGGAGCTAGCCGACTCGTCTGACGTCCCAAAGAGCGCAAGAGTTCAACACGACATTGAAGTCCGATAGCGCGCAATTGGAATCGTGGGCCGGTCCAAGAATGCTCGGGCGGAAGTTGGAGCGACTGCTCGCGTGCGGACCGGTACGCGTGGCGGGGGACCTTGGTTGAAGGATCTTGGCAGTACAGCGCGATAAGCGTGGGCGGCGAATATGGCGATGGTGAAGGTGGCAGTGCCTGCAGGAGCGCGGAGGCAAGGAGGTCGTTGGTAGCAGGGCCAGCCAGCAAGAGGGCGACGGGAGGGAAGAGAAGGAGAGAGGCCGAGCGAGTGGTGCGGAGAGAAGGAATGGACGCCCAGACAAAGGCAAAGGCTTGTGGACAACGGCGCTGGCTTTGGCGGTTGTGCAGCGGTGGCGTGGAGGTGAGGAACAAGACCGGACCAGACAAGACTTGGACTTGTTGGACGGATGGGCAAGCAAGGCACAATGCGGGCGGGACAGGAACCACGAGAGGCCAGGAGGAAACGGGCAGGACCGACCTCTCACTAACGCGGACCAAAGCAGACGGGGGCCAGCCTAAAAGCATGGGGCGGTTTGCTTGGAGACCCGCCGGGAAGGTGCGACCGATGAAGGCGTGGAGGGGGCTGAGCCTGCGGCGACCGGGGCTGTGATTGGCCGACACCCACCAGCGATACTTCCGCCAGCCAGGGCAGGCGTGCATCTCGAGCCTCCAGGGCAGCCCTGTGTGTGTGTGGCTCCTCCCAAATTACGCCTCAACCCACCCGACCCTGCCAGCCCATTCTCGCAGGGAGCCGTCTTGCGTGCTCGTCTGCAATCTCTCTCCAGCCCTCCCGTCTGTCTGTCGGCATCTCGAGCCCAGTCCGTGCCTGGCCAAAGGTGCCGCCATGCCATGCACCGTCCAACCCCAAAAGCAAGGCGACCTGTTGCCCCAGACCCAGACCCAGACCCAGACCCAGACTCAAGATCAAAGCCGCCTGTGCGATCCTTACACGCAAACCGGGGGACTTCACAAGGTTAGATGATACAAACAGACACGCCCGGCTGTTGTTCACGACAGGCGCTCTTCCTTTTGACAGTTGCAACAACCCGACGTTGATGACTTGCATCCTTGACCCCCAACCGTCAAATTTCCGAGCCCACACGCTACCACCATATCACTGGTACCTCTGCTCCGTGTCCATGGCACGCACCCTTCAAAACACGGCAGTACCCGACCAGAAGGGCGGCCGACGACGATCCCAAGATGAACGCCGGTGCTCTGCGCTCCTGCGGCTAAATCATCGCGCCCACGAGGTTACTAAACCAGATGACGGCTCTGTATCTAGCCCCAAGCCTGATGGACCAGAGCTCAACTTGTCATGCAGCCATGCAGATGGGCATACTTAATATTGCTGGCTGCCCCCACCCGCTTCCAAGATCCAACCCGGTTATCGCACCCTTGCTGGTAGAGGCGCAAGACCTTTTGCTCAGTGCAGGTGGCACAGCTTATAATTTTGGGGGCCTTGCACTACCTAGGTCTAGCAGGGACGAGCTGCCTTGTCTAGTTGTTGCAACCCCGTCTTGCATTGTCGGCAGCTGCTGTCGTCGATAAGCTCAAAAAGTCAGCACCAGCACCCCAAATCAACCGAGGACCACGGGACTTCCGGGCTCTGTTCCTGGAATCATCTGCGGCAAATAGTACTGTCTGGCAGTCCTGGCTTCTAAGCAGGCAGCCCGAGCTCTTTGCTGCTGTCTGAGCGGAAAGCAATGTCCAACGTAAAGCGTTACACTTTGAGTGGCCCGGCCACGATCGGCCACATCCGACGTTAGTCAGATGTCATGCACTCCTCCCATCGCACGAGCACGCACCAAGCGCGGACCAATGATTATGGCGTTGCGTCAATTCGACCGAGTCTGAAACACGGCAGCTTGAAGATCCCAGCGTCCAGACTTGAGCGCGCCCGCGCCAAAGAGTGTTTTGGCACGCGAGGACCAGTGGATCCGCGCCTGAGACCGGCTTGAGGCTCTGCGGCAGCCAGGCCAGGCCATGACACTGGCGAGACTGGGTCCTAAAAGCACGTCCGCACAACACAGGCTGTGCCTGCTCAAAAGCACGCACCACCCTTGCATAGTATCGTTTATTTGTCGTCCAGCGAGGGTATCGTAGTCATCTCAACTTTGGTCTTGGCTCGACGAGTGATTTGCGCTAGGGTCTTCAGACAGAATCAGTCTCAGAACCGCGGATGGACCAGGTATTTCTCAGCTAGCATCCAACCGGCGATGTAGCCGTGGGTGGTGCACGCGTAAGCACCACTCGAGGTCATATTGGGGTATCGTTCGTGAAGCACGATGACCAGCAACCATTCCTGTCATGCATCTCCTGGCAAGTCAGGATGAGTACCCCAGAGGTTGTTTTCTCGTCGTGCCAATGCTGCTGAAAAGAAGCTCAATCGTTTTACCACCACATCATAGATTTTCCTCGTGACGTCGGCCGCTTTCCCAGCGTGGCACTTCCAATGCATTAGCAAAATGAATGATAACAACCACGATGACTGCGGCGCTCCAAATGCACGAATAGGCCACGATCCCGGCCAAGCACTCGATGGAGCTAGCTCTGCAGCTCGTCCCTGAAGGAGAGTGCTAGGCCTGTACCAAATTCAGGTGACTTACGTGCCGCACTTCGATCCCAAGCGTGTCATTACAACTGGCGAACCTGACACGCGATTGTGCATATATGCAAAAGGATATTTGAAAGCAGAAGTCATCCCTGGAGTAGACATTGGAGCCTGGGCGAACAGCTCGATCCAGAGTACCTCCTCGGCTGTGGGCCGCTGAGCCCCAGATTTGGCCGCCGGAGATGTGTCTGGCCCCGATCGGGGCCGGCGATAAGTGGAAATCGGGTTCTGCGCGGCCGTACTGATAGAAGACCGAGCCACATCAGCGTCATCCGACTCGCGAAGTCATGACCACCATGCTCCTCCACCAACAACCTCGTCCTTTCACCCCTCGACCCAACCACAACCGCACGCTACCTTGTCTTGCACCACGATAGCAGGTCAACGGCAAGCTCCTGAGCACTGTACAACGGCAGCGAGGCAAGGACAACCTCCATGAAGCCGACCCGTGGTTCCTCCCCGCGGTCGTCATGCTCCGCAACCGATTCTTAGGCGGTGCTCGGTCGCCAGTGCAGCCGTTGCTAGCACTCTCTCGCGCCCATGCGCGGACAGCAAACACTCGGACGGCCTACACATTGAGCCAGACGAGGTACATTGGCTCACCCACGCTGTCAACACTTTCGACCACGACCAACTCTCTACGGCAGCCAATCCCGCCCTTGCCGGTCCGGCGCAGTCAGCCTCCCCTCCAACGGGGCTATCAGACCCAGCCTAGCTTCGAACCGCTCCGGCCCCCTTCGCCAGAGTCCCTGGGCAAGCCGAAAGTCGCGCGCGAGTACAAGCGAAGCCGCAAATGGGGTCGCCGACTCCTGACCTTGCTCGTGATCGGCGGCACGATCTATGCCGTCGACAGCACGCTCTTTGCCTCGGGCCTCGGCCGGTCACTGCGAACCTTCTCTTTGGGACTGCTGGTAGCCCTCGACTACAAGCTCAACTTCCGGCCCGAGCCACTGACTGGTGGCACTATTGACGACCTCCATCGGCGCAGCGCAGAGCGTCTCTTTGATCTCCTACGGCACAACGGCGGCCTGTATCTGAAGCTCGGTCAGGCCATTGCCATGCAGTCCGCCGTCCTGCCGCCCGAATTCCAGCGCATGTTTGCGCGGATGTTTGACGATGCGCCGCAGGTTGACTGGGCTGGAGTGGAAAAGGTCATTCGCCAGGACTTTGGGGGCAAGACGCCCGAGGAAGTGTTCGGCGTCAGCTTCACCGGAGAGGAAGGCAAAGGCCTGATGGAGCGAAAGGCTAGAGCCAGTGCCAGCGTCGCGCAGGTCCATTGGGCCCGGCTGCCAGACGGCCGGGAGGTTGCGGTCAAGATCCAAAAGCCCGAGATTGCGTCTCAGGTTGGCTGGGATTTGTGGGCTTTCAAGTGAGTTAATTTGTTCCCAAGCCCACCAACTCTTTCTTGGACAACGGCAACATGTGCTGACATGCCGCTTCGCTGCGCTCTAGGGTCGTCATGAAGGTATATACCTGGTGGTTCGACCTTCCACTGTACAGCGTGGTGCCGTTCATGACGGAGCGGCTCATGCTCGAGACCGACTTTGAGTCTGAGGCGAGGAACTCGGAGACGATGCGTGGGCTGGTCAACGCCGAGCCCGGCCTACGCGGCAGAGTTTACATCCCCCAGATCTACCCGGAGTTTACCACGAAACGCGTGCTCGTCACGGAGTGGATCGAGGGGGTCCGGCTCTGGGACAAGGCCGGCGCCACGAACAGATGGATAGGCGGTTATGGGCAGGGCTCCGCGGGAATCCACGGCGCCAAGCTGGACTTCTCGGCAGCCGACCTGGCTGCGGCGCGGCGGGAGCTGCGCGAGAATCCGCACCGGGAGAAGCTCAAGCCGGAGCGGGAGTCGTGGCGGGGCCGCAACGGCAAAGCCGGCCTGGGACTGTCAAGTAAGGACGTCATGACGACCATGGTCGACCTCTTCTCGGCGCAGATATACAAGTGGGGAGTCGTGCACTGCGATCCGCACCCGGGAAACATCTTTATCCGGCGCCTACCCTCCGGCAAGCCGGAGCTTGTCCTGATCGACCACGGCCTGTACCTGTACCTCACGCCCAAGTTCCGGCAGCAGTACAGCCTGTTTTGGAAGTCGCTCATGACCTTGGACAATGCGACCATTGCCGACATCGCCAAGGACTGGGGCATCAACGCGCCCGAGCTGTTCGCCAGCGCCACGCTCCTGAAGCCGTACGAGGGCGGCGACGAGTCGACGCGGAAGCAGCTGGTCTCGGAGCTGTCCGAGAAGGACGCCAAGAAGCGCCAGTTCGACATGCAGCAGCGCATGAAGTCCGGGCTCAAGGACTTTTTGTCGGACGAGGACAAGTGGCCCAAGGAGCTCATCTTCATCGGGCGCAACATGCGCATCGTGCAGGGCAACAACCAGTTCATGGGCAGCCCCGTGAACCGCGTCAAGATGATGGGCAACTGGGCCAGCCGGTCGCTGTTCCAGGACCCGAGCCTCTCGTGGCGCGAGCGGGCGCTCAATGCGTGCCGGCATCTCGTCTTCAAGACCGTCCTGCTCGCCACCGACTTCGCCTTCTACTGGGCGCGGGTGAGGCAGTGGCTCGGTCTGGGAATGGGGTTCGAGGACGAGATGGAGGCGAGGATGAAGGATGTCGCCAAGGACTATGGGGTTGACCTGCAGCACAACGTCTTTGATGGGTGAAGATTTGTGCTGTATCGGTGTGTAAGAGAAGGGAGTGTGTGTGTGTGTGTGAGGGAGCAGAAGGGAGCTTGCCGTGTACATTTATACTTTGGTAGACCCGTGTATTACTCGCGGCGAGAGATTCTGGGGGGGAGCAACCATCATGTGTCTTTCGTGCCTGCAGTCACGAGCGGTATCGGTTTAGACCTTTTTTTTTTTTCTAGAGAGACATCATTGGGGATTCACATACGAATAGAAAAAACCTCCGCTTTTCCTGCTTGACGTGAATTTGGCTTTTGAGTCGTCGAACACGATACTCTCCGTGGTGGAAAAACGCGCGCTGCCATCAAGTATAGCTTCAGACTGCCCTTGAGAAGTCTGGCAATAATTAATATATGGGTGTTTGAGCTGCATCACACGGAGAGCTCCCGCAGAGAGTGTGGAGCTAAAGGCTGTTGTCATGCACGTGCGAAATACGCTTTTGAGCAGCAGTCCACGGGCAGAAAGAGGATCAGGCTGCGGTGATTGTGAAAACCTTAAGGCAGCTTTAGCAGTATCGTGGGGTCAGGAACATCTCACGACATGCATTCCCCAGTGAGGGTTTCAAGTTTTGTCGTCCGATGATGAAAGTAAAGCTCGTGTGTGGATCCGGGGTTCCCAGGCTGCATGTTGCGTGCGGAGCTCCCCAGTGCGGCAACCATGGCCACCAAGAGAGGGTTGAACAAGGGTCTCTCAGCGCTTGATTACAAGAGCGCACGTCCAAAACGTCGTGAACTTTATCGACCCATGATTCCTGTCGAAATGCCAGTCCTGTTTGATCTGAATGGGCTGCGAGAGAATCGAGGGGTCCATTTCAAGCGCGTGGCGTGTAAGTGCAAGCCAGAGGAGGAGGAGGGCGGCGGCAGTGTGGACGGACACATGGGATGATGCCCCGTCAGCGCAAGGGTGCGGCCGAGTCGTACCTGCGTCAAGACCCCTGCAAGTGGCTCAAGCCGCCGCCGGGAGAGCTTGCAGATCCAGCACGCACACGCCCGCTCCTCGAATTCCCATCCGTCCACTGTCTGCATCGTTCTAGCTGCCGTCGGGTTAGTAATTGACAGGTGAGCGTACAGTGCACGTTGTCTTGCACTTGTCATATTGCAGCTGGGCGCCCGGGCGTTTGACCACGGAATCGCAAGGCCTGTCTCTGCTTTTTCCAGAACAGCCAAAATCAGCTTGGTCCGGTCTGTCACACGACCAAGGGGAGAGGGGCTCGCAACGGCTGGGCACCTGCATCGGCTTATTATCATCGTGTGGCCACGCTGCCCATCCATCGACAGACCCCTGCTCTTCGCATGGTAACGCGGCCCGAAATTACAGGCGACCATCGCATTTTGCTGCGCAGATTTCGTCCTCTCCGAATTCTTTGTACCCGCGACGCGTTCACCTGGGCTGACGAGTAGGAGCGGCTGCTTGAGGGTGCTGCGGGACGACGGCTTTGCTCGGTCTGCGGTGCGCTGGAACGCCTGATTGGGATAGCAACGGATGCATTCAACGACCTTGGGACTTTTGGGCCGTTACTTGTGCCACGTGGTTAGAGGCCAAGAGGCTTCTGCATCGTGGGTTCTGGTCGCCGGGACTTGGTTTGACTAAGTATTATTTGAATTCAAGGACCAGTCGGCAGCAACCGCCCAGGCGTGTTTCATCTGCCGCCTGGACCACCAGCGCATCGGCATGTCTCTGATCGACGTTAGCGGCACTGGTGAAGCACGAGTGTCTGGCCTGGCACTTGGGTGCTGCCCAGGTGGACATTTCTTGGTTACTGCCCAGTTGCCAATGAGGCAGCGCGCACGCACGTGCGGACCCTTTCTGCAAGATTGCCAAGTGGGGGCGCCTGCAGCAACCGGCGCGGGTTGGCAACACCATGCGCTAACCAGCAAGGTAGCGTCGTTGCTGCTGGTCCGAGAATAGGGGAACCCTGCCTGCAGCGCGACTCCAGTCCTCCTGCAGCCAGCCAGCCAGCCAGCCAGCCAGCCAGCCAGCCAGGTCCGCCCCCGGGTCCGTTGCTCACCATCGCTGGTTGTCGTCCGTCTGTCTGTCCGTTCGTTCTGTCGGCCACTCGCAAAGTGTCGTGATGCCCTCGAGCAGTGTCGCTGTCCATCCTCGGCACCATTGAGCCTGTGGCTGCTCCCTCCCTCACTGACCCAATCACTCCTCCCTCACTCGTTTCTTATCCTTTTCTCCCCTTTCACCTTGCAGCAACCGCCGACTGTGTCGTCCCCGCCCCGTTGTCTCACCCCAATTCTCCCCCCAGCCACGAGCAGGTCAGACCTCTGGCGTCACACAACCACGCGGCAATCCCAGGCCGTCGTCCACGAAACAAGAAAGAATAGAAAGAGACGAAAAACAAGAGCCACCAAGCAGCTGGACGGGCAATAACACCCAAGACCTGTCCACGGCATCACTCTGGCTGAAACCGCTGCTTGGGCATTTCCATCCCCCCCCCCCACCAGCTTCCCTTCTCTGGCGCCATCCCAAACCCAATCTTGCCTCTGCCTCTCCACGCCCAGGCCCGCGCTCGCCCGTCGTCGCCCGCTCCAGCAGTCGCACCAGCAGTGTCCGCGCCCGAGTAGCTCCTCTCTCTAGTACACGCCGGACCGCACCATCTCGAGCTGCCCTTTCCCCCACGCGCCGCCTCCCAGCATCGCGGCTGCCCCATCAGACCCTCGCCCAGCACCGCCCTTGCAACCCAGGAGCCGCTTCCCAGTCGCTCCTCCCTCTCAACACATGATGCTACTCAAACGCAGCAAGTCTGGCGACCTCGGGTCAAAGGGCAAGAAGAAGGGCCAGCAAGCCCAGCAGGAGCCCAAGGCACCGCAGTCTCCTCCTCGTCTGCCCGCCCTCTATCAGCCCCCCGATCTTCAGACTTTCGGAGGCGACAGCCGCCCAGACTCGCTCGCCATCATGTCCGGCAAGGCAGATCATTCGTTCCACCGCTTCCCGCCTCGGCCAGCCAGCCGTGGCTCAATTGATCCGAGAAAGTCGACCTCGTCCGCTCGTCCTGCGCCGCCAGTGCCTCCCGTGCCCGCCAGCTTCGACCCGTATGCTCGCACTGAGAGCATGACCCATCGGGGTCGCTACAGCTATGCCAGCAGTGCCGTCAGCACCATCAACAGCCCCCGCAGAGTCCGTCGCCGGAAAGATCCCACGCCTTTCAAGTAAGTCCTCAATTGCTGCTCAAATCTGACATTTCCCGAGGCAGTGATCTCCTCCAAGATACCACAAGCTAATCATGGAGCAATCTACCCGCCATCTAGCATCCTCATTGTTGGTTCTCGCGGTGCCGGCAAGACGTCCTTCCTCGAGTTTCTCAAGACGTCGCTTGCCTTGCCGCCCACAAAGCGCTCGCAGCGCTCGACTGAGATTGAGCAAGAAGTCACAAGCAAGGCAACCCCATCCGGCAATTTCATCCCACACTATCTCGAAAGTGAGATTGACGGCGAGCGTGTGGGCCTCACCATCTGGGACTCGGAGGGCCTCGAGAAGAATGTCGTTGATCTTCAATTAAGAGAGATGTCAACCTTCTTGGAGAGCAAGTTCGAGGAGACCTTTGCCGAGGAGATGAAGGTGGTGCGGTCACCGGGCGTTCAGGATACGCACATCCATGCCGTCTTCCTTATTCTCGACCCCTCCCGGCTCGACAGGAACATCGCGGCGGCCAAGTCAACCTCGAATGGCCTTGGCCACGCACACCGGGTCGTGGGTGGTCTGGATGAGGATCTCGACCTCCAGGTCATGCGCACTCTGCAGGGCAAGACCACAGTCATTCCGGTCATCTCGAAAGCCGACACCATCACTACGGCTCACATGGCCGTGCTCAAGAAGACCGTCTGGACAAGCTTGAAGACGGCCAACTTCGACCCCCTCGCCCCTCTTGGTCTCGATGATGAGGAAGACGACGATAGCTCAAACGGCTCAAACCGCATCGACGAGGTTGACGAGGAAGAAGAAGACGAAGAGGCGCAACATGGCGGGCAGAATGGCCACAGCGACCAGACAGGCGAAGACGAGGATGCCGACCCGGAGGACAGCTCGGATGATCTCCCTATCCAGGGTCGCACCTCGCCCGAGGCCAAAAGACGATCTGCCAACTCTGTCCGCAAGGCCAAAGAACAGGAGCAAACCGACGAGACGCCCCTTCTGCCCATGTCCATCATCAGCCCCGACATCTACGAGCCAGGTGTCATTGGCCGCAAGTTCCCATGGGGTTTTGCCAATCCGTACGACGCTGAGCACTGTGACTTTACCCGTCTCAAGGAAGCCGTGTTTAGCGAGTGGCGTGGCGAGCTCCGTGAGGCTAGTCGTGAACAGTGGTATGAGGGCTGGAGAACGAGCCGGCTCAAGCAGCGTGACCCTCAGAGTCGCCGCCACTGAAGGAAAGCTGCCCCCCCAGACAGTTTGCCGCATCGCTAGCGACTTTCATTACCCCATTTTCTCTGTCATTTCGATCTTCGCAGCATACCCCTTTTGCTTCTTTTTGATTCCCTTGTCGCAGACCCAACTCCCCAGTGGTGCAGAGCGCGGGGACCAATTTGTATCTTATGAGTACTCTAGCGCGGACTGTTCACAGTATCAAACTGCTGCGATGCGGCAACTTCTTTCTCTCACCAGACAAAAGTCCCCGGGCAAACTCATTGTTCACATGAATACCCGTGCACGGGCTGGGCGGGAGCTCCCGCAAGACTGCAGCACGATCGCTCAATGGTGGGATGGAAGCAACCAGGTCTGGTGGCCTTATGTACATTTTCCCTGCCAATCTTCTTAGCACGTGCGGAATGCTCTGCACTATGTCATAGCGAGCTGGAGGCGCCATGAATTCCGGAACCCCCCTGTTTAGGTATTTTAAAAATTTAGATGAAGGTCAACGATGAGCAGGACCATGTTGCAGTCAAACTTCTCCCTCAAGTGATCGTGTCTCGTGCGCACGATGGACAGTGCCTTCGGTATGTATCGCGTTCTCTTGCTCTCAAATCAGCACCATGCAAGGAGATAATTCGGACAGCTGCAAACCAAGCACAACGAGGCAGGCTTGTTTCGACAACCTCTTTTTTCACTGGGGAAGTGGTCTGAAGTCTCAATGGTCGCTCTACTTACCATGTAGTCGCAAGCTGCTTGCAGATTGGTCAGGTTGAAAGCTATGGGCCCCACTTTCGCGGACTTCCAGAATGCGAGTGCGAACACTTTAGCAGCCGAGACAGTCGGGTGGTGACGCAAGACGACGCCAAACAGAACTGCATCTCACTCAACTAACTCAGCTCGCACCCTCCTCCTGCAGCCGCCTTGCGAGGCAAAGCCCGTTCGACCGCCACTCAGATGTGCCATGTGGGTCGCAATTTCAACTTTAGCTTTTTGGGAGCCTCGACAGCGAAAGAATAGCTGTTGCCTGGAGGCGGATCGGGCAATGTAGTTGGTCGCTAATTGGCGAGAGCGATTGCGACCCTTGAAGTGGTGCCCAGAGGTGTTATCATCTAGTCCTACTATGGTACCTCATGACTAGTCAATGGTCCTTTCAAAGGGATCAAGGGACATAAGGGCCCGGAGAGGGGGAGATGTATAAATTCAGCCCTGGGATCCAGTGATCAGGCAAGGAGGGGTTGATGAAGATATCTCGGGCAGGAAGTATCTGCGCAGACATATTCACTAGCCTTTTTTTTACTATTACGAAAGACCACAAAAGCAAAAACAAACAAAATACATCGCCAGCCAAAAGCACCGAAGCCTGCACTTTGAAAAACAACCTGCCAGGTTCGACTGGGACATTGCTCGAGTGTTGGGGTTTGAGGATTCAAACGACACACGGCAACGACAACAACTACCGGGACTACTGTGCAGCCCCTCCTTCATTCTCGAGGTCACACAGCCATAAAACAAAAGAATAGAAGAAGTAGCATATATCACCGGAAGACACAACAATGTGCTGCAAGAGGAGAGCCCAACGCAACGCCGCCTTTGCGGCCATGTTAGACCCCTCAGCCGGCCAATACCACCAACACCACCACCACCAGGGCGACGAGATGCAGGCGTACTCTGCTGTTTTTCCTGCAGAGGCGACAACTTCCGCGGCGGCAATTTATGCAGCAGGCGGCCCTACTTCATACGGGATGGCTCATCGCTGCATTGGCCAGCAGCAGCGGCGCTCCTGCCGGAGCGGGGGATGCGCTGGTGGTGGCCGTCCTCGTCGAGGTGGCTGTGGTGGTGGTGCGCGCAGGGGTGGCGGAGGAGGTGGATTGATTGCCTCGTTTGTGAGGATGGTTGTGGAACACCGCGAGGGGAAGCGAGAGCGGCAGCGGGTTTGGGAAGAACAGGAGAGACAGAGGATGATGACGATGATGGGAGGAGAGCCGATGAAGGAGAAGGAGGAGGTTGTGGAGGCGGAGGAGGTGCAGGAGGTTGAAAAGGTTGGCGAACTGCCAACTTATGAGATGGCTGTCGCTCAGTGAGTTGAGAGCATGAGACCAGTTGTTGGAAGAGGATTAAATGGCTTCAAGTTCTCTCAAATCGTGCGTCTTGGCGTCATTCACATAGAGCAAACTAGATCCCCACAGGCAGGTCCACCATACGATCTGGCACAACTGTCAAAATGTCCAATGAGTGTTAACGTTGTTGGTATTTATATCCTAACATAAGGACGCCGTTTGGGAGATGTCGTCTCACGACTGACAAGCCCCCTACTCTTCCCAGCGGGATGAGATCATGTCCTTTGGCGCCATGCTCCGGAGCAGGCGGTCGCGGTGGCATCTCCGAGAAAACCTGCCGTCGTCTGCCTGACCTGGGTTACCCACGCAAGCGCGATTCTTCCGGGCCGCTTGGCCTGGGAGCTTGAAATTCTGTTTTTGGCAATGGTATAATTTCTCTTTTCTTTTTGTTGTTTGTATCTTGTAGAGATATCCCTCATGTCCATGCCTGCCATTTCAGAGACTCCCGAAGATATTTCATGTGCCAGGCCCCACGCAATGAGAAAAGCCCTTGTAATGCAATGCGAAAAAACGCAACCGGTAGACCCAGAACACCACCACATCCGTTTTTCTCTTTCATCCCCCGTTCCCACGTCATAACACAAAGCGAGACGTCCCATGTTTAGATGGTGGTCTCGTAGGCGATAGGGACGACGGTCTCGGGCTTGTTGTCAGCCATGGAGACCTGGCGGGCGTCGCGGGGCTGGCCGGGTGATCTCTTGACCTGGACGACGGTGCCGTTGGCCTTGGCCTCCTTCTTGGCGGCGGCGTTGTGCTTGACGCGCTTGATGAAGTCCTCGCGCGACCGCGAGAGGTTGATGTGCTCGATCCGGACGTTGACGCGCTTCTCGATGTACCGGTGCTTGACCTTCTTGTAGATGATGACACCGACAGCAGACTTGGTGACGTTGTAGACGACACCGGTCTTGCCGTGGTAGACCTTGTGGGGCATACCCTTCTGGACGGCACCGTTGGCCTTGATGTCAACGATGTCACCGACCCTGTGTGTTGTGTGTTATTGTCAGAAAAACCTCTTCCTCACGAAATGTCCCCGTCGTTCCTTGCCGTCTTCCATGGTTCAAGGTGTCCGACTGGTCGCTGGACTTGGCGGGGTGGGTTCGTACCGGTACTGTCTGAGGTAGGTGGACAGGTTGATCATACCCTTCTCCCGGAAGTTCCTGGAGAAGGCATACTACAGTCGAGCATTATTCCAGTTAGCCGACCATGTTTCCTCAATTGGTGCCTGTCCCCTTGCTTGCCCTCCCAGAATGTGCCTCCGGTCGCAGCCGCATCATCTAGTCGCAGCTGCGCCGGCAGCAATTCTGTTCGTGCAGCGTCTGAGGGGAAGCCGATGGGAACGTACGCGAGTGCCGCTGCGGATACCGTAAGAGTGACCCATTGTGACGGTGATGTGGTGTCGCTGGCCTGACGGTGGTCGGGTGTGGTGGTTGTCGTGGTGGTGGTTGCTGCGATTATCTTTTCGTCTCGGCGACTAACTCCAGGACGACAGGCACAAAGATCCGGGACGCCTGCGTCCCCTGCCAAACCCAGAAATTCGCTTAGCGGCCCTCGATTTTTCTGGGCTCACAGCCCAAAATCGGGCTCGAGGAAGTGGAGCGGCGCACAGGCCACCTCAATCACAGAAAAGTCTAAGCGAGACTCCCTCACCAGGCCATTTCGGGACTAGCGCGCTTCTGCCCTTCCACACAATTCCCAATCTTTTGGCCCCTGCCGTCTCTGTGTGCTTGCTGTCTCGAACTTTTCCCGACCTCGCGATCTCCTCAGTTCCACGACGACACGACAGCCCCAACACCCAACGACATCTCGACGCCCAACGACCATCGAGATCACCTGAGCAGTCGCAACCATGGCTCCTCTGTCCTACTCCAAGACCGCCAAGGTCCCCCGTCGCCCCTTCGAGGCCGCCCGACTGTCAGTATCACCCGGCCACTGAAAGCGAGCGTGCTCGATCTTTCATGTCGTTGTGAATCGCAAAAGACTGACATGATGGATTCTTTTTCTTCCGGTAATACAGTGACTCCGAGTTGAAGCTCGTTGGCGAGTACGGCCTCCGCAACAAGCGTGAGGTCTGGCGTGTCCAGCTCACCCTCTCCAAGATTCGTCGTGCTGCTCGGTAAGTCCCTCTTCGTCCGATATATGTCATAAGAAGTCGACATGTCCACATACTAGGGATGAATGCATATGCTAACTCTTGTGTGCCTACAGTGAGCTGCTCACCCTCGACGAGAAGGACCCCAAGCGTCTCTTCGAAGGCAATGCCCTCATTCGCCGTCTCGTGCGCGTCGGTGTCCTCGACGAGTCCCGCATGAAGCTCGATTACGTCCTTGCCCTCAAGGTCGAGGATTTCCTTGAGCGCCGCCTCCAGACCTGTGTCTACAAGCTCGGCCTCGCCAAGTCCATCCACCACGCCCGTGTCCTCATCCGCCAGCGCCACATCCGCGTCGGCAAGCAGATCGTCAACGTCCCCTCGTTCATTGTCCGCCTCGACTCCCAGAAGCACATTGACTTCTCCCTGGCCTCGCCCTTCGGTGGCGGCCGCCCCGGCCGTGTCCGGAGAAGGAAGGCCAAGTCCGCCGAGAAGGGCGACGACGCCGAGGAGGAGGAGGATGAGGAGTAAATGTACTGTCCAGCCTGAATTGTTTACGGAAGGCTAGCGGGTCGGAATAAAAGTCTTGATAGTACGGGGCATATGGAGCAAAACATCTTAAAAAGCTCCTGGCGTTAGGGCCAAAAGGGATTCCCGGAATGCATGAGAATTTGACCAATCCTCGAATGGCCCCTGCCCGGCAGATTGCGGTTTCGTGACCATGTGTACACAACACAATCTATCATTGCTTCAGGCCACGCAATAGCAATGACAAACAAACCTCCACACAATATCGATGCCTTATTTTGCATAGTGCCCGTGAATGGACTGGCTGTTTTGGTCTTGGCTAGCCTCTCAGATCTGAATTTCTAGACTAGCTCGTCCTTTCCCAAGTATTTCGCCATTGGATCGTCAGCGGCCACTTTCTTCCTCCGATACTCATCCATCTCGGCTTCTGTGACGCCGCCAGTCATCTCCTCTACTGGCCGCTTCTTTTTCGTCCCAGCCGCGGGCTCTATCGTCAGAGTCTGCACATCCTCCTCTACCGCCGTGCCATCCTCCTCCTCGCCAAGTCCCTCGCCATTCCTTTGTCGTTCCGAGGCCTCCCAGGCCTGCTTCCCTGTATCACCAACGCAATAACTGTTCTTGATGAAGGAGTGACAGCAAGCATAACCCCACTGGAAGTTTGACCACCAGCTGCCAAAGATCGAGGTGTGGTTGTTCGGGAAGACGTCCTCCGCGTATTTCGACTTGGCCGCGGCGCGAGGCGCTCCCTTGATCAAGCCAGCCTCGTCGTACTCGACAAACTGTTCCGACTCTGTCACGATGACGTCGCGCAGCGCTGCAGGCATGCTGTGCGTGCTGCCACCGTACCTGTCCTCCAGCGCCTTGAGTTTTGCGGCACGCTCCTTCTCGGCCTGCTCTCTTTCCTTCTTGCGGAAGAACTCTCCTGCCGTCGGGTTTGCTTGCATGTGCTGGCTCGTGTCGCCGCTCTTCTCCTGCTTCTCCCACGCATATCTCTGTGCCTGCTCGAATGCCTCGGCCTCGCCAGATCCGCGCAGGAATCCTTCTTCCGCAAACAGCTGAGCTGCCTTGTCGTTTGTCGCGCCAGCATCGACAATTCTCCTGGTCTTCGGATCGTACTTGGCGGACTCGAGATCGAGATTCAACAAGTATTTTGCCGTGTCCTCTCGTATGCGCAGTTGTCTTGTTGCGGTGCTTTGATGTTTGCCCATGTCGACCTCTTCGGCATACTTGTCGCCCGTGTCCGCTTCCTCATCGTCGTCTCCGGTCGTATCGTTCTTCCCTGACGCTTGATTCCGGAGCTCCTCCATCTGCTTGTAGTTTTCCATCACTTGCCGATATTCTCTTGGGTCGTAACCGTTCCAACGATCGCGCTTCGCGTCCCAGCCCAGTTGCACTTCTTGGACTACCTCGTCGGCCTGGATGTCCTTGCCGGTCCACCGCGCGCCCTTTGCTCGCGGCCGTGACAGACACTCCTTGGTCTTGTGTGTCATCGCACCGCAGTTCTCACACGCGCCCTTGCGGTACTTGGTCGCGGCTGGGCCGAGCTTCTTGCCGCGGTCGTACCATTTCGTCTTGTCGTCGTCCTTTGGCTTCTGAATACGCTGATGCTCGAGGTAGTCTGTGGACTCATCGCCGTCGACGGCATAGAAGGGCCGCTTGCTGATGAAGGACGGGATGTATGCGTTCTCCTCCTTGGAGGCCGCGGACGCTCTGCCGCCGCCATCGCGCCGGGTATTGGGGGGAGGTGGTGGAGCTGGCATCGTGAATGGATGAGGCGATGCCCGCGAGTGAGCTGTGCAACGACTGGTGTTCGATTATATGCGAACAAGGCTGAGATGGGTATTGTCTTGTTCCGGCCGCAAGTTGACCTTGAAAGCCAAAAGAGTTGCCTGCAGGGGAGGAAATATGTCGAGGAAGCAGTCGCTGGCATTGGTCGCGCTAGCAGCGCTCCGATGCTAAAGTGGGTCACGAGCACCTGTGCTTAGCAGGTATCTAGGTACTTGTGGATGCGCTGGCTGCCTGCCTTGGGAACTTGCCGCATTGCCGCATTGGGTACGCACCTGGTTTGGCGTCGCCGTGAGCGCCGCCTGCAGGTCTTGGACGCGTCTGAGCATGTGAATCCCATCCGCGTCTTTGCCTCAGCTCGCGCAGATGCTCCTAGGACAACACTTGCTGAAGCAACCAGCAGGCTCAATTCCGGCAGGCCACTCATCCTACTGATGCCGTGATTTACATCTTAGTGTTCACTCGGTCCTGAGTGAGCACGCGGCCCTTGCAATGCGCAGACGTCATGGACGTATTCAGAGTTCGCCTGAATTGCATGGATCACTACCAGGCAACTCCAACAAAATATGATCCCCAGCTTCGCAACGATGTCCGCCCATCCCAACGAAAGCAGCAGCCCAAGGTACCGGTCGTCCGCATTTTCGGATCGACAGAGACCGGCCAGAAAGTCTGCGCCCATGTCCACGGGGCATTTCCATACTTGTACATAGAGTACCCTGGGGATCTCGACCCTGAGGAAGGTAAGTTATGCGCCAGGGTCTCGAGCCTGTCAAAGTCTTATCCTTTTAGGGACGTTCCCCTGACCCGGACGGTTAGTTTCTGCATACATCTATCGACTGCACCTCTCAATCGACCATGCTTTGGCAGTTAGCTATCGTCGCAACGTGTACGATGCAAAAAGCAAGTTCGTGGCCAGGATCACCCTGGTCAAGGGCATTCCCTTCTATGGCATGCATGTCGGCTACAAGTTCTATCTCAAGATCTACATGCTCAATCCATTGGTCATGACCCGACTGTCGGAGCTGCTCCTGCAGGGTGTCATCATGAAGCAGAGGTTCCAACCACACGAGGCTCATCTCCAGTATCTTCTTCAATTCATGACCGACTACAACCTGTTCGGCTGCGCATATCTCGACGCCAAGAAAACATGCTTTCGAGCCCCAGTCCCCCACCATAAGGATGGCGAAGAGTCTCTGCACTTGTGGCACAGCCAGTCTGTACCAAAAAGGCACATCACAGATGACGCGGATCTCCCCAGAGTCAGTCATTGTTCCATCGAGGTGGACATTTGTGTCCAGGATATTCTCAACCGCCTTGAGGTGCACGAGAGGCGTATACATCATGATTTTATTGAGCGCAAAGACCCGATCCCAGCCGATATGAAGCTTGTGCACAGCATGGCCGGCTTGTGGAAGGATGAGACGAAGAGGCGGAAACGGAGAATGCGGAATCCTGATCCCGGCAGTAGTCCATTCCCACCCGAAGTCCTGGTGTCGATGTCGGCTGATCCGCGAAATTCGCAGCCGCCGGGCTGGCTTCACGAGGAGGAATACAGAGAAAACATCCGGGCCTTGATCGAGCAGGAAATACAGCACGGCGATCCGACAGTGACCGTAGACACTTTCGTGAAGGAGCACCCTTTCGCGCACACCGTCAAGACAGCTCTGCAGTCTGTCGAGGACTTGTATCCGGAGAATCTCCTCCTCAGCCTCCGACTGTCACAAGCGCTAGCGGAGGAAGATGCCGACCCAAACAACAGCATTGTGGTTGACGAAGATCGGATCGCTGACGCCGATGATGGTGCGGACTTGTTCCCGGATGACTCTGATGAGGAGCTTCTTCAAGCTATGCAGGGTATACGAGACAGCGTACAGGCCGCTCCCAATAACTCTGACTCCATCCAGACTGGGCCTCGTGCTTCAGTCCCTGGAAAGGGGAAAAAGTCAATGAGTGACAGTGGTAGCGGACCTTCTAGTGGTGAACACGTCACCTCCATCACTTCTGCAGACGCCTCCGCAGAGACCTCATCTCCAGACTCGTTGCCAGAGGGCATATATCCAAGTGCTCTAGTCACCGGTATGCGGCACAAAATTGGCATGCCGGATATGCTCATGTCCGTTGCTGAAGAGCACGGGCTTGTGAGCAAGGTTCCTCGGCAGCCAGCGGGCGGGAGCAACAGGCTGACTCTCAAGCGAACGACATCGGCAGTGGGAGAAGAAGAGGAACCCAAGCGCCGACGAGTTGGGTTTTTATTGGAGCCAGAAGAAGACGCTGGTGTCAAGGCACTTGAAGATGTGACGTCGCCTGTCATACTCGAAGAGAGTGGCAGACACGTGCAGAAACCACGCTCCACGAACAAAGCCGAAGTGCCCAAGAAGCCTGGCACCCAGACTTTGAATTTCCCAGTTGTGAAGGACCCGAACGACCCAAGTACCAAACTCCGTTTGAGTCAGCAGAGCAGTTCCCAGCAAAGCCAGAAAGGCGACGATTTGCAGAAGCTTGTTTCCTCGCAGTCAGAGCATGCAAGTCATGTCATGACACTCGTCCATGGCAGCGGCAAGAAAGAGTCTATCAGTTCTTCCGATAACACCGTGAAGGCTGCTCAGCCTACCCAACTTGTTGATGTCGGGTGTGCACCCCGACTTGACGCCCGATTCTTTGTATTTGGCCAGCCAGTGCCGTCCAAGGCGGAGGTCTTGCGGACGCTCAATTCGACTGGCAAACCCGATGTCATTTACCAGGATGCCTATTACAGCAAGGCTAAGGATGTTCCTCCTCGACTTCGAGAATATGCTGGCAAGGAATTCCGCCTCGAGGGCAACACAGTTCCATTCCTGCCCGATTTCGACGCGACTGGCGACTCACCTGCGTCCTTCGGACAAAAATCCGAAACACCTCTGGATGTCCGCCTCGATAGCGACACCAAGTCCTACGAAAAATCGAAGCGTCTATGCACTCTGCGAAGCTGGGAAATTGCCGAACCCCCACCTACCGCTGGCGAGGTGCGGGTATGGTGTGAAGCACGGCAGAAGGCTTCTGCCCCTTCAACGACACCGATCATCTCCATTCAGGACCCGGACCTGAAGCCATATCTTTCGCAAATCGAAGGCCCAACACCAAAGAACAAGAACGGCTTCAAGTACTCCCAGAAGGTCTCATCAACCAGCGTCCAGCACGAAGCGCAATACATGAGCACGATGAGCCTGGAAATCCATGTCAACACGCGAGGCAAGCTCGTGCCTAATCCAGAAGAGGATGAGGTGCGATGCATTTTCTGGTGCACGAAATCTGACGAGACCTTTGCCACAAGTGATCACGCGTCCCTCGCACTGAAGTCGGGCATCATTGTGCTTTCCGAGGACGGCAGCTTGGCAAGGAGGATGCAGAAAGAGACGCCAATGGAAGTCCTGGAAGAGTCATCAGAGCTCGACTTGATGGTGCGCATGGTCGAGATTGTGAGGACTCACGACCCGGACATTTTGACTGGCTATGAGGTCCACGGAAGCTCCTGGGGCTATCTGATCGAACGAGCTCGACTCAAATATGATTATAACCTCTGTGACGAGTTCTCCAGAATGAAGAGCCAGTCCTTCGGGAGATTTGGAAAGGAGGCCGACCGCTGGGGCTTCAATACTACTTCGACGATCCGTGTCACCGGACGGCACGTGATTAATATCTGGCGAGCCATGAGAGGGGAGCTGAACCTGCTCCAATATACCATGGAGAATATGGCCTGGCACGTGTTACATAAACGCATCCCGCACTATCCATGGCGAACCCTCACGGACTGGTACCTCGGAGGCAGGTACCGAGACATGAGTAAGCTGCTCCGGTACTACTCGACACGAGTCAAGCTCGACATTGAGATTCTCGAGGCAAACGAGCTCATTCCAAGAACGAGTGAGCAGGCACGTCTTCTGGGTGTCGACTTCTTCTCGGTCTTCTCTCGTGGCTCTCAATTCAAGGTCGAGTCCATCATGTTCCGCATTGCCAAACCAGAGAACTTCATGCTCGTATCGCCAGATAGAAAGCAGGTCGGGGGACAGAACGCCCTCGAGTGCCTACCGCTCGTCATGGAGCCACAGAGCGCATTCTACAACAGCCCGCTGCTGGTCCTTGACTTTCAGAGCCTGTATCCCAGTGTGATGATTGCGTACAACTACTGCTACTCGACATTTCTGGGGCGCATCAACAACTGGAGAGGCACGAGCAAGATGGGCTTCAGTGACTACAAGAGACAGCAAATGCTGCTCACGTTGCTCAAAGATCACATCAACATTGCACCGAACGGCATGATGTATTGCAAGACCGAGGTGCGGAAGTCGCTCCTGGCCAAGATGCTGACTGAGATCTTGGAGACACGTGTCATGGTGAAAAGCGGCATGAAGCAGGACAAGGAGGACAGGACGCTGCAGCGCCTGCTCAACAATAGGCAGTTGGCTCTGAAGCTGCTCGCCAACGTCACATACGGCTATACGTCTGCCTCGTTTTCCGGCCGAATGCCATGCTCGGAGATTGCGGATAGCATTGTGCAGACAGCACGAGAGACGCTCGAGAGATCGATTGCGCTGATCCACTCGGTCGAGAAATGGAAAGCCGAGGTGGTGTACGGCGATACTGACAGTCTGTTCATCTACTTGCCAGGACGGACCAGGGACCAGGCTTTCGACATTGGCAATGACATTGCCAAGACCATCACGGACATGAACCCTCGCCCCGTCAAGCTCAAGTTTGAAAAGGTCTATCATCCATGCGTCCTGTTGGCAAAGAAGCGTTATGTTGGCTACAAGTATGAGAGCAGGGACCAGGTCAAGCCGGAGTTTGATGCCAAGGGAATTGAGACTGTGCGGAGAGACGGCACGCCCGCAGAACAAAAGATTGAAGAGAAAGCCCTCAAGATCCTGTTTGAAACGGCTGATCTCAGCCAGGTCAAGGCATACTTCCAGAAGCAGTGCTCAAAGATCATGCGCGGGGACGTGTCGGTACAGGACTTTTCGTTTGCAAAGGAGGTCAAGCTGGGTACCTACAGCGACCGGGGCCCGCCGCCGCCCGGCGCGTTGATTAGCACCAAGAGGATGCTCGAGGACGCGCGGGCGGAGCCGCAGTACGGCGAGCGCGTGCCCTATGTTGTGGTGACGGGCGCGCCTGGCGCTCGGCTCATCGACCGCTGCATTGCGCCGGAAGAGCTGCTTGCCAACTCGCACCTCCAGCTGGACGCCGAGTACTACATCTCGAAGAACCTGATTCCACCGCTGGAGCGCATTTTCAACCTGGTGGGAGCGAATGTGCGCGGCTGGTACGACGAGATGCCCAAGGTGCAGCGAATCCGGCGGGTTGAGAACGCAGGGGGTCTAGTGGCTGCTGGGGGCATGAGCGCCGGACAGGGAGCCCTGATGGCTGTCAGGAAGACGCTGGAGAGCTACATGAAGGCAGCGGCGTGCCTGGTGTGCAGCAGCAAGACGGAGAACGAGGGCAGCGTGTGCGACGAGTGCAAGCAGGACGCGCCGGGCAGCCTGGTGAGCCTGCAGACGCAGCTGAAGCGGGAGGAGGCACAGCTGCTCGAGGTGCACAAGCTGTGCCAGAGCTGCGCGGGGCTGGCGCCGCTGGACGAGGTGCCGTGCGACAGCAAGGACTGCCCCGTGTTCTACACGCGGATGAAGCAGGGGTCGAGGTACCGGACGGAGAAGAGCGTGGTGGAGCCGGCGATGCGGATGCTGCTGGCAGAGAGCGTGAGGATGGAAGAGCTCGAGTGGTGAGGGGGCAGGCCAGGGAGGTGGTGTCTTTCCTGTATGCATGGCATGGCGACGGCGTTGAATGCACCATACATCTACTTGACCTCTTACATTGATGAGAACCATGATTAGTCGTGACCGATATCCGTCCACACCCTGCCAAAAGTGTCGGCCCAGAGATGTGCAAAGATTGACTCGATGAGAAGCGCAGGCCAGGGACAATCCAGGGTCCAGCTCGATGGGGGTCCAGAGCCCCTGCGAAGTCCGATCTGGCCCCACCCCCAGATCGGATGCGACTCTGGACATGTGCACTACGCAGGTGCATTAATGGCGTCTCAATTCCGACCAAGGAAGCTTTGCTTCAGGCAGTGGGTTCAATGTTTTAGCCGGCTGCTTTTGGCCATCACACCATTGTTGGTTAGTTGTGTTGTGGCTTGCGGGAGCTACGGGAGTTCCGGGGGGGGGGGGGGGGGGGGTTGGACCCCTGGCCCGTGACATGACGTGCGGTTGACGGGCGGAGCTTGGCAGCGGGCAGTGGCGATGACGTCGGTGCCTGGGCGCTCCAGACAGACGAGACAGACCGGTAAACCACCATGGGTGTAGACCCGTTGCACCTGTTGTTTCTTGTCCATACCACTCGACCAGAATCGCCATCATGAGCCCCGAACAGGCTTACACGATGCTGCCCGTACGGGAGCCGTACTCGGACCAGCCAGACAGTGAAACCGAGGACGACGTCTTGCCTCTCGACACCCCACAACAACAGCCACATGTCCGGGTCCAACCATCGCGAAGGCCGTGGCGCCGCTTCTCTCCAACCTCGCTCTTCCTCGCCCGCCGCGGTCCTCGCCGCATCCTCACCTGGCGCCGGGCCCTCGCGCTCGCCGTCGTCGCCTACGTTGCCTACTGCACCGTGACCTCGCAGCCGCTCTTTGCCCACAAACTGCCCGCCTACACGGGCCCCCACGCCGTCGGCGCCATCGACCTGGAAGTCCCCGTCTCGAACCCGCGCGTCATCAGCCCGGCAAAGTTCAAGGGCACCGACAAGGACGCCTTCCAGCTCGACACGGTCCTCTTCACCCTCTACTACCCGGCCAGCAGAGACGTTGCCTCCGACAAGCCTTTGCACCGCTGGGTCCCAAAACCCGTGGCGCTCACGGCCAAAGGCTACTCGAAGGCCGCGGGCATCAGCAACTGGTTCACAAATGCGCTCTTCACGGCCGTCCTTGCTGGACTCGCGGGCAGCTTGACCATTCCGGCACAGGTCGATATTCCCCTGGGCGGCGCTCCACCCGCTGCTACGGTTCCCGAAGACGGTGCCTCAAGTCTAAAGCATGACCGAGAGTCACCTGCCGACCCGGCCCAGGCCATCTTTGGCTCTGCCCCAGCGTCCCACCCAGACTCGGCCCGTTACCCGGTCGTCGTCTTCACGCATGGCATGGCCTCGTCGCGGACCGATTACACGCACTACTGTGGTGAGCTCGCCAGTAGGGGCTACATCGTTGCCGCCATCGAGCACCGCGATGGCTCCAGCCCCGGGTCGCTGGTAATGCGGGAGGGAAAGCCGGGCGAAGAGGCCATCTTATTCAAGCTTGAGGATGTTGTGTTGCCAGCTGGTTCGACCTCGGCTTCCTCGTCCGAGGAGAAAGAGGTGGACATTGATTCTTTCAAAAAGGCACAGCTAGCCTTCCGCCAAGCAGAGATCGAATCCGTCGTGGAGACGCTCCAGCAGATCAATGCCGGCGAGGGCGCAAAAGTCCTCGCCTCAAACTCACGCCTCGAGGGCACACACCTGCCACAGTGGTCGGGCCGACTCAACACGGACGCCATGATTCTCGCGGGTCACAGTTACGGCGCCACGGGTGTTCTGCAGGCGCTTAAACCCTCTCACACGGACGAGAACAACCTCCTCCCCTTCGCGGGCGCTGTGGTTCTCGACCCAGGAAAGTCCTCTGGGCACTTGAATCCAGACATCGCCGTGCCAATCCTGGTCATCCACTCCAACTCCTGGTCCGCAACTAGCTCCATCTTCTACGGCCGGCCGCACTTCCACGTCGTCCGTGACATTGTGCGGGAGAACAACGCCCCTCCCAAGAACAACCCGTCCTGGTTCATGACGTCCCTGGGGACTTCGCACCCTTCCGTGACCGACGCCCCGCTCATCGTGCCCTTACTCCTCTCGTGGACCACGGGGGCCAAAATTGATGTCTATGAGGGGCTGCGGCAGTACGTCCATGTCAGCGAGGACTTTATGTGGTTCCTCGGCCCCGCCGGGGATAACAAGACGGCGAACAGGCAGTGGGGTGAGAGGAGAGGCCTGCTCAGAGAAAAGGCAGACTATCCAGACTACGACGAGAGCGCGGGCTGGGGCCAGTACCACGGCCAGAGAGAAGAGGGGTGGAAGCAGTACTGGCAGATCCACGTGGCTCCGCCGCCGCTGGATGCTTCTCCTGTGTAGAGACGGAAGTAGAAGGGGGAGGCCCGGGGTTGCTTCGAGAGCGGGAGTTTTGATTTATGCAAGCATAAGCAGGCGAGTAGACAGGAAAAGAGAGATTATTGCTGAAACCCCTGCTAGTGTCCGTTCGCTTGATAATGTGCATGGCTCGTTGGGCTGAATGCCTCACTGGCAGGTAAAATAGTTGGTGGCCCCTAATCTGCCTTCGTAAATCCGGAATACCTGACATGCAAGTTGACGAAGTGAGTTCGCCCGTTTTTTTTCCCCCTAAGTTATGCCGACAACTTGATTAAATGAGTAGTTGATACCCGGGATAACAAAATTAGATGAATGGATGATAAAAAATAAAAAATAAAAAGCAAATGACAACTTAAAAATAAAGGGAAATAGGGACAGAGACCACTAAGTCATAAACTACACACATAAAAGAAGTCCAAAAGAAGGTAGGGGAAAACACTCGATATCTAAGGGTAAAAGGATGACAAAAAGGGAGAGTCCAAGGAAAGGCTCCGGATAAGAAAAAAGTCATAGGGAATAGAAACAACTGAAAAAGGGCAACTACTAGGGAAAATGTTTAAATAGGTTGAGAGGGGAGCAATCAGCTGATTGTCCAGTCGAGTACGGTTAAATTTATAGCGGAGTGAAGAATGCCATCTTCGGCAATACACAGACAGCCTTGCCGGACCTGGGTGAGGTCAATCCTCTCTTGCTCCTAGGCACAAAGACGGATCTCGCGAAAGCAGGTCATGCCCCATCACGCAGACATCATCCACCACGAGCACTTCATCCTTATTGCAAACTTCGGGCAACTCGGCTGGGTGCCATCTGTGGTGGATTCCATTCTAGAACTGGTACGACTCATGTGAGACAGGCTTTATCTATTCTCTGCCTTTCTTCTTGTATTCAGCTTATGAAGCTATCGAGGTTTATCAAATCACGGGAAGACCTCCCTTCCATTGCGCCGCTGGTATCCAAAACTCCCAGAATGATTACTTTCATGTCAGCCGCGACGGCCCCCCCAGGGTACGGTCGCTCATGCCCCAACCACACCGGGGTTCACACTCGGAGGCTCCTCCCCGTTGTCCATCCAGCTCGAGAAGCCGTCCTCGTCGTCGTCCTGCACCAGGCTTTTCCGCGCAGGTAATGACGGAGGCACCTCCGTTGTGCTTCCCATCGAGGTCTGGCTTGCAGGTTCGACCTGGCTGGACCGTGACGACGCGACGGTCACGGAATCACTGCTTGTCGTCCTCGTGTCGGCAGCCGGAGCCTCTGCAATCTCGTCCGTCCAGTGCCCGCCATAATCCGCAGGCACTTCATGCAGCGGCGTCGTCGGGTTCGATTCGTTTGGCGCTTCAACGACGAGGTCATTCTCCTCAGGCATGTCATGTCCCCAGTGTTCAGATATACGTCTCCGTCGTGTCATGGGCGGCTGCGTAGGGGGCGCGAGCTGTTCGCCCTTAAACTCCTCGACACTGTCCATCCTGGGCGAGGCATTTGCCGAGACGGGCTTTCTCCTCGGGACAGTAATTGGTTGTATTTTTTGACCAGGCATCGGCAGCGGAGTGCCAGGTGGAGGCAGTGGTTGGCCTCGTCCCATAGGTTGATTCAGATCCAAAGGCGGATCAGAGAGCTTGCGCCCATTAGCTGACCGCTCAGCCTGCCGCTGTATTGCGTTCCAGCCCCAACGTTTGGCACTTGCAGCTGCACTAGACACCGCCGCGAGAGTGTTGGTTCGTTTATCACTCAACATCTCATGTGTGTGCGAAGACAGTCCAGTCTCTCTACGCCCAAAGAATCCCTTTCCGATTGAGCCGGTGCCGCTGAGCACAGACCGAGTTGATGCGCTGGACGGGTCGGTAGTGCCGCCGTTGTCGCTTGATTGACTGTGTGTACTGCCAATAGACGATATAGTGCCGCGCCGGCCGGGTTTAGTGTAATCGTCCTGGTAGGGATCCACAAGATTCTGCTCTGACGAGGAATTCGAGTGGCTCACAGCCATATCCATCAAGGAGCCCTTGGAAGGTGATCCGACGGGCGTGTGACCAGGAGTGGAGTTCTGAGAGCGAGCTGAAATGCTGGCCATGGAGATCGCTGCCGTCCCTCGATCCTTGGCGAAACTCGTCTTGGACGTATCTGCGTGTGTGGGATCGGTGCCAACCACAGGGGTAGATGCCGAAAATGAAGCTGTCCTCATAACTCGGGGTGGCTCTGGTGCCGAAGTCTGAGTCTGAGTACTGCCGGTGTCCAGCTCCGTGGCAGAGACTGAAGCAGCGTGATGGTTTCCTGCGATGCCGTGTGTCTTTCTAGGTGTGAGTTTGCGGTTCCAGAAACCCGAAGTATGTGAGCCATCCAGATTGGGCAAATTATGGCTAGCCTCGGCTGGTGGTAGTTCGGGGGAAGAAGGAGCGTTTGGCGAGTCTTCAACTCGTGCGACCTCGTCTACCTGGCCCAACTGAGCGGCGACCTGCTCGTGATCCTTCGCATGCTCAACGGCGTCATCGCCCTCGAATATTCCTCCTCTCCATTGCTTGTGCTCGGTGCTGAAGAACGGGACGTCATCCCAGAAAGGCGCCACGAGTGTCTCCGCCATAACTTCCTTGATTCTGTTCTCTATCTGTCGCAGAATGACGGTGTATGTAATCTGCCTCGAGCTGACGATTGGTTCAATTGACATCTCCATCTTTGGCATGGACTGGAAGGAGAACCATATCCGATTACTTGGAGGCGGCTTGATCTTGAAAAAAATGTGACCCTCGAGCTTCTTTAGCACAACGGCGAGTACGAGGTTGACCTCGCGGGCTTTCAAGGTTTTCCCAAGGTCGATTCGAGCCACAGCAGCCACCTCGAGCCTGAAATTGCCTGTATACTTGATGTCGGCTTCCATAACATATTCTCCTTCCACGTTCAGGTCTTTGAGCCGGGGGTTCGTGATGAATGGCGCCGAGTCCCCTGTGTCGATATTGCGAATCTCGATCCTGGTCAGAAAGTTGGGACGCTGGACGCGGGAGATCTTCTTCGTGAGTTTCTCCCGGATCGAGTTCTCGATGTCTTTGGTCCCATGAATGCCGAGGAATATCCTCCCGATGAGTGCGTTGAGCCAACGTGTTTGCATCTGTTCCTCATTGGAGTGGAGCCTCTGTACAAGCGAGATGATGTTCTTGACGTCAAACGTCCTGGGCTTGGGGGCAGAGCCAGGCCCTCCAAAGGTCTGCTCCTGGTTTTTGAGTAATGAAAAGTAGAAGTCTTCCTTGGCCGAGCAGTTCTCCGAGAACAGATAGAACGGCTTGGAGACTTGGGTATCTGGAGTCAGGATTTTGTTGGCCGTCTTGCGTGCGAGCCGCAGGGCATTGCGCTTGATAAACAGCTCGCCTTCCGGGGTGGCTTGTTCTCCCGAGTAAATGCTAATATCATGGTGGGCCAGCGATATGACGTGGCGCACCTCGAGCTGCTCCTCATCGTCAAAGAGCATGATATGCCCGTGTCTGCTCCGAGTTTTGGTCAACCTTGATGTCCATGGCTTCAAAGCTCGCAGCTCCGCAAATGCTCACCTCAGCACGACAAAGAACACATTGCCTGCTCTTTTTGGACGCTGGCTAAGCGCCTTGTTGTCGTCCAACGGGCCGGGTCCTTGTTTCCTGTCGAATATGCTTTTGTACATGGATTGATACACGCTCTGACTCGGGGCGGCGACCGTTGTCGAGCCGGCCGGAGAGACACGCTCGATGGGCTTGGCAGTAATGCCCATGGGGGTGTAGTCACGGCATACTGCAAAGTAGCCTGAGGCGACGTCGTTGCCTGCGGCAAATGTTGGCTTTGGCGACTTCTGCGAGGTGTAAGAGTCAAGCGCATCGGTGTCGTCGCCAGGCTGGACGATGTCGCTCTCTTTACGCAATGGCGTCGCTCCTTCAGGCTCGAGGACCGGGAACGTGAGATGAGCGTGCAGGAGGACGAGGATGACGAGTATCGGCAGGAATGTGACGCCACCCAGGAGGTAGGCCAGGAGGAAACTCGTCCAGGTGCCCATGACTACCTGCTGGCGAAGGCTATGCTGTTGGGGGTTTTCGCAGCGAGGTCGATCGCCGGGCCATCAAGGAGGATGTCGGTCAGCGGGCAAAGCGGGCCCTGAGGTGCTACCGACTCGTAGTTGCAGCGTGTCGTCATCGGTCGAAGCGGCCGTTTACACGCGGTGATCTGGCCCAGGGTATGGAAGGTGTGGCCTGAAGTGGTGTATGTGATCTGAGCTGGCAGCAGGACTGGCAGCGGGTGCTGCGTGGTCTGGTGTGAGGACAGCCTGGAAGCCACGCAGCTTGCAAACACACCTCAGCCTACGGCTAGTCTAAGAGGTCGGCTTCTGCGACGTCACATGCACTGGACCCCAGGTCTGGGCCTGCCCGCGGCCCCGCGCACAGGGGATCGCCCTGCCATCCGCTAGCGCATGTCCGCCGCTTTTGGGCATACCTATCCTGCACGAGCGCTGGGGGGTCCGGCAGTCAGCCACACTGCATGCGAACCTCTGATGCTTCAAAGTCAGGGGCTTGAACTGCCTCCCGTCTCGTCTTCTGATTCTCAAAAGCGGCTGTCCGTCCGAACAAAGGGCAGCTAGTGGCAGGTATCTCCTCCTGCCTCCAGTTCATGCGCATTGGGCTCGGAAGAGCACCAAAACTCTACAACTGTACGACTAGTTGCGGCATGCTCTGACGCATGGGCATTGTCACAGGTCGCCGACATGTGCGTGTCACGTCTTGAGTACCTGCACGCTTGTTCGATAGGCCCTTCTCTTACGAATGAGTTGTGGCGGCAGGCGAAGTAGCCAGAAAAAGTATCCAGGGATGGCCTTAGCCATTCGCTTTCTGCCCAGTCCCGAAGTCATTTTCATCACAAGGTCCAGGTGTGGATTGTCCTTGCTGCGGTTACAAGCTGCATACTAGGTTCAACCATGCACGACCAATTTAACGAGAGCACTTCCCATACTCCATCCGTCAGTTGACGCCACTTTCTTAACACTTTCTTGTCATTCACAAAGGAGATAGAGATATCTACACAATGGTCGTGCCACGGGCTGATGGTCTAGTGGGTTGTCTGGAGCCTGGCTCTCAGGGGAGGAGAGGCGCCCCTAGTTGTCGAGCATTAGATCTGGTAGGAGCGGCGCTGGTTGCGCTCGGCCTCCCAAATCAAGTGTCTCATGCTCAACCCACCATTTAGGTGGTCTTGTCCTTGTTGTGGTAGTTGACCTTGTCATTCCAGCTACATTGCATCTATGGTCAGCATCATTTCGGCGTCATATACTCGACAGCAGACTTCCGAACTCATTGCAAGATACTTACAACAAGGTCTTGCCACCATCGCCCCAAGGGAAGTTCTTGGTGCGGATGTTCTGGTAGGGGTACTCGACGCGCTCCTCCAAGGGAGGAAGGTGCGACCAGTGCTCCCAGTGCTCGTTCCAGAGGACGTAGGCGTTGTAACTAGCAAGGACGAGGAAAGGGATGGTGCCGCTAAAACCATAAAGTCAGTATTCCGGCATAACGACTGATCTGAAATTCCCACCGCGCCCGGGCGTTCCTTTGTGCGTGACATTCGTGACAAACGTGGCTCCAAAGTTTCGTTCGAAAAGGTTGTGGTTGTATGTCGCATGTTCGGACAGGCGGGTGGATAATCGCTCAGGATCTGAGAGTTGCGCGGGGTGGCTTACAAGATGGAAATCTTCTTCCAAAGGTCTGGGTATCGTTAGTTAGAGTGCTCCAATCATAGCTTTGAACCTGCAGGAGAGATATTGCTCCAAGATGATCCAAGGCGCAGAGGACTCACCAGTGGTCTCAGCGGCGTGCTGCTTGACGGCCTCGCGCTCGCGGACGAAGGCATTGTCGGTGGAGGCGAGGCGGCGCTGGACGGCGGAGCGGGCGGCCGGGCTCGAGAGGCGCGAGCCGGCACGGGCGATGAGGCGCTGAGCAAGCATGGCGATGGTGTTGCGTCCGGGTGGGCGGCGTGGTGGAGTGGAGAGGTGAGTGTCGTTCGATGCCGGAAGCAAAGGTTTGGATGGTCGTCAGAGGCCCCATGAGGTCAGGAGCTTTGCTGGCGGGCTTAGCCGAGGATTTGGCGGGCCTTCACGGCCCAGCTGCAGCTGCCATTGCCTGGCGCGCGATTGGGCAATGGCCAGCTCGAGGCCCCACTTGTCGCAGCTGCATCGCACCACTTCGACTTCCCAAGGCTCACGTGATCTCGCTCCCCGTTGGTGACGCAACCCGCCGGCACTGACATCAGCTGCGCAGCTCCAGACGCGGCACGACGTCTTTCCAATCGTAGATCGCGGGCACGTCTTGCCGGCCTCCACAAGTTGTGCTTGTTTCTTTGCACGATAAAATCACATCTTTTCTCGACTCTGTACAGTGCACTACGCGATGCTCAGACATTGTTGCCCCTGACGTCCTGGACCACTCAGTGTGCTGCGTGTCCATTCAACAAATAGTCCGGGTCACTGGAGCGGATGTTGATGTTCATCCTGATCCGCTATCGGCCATCATGATCGTGAACTCGCGTACCCATCTGTCTTGTAAATGTTCATGGACATAGTGTCGTCGAAATGGGTATCCGCATCACTTCCTGGAATGGTATGAGCTTGTTCTTTTCTGAACTGTCCTCCGTGTGTTCAACGGATCTGATATTTGAACGTTAGTAAACGGCATACGCAACCCTTTCGGATATCAGCCATGGAGGGAGACAAGGTCATTCGAGGTCAGTACACTTTCAAGTCTCCGCCGCCACAGGCTTTACGGACTACTAACTCGACCTAGTCCATGTTCGACATACTAGAAGCAGATATTGTCGTCATGCAAGAGCTCAAGATACAACGCAAGGATCTTCGCGATGACATGGTTCTCGTACCGGGCTGGGATGTCTACTTCAGCCTACCCAAGCATAAAAAAGGTATTGAGACCTTGCTTCCCAGCCAGAGCATGACAAGAAACTGACATCTGACCATATCTAGGGTACTCGGGTGTTGCCATTTACACAAGAAACTCTGTCTGTTCCCCAATCCGCGCCGAAGAAGGCATAACTGGCTGCTTGAGTGCCCCAGGCAGTGACATTGCCTATCGTGATCTTCCCGAAGAACAGCAAATTGGTGGCTATCCTCGACCAGGCCAGCTGCCAGGAGAAATCGACGATGTCGCTCTGGACAGCGAGGGTCGTTGCGTCATTCTTGAATTCCCGGCATTCGTCATCATCGGTACATACAGTCCTGCAAACAGTGATGGCACACGAGACGACTTCAAGGTCAGCTATCTCGAGGCGCTCGACGTAAGGATCCGCAACCTAGTCGCTATGGGAAAACAAGTCGTCCTCACTGGAGATCTCAATGTTGTGCGTGATCCGATCGATACTGCTGGCCTCCACGAACGACTGCGGAAGGAAGGCATGACCATGGACGACTACTTCTCTATGCCATCGCGGCGCATCTTCCACCAGCTTCTCATCGGAGGAAAGGTCAAAGGCGGCCGTGACGAGAGCCGCGAGAAGCCGATTCTTTGGGACCTCGGTCGATTATTCCACCCTGACCGGCAGGGCATGTACACATGCTGGGACACCAAAAAGAACTCGAGGCCAGGCAACTTCGGTAGTCGCATCGACTACGTGCTATGCAGCCCAAGCATGAAAGAATGGTTCTCCGATGCCAACATCCAAGAGGGCCTCATGGGGTCAGATCACTGTCCGGTGTTTGCTGTCATGAAAGATGTCGTCCAGATAGACGGCAAGGATGTTCACCTGCGAGACTTGATGAACCCGGCAGGCATGTTCGAGAATGGCAAGCGGCTTCAGGAGTGGTCTACCAGGAACCTGCTTCCACTATCGGCGAAGTTGATAGCCGAGTTTGATCGACGACAGAGCATCAAAGATATGTTCTTCAAAAAGCCATCTCAGCCGGCTTATATTGGCGCAGCAGTATCTGCGAATGGAGCATCAGAAAGTGCCACAAGAATGCATATACCGCCATCACCTGTGAAGTCAGGAATCACCACACCGGCACCTGACAGCAACGAGACGATCCTGCCAGCTGCCACACCATCGAATGGAGGCCTCAAGCGCACTCCGTCTGGCTCTGCCACGCCACAAAGACCAACAACGAAGACCAAAGCGGCTCTGACAAAGGAGCCCTCAAGCAAAGGTCAAAGTAGCTTGATGGGCTTCTTTAAACCAAAGACAGCTCCGAAACCAGAAATGCCCCAATCGGTACCGAATTCAGAGGAGAGCACTGCCAGCCCGCCTCCCCCGAGCTCAGGCATCTCGGAGTATGATGAGAAACAAGCATCGCCGAATAAAGGAGACCTTCAGGTTCCACCAAGTCCAGAGAAGGTCATTGACCAGGTCCAGTCTCGCGAGACATGGTCCAAGCTGCTCGGCAAACGGGTGGTGCCGAAATGCGAGCACGGCGAGGACTGCATCAGCTTGGTCACCAAAAAGGCGGGGTTCAACAAAGGCCGGTCGTTCTACATATGTCCGCGACCCCTAGGTCCGTCGGGGGAGAAGGAAAAGGGCACCGAGTGGCGATGCGGGACCTTTATATGGAGCAGCGACTGGACGAGTAAAAGCCAGTGACAGGCACACGGCTCTGAGGACTGCATGTGTGCATGACTCGGTCACGCGGTGTGTTGACGCATAGTGTCAGTCTTTGGATTGACGACACAATGCCCAAACGACGCATTGTAGGAGTGTCTTTAGCGTACGCATCATTCTTTTGCAGGTGTATCATCCATCTGATCAACTATGGACGCATAACATGTGTAAACCCCTGGAGACATGAAGTTGTGACAGGATTCGTGTGTCAAAAAAGCATTTTGTCTATCCAGTAATCGGCCATACTTTTCCTCGGCCCCAAATTCCAGGTGGTGTAATCGTCGTGTAGTCCTGGTTCCTTTCGTGGGCACGGGATAAAGTCTTGCCTCGACCCATTGCCTGACATTCACTTCCCGGAAGAAAACACTATGAAATACTGCTGTCTCTTAATCATGAAATGACCTGTTCCCTCCGAGTGCAAGGGGAGGGAAAAATCAAAATCAAAAACAACAAAAGAAAAGTATAATGACACTGATGAGAACAATAACAAATGATGAACAAAGAATCAAGAACCGTGTCCCAGAGAGAGTGTGTGTGTGGATGCCGCGGCCCGAGCCGGTCAGAACGGGGTGAAGCCGGAAAAGTCCGTGGGGAAGTCGCCGGGGAGGTCCTGCAAGACGTCCGCGTTCAGGTAATCCTCGTACTTGAAGTCGCCATCGTCGACGTCCTCGCTGGGGAAGTCGAACGAGAACGAGGAGGAGTCGTGACTGGGACCAGGGACAGGTGTGGACAGAACCGGCGCGGGTGCCGGCAGGGGGTCTTGGATGTCCGCGGTAGGCATCGTCGTGGCGGCGGCAGGTGATGATGGGAAGCTCGCGTCCTGGCTGAAGACGAAAGCCTGCATCTGGTCAAGCGTACTGATTGGTGCGGTGGCATCCTCGGGGAGTCCCAGGTCAAGTGGGCCATCGGGCAGGTTGCTGAAGATGACTTGGTCCTGATCGATGGTGGGCTCTGGACCGGTTGCGGCAACCTTGGACTGTGGTGCAGGACCGAAATCGGGCTCCATGGGCAGGTTGATTGGACTGGCTGCCAAGTAGGCATGGATCTGATCAAAGTTGAAGTCCTCATACTCAGAGGATTGTGATGCATCGGCAGCACCTTCCGGGATGTACTGCGCCGCCGGGACGTCGGGTATCTTTGCAGCAGGAGCCTGATCCAAGCTTGAAGGTAGCGTTGCCCCGTGGTCAGGCTCGGACTTGGTGGATGAAGAGGCAGGCTGAAAAGTAGAAAGCGCAGGGGAGCCAGGATTACTCTGAAATGGTTCAACATCTGTGGTGAGATGACTGGCGTCCACGATCGAGGTCTGGTCAGCCTCCATCAAAGTTTGGGACTGTGGAGGCTGCTTGACGACAGGCTCCTTGGCGGACCGTTTTGAAGTCGGCGCGTAGCGATAACCTGGATTGAGTTTGCTGTGCTCGTCACGCGCCTCTCGAGCTTTCTGCTGCCAGTATGGCTTGCCATGCACAGGATTGGCCTTCCACTCCTCGGCGATGAGAGAAGCTGACGATAGGAACACGGAGTTAGCCTGTGACCAGGGCCCCGAAGTTTGAGTACGGGGAAGGAAAGAGGACTTACATAGTTCAATGTTCGTTGACTTGGGGAACCGCTTGGCAAAGTCTGCACACCTGTACGCTCTATATAGAATCCAGCTGTTGGGCGGGCGGGGAGTCTTGCCTTCCTTCTTGGACTGCTTCAGCTTCTTGGCCCGAGGCTCTGGAGTCCCACCAGCTTCTTGGCCCACGGAAGCGTCGCCATTGGCACCCTAGGCCGAGGGAGAGGAAGCATCCGGCCCATCTGGTTGGCCAGGCGTGGTGTTGGCTGTTGCTGCCTGAGAAGCGTGGCCAGTGCTCTTGGAGACGGCCGATCGAGGCCGCTTGCGGGACGATGCCTGGGCCTTTCTGGTCGAAGACGAGGCGGGCTGGCGACCACTTGGCTGCGGTTTTAAAAGTGTGTCAGTGGCTTGGTCACGGACGGTGGCCCAGGGCTGACCGAGAACTTACCTGCAGAGTGCCAGGCTGAGTGACTGCTGCGTGAGCCTGCGATGACAGACGACTGGGTCCAGTCGAGAGGGAGACTGCCGGCGACGGCGATGCAGACAAGGCTGTTGTCGCAGGGACTGTAGGGACTGGCGGTGGGAAGGAGGGCAGAGTGACGGATTGCACCACAGTGGGCATGATCTGGTTTGGGACCTGGTAGATTGCCCATCCTGCGGCCAAGAACTCGGCGAGGGGGCCCAGGTAGACGCACTCGTTTCGCGTTCCATCATGACAATACTCTACAGCTCTGCCAATGGAAGCACTAGACACAAATACGTCAGCAAGTACAAGTCAGCGGGCGACATCGACGACAGGCTCAGTAGGGGCAACAAGACGTGGTCAACTGTCTCTCTCCTCCCTCTCCCTGGACATGTGATCCGGCTGGAGTTTGTCGTGACAGAAAACTGAGTGGTAGGTCCACAAAGCAGCCACACGCCACTCACCTGTGCAGGGATCGAATAACTTGTCTTTGGTGGACGCCCCAGCCACAGAAAGTCGGTAGTGGGATAGTGATGATATTGACCGCAATACGAGGCCGTGCGAGAGACTCCTGCCATTGCCGGAGCATAGAGGCCGTGTCTGGAGCGTTCTGTTGTGCCGAGTTGCCAGCGGCGGGTGCGGCCGCCGTTGCTGTCGAAGACGAAGATCCGTTCTGGCCGGTGCCGTCCCTGTTGCCGACGACATGGGCGCTTCCGCCAGCGGAAGACGCCATAGTCGGATGGAAAGGAATATATACTGCAAAACAAAGGAAAATGAAAGGACTGAGGACAGACGGCTGTCTGGGACGATTGTCGACTGGCGACGACGTAATGACAAAAGACACGGGGAGAAGGAATGAAGGGATCACAGGCCAGCTGCGATGAAGGGCAGAGGAGAAGGCAGGGGGAGGGCGGCGACGTGGGTATATATGAGAGAGGTTTCACGGGGAAAGAAGGAGCAGGAAGAGATTGAGAAGAGAGAGGGTAGAAAGAAGGGATTTATAGCATGGAGGACTTGGTTGGGCTCGGAAGAATCGCACAAGGAAACGCCCGAGGGCTGCCTCAAGCCCGGCTCGTTCAGACAGCCATCGGCTGCGGACCCGAGGCAACAATGGGTTCCCAGATGAACAAAGCCTACTCATTGTCTCGTCAGGGTTTGGGGGGCCGACGTCGGACTTTTGCTCAACACAATGGCCTTGTTTCATGTGCCATTGATCAAGACGGGCTACACCACTCATGCCTCCTTGTTGTCTATCAAGGTCAGTGTTCATGTTGCATTGCTTGTGATAAGTAGCTCATGACCAAATACAAGTCCATGAGCACGGTTCCGTCTCGCGGCCCGCTGTCGTTCACCAATCCATCACCACAGAAGCACACGCATAAAGATAACACCCATATGGCTATGCCAAATGTACATTTGTTTCCTAGAGCCTGGGAACTTCAAGCCTGGCCTATATACCTTGACGTGTTTAGCAATGCTACAATGTCCACCCGCGCTCACATCCCGCTGTGCCAAGGATGGTGTGTCTATTCTTCCTGATACGAGATCTTGCGCATCTCGCCCAGTCTCCGTCTCGCAGCAGACAACGAGTTCTCCAGCTTGAGGATTTCGACCTGTGGAATAGGAAGTCAGTTACATCTGAACGCATAAAGGCAATGGTCAACCACGTCTGTCTTACCTGCTGTTCCATCTCCCGCACCTTGAACTCGTGTGCGCCAAGAGAGGCATAATCCACAGCATCCTCTTCTTGAGACCGCTCCTTAATGAGTGCCTGCACCTGTCTGACCAAGGCACGGCACGCAGCGCCTACGGCCTTGCTAGCCTGCTCAAGCTCGTCCTGGCTCTTGCTCATAAAGCCAGCCTTGACACGGCTGGCAGCAACAAGCTGAGCTGTTGAGGCAGCAACGTCGTTGGAGGCAACAATCAATTGCTCCGGGCTGTTGCGGTTCGACAGAACACCATCGGCGGTCTCAATCAAGGTGTTGGTGGAAGACGCAACAGCCTTGGCCGCGGAGATGAGACCCTCCGTCCAGCGGTTGTTCTTCTTGTAGAAGGCGGTTCTCGAAGAAGACCCCCTGCCCGCCTGCACAATCTCTTGTTGAGTGAGTGTGGCAGCCTTGATGAGTTTAGCGATCGCGTTTGTAATAGCCATGGCAGCGTCCAAGATCGAATCGTGGACCTTCAACTCGTAAGTAGAGTATTTGTCACGGGGCTTGTTCTTGAGCTTCGCAAGTCGTGCCGCGGCTGCAGCAATGGCGTCCGCGGCCTTGCTAAGCTCAGAGTCGACCAGGTCGCCAATGTCGCCCTTGTTGGCCGCAAGCTTTCCGAAGCCAGGCGCAAAAGTCTCCACGAGCTTGTTCAAGGTTTGCAGGTTCATTTGCACATCGATGTTGCTGTTGATGACTACATCCTGCTTCTCCTCGGCCTCTCTGTCGACAAGCTGGAAGCTGAGAAGGCCACGGAAGAAGCGAATGGCAGACTGAGCAGCAACACGGGCACCGCTCATAAGCTGGTCGGTCTTCTTGTCATCGGTGGCAAGACGGGTCAGACCCTTGGTGTTGCTGCACACATCCGCGATGGCACCAGAAAAGACATTGATGGCCTTGATGACGTTGGCGTGATCGGCATTGGGGATGTCAGCCAAGAAGTCGTTGAACGCCGTCGCGAACTCTGTTGCGGTGGCCGACGCTTTCTCAATTTGCGACAGCACGTAACTTGGCGACGCGTTCTGGTTACCGGCTTGCATATTCGAATCCAGCTCGTACAGAGCATCGTCCACACGCGCCACACCGGCTTCAAGAACGGAGTCGATCATGTGGTTGATTCTGTCAAGGTTGGCGCCGTACAGAGCAGAGTCGAGTGCTTCGTCAGTTGCACCTTGGCTCTCCCTCAATGTAGTCAACTCAACGAGCGCCTGGTCCAGACTGGCCTTGTAGACCTCCAGCTCTTCCTCCTTGTCTTGGAGGAGCTGCTCGAGGTCCGAGCTGCCGCTCCGGATATTGTTCTGTGCCTCCTCGAGCGCCCGTGATTTGGTGCGGAGAGCCTCCTCCAGATCAGCCATCTCCCGGTTGTATTTGGAGAGCATAGACGAAAGCTCGTTTCCTTTGGCCCTCTCAAGGTTGTCGGCACGGTCGAGCGCCATGCGCAGCTCCCTCTTGAGCTTCTCAAGCTCGTCCTTGTTGCTGCCAGTCAGGCGGTCACGGTCGTGGAGCGCGCGATCTCGCTCACGAATCATGTCAGCAAGCTCAAGGTTCTTGGTCTTGATCTCCCTTTCCAGTTTCTCGCGGCGCTCGATGGCTTCCTGGGCCGAAGCTGCCTTGAGCTGCACTGACTTGAACTTCTGGAGCAGGTCGAGGTGCTCGTGCCGCAGTTGCGAGTACAACTTGGCGAGCGCCTCATACTTGCTCCTCCAGGTGTTGACCTGCTCCTGCAGCGCGCGGATCTGGTCATCCTTGCTCGTCATTTGCTGGCCATAACTCGACTGAATATGTGCCAGTTCGCCCTCGAGGGCCTTTACACGCTGATCATATTGCTGAAGCATAAGCTGGTCGCGCTCATACTGTGCTCTGGCGTTGAGGTTCTCCTGCTCCAGCTCCGCCAGGCGACCCTGGGTTTGCCATTGTGCTTGCTGAGCCAGCAGGGCCTCCTGTTCGCGTTGTTGCTGCTCGGCCAATCGGCGCTGCTGCTCCTCGAAGTCCCTCTGTGCCTGCATCTGCGCTTGTTGCTGCGCCAGGAGCGCTTGTTGTTGACGCTCCTGCAGCACTCTCTGCTGGTCTTCGTATTCCTTGTTCTGCCTTTCAATCTCCCCTTGCCAGAACTCGGCAATCTGGTCCGGCTCCTCGGTCTGTGGCTGCCGGGGCGGTGTCGGCTGGCGCTCAATCTCCTGCTTCGGGCGTGCTGGAAGCGCCGGGGCGTTCTCATCTTCAGCGAGAAGATTCGGCGGGTCTTGCGGGAGCTTCGGGATAGTGATCAGGCTGGTTAGGTAACGCAAGTTGGAACACTCGTAGTAGAATTTGACCAGCCTGTAGTGCTGCGCATCGTAGCGTCCGCGCAATGGCTCGAGCGCCTCGTCGTCGCCAGTCGTGGAGTGCATGGCACGAAGCATGCTCGTGATGAACTTGTAAATACCGTAGGATTCGGCGACCAGAGGCACGAGGGAGGAAATCCGGCACTCGTTGTTGCCGACATTGCGGAAATGCGAGAAGATGAGCTTCTGGAACTGGTCGATCTTGTCTTGAAGTGTCATGAGGTCCATGATGGTCTCGTATCCCTCATTGGGGTCGTTCGTGGCCTTGAGCGACACATACTCTTCGTACTCGAAGGTGCCGTTGAACTCCGGGTGCTGCTGGTGGAAAGACAGCTTCGCCAGCAGGAAGTAGACGTACTCCCGAATGAGAGGAGCATATCCGCGGACACCCTCGCCGCTCATGCCCCTGTTCAAGCTGTCGATCCAGCTCCTGTTGGCCATAGCCTCCCTCAGGGTTTGCGGGTGGCCCTCTTGAAGGACCTTGTGAATGGTGATGAGGGCCTTGTACGTCTGAACCTCATCAGCCAGGATCGGCTGCACCTTAAGCCCAGCCCAGAAGGACTGGGCCGACTTGTGGTCCCATGTGTAGACGATGCAGCTGCGGACGTGCTTGCGCTTCGGTGCCGATTCTTCGGGGCTTGTGGCCTTCTTTATGTTGATGGCCAGCTCGGCCTCGGACTTTGTGTGGTCGAGACTGCGGGCGGAAGCCATGACGGGCAACGTGCGATGCTGCGTGCTACGTCGACGAAGCTCTGGAGGTGTGAGGGGTCAGGAAGAGCCTGGTCTCCCGTAGTGTGCGACAAGCCGAGTGTCGTCTGGGCGCAGTCTGGACGCTGTGCAGTGGATATCAGTACAGCTCAGGTTCGGTGTCTAACCAAGACATGAGGGTCGCGGGGGAAGCGGCAAGCGATTGCGCCGAGGAGGCTGGTTGCGCCGTCGATGTGGAAGCTTGAAAGGGGGGTTTTCCTATGCTGCTGCCGGCGCAATGGTATGCAATGAAGTGAGAGGGAGAGACGAGAGGGCAGGACGAACCGTGGTAAAGGCAATGCGAGTGCCAAGAAAAGAGTGCGTAAGCTCGCTCGCGCGCTTGCTTGAAATCACGGGCTTGCGTGAGCTTCTGTGTGGTGGACGAGGCGGTGCCTGAATCGCTTGCGCAATGCGCCTGTCAGTGGTGGTGGGTGTGGAGGGTGGCTGCTGCTGCTGGGCCAGCTTGGGCCGGCTCCGGGGAGGCTGGACGTTGACGTTGACGTAGGCACGCAGCCCAGCTTCCTCCACCTTGGGGCCCGCCAGGTACCTCTGTAGCCTGCTCAAGTCTCCCCGGCGGCTGCCAGGGCCGAGGGGATACCTACTGGTCCGGCACCGCTACATGGCATGACCCCAGTTCCAAAATTGATGGCGATCCTCCTCCAGGCTCCGTCCAATTCTGTATCACAATGTGCGGCCCTTTTCGACAGAGTTGAGATAGCTACCACCACCGCTCAACAATTACTGCGACTGTAACCGCTCGTGACCTCTCTCAAGCCGTCAAACTTCTGAGCTGCTCACCCCGGCCCTTGCGCATGCGCTCCCACCCTACCGAGCCCGCCGGCTCTGCTTGACGAGCTCGACCAGCACCTGGCGTTGATCCGCGCCCACCAGCATATCACAGCGCACGATGCATGCCACAGCAGTATGCCTCCGTCGGGGCTTCTGGGGCCGCAGCATCGAGGAGTTCAAGCGCCTGTCGAACATCGGTTCGTCTTCCCCTCCTTGTCCAACGACACAAAAGCAGACCCCGGCTCCTGGCTAACTTGGTTCCAAATCTAGTCTTCCAGTCAGAAGGCATAAAAGGCCCCTCCGGGCCCATGCCACTACAAAGCTTCAGCAGCCCCGACTCTCTCCAAGACGTCAAGGTCATGTACGACATTGACATAGATGGCTTCTCTCACGCCCAGCTCGACTATGTCCCGCCCGTCACCACAACACCGCACCCCGCCTCGTCCGCGCCACGGTCGCCATCGTCACATCCCTCGACATCCAAGATATTAGCAGCAGTCCCCGGCCACATGCGCTTCCACGGCAACATATCCACCCGGCTCCCCGAGAACCGGCCCGAGGTGACGCGCTCCGGCTACGCAGCCTGGCGCACGCTCGACCGGCCGCCAACAATATTCGGCCGCTCCCTATGGAACATTGACAGCTACTCGTACCTCGGCCTCCGAATAAAATCCGACGGGCGGAGCTACCTGGTCAACATCCAGACCGAGTCCGTGGTGCCGGAGGACCTGCACCAGCACCGGCTGTTCGCGCGGCGCCCGGGCGAGTGGGAGACTGTGCACATCAAGTGGAACGACTTTGTTCGGACAAACCACGGGTACGTGGTCGAGCCGCAGACCGAGATGCTCCGGCAAAAGGTCAAGAGCATAGGTATCGGCCTGACAGACCGGATAGAAGGGCCGTTTGATCTGAGCATACAGGGCATGTGGGCGACGAATACCCCGGAAGCAGAGATGGATGCCGATGTGCATCCCGTGCCAGAGACTGCGCAGCCGAAGCTGAGGAATAAGCAGGGCAAGACAATTAGCTGGTCATGACAGCAGTCCGCAAGATGCGTTCAGCCCTTGAGGTCGGAAGGTGGCTGTCTCCTGCCCGAGTTGGCAGAGCCAGGCAGGAGTATTCCCAGAAGCTGTCTGCTCTATAAAGAATGAAGGTATGTGTGCATACGCACTGCTGAGGAGCACGGGAAGCCATCTCAAGAACAACGTGTATTACCATGAATAAGTAGGCCTCTCTGGCGCCGCCATGTATGAAGATTAATTGTAGTATATTGATCGATTTCGAAGCGAGCACGTCTCACCACTTGGATCCATGAAGAATACCAATCATCTGAGTGAGTGAGTTCGCTACATCCGTATCCTCAACTAGGCCAGCGTCTGGGCAGCATCCCTCCGCAGAGCCATATAGGCCGCCGCGTAGTCGTTCGCAAGCACGTTATCGCCCGCAACTTTCATAATCGTGGCCTTTTTGGACATCAACTCGCATTGCTTCCGAATATCCTCGACGCTCGAGTAGTGATCGAATGCCTTCTCCACTGCTGCCAGCGCTTTTGTCATGAACTCCCTCCGCTTGTTGCTCTGGGGCGGCATCCGGCCAGCCATGCCCATCTCTGCATCGCCGAGGTAGGAATACAGTTGGGCCACCATGACGGCATTGTCGCACTCAAGCGCCCTAGGCAGCACTGCTTCGAGCAGCTGTATCGCCGGCTCGAACTCGGCCATGGAAGAGAGGATGTTCGCGATGGCCCCCATGGCCGACCACAACAGAGGTATCAGCCGGGCCCGCCAAGCGACATTTGCAGCGCGGACCGCGACCGTGAACCCCTTCTGCGGCCGGCCGCTTCTGTCAAGCAGCTCTGCCTTGAGTATAAGTAGTCGCACACGCAGTGCTATGTCTTTGTTCTCCTCTCTGAGGTCTGAAATAAGTGCCTCGAGTTTTGCAAAGGCGCCCTGCATGTCGCCGCGTCGAACAAGGTGGTCTATGTGCAAGTTGTCTATGACGAAGCCCAGATCTGGCTCCAGGTCGTCTGCTTTGTTCTGGAGAAGCTGCGTGAGGAGATAGTCCGCGCCGGCAAGGTTGTTCCTGTGCAGATCGCGCCGCAGCTTGATGATGCCGCGGAACTTGTGCCAATACTGGCTCGGCTTCCATGACCGTAATGCGTTCGAGTCAATGCCCTCGAGCCGTGCAAGCGCTTCGTCATATTTTCCTCTCAATGCCAACATTGATGCTTGCCGACTGGTAACCTTTAGCTCGTCATCAAACACGCTGTGCTGTGCATGACAGCGCAGGAACACCTCGCATCCCGTAGACGATAAATAGGAGACACCCAAGCGGTCCCAGAGGGAGATGTTGAGCGCCATCTGCGAACCCATCATGCCCTTCATATTCTTTTCGACCAAGATTTCCGAGCTCCGCACCATATGTTCAAGAGCAGTAGCTACGCTCTCGCCGTTGGAGAGACTCATCTTTGCCTCGCTCATCAGTGCCGAGCACCAGAGTGTCCACATGCCGGATTCCTTTGCCTTGCTGCGCAGGAACGCCAGCGAATCTCGGCCCGTCCCCAACATACTACTCGACTCGAGATCTTTGGTGATCTTCGGATGCGCACGTCCAAAATGAAAGAGCCAATTCAGGGCGAAGTTAAGACAGGTCATGTCTCGATTCTCCCTAGCCGTGGAGATGGTCTCCAGCATGGCGGCGACAGCCTCCTTATGGCAGCCGAAATCGGCCTGGAGAACGGCTAGATTCATCAGAGCGTATTGGTAGAACAGCCGATCCCTGTTCTGCATAGTGTAGTCGAAATACCGGTGAAGGTAATCAAACGAGGTCGAGTAGTCGCCAGCCCTCCAGGCATCCAGATAACTGAGGTAGTGTGACAGACTTGGGACCATGGCTGAATCATTGACTAGATCATGGAACTGGTGGCGAATTTCTAAGGGTATACGGTTGCCGTACTTTTGCATCTGCTCGATCTGGAACTCAAGCAGCTTCTCAATGTCATCGGTGCTGACGGGCAGCGTCGCTATCGGATCCCCTCGCAGCATTCCACTGTACGCGACGGACGCGATGTCCTCGACTGTGGATCCCCACTCATGCTCGCCGGTCAGCAATACAGTGTCGAAGCTGAGCCGCTGAAACGAAGGCGTCTTCTTGCGATAATACGCCGCAGTTGTCTGGCGGTACCGCACGAAATCTTTCCACAGCTCAAACGCGTCGTGGAAGCGGAGACGCGTGAACTCGAGCTGGGAGCGGCGCACGAATGCACCGAATGGGGAATTGCGTGATAGCAGGATCGTATCTGGATCCGGCGGCGCGACGCCGGCCTCGTTGTCGCGCTTCTCTTCCTCTTTGGTCCTAGCCAGCATGTTGCCGCAGCGACCAAAGAACTCATGCAGTGCGTCCAATGAGTCAATCTTCCACAGCTTCTCGAGGAAGGCGTACCACAAGCCACGGCCGGGTATGCCTGAGGCTGTCGTGAGTGGCGAGAGGACCTTCTCGAACTCTGCGATTGTCACGACGAGGCTGACCGTGCTCTCTGCCCGCTTCCACCGGGCCTCGGGGTTCTTTGGAGCACTCGAGTGCCCGATATCCAGAAGATGTGATGCGGTGAACGACAATATGTCGACTGTGGCTGATGCCGGTACGGCTTTGCTGACGTACAGCTCAATCAGAGCGAGCAGGCCTATCTTGGCGGGGTTGAGGTAGCGTGACATGGTGAAGTACGCGTCGGCGACGGACCCCCGTGGCCGCCTGGAGCTCAATGACGAGATGACGAGTTTGGCTTGAAGCTGGGCCTTGCCAACGTGGCCATTGCTGGATTCTGGCTTGAGCGACTTGCTCGTTTCGTGACTGCTTGCGAGCTTTGAACTCACGCACCCAGGGTTCTGCCGTTAGCTGCCACTGTCGAAGACTACGACAAAGAGTTTGCTGTCCAGACAGTTGTGACGTCCAATTACTGCTAGTGCCGCCGCATCGAACTCGCCGATATTGAGTTGATGGGCACAGGAGTCTGATGTGTGGTCCTTCACTCAGACTGGCTCGAGAGACGTTGAAGGTTAAAGTGGGGCATCAACATTGGACAGCACCAACCACAGCGACGTGTTCGGACTTCAGCTGTCAAAATGCGGCTTCGAATCGTTTCACTCAACTGGACAAACCTGTCAATCACGCAGGATAAACGTTCTCCCCCTGAATATATATTTCCTCTGAGATGACTGTCCAATCTATTAGGTAGGCAGACAATCAACAACTTTGCAATGAGCGCGGCTCTTGCTAGTAGTCGCAGGACATGCTCACGAGACACAATCGGCCCAGGAGCACATCAACAGGTTTCGTACTCCCATGGCGCTGAGGAGAAGACTTGTTGAGGTCCATGTTCAGAGGGACTTTTTGACCTAGTCGAGCTGTCTTGCGCGTAGGGCATGCACAACGGATTATTCATATTCGACGGGGCTCTACGGTACCAGCATTTCAACCTGGTCGTTTTTCAAATTTCCAGGTCTGTCATGACTCGATCAGTTCCTGGTCAACCAGGAGCACCAAGGACTTGCATCGCACGCCCGAATCGTCCGACAAGCTTATTTACTACCGGAATGGGAAGTGAGAGATGAGCATCCGGAGGCTACCCCTACTGGCTCGGCTGTCATCAATTGGAAACACTCTTATAAGGATTGTGGAGCCTTCCCTCAGGTGATGGCCTCCGCAAGGAAGCCAAGCCTTTGGTCGAAGAACATTTTGCAACCAGATGGATCCCTGTCCAGGACCATCCACACAGTTGAGAGCAGACATCGGATGATTTCAGTCACCCCCCGAGGCCAGCAGTGGCCATAGTCTTCTGGCTCTGGAACGGCCGATCGTTTCCCAAAACACAAACTGACCCAGTGTACAAGCTCTTCGATAACATTTTAGTGACTTGGCAGCCAGTGCTGATTCGAAATCGCCGTGGCCTAACTCCAACAGCGATGCGTTGCATCTGCCACGATGGCTTCTGACAGTGCAAGAGACATCTTGCGTGGTGCCCATGTCCTTCATTGTGGCTTTTGAGCTTGGCGGTCCCGTGCCATGGTTCTTGACCGAAGAGCATATTGGACCAGCCGGGCAGCCAGCCTGGCAACCAGGGCCTATCGCGAGATGCAACCCTTTCTGGGACTGGCATACAACGCCTCTGTGTATCATGTATGGGGATTGCAGTCCAGAATTTTGATAGCCTTCGGTGCCACCTGAAGGTCGCCAAAGGCCTTTAATCCTCCTCGATGACACCCTGAGGCTCACTCAATTTATATGACACTCGAGGGCTGGGGTGCTGATTGAGTAATCAAATCACTTTACAGGGGGGGATTTCCCCCAGAGAGCTTGCCGTAGTTGAGCGGCGACTACTGTACATACCTGGGGGGCATGGAGCGAATTAGGCAGTGGCTTTGTTTCAGGGTGGGCAATATATTGTGCTGGGAGCGGTACATTGTCCCCCGCCTTGGCTGGCTGTTGGGCGTCGTCGAGCTCGTACGACATACTATACATGCAGAGATCACAGTGGCTCATGTGGTCGTCAAGGTCACCCATGGCTTGTCGTCCTTGGGGAATTTCACACCATGATCGAGAGATAGGAAGAAGGGCACCGGGCCGTTTTGCCTGAGCATCGTGAGGTGTGCGTTTCGGGGTCTACACCACAAGGGCGGAACTCGGTGTCGACTAATCAGAGTGGCTGGGTGGCTGAACACGTGTGCTCACGAGTGAGACAAGTCGACCCAAGATGTTGTCGTGACTGAGAAACCCAGCCTGACCTTCGTTCGAGCACGAACATCACTTTTTCAGTGATCGATGGCCCAGTGAACGTCGGTTTGGGGGAGTCTGGGCTGGGCCTTGTGTCAGCTGTCAACAGGGCCAAAACCCCATGGCACCGTTGGGAAATGCAACGCCACGCGTTGATGACCACCAAGGATAAAATCGGCCGAGAGGCTGTGAAGAGGGACAAGGACCGCCTCGCCAATGGCAGCAGCATGAACACCCGGCAGGGAGGGGATCTCCTGCCGAGCATGGCACGGACGCTTTCGAGAACAGACACGAGCGACCTTTGGCAGCAGGCCAGACGAGCTCGCGAGCCAGTGTCGAGGCGAGGCCAAGGTTGGCGGTGGGGCCGAGATATGGCCCAGCAGCTGGGCAGGCCAGGGCACTCGAGGGCCCTCCGTCCGTGCCTGCCCTGCAGGTGGAGGCCGCTGCGCCGCTTCCAGGATTTCGCTCGACTCGGTGTTGATGCGAGGCGGGCTAGAGACCAGGAACTGAAGTGGATGACGATGACTGATTGCGTGTCCCTCGCTGGCGAACTGCTCCATGTCGGCAAAGAAGGGGGCTCCCCTCCGCACTTGTAGCTTGTCGTAGGGGGCGATCAATCGGCTGACATCCATAGTAGCTCGTCCAGGTGAGCAGGGCGGCATGTGTCAACGACGACTGACAGCAGTGCCCCCTGACGGACGAGAATGCGGAAAAAGAGGCGTCGAGGTGAAACGAAACGCCCTGGCTGCTCGCTGGTGGTGGCGCCGCGTGGTTGCTCGACTGGCGACCTATCAGGTGGCCTGGCCGTGCACCCCCTGAGGCCTGGCGAGCGCGACGCCTGTCAGCGATAGGCTCCCGCCGGCCTGGCGCCAGCCCACCCCTGCCACGCACATGCACCCCTTGCGCAAGTGGCCAGCCTCCCGTCCCCTCCGGCCCTCTCGTCCTCGTTGCCCGCCAGGGGCTTCCGCGCACACTGTCAGACGGTCCTTTGTCATGGACCAGTGAGGCGGCTACTTTGCGCCTGTTCCTGGCAGAGGCGGTGGGACCCTGGTCGGCTCTGCTGGGCCCGCCTTATCGTTCTCGATGCCAGGAGCACGACCTTTGCAGGCGGCGGCACGACGACTGCCGGGATCCCGTGCTCTCTCTCGCCAGCCCTCCCGGCTGGTGGCCGCCGATCGTTCAAAACGGCCTGCATTCCCTTCTCATCCCGTCCCTCCGTCTGCTGTTCATTCATTAGCACCTCAAAGATCGTCATCGTGCTTGCCTGGACGGTTGGCCATCCTTGGTCGCTCATCTTTCGCTTCTTTCTCCTTTTGTCTAACCTCCACTTAGCCCCAGAGCCTGGAATAGCTCCTCAACCGCCGCAACTCGTCATTTCCGCTGCTATCAAGATCGGCCATCGCCTCGCACCTGATCTCTGCCCAGACGCCATACCCTTTTCCTCCTCTCTGACTCTCAGCTCAACTGCCTCACCAACGTCATTCTCCTGGTCCTTGAACTGCATCATCGTGAAACACACACCACCATCAATCAGCACGCTGCTGAGCATCTCCCACCACGCCGACACGTGGTAGTACTTCTTACTCTCGTCTTGAGCTCAGCAATAACGCAGAGGTATCCGCCATCCAGCATACTGCCTGCCACCTCTTGCTTGGGCGTGTCGACACGTGGATTCGATTCTCAAGCTTTGGTCCTTTGTTTGTTCAATTGCCGCCCACTCGACCGAACAATCACTCACCACCAACCCATTGTCGACTCACACAATGCGCTTGTGACTACAAAGCACATTGATTTGTTCATCGCCTATTGTCACCAAAAGCGCACCGCGCCGCACCCGGATAATTGAAATCATCTTCTAGTCCGCCGCGCCCTGCTTGGCTTCTCTCACGACCGGTGGCTCCGTGGCGTCACTCATATATCAGTGCTTATCACTGACAGCAAGCAATCACACAACATCAGCTTAGTATTGAAACGGCATGTCCCTACTCCACCGCAGGATCGTCGCCATGGCGGACCTGTCTACGACGCCTACCGCCATCGAGCGGCGGGCACACCCCGCTGCCAAAAACGACCCAATGGCAACAGATGCCATCGGACAGTACTCGACCCTGCTGAACGGCGTCAACCAAGACAACAACATGCTCTTTTCGGACTCGCTGTGGTGGACTCTGGGTATCATGGCCATGATCGTCTTGGCAATTCGGATCTTGGAGAGCATGTGGCATCAGCTTCGACAGGTCTCGGCTATGCCTACGCCCGGCAAACGCCAGACGTACTGGAAGACAGCGCAGTGGAGCTGGATGCCTAGCCTCAAAAAGAACCTCATCTACGCGCCTCTGTGGAAAAAACGACACAACCGTGAGATTCAGCTCTCTTCGGCCATCAGCATCGGCACCTTGCCCTCACGCCTTCATTTCATCATTCTCAGCATTTACCTTCTCAGCAATGTCGGCTACATGTTTGTCCTCAACTGGTCCGGCGGTCTTGAGTTTGCTCGGGCAGCCGAGGTCCGAGGCCGCTCCGGAACGCTTGCGGTGGTCAACATGGTTCCGCTGATCATCCTTGCTGGTCGCAACAATCCTCTCATCCCGCTGTTGAGAGTCAGTTTCGATACCTACAACCTGCTCCACCGATGGATGGGTCGTGTGGTTGTTGTCGAAACAGTGGTTCACACCTGCGCCTGGCTTTACGTCGCTGTGGCGGCTCAAAACTGGGAGCAGGCAGGTGCCAGGTTGTTTGACGATATATTCCTAGCGTCCGGCCTTTACGGCACCATCGCACTATTCGTGCTTCTCGTCTTATCACTCTCGCCTCTTCGACATGCTTTCTACGAGACCTTCCTCAACGTTCACATCCTCCTCGCCATGTTCATCTTGGCCATGACCCTTGTGCACTGCTCGACGGCTCACGTTCCGGGCGGCCACCTCCCTCAGCTCCCCTTCATGGTGGCGATCTTCTCCATTTGGTTCGCAGACAGACTAGCTCGCATGTTCCGTCTGACCTACAACAACTGGTCTACGCGGGGCTTCAGTAGTGCTCTTGTTGAGGCTTTACCAGGTGACGCGTCTCGAGTCACAATCGAGTTGGCTCGACACATCGAGGTCAAGCCTGGTACTCATGCCTACTTGCGGTTTTCTGGAGTCCGAGCTTGGGAGAGCCACCCATTCTCCATCGCCTGGGTCGCGCACCACCCAGCATCTAGCCGAGCCAAGGTTGACGACGGGCCTCCCACGGCTGAGGACATTCAGAGAGGGACAACGTCGGTCTCCTTCATCATTGGCGCCCATACTGGATTCACTCGGCAGCTCCACAACACCGCCATGGCGGGCCCTGGCCAGACGATCCGGCTTAAGGCGGCGATGGAAGGCCCCTATGCTGGTCACCACCAACTCGGTTCCTATGGCCATGCTGTACTGTTTGCAGGTGCTACAGGTATCACGCATCAGCTATCGTATCTGAAGCCATTGATCGAGGGGCACAACGATGGCGTTGTGGCGACGAGGCGGATCACGCTGGTCTGGGTCATGCGTGACACTGAAGCGCTCCAGTGGATCCGTCCCTGGATGGACGAAGTCCTCAGGCTGCCGAACAGAAGGGAGATTCTGAGCATCAAACTCTTCATCACGAGGCCGAAGAATGCCAAGGAGATCAACTCGCCCTCGAGCACTGTCCAGATGTTCCCCGGCCGGCCCAACATCTCGACTCTGGTGAAGAAGGAGGTTGAGGAGCAGATGGGCGCCATGTGCGTGAGCGTATGTGGCCCCGGTGCCCTGGCCGACGATGTCAGACAGGCTGTGCGAGAAGTCCAAGTCGACCGCACAGTTGTCGATTTTGTGGAGGAAAGCTTCACGTGGTAGAGACTGACTGCATTTCATAAAGCGATTTTCATGGCATAGCGATTTCTTTTTGTTTTCCTTGCGCCCCTCGGATCAAGTATCTTGGCATAGCCCCTCAGACATCTCTTGCATTGTTCATAACACCTACTTTCTTTGTATATATACTTAGACAGCTTAGAGCCTCGATAGCATTGGCTACCTAGCCGCCAAGCACGAGAGCCTGTATATGCCTGTATAGATATCACAACAGTTCAGCACCTAATCCTCTCCTAGAATGGAGGTCAAGAATCGAGTTCAGAACCACCCACCATGTGCCTGTCAGAGACAAACGGCGTGCGAGACAATATTGTTCGTCATTCGACCGAGATGACGAACCCACTGATCTGACTCTGCTGCTGACAATCACAGCCAGTACGGTGCAACACAACGCAGCCGGCCTGTCCAAGTGGAGCATCGAACGACGGGCTCCATTCAGCAGCAGCACACGAGATAGGGCTCTTATCACAGTCGAAAGCCGCTTCCCCCGACGATCGGACCTTTTTTTATGGCCCTTGCGCCGACGGCAGCCGAGGACAAGCGTGCTCGGATGTGATGTGAGACGCATTCTGCGGCTCTTCTCCAGCGTGTGGATTCTTGCAGACGTGCTTGCAGCCGTGTTGTTTTCGTTTGGAGGGGGCTTTGGGCAGTGTAAACGACAGGGCGCGGAGGAGCAGTCATGTACGAGGGGAGAGAGTGGTGCCGAGACAGTAAGAGATGGGGCAATCGAAAAGCGATGCCCATCAAACGCTGGGCAGCCTTTCTCTTTTGGGCCTGCAGGTTCACGTCGCCTGCTAAACACCATAACTGTGGCGGCTGGCTCACCACTGAGTGTGCCTCGTCACAGAGATGCCAGGTGATCTGTAAAGCTCTGCCAGGTTCGCCTGGAGAAGGGCATGTTGGGTGTTGTCTCCAGCAAGCCATCCAGAGCAGTCCGCACAGTGGTTATTGGGCAGCGTGTGGCATGACTCGCAGCGGAAGCTGTGGCGGCGGGAGAACGAATGCCCAGATCATCTGTCTGCATCGTGTGCTTGCGTGCGTCTGCAGAGTGACTCAAGGGCGGGACCTCCGCAATCCGGGGAGCCAAGCGCCCTGCCAATGACTGGTTGGCAAAATTGTTGCCGCAACACCCTTCTCCTCAGCAAGCGCTAGGTGATCTCCAAGCCCGTTTTTTTCGGGGCGGGCAGACAGCCGTTCGTGATCAACTGGCCCTGCGAGCCACGGGCATTTAGCTCTCTTGCTTTCCCACTCCCTTTCCAAACCCCAGAGCCTGAGCTTGTCATTCTTCCCTAGACGCCACTCGGCAGTAATTGAGCAGTTCTGACCTTTTCGAAATACCCCCGCGACGACTACGCACACCGGCTTGGACCTTCCCGACTCGGCTGCTGCTGCCCCTCTGCAACGACCCTTGCCCCTCCGCCTACTGACGTACGGGCGGCTCGCGCGCACATCCCACTAACAGAACCCCCCGCGATCGGACCTGACTTTTTTTTCTTTGGTGGTCACGACATCACACAACACAGGCAAGATGCCGATGTAAGTCACCCTGCGCGACCAGCTCCTCAGCTCCAGACTCAGATATAGGCGGGGAGGCAAAATCCACATCCTGATCCAGAGAGCTGACGAACTGCGCGCAACCTGCGCACTTGGCTTTTAGGCTCAAGGACCCCTCGACAAAATACAAGCCGTTCAAGCCATTGAACCTGCCCAATCGCCAATGGCCATCCAAGACGATTGAGAAGGCGCCCCGGTGGCTGGCCACGGATCTCAGAGATGGCAACCAGAGCTTAGTTGACCCCATGGTACGTCTGCGGCTCTGCAAAAAGACGAGGCACTGCCGGAGATCTGGAATGTTAACCTCAGCGGGAAAATACAGAATGGCGACGAGAAGTGGAGATACTTCAAGATGCTGGTCGAGCTCGGCTACAAGGAGATCGAGGTCGCCTTCCCGTCCGCGTCCCAGACCGACTTTGACTTCACGCGGCGCATCGTCGAGACTCCCGGCGTGGTCCCCGACGACGTCTGGTTGCAGGTCCTGGCCCCTTGCCGTGAGGACCTGATCAAGCGCACGGTCGAGTCCCTCAAGGGAGCCAAGAAGGCCATCCTGCACATCTACCTCGCCACCAGCGAGTGCTTCCGCCGTATCGTCTTCAACTTTTCCGAGGAGGAGACGATTGAGAGAGCCGTCGCCTGCGCAAAGTACGCCCGCTCCATCACAAAGGACGACCCGGAGCAAGCTGGCACCGAATGGGCCTTCGAGTTCAGCCCGGAGACCTTTTCCGACACCAACCCTGACTATGTCATCCGCGTCTGCGAAGCCGTCAAGGCCGCCTGGGGACCTTCGGAACAGAACCCCATCATCTTCAACCTGCCTGCGACCGTCGAGATGGCCACACCAAATGTCTACGCCGATCAGATCGAGTACTTCTGCACACACATCACCGAGCGCGAGAAGATCTGCGTCTCTCTCCACCCGCACAATGACCGCGGCTGTGCCGTTGCGGCCGCCGAGCTCGCCCAGATGGCCGGCGCCGACAGAGTAGAGGGCTGCTTGTTCGGCAACGGCGAACGTACTGGAAACGTCGACCTCGTCACCTTGGGCCTCAACCTTTACACTCAGGGCATTCACCCCAACATCGACTTCTCAGATCTCACGCGTGTCATCGACACGGTAGAAGTATGTAACAAGATTCCCGTGCACCCCAGAGCGCCATACGGTGGCTCTTTGGTGGTCTGCGCCTTCAGCGGCTCTCACCAGGACGCCATCAAGAAGGGTTTCCAGATGCGCGAGGCCGAAGGCAAGAAGTCCGAAGACCACTGGCAGCTTCCCTACCTCCCCTTGGACCCCCAGGACATTGGCCGCACCTACGAGGCTATCATCCGTGTCAACTCGCAGAGCGGCAAGGGCGGTACCGCCTGGATCATTCTCCGCAAGCTCGAGCTCGACTTGCCTCGTGGCCTGCAAGTCGCCTTCAGCAAGGTCATCCAAAAGCAGGCCGATGAGCTCGGACGTGAGCTCCTGTCGGACGAGATCACGGACCTCTTCGAGAAGACGTACTTCCTGCGCGCCAGCCCGCGGTTCGAGCTGGTCGACTACACCATCTCCGTAGACCGCTCTGCATCGCCGGCGCCACCCGCGCCTGGCAAGACCCAGGACACCAAGAACCTGGGCCGTGTCTTCGACGGCGTTGTCTCTATGGACGGCAACGAGTACAAGCTGCACGGCCGCGGCAACGGTCCCATTTCGGCGCTCGTCGACGCTCTGCGCCGCCTCAACATCGACCTCGACGTTGCCGACTACAAGGAGCACGCCATCCGCGGCAACCAGGACGGCAAGTCCACCGTCAAGGCGGCGACCTACATTGAGTGCACGATCGGTGGCACTTCGCAGAAGATCTGGGGTGTGGGCATCCACGAAGATGTTGTCCAGAGTTCCTTGATTGCTCTCTTGGGTGCTGCTAGCAATGTAAGTCTTTCTTGCTCGAGAAGTCTTGTCAGGAAAAGGATATGGACCAGGAAGCTAATTAATGCGTCTTGTCACTCTACAGCTCGTTCGTAGCAGACCTGGGAGCCCGATTCTGCCCAAGCCCATCCCGCAGCGATCTTTGGAGGGCGAGCCTGAGGTCAGCCTTGATGCACCTACGACAAACACTGCGGGGTCGGCTTCTGTTGTGGTCAGCAACTTGGAGGCCAAGGTCAATGGGCATTGAAGACTTTGAGCTGATGGAGTTGGGTGCGAGTGTGTATTTTGGTGAATTCCAGCTCAGGATAGTGATGGGAGAGGATAGTAAAAAAAAAGTTGCGTTGAGGATTTGCATTGTACGCATCTTGATAGTATCACCATGGCCAAAGGCACAAGTTAGTGAACATACAAAAAGCATAGTTGTCTGTTTCCGACCAAGCAGTGCGATTGCAGGTTATTCCAAAATTCTCGCGCCTGTTCGGACAATGCGGCACACTGTCTCTCACAAGCAGTTGACACCTAGTAGTGGTTGATGCAGGCATTTTCCTCGTGGACCATGCGAAGGCAACAGACATCGAAGCCATTGGAAGCATCAACAGCCAGCGTGGGGTCTCTGTCAAACACGGGCGCCGATGACGGAACAAGTTCATGGACTAGTCTAGAAGCGGGGGATTAGCGGGGGTTCCCGTCCAGGCTGAGCTTATGCACTTGCTCCTGCTTCCAATAGTTTTAAGGACCTACAGCGCGTGCATCACGTGCGCTAGTACCCATGGTGCAGCCTTGAGCAGTCATGCTTGGACGGGCCGCTGCCAGGTAGGTACAGGCCGAGGAGATTGCTTGCACGGACCGGCTGTAGGTGCTGGTCATGCGTGGCTGTCTTGGGAAGAGTCATGTATGTTGTCGGGCAAGAAACTAATTTCATTTCTTGTCCGAGAGGGGGGGGGGGGAGGGGCTTTCTCATAATCCAACGATTCCTTAAGAGTCACTTGAGCGCGGCTTGCTACTGTTGATGAAGTAAGTGCACATGTCAACTGGGCATCTTGGTATGCGCGGGCAGCAGAATGGACTCTGGGCGGCGGGCCAGGAGCTGGCAGCTGAAAGGCAACAACCCCTCCCCGCCAAAGTCCCTTTTTCTTTTCAGGACCCCACCATCGCCCTGTGGGACAGGGGTGAACCGAAAAGGGGCGGGGGGCATGTGAAGAACGGCAGCATTTCAATCAGAGTTTCGCCCACGGTGTGAGACGAGTCCGCTCGTCACTGGGAAGAAGTGATATTCTTCTTTGGGGGTGAAGCTGTCTCAATATGAGAAGTTCCTGAAAGGCGAGGGCAGAGAGGCGCACGACTGAGTAGACACGATGCTACTAATAGTGGCGGTCCGTGGAACGGCATGGACGAATGACAAGCTCGAGCACTCGGCGGGCGGCTCGAAAGCCTCCAGAAAAGAACCTCCTTTCACCTGCCAGACCCGCCGGTCAACTGCCAAACGTCAAAGCTGAGAGGATGACGGGGCGAGCCCCCTTGGAAAGCAAGCAAGCAAGCGGGCTTGCAGCCAGTGATCGTGGGGCTCCAGGGTTGCCGTGGGAGGCGCAGCGAGGACGAGGCAGCCGTGCATGATGATCAACGACAAGAGGAGGACAGTGAGAGGCGAGGCGGCTGGAGTTGATTGGGGGATGTGATGCAGCAGTCTCTCCCACCGGCCAGAGATGCATAAAGGCGTAGCAGGCACCAGGGAGCCTACCGGCTCGGCACGAAAAGAAGGCCTTGGACGCTGGGGACTGAAGGGTGTTGCGCCTGCTCATTATTTATGTACTGCCCATACTCCACTCTTTGTTATTGCCTTCTCCCAGGGCAACCGTTTGTAGCTTGCAATTTCAGAGCCTTTCTGTCCCGCGACCCTGCTCTTTTCTCTGGATTTCTCTCTTGCTCAAGACGTCTCTTTGATCACTATTGCCAGTGGTGTCAGAATACCGCTTTCTTAATCAATACGTTTCTTGCACGACAGTTGTTGGGCGGCTGCCTTATCGTCCCCGACAGACCCTACGCTCACAGTACAGACTACCAAGGGGTACTCTGCCCGCGCGCCAGGCCTGGGTACTGTACTTAGTTCTCTTCGTTGGACTTCCAGGGACCGTCGTTGGTTCTCCTCCCCCTCCAAAACCCACCACCCCCCAAACAGCGGGCCAAAATAATACACCACCTCCCTCGCAACTGCGCCGCGCCCACGTCTTGGATTCTCCGACCACCACCTCCAGAGCCAGATCCAGGACGAAGCAGACAACATGGCTGACAACGGTGACATCAACACTGTTCTCAGCAACTCGCTGTCGCCCGGTAAGTCCACCCCACAAGCTGCCACTGTGCTTGCTAGCTACGCAGCCGTTCCTTTCACCGTCCGCCTTGCGCGTCACCGACGCCTTCCTGCCTCTTTGCGGTCCAGGACCAACTAAGCTGACAACTCGTCTTTCTCATCTGCAGATGCGGCGACACGCACCGGCGCCGAGCAGCAGCTCAACCAGGCTGCCGAGAACAACTTCGTAAGCCCGCCCCTCCCATCAGCTGCAGGCACTTCTTCTCCTTCCCCGCCCACGACCTCTGCCTCCGTAACAGGTGAACAAAGCCAATGACTAACCTTTCGTCGTTTCTACGTAGCCCCTCTACCTAGCCACCCTCGTTCAAGCGTTAGCAGACAACAACAGTGACACCGGCATCCGTGTCGCCGCCGGTCTTGCCCTCAAGAACGCCTTCACCGCCCGTGACTTCACACGCCAGCAAGAGCTGCAAGCAAAGTGGCTTCAACAAACAGACCAAGACACAAAGACCCGCGTCAAGACTCTCGCCCTTGAAACGCTCGGTGCCGAGAGCTCACAAGCAGGACAGGCCGCGGCTCAGGTCATCGCTGCGATCGCCGCCATCGAGCTGCCGAGGGGTCAGTGGGAAGACCTTCTGACAACTCTTGTCGCAAATGTCAACAGCACAGCTGCCCACACCAGGCAAGCGTCCCTGACATGTATCGGCTACATCTGCGAGACCCAGGACGCCGAGCTCCGCGCGGCTCTGGTCAGCCATTCAAACGCCATCCTCACCGCCGTCGTCCAGGGTGCCCGCAAGGAGGAGACCAACGTTGAAGTACGGCTGTCCGCTATCTCGGCCCTTGGCGACTCCCTCGAGTTTGTCGGCAGCAACTTCAAGCATGAGGGCGAGCGCAACTACATCATGCAGGTCGTCTGTGAGGCCACACAGTCCGAGGACTCGCGTATCCAACAGGGTGCTTTCGGCTGCCTCAACCGCATCATGGGCCTCTACTACGAGAACATGCGTTTCTACATGGAGAAGGCTCTCTTTGGTCTCACGATTCTCGGCATGAAGAACGAGGATGAGGACGTTGCCAAGCTTGCTGTCGAGTTCTGGAGCACTGTCTGCGAGGAGGAGATCAGCATCGAGGACGACAACGCGCTTGTGGAGAGCTCTGATCAGATGCGCCCCTTCTACAACTTCGCGCGGGTCGCCACTAATGAGGTCGTCCCGACCTTGCTCCTGCTCCTCACCAAGCAGGACGAGGACGCCACAGACGACGAGTACAACCTAGCGCGGGCCGCTTACCAGTCACTCCAGCTATATGCCCAGGCCGTTGGCCCGAACATCATTCCCCCCGTCATTCAGTTTGTCGAGCAGCATCTCCGGTCGGAAGACTGGCACTACAGGGAAGCTGCCGTCGCCGCCTTTGGTGCCATCATGGAGGGCCCTGATGAGACAGTCCTCAAGCCCATTGTGACACAGGCTCTTCCCATCCTAATCACCATGATGGATGACAGCAATGTGGTTGTCAAGGATTCCACTGCCTACGCTCTTGGCAGGATCACCGAGGCCTGCTCCGAGGCTATCGACCCCGAGACTCACCTCGACCCCCTGATCCGCGCTCTTTTCGCCGGTGTACACAACCCCAAGATGGCCGCTTCGTGCTGCTGGGCTCTGATGAACTTGGCTGAGCGTTTCTCTGGCGATTTCGAGGCTGCCACTAACCCCTTGACTCCCCACTTCAACCAGAGTGTCCAGACTGTCCTCGAGGTCACTGGGCAGGCCGGATCCGAGACCACTGTGCGGACCACTGCCTACGAGGTTCTCAGTGCTTTCGTCCAGCACGCCGCCCTTGACAGCTTCCCCGCCATCGCCCAGCTTTCCGATGTCATCATCAAGCGCCTGGAGGAGACCATTCCCCTGCAGAGCCAGGTCGTCAGCATCGAGGACAAGATTGCTCTCGAGGAGATGCAGACTAGTCTTAGCACAGTGCTCCAGGCCATCATCCAGCGTCTGGAGAAGGAGATCTCTCCTCAGGGTGACCGCATCATGCAGGTGGCGCTGCAACTTCTTAGCAGCGTTGGCGGCAAGTCCAGCGTGCCCGAGGCCATCTTCGCCACGATCAGCGGTCTTGCGAATGCCATGGAGGAGGACTTTGCCAAGTACATGGAGGCATTCAGCCCTTTCCTGTACAACGCCCTCGGTAACCAAGAGGAGCCTAGCCTTTGCTCCATGGCTATTGGCCTTGTGAGCGACATCACCCGCTCCATGGGCGAGCGCAGCCAGCCTTACTGCGACAACTTCATGAACTACTTGTTGAACAACCTCCGGGTGAGTGCTGAATTCCGTTTCTTGGGTCCAATAGAGAGTCTGCTAACACCGATACCAGAGCGCGTCGCTGGCGAACCAGTTCAAGCCTGCTATTCTGCAGTGCTTCGGCGACATCGCTGCCGCCATCACTGGTCACTTTGAGACGTACTTGTCCGTTGTTGCGCAGGTGCTTCAGCAGGCAGCCACCGTCACTGCCTCCCCTGATGGTTCGTATGAGTTGTACGACTACGTCATCTCGCTTCGTGAGGGAATCATGGATGCCTGGAGCGGCATTATTGGTGCCATGAAGGTCAGCGGAAAGAGTAAGTCGCCTTATACCCTCACCAAGATACGCTTCTAGTACTGACTCTTTGTAGCTCAAATTCTCCAAGAGCACGTCCGCACCATCTTTGAGCTCCTCAACCTCATCTCCCAGGACATGAACCGCAGTGAGGCGTTGATGCGCTCCTCTATGGGTGTCATTGGGTAAGTCACCGTCTGCTCTATCGCGCCTATAGTGCAACTTCTAATATACTCCAGTGATCTCGCCGACGCCTTCCCCAACGGCGAGCTTGCCGATGCCTTCAGGCAAGACTGGCTCAATGCTCTCATCAAGGAGACCAAGACCAACCGCGAGTTTGGTCCCCGGACGATTGAAACCGCCCGTTGGGCGAGAGAGCAAGTCAAGCGCCAAGTCGGCGGCTCGACGTCAGTCATGCAGTAGAGGAGATCCGCACCCGCACGGCTCTCAAATGAAGAAGACTACACAGTCATATTTCCGGCCCATTGGGGACTCTCAATTCCTCTATGGCGATTAGCCTGTTGCTGACTGGCGCGCCATTCATCCTGCACCCTATGTACATAAACCCCCTTCCACAACACGGCATCATCGTAATTCACAGCCCAAGCATATCCCATCTCCCCACGACACATCACCCACGTTTAGAGATCCGACTGGCTCCCCTTCATGTACCACCCCCTATATTTGACAGCCGATCTCTAGTTTTTTATTTGTCCACCTTGATACTTTTTTGGGTTCCCACACATTTCCCCCTCCCAACACACACAAAGAGATAACGAAGAGATGCGATTCCCCCCAACACCACCACCCTCCACCACCCGGCGCCTTGTTAGAGTAGAGTATATCATGTAAGCCCCATACGCGGGCCTGATGAATTCATGTAAACGGCTTCGCCAAGAAGTCTGGAGAAGGACGAAGAAGCAGAGGATGAAGAAAACGGTTATCGAAGCAGCAGCCCGTTGTCTACAATGAGAAGACGGTTAAACAAGAACCCGCATTGGCAGTTGTGAATGTGCTTGTGTTTCAGTGCTGTCATCCTATGCTACCTGAATCTGTAGTATGCTTTGGTCAGTGGCGGGTAGGAGAACAAGCAACAACAGCCTTGGAAGTGAGTGGACAGAGACCCCAAAACACGGATTGCAGATTGTTTATTGAAATTTCTCCACACAACTGGGGTAAGCAGCTCATGGGGCGCTAAAACCTAAATTACCCAAAAACACAAGATTCATAATGGTGGCCGAATGTGAAGGTCAGGAATGGAACGGGTGGCCATGGACGCCGAACCGCCACGATGGAGAAGAGACCGGACGACGTAAGCCGGGTAGCTAGCTGTCTCTGGTTTCACATTCGCTTTCGCCAGAGCACATCAACACAGCCACGCCACCTTACGGCGTGAGCGCAGCGGACTCGTAATAGAGCTTGACCCGTGACTCGGTGGCGCAAATCCTCAAGAACGTAGGTGGGCATGGCATGAGCCGTTGACAGCGACATGGGGCACGACAACGACCATCACCACAATCCTCTTCAGCGGCCAGAGACGTTGGTGGCCATGGCCCCTGTCTCCGCGCTGCCTCGTTCCTCGTGGCGTCCAAGCGACAACGACGACCAAGTCGAGGACGGACCAGAGAACGGACGACTCGACGATTCCATGCCCCCCGTGCCCATACTCGCAGCCATGCTTGCGAATAGACCGGAGCTGGAGCCAACACCACCGGAGGCTGAGGTCATACCGGGACCGAGACCAGATCCGGGATCGAGGGTGCGGCTTTGACCACCGACAGCATAGCGATCGATCTGCTCGTCGCGACTAGCAGCGGCAGCAGCAGCATCAGCATGATGACGAGGTGAGGCGCGGGCGCCAGCCGTGGCAGCCCAGATGGCGCCCGTGTGGAGGAACCCCTCGAGATTATGCTCGAAGCCGTCGTTTAAGCCGTCTTCGCTCCGGCTATAGTTGTTTTCGTCGCCTTCGTCATCGCTGTTGTCTGTATAACTGTAGCGACGATCGTCAGCGGCGTCTCTGGAGCGATATTCTAAGCCGGCAGTAGCACCCGCCGCCCCCGCGATCTGGGCTCGGCTTGGAGTGCTGGATGGCGAGCCCTTGTAGTTGTTGTTGTCGCTGGTTGATGGGGATATGGATGGCAGCCGCGGGTAGTCGTATGATGAGCATTGCGCGCTCCTGTATGGCTGCACGGGATCTTGCGAGTGTGACTGCTGCTGCCAGGTCGGGGCGTCCAAACCTGCGGAAACGGCCGGGTTGTAAGGATGAGGGCAGTACGGTCTGTGGTCAAGAACAGCCTGCAGAGGCTTGTGGTTGTTTGAAATGGCATGCAACGGCCGATTCTGGGGACTCAAAGAAACTTTAGACGCTGAAGTGTCGATCGATTGGCCGGAAGGCGGCGAGGGGAGTGAGGGAGAGCCCCGAGCTGACTGGTCGAACGATTCTCCTTTTAGCGGTGGCAGTGCAAGTGACTCTGGCTCTCCCTCTGAGGGCAATGTGCTCTGCAGTGGCGGCAGGTAAGCGAAATTCTCAAAGGTTTCGTGTAGTTTCTTGCTCGGCTGCAAATCTCCTTCAAAGTGTTGGTGCCGTGGGGAGGACTTCGCGCCGTTGCGACCCCGGGCGCCCTTTAAAGTTGCACGAAAAGTCAGCCTATGAGACATTGCCTGCCGTCGACGGGGAAAGGGGAAAGGGTAAAACACAAACTCTGGCGCGAACTGTGTCGACTCTGGCCCGAATCACATCTGCATTGAATGCATGATGCCAGCTCTCTAGGTCCGTGTGCCAATGCCCAGCAGGTGGCCACACATCTTGGCATGACCTCAGCAGGTATGATACTTTGGTGTACATTCGCAGGCCATCATCTCGGATTCTGTCGTGCTCGTTGTGTCCATGGGAGCTCATGTGAGCATCAACTGTTGCTTACTGTTAGCTGGGCGTCCGCCCACCAAAATATTAGGTATGTTGACTAGACGTACTTAGAGGGCACTTGAACAGATACGTCGCCATGACTCCAACAGTGTACAGCATGAAGCACTGTCCCTCTGGTTAATCCCATATTCAATGCCCATGATCTGGCAACATACTTACTGTCAGTACATTGCCGACTTTGTCCTCAATGTGACCATATTCAAACCTCGAGTCTAAGATATGGAACAGATGTCTGACTTGGACAAACAGATCCTTCATCACATCCCAGTACCTTTTGACCTCGTCATCCGGTATTTGAGAGAAACTCGGCGCTTGCTGAACAATGCTAAATACAATATATGTAAGCTTGTTACATCGAGTGCCCGAAAAGTAACAAAAACTTACTCATTAAGATATGCTTTGCGTAGCACAATATGACAGAGCCGGAAAGTCGCATGGATGTCGAGGTAAGCCTTCGTGCATGTCAGATTGCTGCAGCTTCACGTCAAAAACCTTGATTACAAAGGAAGACATACCAGGTCAAGCGACTGTCGGCGATAGCCACCAAGGAGTGAGCTTGAGAACCCTTGATCCAATGGACGGCCACGTTCCCAGTCGTCTAGGCGACGTAGAACTTGTGCAATGCTGCTACTTGACCTTGCGGGTTTGTATCTAACCTCCCTGCAAGAGGCCAAGCGTGCTGCCTCCCCCCATATGTCGAGAATTTGAAGATACGATGCCAGAGATGGCGGCCTGCCATGTATCGAAGTAGACACAAGTGCTTCCTGGGAGGTAACTGCTATGCCAGATCGGCTATCGAAGGCGATATCGTCTTGAAGAGAGTAGGTAGTGATGTCTTGTGGTTGTAGCGTGATAGGCAGCCCTCGACTGCAGATCGACTTGTTGAGACCTTTTGCGCTTGGTAAGTCGAGGAGATTAGAGCAAACGATTCCGGGTACGACCTACCATAAGCGAACCACTATTGCGAGAACGATGAAGGCGTTAGTCCCGGGCCGTCCAAATTTCGCGGAGTGTCGCGAAAGGCTGAGAGGGTTTTGACTCACAAAGGTTCGCCTCGCTGATTCGGCTTTTGCTCTCGCTTGAGGTATGGACTCGGACATCATCCTTTCGTACGCCTGCTCCCGGTGTAGTCCCAGTGACACAGCGATATTCAAGGCCACCCTCGCAGACATCTGTCGTGCTTCGTCAGCGTCCGCTCCGGTACCTAGCGTTTGAGAATGAAGAGAAGAGAACCCACGTAGCTAGGGTCAATCCGGCCGCTGCCTTGTTGCGCAATAGTGAGCAGCAGGAACGCCTGGCACCTCTCGAGCGTCGCCTCCTCAAATATTTCGAGCCTGCCGGCTTGCTCAGCCCGGTCGGTGAGATTTGCGACTGCAAGCATTCCGCCCCCGTAGTGATCGCGAAGCATCCTAACGTACCGTGCCGATACGGCCACGATGCTGCACAGCAGGAACGCGGACACGGAGTTGACATCCTCTCGCACTTGCTGTGCAAAGCGGTCGGTCGAGAGGAAGCTAAGCTGGTTAAACTTCCTGAAGAAGGCGTCAACCGCAATGAGGATGGTGTTGGTGTCAGGCAGCAGACTTCGTGTTGAATTGAGGAGGTACTGCTGGTCGCCTCCACTCCCTGGGCCTCTGGCTGGAGCCCGTACCAGAGGATTACCACCGTTCCTGGAGAGTCGATCCGCGCGCCTCATACGTGGATGGCGAAACTGGCGGTCTACATTTTGCTCGCCACGCTCGACATATGAGCTGGAGTGTTTTTCAGTCAGTGTCCCGTGCCAGCGGGCAGGCAGAATCAGAAGCTCAGGCATACCATTCTTTGGTCATGTTGGACTCGACGCATGCCTGGCATGGCTCCAAACCGACATGAATACACTTCTTCCGCTGCTTGCGGCATCTGCATGACCATGTCAGTGGTGTATGGGAACGTGCCCGGAGGAATCATTCATCGTCGACCACGGTTTTGCTGGGTAGCTGATTGCACACTTACGGTCGACAGGCGGTGGGAGCACGGCGTCGAGCCTGTTGTGCAGTGCCAGGCGGCTGGGACATGCTATCTGAGCCTTCTAAAAGGCACAGAATACGGACTTGGACGATGTTGTCAGACTGGCGATGGGAGGGTGTGGTGCCACGCTCTGAGAGGCACAAGACTATTTTCCGGCGTAGCTGTGTCGGGGACGCAGTGCGAGGCGGTTCATGGAATGTGTGGTTGAGTGCGTGGTTACAACCAACGCACCAACACGAGGACGCATGTTTCAGTGTTCACGGGACAGGAAGACCCTGTGTGTGTGCTGCGGCTATACAGGATGGGGGCGTGTGCCAAGAAGATCCAGAGCCCAGGATCTGGCAGGGTTGTGCCCATCTCGATCTGGCAGCCATCGTATCACGCGAGTGACGCTGTTGCTGCTGGCCAGGCAGGGTTCAGTCAGGCTGGCCGGCCAGAGTTGTTCACCCTCGCGGGGGCTCCAGGACTGAGGGCTCCGTAGGGGAAAGAGTAGCGAGTTGCAATATCTGATCATCTAATCAGGGCAAGGCAGACCGGTGGGGCGATGCTGGGGAGCCGATGGGGAGGCCCTGGCACGAGACGACTGGGACGAGAATCGACATCGGCACGGACAAGGTCGGGCCGAGAAAAACGGTGTTTGAGACGGGGCAAGCCGTGGGCCAATGTGGTTGTTGGCCAAGACGACGTGTTGGCTCCCAGGGAGTCGAGGCTGCATGTGGCGCGGGGGCCCATGTCGATGGTACCTGCCAATAGACGAGCGACCCGAAATGACCCTTCCCCAAAAAGGCGAGTGGCCTCCAGGGATCTGGGGTCGATGATATCGTCCACGACTGCCTGCCTGCCTGCCACCAACAACAACAACAATGCGAGCCCTAAATTCGAGACGATGCGAGGCACCAAGGGGACACGGGATGCACCGTGCTCGTGGCCTTTATGTACAAGCCGGATAGATGCAGAACCCTCGATGTGTGAAGAAGGCAACAAGGAAAGGAGGAGAAGAGAAGAAGGACAACGGCTGCCTGGGTCGAGGATGTGTGCCCAGCGGGGGCAGATGCATGCGCAATTCCGGGCAGGCAAACAAGCCAGGATGCCCTGCCGCAGGGCTGGAAGACCCAGATACCAGGATAGAACAGGGAAGGCAAGAAGGAGGAGGGGTGGCGGACCTGCGAGATGGTTCCGGTCATGGTGTTGGTGAAGGTGGTATTGAGCGTGCCGAAGCGTTGCCGCCGGCGCATCGGACGGGCAGGGCCTGCCTGGATGGGCTCCGAGGTTAAGTTGTCTCGACCCGCTACCACCAGCATCCGGGGGGGGGGCGCCTTGTCTCGGGCGCTTGCGCCTAGCCAACACTGGAACACCGCCGTGGCAGCTCGGGTCGGGGTCCTCAGATGCTCCCTTTTCGAGCCTGCCCGCTTGTGCGACGGCGGGCACAGACTTCCTGTAGCGGCCGGGCCGGGCACAATGAGATTGGCAGCCTTGTTGTCGTGGGCCGACCCGGAGCGAGGCTTGCGTGTCGCGGCTGCAGGCGGCCGCTTGTCCGCGGTATTCTATCTCGTCTCTGGCGGCGAGACGGGGCCATGGCGGGAGGGCGGGTGGGTTCCGCCTGGCCCCGGTCAGTGTGACGGTCGAGCACAACGGGGCGAGGGGGCGAGGAGGGGAATGACGATGGTGGTGACTTGCTGGGACTGACCAAAGTACACGCCAGCCGCCAACAACGTCGCGATCGCCAAGATGGGACGAGTTGCAGGGTTGGCAGCATACGACTGCCAACAACCAACATCGCTTGGCAAGTGACAGCGCCTCCCTAGGCTTGGATTGGCTAGCCTGGCGCCCCCCCCACCCCCCCCCCCACTGACAGCCCGGATGGCTTCCGCGCTCCCGCCCACTGACTAAAGTAACTACACCCCGGAGCCACAGGGAGGGTCTCATCCAGTGTGGGGTTCGTCCTTCCCAGCGTTGCTTGCGACTGTGATGGACTCACTGCATCTCCAGGTCCATGCCAGCCAGGCCGGGCTCCCTCCTCGGACGATCCAGGAATGGACATCAGAGCGCGGCCCAACTGGAGAGTCAGCAGAGCAGAGGCAGGCAATTATGGGTCCCAGATACCAGGATTCACTCACTCTTCACCACATCTGTGCGCTTCCCGCCCCCCCCCCCCCCCCCCCCCCCGTGCGATACCCGTTGGTCCCGATCACGCTAACCCTGGCTGACCAGCCCACTACGCGCGACCTCGGCCGTCAACATTCAGGCAACAGTAGATTCCAAGCACACCACCCACTCCATCTTCACAGTACTTGGCTGCGCGCATCAGATTTGCCGTCAGGAACAGCAGTACCACTCAATGGCAGAGCACGCACACATGTGGACTCCGGCGGGCTCTTCAAAAGAATTTCTTTCGCTTGACACAAAGACTGGCTGTATATGATGATGATGCTCGTATGTACTCCTGCCTGTTGGACTCCTTGCCCTTATTTAGCCCATTAGACTGTCAAAAGCAATGCCCAATTCCAGCCCTTCTCGGCCGTCGCCGAAGCATAATTGTGATTCTGCCTCGCGATGCAGCGCCGCCGCCCAGTAGCAAGAAAGCAGACCCAAGAAGCAAGTGTGTCAACAAGAGAACGCCAAGAAAGAAAACACCTGTTGTGCTGATGCAACCGCCAATGCTGCCCATTTTCCCAGTGGATGCCATCGTGATGTGTCGGCCGTGCTAGTTCACCCCAAGCGGGTGATTGTTGTGCGTGTGCCTGAGTGTCGATGGCGCGGAAACAAAGTAGAAATAAGGAAAGTGTCAGTGGAGCGGATATCCACCCGCCGCGATAAGGAGTGAGGGTATCGTATTATACATTAAAAGCAAAAGCGCCAGGGATTGTGATGGAGAGGCGTGCCGCGGTATCCTTCTCCGGTGGCGTTGGGGGCCGCTCATCAGTGCTCGCGGCTGTCTCGCTGTGAACCACGCCGTCCACCTTGTTGGCAGAAACAACATTGGCATCGACGCTGTTGGTTGAAGTCTCCGTGTCAGGGGCTTTCTGGGTGACGTCCGGAGGGGTTGTTGGTGTATCTGTCCCCGCGGGAGCAATGGTCAACTCCGATGGCGGAGTCACCGTGGTTGCTTCGTCCTGAGCGTCGGGTCCGCTAGACCGCACCTCTTGCGGAGTCGTTTCCGGCTCGTCGGTGCTGTTACGAGTGCTCTTGTCTGCTGCACTCGGGTGGTGGGCATGTCCATGACTAGCGGGAACAACACCACCTCCGATCCGACTCCAGAACATCTGCTCCCGTAGCTTGACGCTCTCCTCCCAGCAGTTCCGCTCCGCTTCGGCATCATCAGCTCGCCAGTGTCCGTCCTTGACCATGCGAAGAAAGCCCAAGAAGTCGCAAGTCGACCGCACGCGGCCGAGGCAGTACTTGCAGAGCGGGTATCTCTGCGCCGTCTCGGTCTCGCTTGTCCTAAAGCGGTGATGGCGTAAAAGACTTTCGTCCTTGCGCGACTCGCCGCACAACGAGCACTTGTAAAACTGCGGCTTGCTGATTGTTGCGAAGACGCCAGTGGTGGGAACCGGTTCAACGACCAATGTGCCCTCAGTGATCGCTGTAATGACTGACCGTCGAGCGAGCCAAGAGAGCCCGGGAGCGGTATCCAGACGTAAGGTGGGCTCGATGTCCTCGGCTAGAGCTCGCTTGTAGAACTTGGTCTCTTTGAGCGGGGGAAGCTGGACGGCTGGTGCGCTAGACCCAGCACTGATCGCAGACGCGGGGGTGTTAGGAGATTGGGGCGAGGAGCTGGATGCAGCCGCTGCCGAAAGAGATACAGTCGAGCTATTGGACGCAATCGAAGCTCCCGCTATGCCGAGTACTGGATTGAGACCATTGTAAGAGCCGGAAGACACGCGGCTGTGTGTTTTGGAGACTTTGATCAGGGACATGAAGTCGTCGTAGGCGCTGATGTCGGTCCGGAGAACAGGAGAGAGAAGGTGACTCAGATCCGTAGGATACGTAGGCGACAGAAGTTCCGAGCCGCCCTGCAGAGCATCACCGTCCGAGTTGCGGCTATCGCTCTCGCGGGGATCGAATTTGCTAAGCCCAGGCGAAGAAGGCGCTGTTCCTGTGCGGTCGTCCTTCTCGGCATTCATCTGTTCCATGACGAGCTTGAGCTCCGCGAGCTGTTCTTGCTGAAATGTGAGGAGTCCTTCGGTGTCCTTGAGTTGCGCTTTCAACTGCTCATTCTTGCGGTTGAGAACTTCCTGTTCCCTGGCGGCGTCTTCTTTCGCGGTGATGACCATCTTGTTGGCCTCTTCAAAGAGCGAAACTGTAAGGTTTTCCAGCTCCTGCTCAATCTTTTTCTTGTCCTTCTCGGCTTCCAGCCTGAGAGCTCGCTCGGTTGCGAGACGAGCGCGAAGGTCAGCTTTCTCTTCCTCGGCAACAGAACGCCTCATCCACACGTCCTCGGACAGCTTCTCCTGTTGCTTGGCCACCGTATCTTCGAGCTCGGCAATCCTCTCCCTCGCCGTGTCTAGTTCATGCCGTGTAGATGACAAAGTGTCGTCGAGGGTGGTTTGATGGTTGATGGCATTGATCAGTTTCGTGCTCAGCGTCGCAACCTCTTGATCTAGGTCGGGATGGTGACCCGGCGTGCTGGACTGTGTTGAGACATCTGGACTTAGGGCGCGGGACCGTGGATCAGGTATCGTGTTGTGGTCTTCGTCTTCGCGTACCGACAGTGTTGACGGCATGCGTCTCGGCGTGTGCGGCCTCGCCTCGGGAGGAATCATCATCTCGGCGGCATTATGAGTCGACAAGGATTTCGCAGGGGATCTAGACCGCGAAGATGCCGAAGAGGGCGAGATGGTCGAAAGAGACCGAAAGTGGCCGAGAGAGCTACGAGGGTTCGGACTCGCGCTCCGGTGCGGCGACCAGGCAGCGATGGAGACGAAGCTGAAGAACATGGTTAGCATGATGGAGGGGAGCTTGTCGTGGTGGTGGTTTGGTTTGGTTTGGTTTGTCGCGCGAGGCATTCTACATCTCAACCCAGAACGCCCACGATTGCCTCGGCCATCAGAGGTGCAAGAAGCTGAAGGAAACGTGGGAAGCGAAGGCAGGCACATACTTCTCCAGGTTTGCGGCGGGAGGACCAAAAGGCCCAAAAGGTCACGGCAAGCCGCCCTAAAATGTCTTGTGTAGACGTGGACTGGAATGTTGTGTCCAGACACGGAGAGATTAAAGTCGGTAATGAGGGCAGTGTCCAGGCGACTCGACCAATAGCAAATCAAATGCGAAGCTAGCACACCGGATGCCTTGTGCTCTGACGTGTTCCGACGAGATGCTGTGTCGTGGCCTTGGAGCTAGTTTCGATCACAATGTCGTTGTTGGCGCGCGGCCCAGGGGAGTGTGGATGCCCAAGTGCGAATATGTGCCGTAGGTGACTCGCTGGAGCACTCCTCCACCAAGACCAAAGTTGCGATGTGGTGTGTGAGCCCAAGGCGATATGTGGTGGCGCGGCGGGAGACTCTCCGGACGTGCAGTTGGCGTAGCACGAACGGCGAGTTGCAGAGGCGAGGAATGTGCGAGGGCACGCGGGAGCAGCAATGGTGCGGATGGAGCGGAGGAGTGATGACGGGGTGGGATTGAATGGGAATGATGGGACGGATGGATCATGGTTGGAACAGGGCGGGACGTGGGTCAGCGTGGTGGCCACTGGCTTGTCCACCCTAGCGGCTGCTGGCTTGGCGGCTGGACCGCCTGGCACTGGCCACAGGGACCATTCAGTGGGGCCTTGCGATGGCTGCGCAAGTGGCGGCATCGCTCTGCTAGGAGCCAGCTCGCAGACCAGGATTGAATCACCCACTAATTAGCGCCTGCCGGCCACCGACCGACCGTGGCCGACCCTATCGCCGGGCCTTTCTCCCCCCGTCTCTCTGTTCTCTCTGCGTGTCTGGCCTGGTCTGGCTCGTCATCATGGCTCAACTTGGCGACTCGTGGGCCGCGGTGCCGGGGCTGTGCCTCTGCCGTCCCAGCAGCGAAGCACAGTATCTGTTCCACATTCAGCGATCTGGCCCAGGGTGCTCGCAACTATTGCCAGGGGTCACCCCAATGACCTGCCTTTTGTTCTCGACCCAGCTGCAGCTCCGAGGCTGTTCACAGAGAGAGCGTCAGCCAGGCCGGCCTGAGACCGGACCCCTGTCCACCAATCCAGGTCCTGTCCGAGAGGCAATCTTGGGTCCTCGATACAGAATGCTGCCTCCCACTGAGATACGACGTCGCGATGCTGCTTCATTTGATGACCTATTTATACCCTGCCAGGCTCTTCGATGGCGTCGAGCAGTAGGTAGCACAGATGAGCGAGCATGGCTAGACCAATACTTTATCGACCGCGCGCGTCCACGGCAAAGTGGCCGCTTTCTGGCCACCCTAGAGATCTTTTCGGGTCAGGTGTCGACGAAGGAAAATGAGCGACAATCGGTCACCGACAAAGGAGGGCGAGAACCACCGCCGAGTGGCCATTGACGCAACGCAAGGTGGAACAGCGCGGGAGCCCAAGGGTGCCAGCAGGCTAACGACTCGCCCAGCTTAACAGCGCAACATTGATTGGCCATGAGCCAGGGGTTTGCTGCCCGAAGGGTCTGGAGCTACCGTTGGGCCGAACAATCACGCCGCGGCTGAGGCTTGCTCCGCATGCACGTGTCCCGTGTTGCTGAGCACGAGGCTACGGTCACGAAGCCGGCAACAAGGCTCATCCAGGCCGAAATGGGGCTCGTGGAAGTCTCGACTCACCAAGTTGCAACACCCCAACAATTTGTCAGTGGTGCAGATGCGAACGGAAGGTCAGAGCCCCTAACAAAGAGACTCCAACGGCGTCGCAAACACGAATGTTTCTGGTCCACAAAATTGTCTCAGCGCCCCGTCCCATTCTTCTCGCGTGTTTCTCAGTTCGCGCCAGGGTCAGTTACGGCAGCGTCTCAAAGCATGGCTTCGTCAAGCACCTGTCTCCAGCCAGGCCACGTATGACGACTTATCAACGCGCAGCTCTCATGCCACGGCTGCGCCCTTGTCTTGCCTTGTCTTGGTGATCTTGGCCATGGTACCCAGCAATCGCAACAACGTCACATATGTATCAATCTCCGTTCGTCTTTGGCACGCGTCAGAGACACCACACAGCCATTCTTCACCAGCACGCAAATCCTGCGTGAAACCATGTCGACGACGTCATGTGCTACATCGTTGCAGCTAATGAAGCCCAGCCATGATCCCGGAGATGCTGCTTAACACACGCCACTTGCGAGCACTATACCCTGTTCCTGACCCACCCACTCAAGGTTCAGGCTAGTTATTCAAATTGTGTACGACCTTGAACCTGACTAGGCCTTTTGAGTTCTGTTAGTGTTCGGCTTCTTGCACAGGCCCAGGGCTGGTGAGGAAAAAGCAAGTGGGAGAAGAAGAAAAAAAAGCAACTCAAGTCCAATTCATGGCATCTTGGAGGGTTTATGGTCAGCCAGGCTATCGAGAGATTGAGCAATCACGATTCAGGCCTAGGTCGCCGTGGCTGGACCTCGCAATTACCAGCTGACCGGGGCCAGAATGGAAAACGAAAACCTGGCGCTTGGCCAGACCCTCTGCACTTTGACGAACTGTAGATAATAGCGGAAAATATGCATGTCCACGCCCTTTCCAAACCCCCCCGTCTTGCTAGCCCATAAGACGGACTTGATTGCGCATAGAGGCACATTCGAGAGTAGCGAGTGGTGATGCGACTTCAGCATTGGCAGTCCAGGAGCACGTCCAACACGCACAGCGCAGAATTTATATCAGTAAATCGCGCGTGGTGTTTCAACAGAGGACCAAATACGAGATTCTCTCACCTCTCCGCATCTCGTGCTGCCAATCTTGCACGACTAGTGTCGTATCCCGCTCGGCTCCTGCAGGTGAACCCTGTCATGCTTGGTGGTCGCTACGGCTGTGCCTGGCCAGCTGCATCTTTACCCCTCATCATCCCGGCGCTGACGGGGCGGCGGATTGCGTTGTGTTGTTATGTGGGCTGTTCCGGTCCCCGGAGAGCTCGATGGTGGTACCACGACCTGAAGCTTATCACACCAGGGGGCAGTCCCCTCCACAAGTCGAATGGCTTGGAGCATACTCATCGCGTTGCCGTCAGGCTCCTTCTTCGACTAACTCGTGAGGCGAGGAAGAACCAAGGCACTATTGTGACAGCAGACGAACACTGTCCTCAACGTGTGACGAAAATCCGTCTCAGAAAGGGCTGCCACCAAACTGTAATAGAGTATCCGACTTTAAAGGCACATTCGTCAGAGCGGATTGCAGGCCGAACAGGTGATGTGTAAGGTGACACCTTGCGCCTTTAGCCGGTGATGCACTGTAACACCCCAACCACCCAATCAGTGCGGCCAACTGTGACATGCCTGACATTACCATAGGTCGTGTGTTCGAGCTGGAGTGTAGAGGGAAAATAATGGTCATTCTACGGACCCTGCCTATCCGTGCTTCTGCTACGCCCAGATAGTACGTGCTGTAACCGGAGCGTACCATGTCCCGTGTATCATTGCATTCGTGATGTGTTGTCCCAAGAGCGACCGACAACTTGCAAGCGTCGCAACGCCACCAGCCGTCGCAATGAAACCACCTGCCTAAGAAGGCATGTTCTTGCTCACGATGGAAAAGTACGTAGTATATCCATTGGGGGGAAGATGCTTAGCGTGTGATTGCGCGTGAGATCCCAGGCGATGAGATCGATATTACCCTCTCACGAATGAGGCTGGCAAGACAACCAGTCCCGGCGTGGATCTCACCGATCGACCACAGGCAGTTTGGCGTCCACTTGGCAATTTGGAAAAGACGAGTTGCTTTTCTCTGGTCCTTGCTTACATGTCAGCGAGCGTTCTCAAGCTCGACAGCACCCCCAGATCGGGCTCGTCTGTCTTTGGGAACACCAATTGATGGTAGAAAGTGGTTGTAGCAACTGCGGCGACCTGCGCTTTCAGTCGTGAATCCTCCCCAGTTCAAATCTAGGTATGTGCCAACCATGCAGCAGTGCAAGAAGATAATGAATCAAGCATGTCGCTTGTCTTTTTGGGCTGGGCAACCTCCGGCATCTGCGCCTCAAAGGGTTCGTCAACAACAGGAGCGGAGATCATCGGCCCAAGCCTGACCCGTCGAGATGCGGCATCCACAAGTGGGTGCCGATTGGCTCCGATGCACGGCGCTCCGGCTGCCGGGCGGAAAGAAACCTCGAACTTTTTTTCACCTGTCCCGCGCCGACGACGACGAGCATCCGCAAACGCCCCGAGCCAGGCCCAAAGCAACCACGAACAACGCACCTGGAAGCGCGAGAACCAGCAGTCGCCGGAGACCCTTCTCAGTTGGCAACAGCCCCGTCTCGCCCTCAATTGCAATAACCGACGACACGTATCGGCATCAGTCCGTGCTCTACTAGTTACCCCGCCACGATGACTTCGAACGCCGTGACGAGCATTGACCTGACGTCACTGCGCCGGCTCGCGTCCGGCAAGGTGCGCGACCTGTACGAGGTCGACGACGAGACGCTGCTCTTTGTCACGACGGACCGCATCTCGGCGTACGATGTCGTCATGAAGAACGGCATCCCGGACAAGGGCCTGCTGCTGACCTTCCTGTCGGTGCACTGGTTCAAGGTCCTCGCCGACAAGATCCCCGGGCTCAAGACCCACTTCCTCTCGACGACGCTGCCGGCCTCGTCGTCGTCCATCTCGCCCGAGGACGCGGCCACCATCAAGGGCCGCAGCATGCACGTCCGCAAGCTCAAGGTGTTCCCCGTCGAGGCCATCGTGCGCGGCTACGTGACGGGCTCCGCGTGGAAGGAGTACCAGGCCAAGGGCACGGTCCACGGCATCAAGCTGCCCGCCGGCCTGCGCGAGTGCGACGCCATCCCCGGGGGGCCCATCTACACGCCCAGCACCAAGGCGCCCCTCGGCCAGCACGACGAGAACATCCACCCGGACGAGGCGGCCAAGCTGGTCGGCGACAAGTACGCCAAGACGATCGAGGACCTCGCGCTGCGCGTCTTCCGCGCGGGCCAGGAGTACGCGGCCGAGCGCGGCATCATCATTGCCGACACCAAGTTCGAGTTTGCACTCGACGACAAGACGGACGAGGTCGTGCTCGTCGACGAGGTGCTCACCTCGGACTCGTCCCGCATGTGGCCCAAGGACAAGTACGAGCCCGGGCGCGACCAGGAGAGCTTCGACAAGCAGTTCCTGCGCAACTGGCTCACAAAGGAGGGCCTCAAGGGCAAGCCCGACGTCACGGTTCCAGAGGACATTGCCAAGGCGACGAGCGACAAGTACAGGGAGGTGTTTGAGCGACTGACGGGTCAGACGCTCGAGCAGGCCATGCAGTCTCTTTAGTGAGCTTGAGGTGTTGCTCTCAAGCGAGGCGCCGGGGGGGGGGGGGGGGGGGTGAGAGAAAGTCTCGCAATGGCAATTGCTGTCGAATGATAAAGCCCGACGTGTATGTCGGTTCATGAAGTTCAGAGAGTTATGCCGAGTTACGTGATAGTTCGGCGCACGCAAATGCTCTACTTACTCATTTGTGCGAGTCGAGTGACGAGCAGCTTTATGGCAGCTGCGCCGTGGCTGTCTTTCTGGTACATGTGCAGGTATGCGGTTGCCTTGTATCTCGTACAACGATCTCGACGGTCTCATTGTCCCTTCGCACTTGTTTGCTTGAATCATCGTAGCATTGGCACCAAGGATTGCTAAACCCTCACCATCGCCCCGTTGCATACAAGCTTCTCCTCCTGGCCATTGCTGCTGAAGTCTCCGTGCTGGAAAAAATGGTGCATCCCATAGAGATTGCCCAGCAGCGCCACTTGCACGGCCTGATCCTGCTACGATGGCTGAAGGTTTCACTATGCGACGGAGAAGAATGACGCAGCAGTGCCGCCCTACAAGGACCCTGCGCGGCGCTAACGGGCGGCTCAGAGCCCAAGCTCCCGCTGGTGGGTCTCTGTGCCTGCAACCACTTCCGCCCCCGTGGGTACCTTAAGGTACGTAACGCCCATCGAGCTACTGTGCCTGCGCAACCGCACCACGTACGAGGAGATTGACGGCATCTCGAGCCCAGCACATGCCCGACTCGGTACATGCGGGGGATCGGTAGCCAGATTCTCGGCCCAAATCAGGCGATGCGACCCGCGGGCGAAGCGCAGCCGCGTCTGGTGCATCCCTCGACCGTTGGGCCAGGCCATGCGTGCGTGGGCCCACATGCGCCTGCCGCAGAAGCGACCAGGGTCCTGGTTGCCGTGGTGGTTGGGCGGCCCCTCCAAATTTTTGGCTCCAACCCCAGCCTCCACCGACAGGCATCACCGCCAGCCTCTCTGTGCAATAAACACCCAACCACAGCCCGCCGCATCACTGCTCGCCGTGCGTCTCCATCGTCCTGCATCTGCACGGCTACGTCTGCACCTACGCCTGGAGCCCAAACCTTGGGCTTTTCCTCTTCTTCGTCTCTCTGCTCCTCGCCGCTGGTTTTGTTTCCAGCTTCCCACCATCCCTGAGCTCACGAGACCTGCTACACCTACACTAGTACAGACCGCACGGCGGCCAGTTGCAGCGGCCATGGCTTCCCACGCTTGTAAGTGTACACCGCACCACCGCCTTCACAGCAACGCCAAGGAGATCTCAGCTCACCCGCCTGCCACGTCAGACTACCCGCCCTCGCGAACACAGACGCCACCGACAACCACCACCTCGCAAGTCACAGTCGTCCATAACCCTCACCAGCCCCAGGCCCCAACCTTCAGGTCCAGCACAGAACAACAACTCTCCTCCTCGCTTCCCCACGCACCCACACCACCATCAATATTCTCCGAGCAGGAACAGTACGGCCCGCAGCGCATGCACGGCTCAACACAACACCTTCCGCCCGTTCAGCATGTCCAGCACCCAATAACGCCCCGGCCAACTGTACGCTTCAACGCCGCTCAGCTGCCCCTCCCAATGGCGGCGTTGCAGGACCCTTCCATGGGCAGAGACTTCAAGGACGACCTCGCTAGAGCTGCCGGGGCCGTGACTCCAGGTGTTGACGATTCGCCATATATCCAGTATGCCTTGGATCTCATGACGAAGCGGCACGGCGAGCCAGACGAGGGCGACGAAGACGAGTCCGAACTCTCACAAGGCAGCGGTGCCTCGTATCCGGGCGTGCATCACATCGTGCCAAATGCGACACCCGGTCTCTTCCAGCCAGCCCCAGCCTACATTCCGCAGGATGCCGCGGAGGCGAGGAGGCCTGCGGGCGCGCAGCCAACGACTTCTCCTTACATCCCGCTCACACCTGAGCTGCAACCACTCACACCACTGCCGTATGCCGCTCAATATAGCCCCCAGGAAATGCGACAACAGTTTCCTCCAGAGTTCAAGACTATTCCGCTTGAGCAATACAGCCACATCCCCGGCAACGTGCCCAACACAATGGAGGCACACGAGCCTCTACTTGGACGAGACACACCATTGCCTCGCGAAATCAGGCGGTGGCAGGCGGTATCTGACACGTCAGATCATGAGAGAGGGTCCCGCGGCGGCAGGTTGACCTACAAGCCTCGAGTGTTGCAGACACCGTCACTGGCGGTCCTTGCAGTCCTCAATCTCTGCATGGTGGCTGCCCTCATGCTCTGTGCCATCTGGTCGTATAGCCACGGAGGACTGTCAACTTACAGTGACGACATTTACAAGGGCGACTACTTTGTGTTCCGTATCCTGCCTCAACTGCTTGGAGCGATAGTGCTGATCTACACGCAAAGCGTCACGACTGTCGCATTCCGTATTCAGCCGTTCTCGCGACTGGCATCTGACGATACTCGAGTCCGTGAGAAGGCGGTTTTCGAGTCCATGTATCTCAAGTCCTTTCTGTTTCCGACGGGCGTCCAGGACTGGAAGATGGCAGTGGTGGTCGGCAACTCCTGGCTGCTCAACTTGTCGATTCCGCTCCTTAGCGCGCTGTTCATTGTGGTTCGGAGAGACGGACGGTGGGCTTGGACTGCGGGACAAGGGGTCGCCTGGACACTGGTTGCGCTTTATATCTTGTCGACAATGTCGACGATATTCATGATGCTCACTTGGCGACACATGAAGACGGGCCTGAGAAAGGACTGGGATCTGCGCTCTCTCGCAGACTTCATCCTGCTTGCCTCCCAAAGCAACTCGGCATCCAAGTACCGCAGCACCGAGGTCATGGCAACACAAGATCGTATGAAAGACTGGTTCTGTGGCAAGGACACTGAGCGGCTCGGTTTCTGGGACGCTCCCGAGTCCGCTGGTCCTTGGTATGGACTCGGAGTTGAGGAAACCATTGTCGACGAGAAGATGTCTGTTCGTCTCTGGGCTCGAGGTCAGGGGGATAGCATGTCGGTTGCCTCGGGAGCTTCGCGTATGCCCATCGCTCAAGTTGTCCGCAGTCGGTACCTGCCTTGGTGCCTGCGCAACGGCCAGATCATGTCTGCGGCGGTTGCTGCCATCGTGCTTGCCGTGGTACTCATCGCCGTCAGCTCCACGAACACGACGAGCATCCGCCGTGGCTTCCGTCCTGGAGTTGAGGCTGGTCCCAGCCCTGAGGCATTCTCTGCGGCAAACTTCCTGTGGACATTTGTGCCCTCGCTCCTGGGCATGGTCTTATTCCTCGTGTTTCAATCCTACGATCTCGAGATGCGCATCCTCGCTCCTTGGGCCGAGCTCGCCCGCGAGGATGGCTCCTGTGCGGAAACCTCGCTGCTCCTTGAGTACGCAGCAGCCACGATGCCATGGGAGGCTACTTGGCAGGCTGTAAGGAACAAGCATTGGCGGGTTGCCTTGACTTCGTTCGTGGCTCCCGTATTTGTTCTGATCCCAGTGCTCGCAGGCGGGATGTTCATCGCTCTGCTGATCGCGTCCACGGGCGAAGTCCGCATGTTCCCACAGATGATTGCCTTTGGCATCATGCTGGGCCTCGTCGCACTGTACGCCGTGGTAATGGCCATTCTCGTTCCGAACCGGGCACAATTTCGCCTGCCCCACGCCGTCACGAGCCTGGCGGAGATCCTCAGCTTCTGCTCCAACGACGAGATCCGCAACGACACAGCATTCGCCGACTTCCCACTGACCGTCGATGATGCGGCGGCGGCCGGGTTCGGGCGGAAGCAAGACCTTGCGGCACGGCTGGACGCAGGGCAGGAGTGGCACCGCCAGGGCCGTTGGACGTTCAGCTATGGCCGCAACAACGACGAGAGGCTGGGAATCAAGCGCTACTCGCGCTTCACGGTGAACCCGCGCCGGCTGAGGCAGTATGACCGCCGCACGCGTGGGGAGCTCATCTCGCAGCCTATGCAGCAACGGGGCGCGTATGCTCCTGTACAATAATGATTTGGTATGAGGCGGATGTTGTATGATGATGACTACTCGAACGGCTTTTTTACGAAATCAGCGTTCAGCGATCTTTGATGCATTTCAAACTTTTTACGATAGACGAGACGAGATTTCGGGATCATGTTTTACGACCCCATGTATGGCATTTTTTTGCGCAGGGAACATTGGGCGGCGTCTGGGTTCGGGCTGGGATTAGATAGCGGGTTTCAATGATTGCTAGGCGTTTTAAGGGCCTTCTGGGCCGGGACAAGATAATTAGAGTGGGCATAGACGTCCACACGATAATCAAGAAGATTTGATTTGCTCTCTCCCACTTGGATGGTATAAATGCCACGTCTCCTTGGAAGTATATTGTGCGTCAGTCTTCTGTTGTGATGATGATCACCGCTTGCTTGCATGCTTGCTTGCACGAACAAGAGTCAACAGCAATGCTGCCTCATGCTCGAGGTAGAACTGACCACCACCAATAAGCCGGGCTTCTGGTGTCAGAGAATAATACACTTGGAGACGACGGGCTTCTCCTGCTTGGGCAAGGCACATACGGCCAGATATCACACCCCCGACGCATTTGCTTCGTCCCTTGCTACCAGTGCAAGAGCATGGATGACTGGCAAGAGATCAATCACGATCTCTTTGTGTGAGCAACCAAAATCGTGTCACAGGACGACGACGACGGCGGCGGCAGTTTCGTGAGTGCCAGAGCTAAGACGACCTTTTGTGTGAAATAGTTGCCGTACCTGAGGCGTGCGTGCCACAGCGCTGGGAAGATAATGTATCGGGGTGTATGATATACAGGTTTTCCCCCAAAACCTCCGTAGTTATCAGGACCTGTGGCCCGGCACGCTGACAAGCGCAACCCCCATCGTCATCGTCGTCGTCGTCGTCGTCAGTCTTACACGCGTCGGGATGCTTTGATGGGCGGTCGCGGATCTATCGAATTCCTGAGATCCCTGCTTACACAGCATCCCTTTTTCGGCAGTTGTGTAGGATGGGAGTACACAGGGGGGGGGGGGGGGGGGGGGTGCGGAGGGGCGCTTGAAGGGGAAAAGACTTGGGGGGAAAAAGGGACCAACTGGAAAAGGGATCAAGGGTGTCCATTTCGTGATGGTCAACATGCCAAAGAGGGTCCTGGCATGGAATTTGGGCCATAGCCTTGCTATGACAGGTCCTCGTGGCGTGTCATGACACACCTTCATCATCAGCATTTTCATTTTGGCCCTTTGCTTGCTCGCTTGCTGACAACGTACGACGTGGGTGACGCGTGAGTGCCGAGTGGCCGCGAATGTGTCCTTCAGAGTTCTTCGTGGCTGGGCGGCCTGCTCGTCACCACAAATGCTGCTTGAGGGACGAGAACATCATCAGCGCGAGTCGTGAGTCTCTGAGATTCCTTGACGTGCAGGGCAACGAGGAAATGGGTTTTACGCCCCCACGGCTCTCTCCTGTCGGGCCGCCATGACTGAGAATTACGATGACCTTCGGGCGGCCTTTGAAGCACTTCCAAGGAATGCAAAAGTTCGATGGGACATGTTCCTTGCCACTGAAGAATGCGGGGAGACATTCTCACACTGGAGTAGCAATAAAAGCAGAAACTACTTGCGGCACTCGGTTGCTGCGCGCTCCAGACAGCGACAACAATACTTACGTAGTTAAAGCACCTTTTCGTACGTTGTGAATGGGGTTACTCGCACGGGATGCAATGATGTTCTGACTGCTCCTGCTCCAGCCGCGACATGAAGGGGTTGTCTTCTATCGATTCCCCGAGATGCTGAACCGTGGCTCGTGCCTCCCCGACCACATATCTGGATATATACTGTAAATACGTACCGTACTCTTGAGGAGTTCAAGAATGCACTCTGGGCACAATAACAAGGCCGACTCATCGGCATACAATGGCCCCCCGAGCTACCAACAACACCCTTTCTTTCCTATTCCGCTCTGTGTTTCCTCATGCCTCGACCCAACCCAAGGCTCGTATGCGAGTTCGTGCCTTGTCTCGTGCGCCCATTCTTCCTTTCGTATAAAAAGCAGAGGGAAGAGCCCCGATTCTCTACCAACCCTGTCCATGTCCCATTGTATCCCCTTTGAAGCCTGTCAGAAAATAGAACTCACTCAAACAACGGACCCCCGTGGTTTGCGCCACTGGCCCAGCACGATGAGCGCTGGTGATGGTGTTGATTATGATGATGATGATGGTGGTGCAGTGTCTCAGATCCCCTCTCTCTGTGGCCTCCCCCCCTCCCCCTTTTCTCTTCGAGCCTCCCCTCTCCTCCCAGCTCATTCTTTCCATTGCCCTTCATATGCCAACCCTTAACTTTTGGAAAAGAGCAATGTCCAGTTGATTCCTCACTGGTTTCGTAGGTAGCTTGCCTCTTCAAAAAACCACTATGCCCCTGAGGACAACCCAAACCAGTATTACTCGAAAGGATTCTTTGACTTCAACAATCGACTCGCTGCAGCGGTTTGTCTTTCCGCACAGAGACAAAGGGGTACACCTTGTTCTGATTTCCGTCCTTTGTTGCCCCAGGGCAAGAGGAGGGGAAGAGAGGGGGAAAAGAAAAGAGTCTTCGTGCCAGTGCTGTAGAACTACCATGCTCTCCCCCCTCCCCCCCTCCCCCCTTCCTCTCCTATACACTCTCCTCATAGTTACCCGTTCAAGCTCGTGATGCGTTCTCTCCCTTGCCTTTCCAAGAGCATTTCTGATTTTGGCTGCTTGTGTCCTTGGTGCTGGTTGTCTCCGGTACTCTTACCTGCCGCCGCCGCCTGCACAGGGGTAACCTCGGCCCGCCCAAAAAAGAGAGAGGGCACGGACAAAGTAGACTAATGCATGCGCAACTGTCCCATCCGCTCCCTCGCCCCCCTCCCTATGTGCAGAGTGGGAGGGTTTTATTCTGGGAGGAGTGGGGGTGCTTCCACCGATCTCCAAAGGGTTTTGCGCTGGGACGGCGATACCACAAGGGAAACATCATCAGTGGCTGCAAGACTTGACAGAGACGCAGCCAGTCTTGCTGCAATGTCAACCGCTGTCAAGCCCCCCCCCAGGGCTGATCTGATCCGCAGGCTATGAGCGTGCTTCGCATGCCGAAGTTTGGTACTGACAACGCCCAAGCCATACGTATCAGAAATGATCGGCCAAATCACAATACTATCAGGCATATCTGTCTCTCTGGTGATCCACATGTTTGGTAACTCTTATCACCTTCTTATTCTCGCCCGTGTTTTGAGGTACGTTGAATACATAATCGCTTCACAGCCACGTCTTGCTCCACGCCCCAACCAATGCAGCTGTAGTCAGCAAGAGACATAAGAGGGGGAAAAAAAAAGCAAAAACACCATCCGTGGCTCAGTGCGCCGAGTTTTCAAAGCTCCACGCAGAGAAAAATGATGGCAAGTGGAAAAAGCAAAACCCGACCCGGGCTGTAACAGAGCTAGCCACCAGGCAAGGCGCCACAGAAAGCAGGGCCCCCGCCCTGGCGAAGTATCCGGAACACCGCATGAACCTCGTATCTGAAGACGAGGAGGAAAAATGTAGAGAGCGTGATCATGCTGGGGAGTATTTCATCAGTCGTGGTGATGTCAAAAGAGTGTCATCCGTCATGGTTGGAGGGGATATGTCGTTGCAGAGCTGTCCATTAGTTCATGGAAGAAGTCGTGTTCGTGTCGTGTCTTTGTGCATAAAGTCTTCAAAATCTTTTCGCGTCTCATCAAATGAGACATTCTTGTGGTTTGGGGTGAGAATTCCGTGGCGAAGCGTCGGTCGCAAGAGGCCTGCTCTGTCCAGCACTTGCCTCCTTGTGAGATTCACATGCGATATTTGAGCCCAAAGATGCGCCCCAGGCTTCCGCCTCGTCGACGAGACAACGCATCCTTGACTTCTTCCAGCTCTTTGTCGCTGGACGCAACACTGTCTTGGCCAGATGTAGCTGGTCGCCGGACAGGGAGAGCGTTTCGTCTTCCCGAGGGCGTCTTTTTGTGAAGGCCCCGTGCGATTCGTTTGGCGAGGCCGTTGCTAGTCTCCGTGTCAGACTCGCAGTCGGAGTCAAGCTCGAAGACCGACACGAACCGCGGCAGAGGCGCACGGTTGGACGACAGCTCGGTCTGAGGTCGGCACTGAGGTGGCGGGGGCGGAGGCACCAGGGGGCAAGTGGTGCTGTAGGGTTGTGCCGCGTGGGCATCTCAGGGCACTTCTCCTCCTTGGATCTCAAGTTGGCAGTTGACTTTGAAGAACGAAGAGAAATGCTCAATGATTTGGGGAGCCCTGGAGACGTAGGAGCGGAGTGGCTTGAGCCCGGGAGCAGTGGCGCAACCTCTGAATGAGCTGCACGGAGATTGTATGAAGATTTGCTCGGCTTGAGAGCTGAAAGCAGACCGTTCACCTTGTTCGCGCGAGCAGGTCGTTGCGGAGCAGGCAGCAACTGTGGTGAAGCAAGAGAGGATGTCCGCGGGGGCAGCGTGAGCTGCCGAGCGGGAGGAAGTGGTTGCTGCTCCGGAAAGATGGAGTAAGTCCTTGAAGAGGCCCTTGGGCTCGTGGGCCGCACCACAGAGCGCTGACTTTGGCGGGATGAGATCGTTCGCTGCGGTAATGGGGCAGGGACTGGTGGAGATGGAGACTTTGTGTCATCTGTGTAGTTTGTGGCGGCGGAGTGGTCATTGCTGTTGTCATCGTCTCCGTCCTGGGTGTAGTGGTTGAGCACACTCAAGGTGAAGTAGTCATCGCTCTGGACCACCGGGGGTTTGGGAGGGAGTTGCTCCAATTGGGAGGTCGACTTGCGCTCCACGCTTTGCCAGAAGCTGTCCCAGAGCTGGCTGGTTGATATGTTGTACTGCGAGTCCTCATCAACCGACAGCTCCGAGTCGGACGTGTCCGTCAGGCCCGGCACAGAGCCGCTCGAATGGATCGACGAGAAGCTCTCGCTGGACTCGTGGCGACTTTGCGTGCGCTCAGGCCGAGCCGTACACAAGGCAGAGGTCCAGTAGCCAGCCTGGAAATCGTTGAAGGGGTTGAAGTCATTCATGATGCCGCGATGCCAGATCGAACGGAGACGCTGGGCCTGCAGAGCCGAAGCCGGTGGTCTGATTCTGGGTCTCTCGGACGAGGCGATGCGAGTTTATAGAGTGCCGAGTGAGGGGATGTCAGGGTTGCGTCTAGACAGGGTGCTGCAGTTGCCCTTTGGTGAAGCAAAGGAAGGGGTCGATTGGCTCCAGGGATGCCTTTGCAGAGCAGAGAGCAACACGCGGGGTAAAGGGGTGCATAAGTAGCAACTGCAAGCTGCCGAGAAGAGCAGAACCAGGGTTGCAAGGGATGATATAGGACAGCGACAGGCGAGAGACCGGTTTGTAAGTCGGCTGCTTGGATCAGGTGGCGTTGAGAAGGGGTGGGCCACGGTGCCTGGGCAGGGCCACCCTGCAGGAGTTCCTATCCGCCTGGCCCAGGTCGCATACCTTACAGTGCGTTGACGAGAGCAAAGGGAGGGAGGACTCGACCCGACCGGCAGCGTGGCTACTGGTTGCACGTTCCGTAGCAACGATCGAGAATTCCTGCGGGCCTGTCTCACGGAATGCACCGAGCGTCGCCAGGGCAGAAGGAGGCACAGAACAGGCCTCCTTGGACAGTGCCCGGCAGCGAAGCGATGCCATAGGGCAATCGAGACGCGCGACTGCCGGCGTCTGTTCGCGATCTGGCCAGGAACGCGTTCGATCCGGCTCGATTCGATGCTGGCAGGCTGGGCTGGGCTCTGCTTTGAGCGTGGCTTTTACTTTTTGGGGGGGGTCCGGCGTGCCTCAGGCCATGCACATGCACATGCAATGCAATGCGCTGCAATGCGCGGCGATGCGATGCGACGCAATGCAAGTGCGCATGCAGCAGTCAGTGGAGATGGCGGGTGCAGCCGCGGATGGCACCCGAACGCAAGAACCGCGACGCTTGTCTCGTCCAACTTGGCCCAGTCCTGGACGGACTCAAAAGACACAGTGGCACGGCAGTGCAGCACCGGCTGGAATCCACACGCCGTCCTTGAAGCGGTGCCACCACCAACGGCTCCTGATCGAGGACTCAGATGGAGTGTATCAAGCGCTTGCAATGTTTTGATGCCGTGCCACAGGCTTGAATTCCAGCCGGCCTATCGAGAGGTGCTGTCTAGAAGAATGCAATGGTCGTAAACTGCTGACCTTCATTCCTGGCCTGCCCGTGGTCTCCAATTCGGGGGGAAAGTCCACAGGCGCCTAGCCGTTTTCGACGTAGGCCAAGTGCTGGCGGGGTGCAGCAATGCCATTGTTGGCAAGACAAGAGCCCGAAAACGTTTTTTGGCACCGACCGGGGCCCCTTGGCGCTGTCCCAGTAGAGCAAGTCATAATAATGGCCATCTGCGATCAACGACTAGCCAGGCGTAGTCTGCAGTAGTTCGCGTTGGGTCTGAGCTGCCCGTCACAGCAGCCCATCCGACTACTGTAAGAGCAGGGCTGCTAAGCCTCTTGTTTGCCTGAGCTCCAGTCACGGTATTCACGGCCCTACACTTTGAGGTTACTGATTCGATGTCACTAGCAAAAGCAGCCACGCCAGTGGAGTTGGGCAACGTGTGTTAGACCTATGTGGATGGCTTCATTCGGCTGAGCCGCCCAGTGGAGTCGCGTCCTGTTTGGCATCCTAACACTTCCGTTGCGGGTGTTGCATGGATTGTACATGCGTCATCATCAAGACTTGTCGGACTTGGGGCGAGGAGAGGATGGCTCGATGGACGACGCGGGTTTGTTTTAAAAATAAAATAAAGTCTTGGCACGCAGATCGACTGTAGCTGAGTCAGGCTTGCTCCCAAGAGTCCAGGCGCGAGGCATGAACCGCCCTGCCGGCCTCCAAAATTGGGCAGACCGTTCTCGATGCCGAGCATTGTGGCGATGTCAGTGAGGGCAGAGCCCAAGCACGCGACAAGAATCCGCACGCGCGACGCGTTCAAGACCAGCTCCGCACGCTGGCTTACCGAAGCGAAGAAAAAGAAGACGAAGAAGCATCTACGACCAGGGTGCTCTGCAAGCAATCGAGGTTGGCATATGGTATGGCTGGACCCTGACGGTTGGGCGTGTCTGGCGGGAGGCCTTCCGGCGGCCGGCGCATGGCAGAGGCTGGAGACACGCAGCCGGCTCACGGGGCCGTAGGCGAGGTGACGTGAGGTGAGGTTGTGGCTGGGAGGGCCGTGCCTGGGTCGGGTTGCGGACGGATCTCAGACGGAGGACGAATCCGGCCGGCAAGGCCCAGGCCGCCGGGCTCGGCAGCGCCGCATGGCATGGGACCCTTGCAGCGATCGTTTTGCAGGGGGCAGGAGGGCTGTGGGTGAGACCGAAACAGGCAAGTCGAGAGGCGGGGGCCACGATGACGACGGAGCAGCGCATGGCACACACAGGAAGAAGCAAGCGAAGCTCCACGAGGCCGAGCAAAGGAAAAAGAACAATGGGCGGACCCGGGCCGGATCCAGACGTGTGACAATACCAGAACTGCCCGGGCTGGATTGACACATGGCAGGCAGCTGGAAGCTCTGACGCGCGCCTGCACCTGCACCCTGGCGCGCCGAGTCACAGCTTCGGTCGCAGCTGCCGCTTCGCTGGATGGATGCCTCCTGGTCGGCCCTTGATGTCAAGTCCGTCCGTCACAAGGACAAGCACTCTGGCTGCCATGCACGAGGCAATTCCAGGTATCGCCAATGTCATCTGGATGACAAGATCGGGTTAGCAAATAACCAATCCACAGTCCAGTCGAGTAGCGTGCGCCAAGACGGAGCCAGCCATGGAGTTCCAGACTTGCATGACACGGTGTGTTTTGACGACTGTTCAGACCTCTTACCCAACCACCAAGGAACTCGACATCGGCCCCTCCACGGCTGTCTGTGAGCTTCCATGACAATCCTCCGGCTTCCCAGGTACAACTCTGCATCAATGTCAGGTAGTCTCCCAACCACGCTAGCATCCAGAAACCAAGTGTCGTTCGACCCCCTCTTGATGTTTCGACTCCAAGCCACCGCTAGCCTGAGCCAACGCGGGAGCCTGGCCCGAAAGACAATGGCGACATTGTTTTTGCCTTTGCCGGACTCGAGCTTGTCATGCCATGCTACCTCCAGCCGCTGTGCCTGACCTTAGCGTATGCAGGGGATTTCACTTGCTGCTCCTGCTTCTTCCTTCTTGCAAGTAAGTCTGAGGTTGATACATTCGTACTGTCTGCTAACTTACATGCTGCTCTCAAAGACACGCAGATGAAGCATTGAGCCCGGCGCATCCCATTGGCCGGGCCCTTGTTGGAACAGGACGGATCCCATGCCCGCGCAGATCACAGTATTGCCTTGTCTGGAGTCAGCCGCAAGCAACATGTATTGTCAGTCTGCAGCGCTACATTGGGACGATGAGCAGCTGATGGGCATGTCTCTGTGGATCGCTGCACTGCGATGGCGTGTGCTCTCTGCAGTAGGCTCGCATCCGAATGCTTGCAGAGCACCCCGTGTGCATGATGGCAGATTCATACCACAGCCAGGTTCGCAGATCTTTCTGGTAAGCTTCGTGGTGTGCACCTTGGCGGATGTGTCCAAAGCTGCGCAAGGCGGGATTCCTACCACCATTTCCAGTCCACTACCGGCCTCGATGAGAATATTGCAAAAAGACATCAAACCACTTCATCACGCTAACGATATCCTTCTCGCGCCGCACACTGTTTACCAATGACACAAGTCGCGTTGGACGACAAGCCAGACGCGTGCCTGGAGTTTGGCCAGCAGCCTCACAGCGAGCCGCATGAGGAGACTGCATGCGAAACGAGACACGTCCCGGGGCCTGGCAGATGTCGGTGTAGGTGTGTCAGCCACCCGACAGCATCGGCAGGCGCCGCATGATTATGTTTCTTCCTTCTCCTGATAGAATACTGTGCTGCACTTATGTCATGTCCGTACGCTACAGCGATGGTAGTGGACCTCATGCAAGCGCCTCTCGGACACGAACTTGTTGAACTCCGAAAAACGGTCGATATGCTCAGCATGCGCCGGATATTGACTGTTTGCGAAGTTTGGCTTTGTTTCGCACTCCTATTCTGCGCATCGATGATCGACGGGTGGCATGAACTGCAACTCGTTTCGGACAGTTCGCATATGCCTTCACAGGGGCCCCTTGGTGGCAGCTTCTGGGGTCTGTGAAGAAGTACTCGTTTGCTGCTTTGCCAGGATCACCGTGTCGTGCATGGCTGCTACAGGAGACATCATGGTGTGCATGCTGCACGCGAGTTTCTTGTTTGGTATGGGATAACAGTCGAATCTTTGGTCATGACGCTCGTAGAGACCTATCTCGTGATCCTGATAGCTACTGCGCTTGGAACGAAAGCGGCGCCCCCTCTGCAGAACCTTGTCAGAGTACATATTCACAGCATTAATTCGACCAGTGATGATGCCTTACTGTCACCGCACTCAGCGCTCCAGCGTCTCTGTTAGTCGCAACAACCCGGCTTGCGTCAACCAACACGGGCAGTTAAGGTTCTTACCATAAAAGTATGGCACCGATTCCAACCAAGAATTTCATAACAATTCTTGCTGCGGAAGGAGTAAGTGAACTGTTGCCGCACCGAAGTCATCGAAATGGATGATTCTTTGGTGCGGCCACGAACTTTACGATACTGTCTGCTGCGATACCGTACTACACAGGCCGTGCCAGAGTAAGGATCCGAGGCTTTATTCAGTCAAGATTCCTGGAGTCTTTGAGACCCATGGCCCTCACCGAGTGCCATTCAGCAGAAAGTCCCCGAGTATTTCGATTAATCAGCGACGGAAAACGGGAAACTTGGAAATACCAGCCCGCAACGACCACGACTCATGGAAACATCCAACAAAATCTCGCGTCATTGACTGCACTGTACGCATTTGATATTTCTCCCCCCGGCGAAGTTGTTTGCTCATGCAAGAAACTCTAATCACCAAAGCCTGCCGGAACCCCCGTTTGACTACAGAGCCTTGCTGCGGCAACTGTGCATAGCCGCACCACCCGTCCTGCAAGATAGATAAAGCTGGGCACCAATATCCTGGCGTCCTTTTCTACTCGAAACTGGATACGGGGAAGATCCAACAACACTGAAGTGCGGAAACGCCATGTGCAGCAAAACATTTGATCACGCAGCCCACGACAGTAAGCTGGGAAAAAAAAGGCCTACCATGTCTAGCTGTCCGGACATTACACAAACCTTGAGGTCGCGCTTGTGTGCCGTGGTAATGAATGGCATGCCGAGGTCCGCGGGGGGAGATGCGTCTGCTCTCATCCCACAACACGTTCGCTTTTCGCGGGAGGCATCAAGACGAGGTGAAGGAGGGGATTTCATACGCTACCTGTCTTCTCCCCACGGTGGTCGAATATAGCTATGCGCAAAGCAAAAAGTCAGGTACGTGACGCCGGGGAGGTCCAGCAGGGTTACGAGGACGCCAAAAGCAGCTCGTGGATCACTGTCATGAAGGTTTAGATAAAATCCGTCTCATCTCCAGTTGTGTTTATGCCCCACCCAGGATTGCAGCTTGTTGGTCGCATACGAGGCATATACATTGAGCCGCTTCGCGCCTGCAGACACGAGATTGTCTTAAAGGTTGAAGACTGCGTGTGCAATCTATGATCAGGCCATGCAAGCCAAGACGTACGCCTCAGATTTGAACAAAAGAGTGCTGTACTCCATTTAGACACATGTTTGGCCATTCTCTGGACGAGGTTGGCAGCTGGCCAATGATAACTTCCATTCAGAAAGTAGGGGCTCTTAATGACAGCTGACCATTTGCCGAGCCTAGAGGAGCGTCTCCGTCCCGTCCCGTCCAGCGACTCATCAGCTTATTTACCTAGCCCGACAGCTGCCGGTGTATAAAGGAGTCCGGTTAGCGTCTGGTCGGGACTGCCAGATGTTTGGACGTTGTTCAAATACGCACATAGCCTGCGGCCCGACCGCTCCGCTCCCTGACGGGAACAAGCACCTGTTCCTCGTCCGAAAGTTGGATATGGGGACGCGTGCTGGGATATCATCTGGGGGGAATGCCTTCAGCTGAGTCTGAGCGCAAGACGCGCGACACGTCGTCGATTCATTTCCGCAGCTGAGTGCCACGGGTGCCTTGCCCGCGAGCTAGGCTGAGCTTAACCAGATGCACCAGGTGATTAGGGGTTGTGATTGGCTCGTGCGCGCACGGAGGCTAGAGCTGAGTTTGGAGCCGGGACGACGGGACGACCCTTGGCTTCCCGGGGTCTAATCACCTTTTCGTGGTAAAAAGTGCCGACCAACCCAAGTACTCCCTCCCTCGGCTACCTAGCGCAAGCGGACGCACGTGCGTGCGATCTTGATGCTCCCCGTTGGCTGTGATGGTCGCCGCTCCGCATGCTGTGGTCAAACGAGGCCTGAGACTGGGTGCTGACCTTGGCTGGTCCGAACCCAAGTTAATTAAGCAGGCTTGAGCGGTGCGGCGCAGTGGTTCCTCCCGAGGTACTCTGGACACCCTGCAGTCGACGAGAAGGATGACCGCAGTGTGTGCTGGTCAGGTGAGCAAGGCCAGCGGCCGGACCGGACCAAGCCGCCCCATCTCAACCCATCGGTCGTGAGCCCGATCGCCGAAGATAATACCGGGAGGCAGCCAGGTGGCCAGAGGATGGTGATGATGATGATGCTGCTTTGCATCTGTGGTTGGCTGGCAATGCACAATTTGGTGGCCACCACCAGAGCAGCTCAGCGTTGCAGGGGATTGCCAGGAACGAGAAACACAAAGCGTGGGATGAGCCCAATCAGGGCGACCCGGCTGGCCGGCCACGCGGGTCCGCTAGCCAAGTCGGGCTAGCGCTGCCAGCGCACACACACCCAGCCACGTCTTTTTTGGCCTGAGGCCTTTCGTCATTCATGGCTGCCCGGGATGTCACCTGGGCTGCTCCCGCTTTCCGCTCTGCGCCGTGCTGTGCTGTGCTGTGCTCAGCTTGCCCGTCGCTCACAGTTGTGCACGCAGGACACACTCCTCTCCTTGATTATGCGATGCGCAGGCTTCGACAACTTTGGCCACAGTACGTCATCAGTGCCTCTGAGGGTCCTGCTGACGAGGCGGTGCTCGATGCAGAGCATGCGGCAGCAGCAGCATGGTATGATTGACCTCGGGGCTATTGGAGTCAATATGCTGCCGCTGCATGGCGCAGAGTGCGCACTGTGTAATCGGGCTCATATCGATGGGCCGGCGAAGCAGTGCGGTGCAAGCTGGCCAAGTGAGCAGAGTACCTCAAGACAGGCGGCTTGGAAGTGCGCCCTCACGGTGGCAATGCGACATATGTGGCCTCCAGCTGCGCTTATCTCTGCTGGTGAGATTGGTCGCGAGGAAGAGAGGAAACAAGAGTCGCAACAGAGTCATTGTTGACTGGAGGCGACTGCAATGTAGATCCATGGCCTGTTTGCCTTTGCAATACGCGCCCAAGGCTTCCGCGTGGTCGAACAACACGGCAGGCGACTGAGGAAAAAGCAATACGACCCAAGAGAAATATTAGAAAAAAAAGACAATGGTCGGGCTCGGAGAGCAATTTCAAAATGCAGGAGTAGTTTGGAGCTGTCCATGAGCGGGAACGCAGGGCAGGCGCGACTGGGCGGCGCATGGGCACAGTGTGCGACGGCAGGCGCATGACGGCCTCTGCGCGCTTCACAGGCCATGTCATGCGTCGTCGCCAACTCGATTGCGCCTCATCCTCTCCAGCCCAATTCTCGCCTCTTCCAAGCAATTGGGGGGATACTGTGAAGACAATGCATCGAGCGCGCCGAGACGAGCCAATCTGACTTTGTCGAGCGAGCGAGCGAGGCCCAATTGCCTCTGATAGGCGGCAGCGCCCACTGCTGTCGCTCCAGGCGCAGTTGGGCTACAGGGCATGCCGTTGCACCCAAGCATCGGCAACACCATCCCATCTCAGCTGCAACGGCAGACAGACCATTGGTCGGGATAGCCTCACCGACGACGGCAGCGGCTCCGGCAGAGGTCACCAGAGCGGCGAGCAGGCATTGCAGCAAGCATATACCACGTCGCAAGGCCCCTTCGCGCGGGTCTGGCCTCACCCACTCGCCCACGTTACCAGCCTCTCTGATTCTCCCCAGCCACCAGCCTTTTTGCACACAGGGGCATCGCAACCGTGCTCGCGACACACAACCACGCGCCCGCCGGCACTGCTGCACTTCTTTTGTACGGCAGCAAAGGCGTTGCCCACCCTTTCGAAGATCCGTCGTGTTCTTTGTACCACACCCACTGTCCCGGCACCCGCGCACGCGAGAGGACTCCTGCCACACCACAAACTCGGACAGCGCAGCCACTGCCAACAAGCAAACGCAACCCCAGCAACCGCTAATCTCTCATCACCACAACCGTGGAAGTGAGAGCCTCGGCCTCCTCACCACCTCGCCATTCCCCTGCCACTCATCGGAGTGGCCAATTCATCAAGTTGCCGCCCATTCTCCCCTCGCAGCGCCCACCTGCAACCGCAGAAGTGCCCGCCCCAAATACCCCGGCGTCCTTTCACGACCGTCACGACCGTAACGAACCATACGCATCCAGAGATCAGCGCCAGCGCCAGTACCAGCAATCCCATTCAGAGCGCAGAACACTATTGCAGACCCCTCCCCCTCGCACTCCTGCTGAAACACCACCGTCATCGTCTCAGCGCCGCCTCAGGAGGACCTCGCGCTTCACAGCTACCCCCAGCCCGACACCAGAAGAGGAGCCGCCGCGTAGCTCTCCCGGCGTTGTCGTCAGTCTCGACCCTCGAGGCCGATACGTTCTCGCCAGAGACGATCAACTCAAATCGAGTGGTGCCGAACAGCCCAAGCCCCCTCCGCGGACATCCTCCCAGTACCACCGGCTGTCGAAAGCCGCTGGCTCCCGCTCCGGCCAGGCTGGACTGCATCCTGCACTCCGGATCTCCAAGCACACGCATAGTGCCATTCTCTTTACTCTCGAGGAAGCCCTGAGAGGTCCCACCGACTTCACACCGGATTACGTCGAGGAGTTCTCGCAGATGGCGGACCTGCTGGCCAGTAGCTCGGCCAATGGCAACGGAGCTACGCCGCCCCGGCCGACCGCCGCTATCCGGCCCGTCGGCTCTCCCTCTGGCATCCGCGGTCCTAGAATGATCATGCAAGAGCGTGCGGCACGAGAGGCCAGGCAGCGTGAAGAGCGAGAGCTCAAGGAGAGAGAGCGAGAATATTCTGAGCGCGAAGCCCGGCTCCAGGCCGAAGCCATTCGCAGGGAAGAGGAGCGCCAAGCAACTGCAGCTGCCACTACTGCTACTGGCGTTGGCGCTGGCCAAACGAGCCATGCGTCTAATGTGGGCGCTGACCCTGCCAGTACACACCGGCGAAATCAGTCATCCTCGACCAGACCAAGAGTCGACAATAACCCCCGTCCTTCCACTACTGCCCGCCCGTCAGGCAACACCCAGGCACAAAGCGGACAGCGCATGGAGCCATCCACGACAATCCCAGCCCAACCGATCCCCTCTGCGCCTGTTCCAAGCCAGGGAAACATCTCGTCATCAGAAGCTCAAAGCGTGGGCAATGCAGCATCACGGCCAAGAAACTCATTCCCGCATGCTTTCGAGCGATGGGAAACCCTGTCGGCGCACTGGGAAGGCCTCACAAGCTTCTGGATCAGACGGCTGGAACAGAACATGCAGGACATCCCAGACGATCAAGTTACCAAGCAACTTGCTCGCCAAGTGACAGATTTGTCATCAGCTGGTGCAAATCTCTTCCATGCCGTTGTCGAGCTGCAGCGTCTTCGAGCGTCGTCGGAGAGGAAGTTCCAACGCTGGTTCTTCGAGACCCGCGCCGAACTTGAGCGCAACCAAGAGGTCACCGCCATGCTGGAGACCGCCTTGGAGGAGGAGCGCAGAAGTCGAGCCGAGGCGATTCAAGAGGCCGTCAAGAACGAACAGGGAAGCGAGAAGCTTCTGAAGACAATCGCCGAGATGCGGAAGGAATTGACAATTTCAAAAGAGGAAGCGCGCAGAGCTTGGGAAGAGCTTGGTCGCCGAGAACAAGAGGAGCGGGACCGTACAGCCTCTCTGCAGCAAGGATATCCCACGATAGTTGGTGGCGTTCAGGTTGTGCCGATGACGCAGAGCTTAGGTCGTGGTGCAAGCCAGCGAGATCCTCAAGTATACGGCCGGTCAGATGTTGAAGGCTCGCCTGCGCGCTCGACGGCGACTCGACCAGAATACAGCCAAGCGCCTGCTGTGCAACCGGTCACCTCGGCTGCAAGCAGCGCCACGTACCAGGCGCCAGGCTCCGGAGTCCAGCGACAACAGAGCTACGCCTCGACAGCAACGTACAGCGATGGTGAGTACATCATCGATGCCCAGGGGCAGTTCGTCCGTGACGCCCAGGGATTCAAGATCCCGTTTCGCTCGGTGCATTCGGAAGGCTCTGACGCTGGAGCAGAGGATTTCGAGACGCCAGCCACGCAACCTGGTGTTTACCAGCCCACGGGCAACCTGCCTCCCCCACAGCAGACACAACAGCAGCAGCAGTCTCAGCAGCAGGCACCCCAACAAGGCCAGGGTCCTGACTATTCAGGCGATGGGTTCTCGGCACCGGGCTGGGAGTCGATGCCCCGTCATCACCACCCTACACGGTTGAGTGATGTGCTTGAGGAAGAAGAGGAGCGTAGCCGGACAAGCGCAAGCCAAAGTCAAGTGAGTCGTGGTTAAAGCTTGGCAAGGCCACAATCCGCCCGGCTTGGCCATCGCTGGACGGATTCGATTCCATCGACAGACCGTTAATGCTAGGAGCCCGCTCCAGACGGCGACGAAAACCCTCAGCTGCCGAAATTTAGGCGTTTTTTCGACATCCTAGCGCTGAAGCATTAGTTGGCATTTGCAACCCGGTTTTATGAGCATTTCCGCATGAGCTCCATCAGCCTTTACAAGATCTTTTCATTTTCTTCTTTATTTTGTTGCTTGATGCATGCTGCTTTGGCGAGTCAGCATGCGTTTAATCTGGCATCGCTAGCACTTTGGTGGTTCGGGTCGGATGTACATACTGGATTGATAATCAGAGTGTCGCTCGGAGGTGCGACACAGGATGCGGATATGGCACTCGGAAACCTGCGGGAGCTGGCTATGAAAATCATCAATGAAATTCTTGGGGGAGAGGCATTGTACTCGTAAGAATAGATGAGGAGGTAATGGTACAAGAGGAAAAGAAGAAAAGTTCAAGCGGCTGAAGCGAAGCGGTTAGTACCATCTGGGCGTTGTCTCTCCAGGAGGCAAGCGTGTGCGGCCATGTGTGTGTGTCTGGCTTGCTGAAAACAGTCGGCCCCTAAGACAGTGATGACAGTTCATTCCAGTGGTCGAAGCAGAACGACACATGATGCAACATGGCGCAGGCTGCACTGATGCAATAGCCTCTTGATGAGCGTATGGAATCTAGGAGAACAGCCAGACTTTACGAAATTCCAGTCACTACAGATTGGCTATGCTAGTACATGAAGGCGGCCCAGATGTCGTTGGCGTAGGGCGGGCGGATCTGACGGGCCAGTGGGACAGCACTGCACATTCCTTGCAAGACATCTAAATGGGCACGAAATGAATACATCTTTTCTTGTGCAGACTGTGTTTCTGGGGGAAAATAACGAGATGATGGTACCTCAATTGCTGTCCGGCCTGTCCCGCCCCTGGAGTGGGAGTTGGGGTGGAGCCAGGCACCTCGTCCTGGAAATTCTTCCCAGGGTCTCCGCTGGCGCCGATGACCACGCCATTTCCATGAGCTGTGGAAAAGTAGCACGATCCGAAGAGCCCAGTTTCCCCCGCCACCACCACGACGCCGACTCAAGACAGCTCCAGGCACCGCGAGACGAAAGAGTTGCAAAAAGAGCTTGCATTCCGGATCGGGATCCACCGACGAGACACAAACACCATGTCACGATCGTTGAGCGCGGCCCGGCCGCTCTTGCAGCGCTCCTCGCCGGCGGCGCTGCTGCTCGAGGCGGCGGCGGCGACGACGACGACGACGACACCGCGGCAGCAATCCACACATTCTGCCACAGCATGCCGCCGCCTCGCCTCGACTTCAAGGACAAGATCGCTCGCTCCCGTGCGCCCGCAGCAACAGCAGCAGCAACAGCAATGCACAGCCCAACAGCAGCGCCGGTGGAAGTCCAAGACGGTCGAGCAGGCCAAGAGCAGATATCGGACGGGCCCGTTCTCGTGGAAGGCGGGACTTCTGTTCGTCCTGACGAGCGGCGGGCTGGTGTGGTACTTTGAGCACGAGAAGGAGCGGATGCACCGCAAGCGCGTGGCCGAGGCAACCAAGGGTGTCGGGCGCCCGAAGGTGGGCGGTGATTTTGACCTCGTCGACCAGGATGGGAAGCCGTTCTCGAGCGCGGATATGCTGGGACGGTACTCCCTGGTAAGTCTTCCCATGATGTCCTCCCCCTCCCTTCATCTAGTCCGAGTTGATCTCAGGTAAGGGAACATGGCACATTTTCTTCATGGCTGACACGCGGTGGTGCTTTGCTCTTTGGCACAGGTCTACTTTGGCTTCACGCACTGTCCCGACATCTGCCCGGAAGAGCTCGACAAGATGGCGCGCATGTTCGACCTGGTCGAGGCCGAGGTGCCCGGCGGCCTGAAGCCCGTCTTCATCACGTGCGACCCGGCGCGCGACGACCCCAAGGTGCTCAAGTCGTACCTGGCCGAGTTCCACCCGAGCTTCGTCGGCCTGACGGGCACCTACGACGAGATCAAGGCCGTGTGCAAGGCGTACCGCGTCTACTTTAGCACGCCCAAGAACGTCAAGCCCGGCCAGGACTACCTTGTCGACCACAGCATCTACTTCTACCTGATGGACCCCCAGGGCGATTTTGTGGAGGCCCTCGGCCGTCAGCACAGCCCCGAGGCCGCAGCCAAGGTTATCCTTGATCACATGAAGGACTGGAAGGGGACTTTGGGTCGCCAGTAGAAAGATGGAAGACATCGCAGAGCGCCGGGGGCAAAGAGGGTTGAGGGGAGGCACGGTCTCGTGGGAGTGAGGTTGGTGAGCCCCCCTGTACAAAACTGTAGATCGAGCAGGTTGTATACTCAATTGCCTCGGCCGAGAGCAAATGTACAATAATTAGCATGTAAGAAAATCCACTTGTACTTTACTGGTATGCACAAGATAATGTAGTCGCATTTGTGCTACCCTTGCTGAGTGGAAGACTGTCACCCGCATGCTCAAGAATAACCAGGCAATATGTCAATACTCTTTCGAGATGATCTTTCGACTTCCCAAGACCATCGTCGACGAAGTAGCTCTCTGCAGTTCTCTTCAAAATATCAAAAACGAGTCATGTTGGGGACAGCCGGGAGCTTATCATGAGCCGCGCTTGCAGACGGGGCTCAACTGCGGGCAGCTCCGTGCCACTTTTGGCATCTTCTCCATCCAATTTCCCTTTGGCTCTCCGCCATCGGCAGCTCTCCATCATTCTAACAACGACAACCGCGTCCCTGTAAAGCCGCCCGCCACTCCAAGCCCCCCACTTGAAATTGCATATTTGAAGCATCCCGTCCTGGCCGGCAGCTCTTGAGAACTGCGGGAAAGGCTGGCGGTAGGCAGGATGAGGGCGTGTTTGTTGAGCGGCGGGACACGTCCGGTCGTCCCCTGGGCTGCTGGACTTCGGCCCCACCTGCGAACGGCGGCATCATCATCGCCCTCGATTGCTGCAAGAGCCAGCAGGGTACGGACGCTGATCGCAGATGGCAAGCAGACGAGCCAGGCCAGGCAGAAAGTGCCGCCTTTTGCGTTCGCCTTTGAGTAAGCAAGAACTACCGGCCATTTATAGTCATCCCATCCAGGTCAATTGCACAATACTAATGAAAACCGCCCCTCATAGCATCGATGGAGTGCTTCTTCATGTCGCCAAGCCAATCCCTGGCGCAACAGAGACCCTGAGATATCTCCAAAAGAACAACATCCCGTTCATCCTGCTGACCAATGGCGGCGGCAAGCACGAGACGGAAAGAGTGGCCGACCTGAGCTCCAAGCTCGATGTGCACCTGACCACGGACAACTTTGTGCAGTCTCACACACCCTTCCAGGAGCTCGTCCACGGCCCGGAGGGCCTGCACGACAAGAACATCCTCATCACGGGCTCGGACGCGAACAAGTCACGCACAATCGCAGAGACGTACGGCTTCAAGAACGTCATCACGCCCGCAGACATCCTCATGGCCCACCCCACGGTCTGGCCGTTCGAGCCGCTCATGGAAGAGCTCTACGCCAAGACTGCACGGCCGCTGCCTGAGCCGCAGCCCAAGATCGACGCCATGTTTGTCTTCAACGACCCCCGCGACTGGGCCCTCGACATCCAGATCATCACGGACCTGCTCCTCTCCGACGGCGGCGTGCTCGGCACGTACTCGTCCAAGAACGGCAGCAAGGACCTCCCCAATGCTGGCTGGCAAGAGGACGGACAGCCACCGCTGTACTTTTCGAACCCGGACCTGTTCTGGGCCGCGCGTTATCACTACCCGCGCTTTGGCCAGGGCGCCTTCCAGGCCGCGATGGCCGGGATATGGAGCGAGATCACGGGCGGCCAGGCGGAGCTGCGCCGCACCGTCATCGGGAAGCCGTACAAGCAGACGTATCGGTACGCCGAGCGCGTGCTCAACGCACACCGCGCCAGGGTTCTCGGGATCAAGTCCGGCGGCGACAAGGTCCAGGACGACGACGACAGCAGCATGCCGCCTCTCAGCCGGGTGTACATGGTCGGAGACAACCCGGAGAGCGACATCCGTGGAGCCAATGACTACGAGAGCCCCGTGGGCACGGACTGGACGTCGGTGCTGGTTCGGACGGGCGTGTGGTCGGCCGAGAGGGGCCCGCCGGCGCATGAGCCCCGGGCGGTCGTGGATGATGTCGCTGGTGCTGTGGACTGGGCACTCAAGCAGGAAGGCTGGCGGTAGATTGCCCAAGAGTTGGTTCGTCGCGGGTATTGTCACGTCTCTCGCAAGACGATTCACATGGCTAGATCAGATCCCAAAGATAGTGTGCGTGCGTATGCATTGGACCATTACCGGAGTGGTGACTCGCGGAAGCCTCGATCGCTACTGTAAAACTCCATGCTCTGGCAGGGCAGTTGGCTGCCACCCTGTTGATCCATCATCGGCGCAGATTGCGACTTTTTTATAAACATCTCTACAGTAGCTCAGCTCGTTGCAACGCATTCCTGGAGACGATGTCCGTCCACCTTGACCCAACGGCGCCCGCATGTTACACTGGGCTAGTAGGGCCAATCACGAGTTGAGATCAGAGCACGTGGGATATTCCTGGCAACCAGAATACCATGATAAACAAAACAATCACATTGCGAAGATTTGTCAGCCAGAGATAGCCGGCAAGAATTGCTCGATGCAGCCGTGTGGTTCCAGTACGTAAAGGACACAGATGCAGTCATGGGCCGTGTACAGAAGGCTGATAGCACTGCTGGAGCTGATTATTCGCAGTGTCATCCGTGTTTATCATGTGAAAGGGGCCGGGGGCGGGTGCGCCAGCAACCAACTAATTGAACAGGAACCCACACCCCACTAGAGCAGAGCTGGGTACGTCATTTCCCTGAGGCTGTCGAAACCCCCCCACCATCAGGACGAGGTGATCCTCCTCCTCCTCCCACTGAAGAAGGTTCACAAGGATGACAGGTCGAACTCCCGATAATTATACCCTTGGTAGAATTGCACGGGGGCAAGACGAGATAGGGAGGTGTCCGCGTGGTGTCGGAGAGCTCTGGAGTGGACGAAGACTCTGCGCAGTGGCTTGGATCCAGGCCCCGGGCAGGGTCAAGTGACCTCGGCGGTATCTAGCATGGGTCGATTTAGCTGCCCACTAAAAGTAGCTGCTGCCTGTCTCTGGATTGCTGAGCGCTCGTGTGACCTTGAAGACGGGAAGGAGGCAGATGGAGGTAGAGGCCGGCAGACAGTTGGAGAGGATAGGGCTGGGAACCTTGAAAAGGTAGAGGTGTGCCACAGTGATACCGGCTGAGTGCGGTTGTGCACTGTGATGGGGGGACAGGACCCTGTTTGTTGGCAGTTTGGCCTGAATGGGCCGCGCCTGCCCGCGCTCTCGGCGCCAGCCTGTTTGTGGGACAGCCGTACGTGGATACCTAGACCAACCACCACCACCACACTTCTCGATACCGCAATCCTGGAACTGCCCACTCTGTCTCTCTCTCTCCTCTCTCTCCCTCTCGTCATCCCGACAAGGTGACGACAGTGCAAGCCTGGGACGCCAAGCCTCGAGTAGCTTCTAGCGATAGCGCCTCGCAGACCCGACGCGGTTTGCTTGCACAACTTCACCTTCATCACCTTCCACCCCGGAACCAACCCCGCCAAGCCCTCTCTCGCTGGCCCCTAACCACCAAATCCCCAAAACTGTTGTTACCTGTGGCTCGGTCATGTCATCGTCCACACCCAACTCCAGCGGTGCCGGCGCTGCCTTGCCCCTCAGGTCGGCTCTCAAGACCGACGACGACTCGGAGCGCTCGACGCCCATCAGCGCCTCGGGTGCTACCAAAGGTGTGTTTTCTCTGTCGTTGGACCGGCTGTACCTAGACCTCCGCCACACTTCATGGTTGCATTAGATACTCAAATCAATGCCGTGTTGTTGCTTCTTGTCGCTAGCTATATCGTCGACTTATCGCGAGTGAGCATATGCACAGGGTCGCATCGACCGTGAGGGTGCCAAGAGGAGACTGCCCTTCGAGAAAGGGGTGATTCGTAGCATTCGCTGATGAACCTTCAGCTAACTGTCTGTATATAGCTGTGCAAATTGCCGAGCCTGAGCCCGAGCCTGAGGAGGGTGAGGAGACCCAGCGAAGGAAGAGGTTCTCGGCTGGTCTGGCTCGTCGTCTTGCTGGCCGTCCGCCAGCCCCTGCCGAGACCTCGTCGCGATCCTCTATCAGGAGTGCGTCGAGCCTCGAGGCACTCAACAGCCTCGCCATCGCCGCAGCTGCATCGCAGCGTCAAGACGGTGCAGACGATGCCCAGTCTCAGGCAACTCGCCACCGTCACCGCCCAGACCTTGTTACGGAGCGTCTGCTAGCGCAAGTCGCAGAATGGATTCACCACGAGCGGACTAAAAAGCATGGCCACAGGTTCAGGCGTGGACACAGCCACAAGCAGACGGCAGACCCTGCCGGTGAGACAGCGCAGAACGATGGCGCGTCGGGCTCTAGCACTAGCAGGCATGATAGGAGGTACTCGATCGATTCACAGTCCAGCGACGTCTCATTCGACCGGTTGCAGCGAATTGTGGACGACAGCATGACTGCCCTCGGGCTTAACGCGATTCCACACCCTAGTCCTCGACTGGGCCGCCGGTCGCATGGGCGTAGGCGATCCTCTGTCCTCCATCGTGCGGCCTCGTCCGACACGGATTTTCTGGATGGCGACGCACTGGTCCCCACATGTGACGCCGTCCTCGACAACTCAAAAGCAATGAGCATGACAGGAGGCTCGGCCGGCAGTATGCAAGAGGACACTTCCAAGATGTCTTCTAAAGAGCGCAAGGAACGCGAGGCGTGGCTCACGTTCAAGAACGAAGTTATCCGGCTTACTCACACCTTGCGCCTGAAGGGTTGGCGGCGAGTTCCTCTCGATGGCGGTGACCTCATCTCCATTTGTCGACTTAGTGGCGCCTTGACAAATGCCGTGTATGTCGTCACTCCACCCGAGCCGGAGCAGCTTATTCAGTCAGACACTGCCAAGAAACGGCCCGCGAAGCTACTTCTCCGAGTCTATGGTCCACAAGCAGACTCCATCATCGACAGAGAGCACGAACTGAACGTTTTGAAGCGCTTGGCGCGCAAGAAGATTGGTGCTCGTCTTCTCGGCACGTTCACAAACGGACGTTTCGAGGAGTTTCTGAACGCCCTCGCACTGACCTCTGAAGCACTCAGAGAACCCGACACCTCTAAGCAGATTGCCAAACGTATGCGAGAGCTCCACGATGGTATCGAGCTTCTGCGCGAGGAACGTGAAGGAGGGCCCGCAGTACTGAATAATTTTGACTGTTGGTTGCCGAAAGTCCAGAAAGCAGCGCTCTACCTTGACAGCTTGATTGCTGCCGGCAAGTATGCACCTTTGCGTGGCTGCGAAGAGGACTGGAAAGTTCGTGGCTTTGTCTGTGGTGTAGAGTGGCCCAAGTTTCTGGCAGCTGTTGAGAGATACCGCCGCCATTTGAGCCAGCTCTATGGCCAGCCGGAAATCATTCTCGATCAACTGGTCTTTGCGCACAGTGATGTAAGTGGTCTCGTGAGTCCTTTGTCCGGAATTCCCACTAATCTTTTTACAGACACAATACGGCAACATTCTTCGCGTCCAGCCGGATGACGATCAGTCACCTCTTCTACAGGAAAACTACAAGCATAAACAGCTCGTTGTTATCGACTTTGAGTATTCCGCGGCCAATACGCGCGGTCTCGAGTTTGCTAACCACTTCACTGAGTGGTGCTACAACTATCACGACGAGCGAAAGCCGTATAGCTGCAATGTGCACAACTATCCCAAGCCCGACGAGCAGCGACGCTTTCTTAAGGCCTACGTCAATCATCGACCAGAGTATCCACACCCTGGAGCTTCGACACCAAACTTGACACCGTTGGCCACACCTACTATTGGCCCGGCGGGAACTCCCAGCCTCTCTGCAGCCACCGGATCCTCTAGCTCCATCGTTGAGTTCATGTTGGATGCTCGTGTTCCTGCGGGCGGATGGAAAGAAGAGGAGAAGCGTCGTGATGATGATGCGGAGCGACAAATCGAGGCTTTGCTGGAAGAAATCAAACTATGGCGTGTCGCAAATAGCGCCATGTGGATCGCCTGGGGAATCATGCAGTCCAACATCGCTGGGTTCGACATGGACAAGGGGGAGCCGCTGAGTGCGCAGGAGTGCCAGGTCCAGAAGGAAGAAGAGGAGGCAGCCGCTCGAGAGAAGGACGCCACAGCCAGAGCTGAGGCAAGTGACAAGGGTGTACCCGAGGACGAAGAAGTTGAAGCCGAGGAGGAATTCGACTACCTTGCATACACCCACGAGAGAGCTCTCTTCTTCTGGGGAGACTGCGTCGAGATGGGCCTTGTAAAAGAGGAGGAGCTTCCTGCTTCTCTGGTCGCAAGGCTCAAAAGAATCAAGTATTGATCGGAGAGGGCCAGCGTCTAGCTTCTAAGTGGTAGACCCTAACAAGAATAACAAAACAATAAAAAGTTAACCCCAATTCCATGGCCAGTCGGTGCAGAATTAGACCAGGATATTCATACTGCTACGGACGTCCGGAAACTGAGCCGTGACACCAACCATGGGAGGCAAGAGGTATTGAGTGAACCACTCGAAAGGTTATCACGCAGAGAACTAGATCGAGAGGTATATCTCTTATGTTTCTACGTCCGCCCATCAACTTATATACACGACCTGTCTTCAACCTTTGTAGCTTAAAAAAATGATTTACACGCCGAGGAGCAATTACAGACAGATAGATGATAAAAAGCGCAGCAGAACGTCCTCTGCGCCCGACGGCAGGGAGTGTCTTCAATCAGATCGACGAGTCCGGGCGACAACGACAACAACGACAATAACAAAATACAACAAGAAGCTTCATGCGACGAGCAAGTACCATGTATGCCATGGTCTGTAGAGTTCGGGTATAAATGTGAGACCGGGCGGGATATAAAAACTCCACAAAAGGTCAAGGCGCGGAAGGGCGTCTCGCGCAAAAAAAAAAAAAAGGAGTCCGCACTTCGGCGTGGGAAATGCGTATCCGGACAACAATGTATATAGTAGCGTTGCATCCCCTTGCTTTACAGCGCGTAATTCTCCGTATGCAAGAAGATCTCCTCGAGCAGGGGGTCGCCCCAGATCTCGGCCTGCAGGCGGGCGACGGTGTTGGCCACGCCGACGCGCATGCTGGCGGGCCCGCAGACGAAGACGGCTGTCCGGCGGCCCAGTATGCCGCGGCCGTCGGCACCGCCGGTCGTCCACTCACGCAGCATGTAGCCCAGGTCCGGCCGGCCGTACTCGACGCTCCACCCGCCGCCGGCGCCAGCGTCGATCTGGTGCGGTATCGGGAAGGCGAAGCGCATCAGGCTCTTCTGGAATTCCGTTGGCGTCTCGGGGAAGCCAAAGTCAAAGCCGGAGGGCGGGCCGAATGTCGAGGTTGGGCGCGGCATGTTGCGACCGGGGAGGTCTGTCGTGCGGAGGTGCGCGAACTCGGGGGGCCGGAGGTCATCGGGGTGTGTGGGGAGTTCCTGAGACATGTCCGTCGTGATCTCGAGGTGGGATGGATCTTGAGGTGGTAGTCTACGTGGTGACGCCGGGGCGAGGTTGAAGTGCGGCTGCATATCTGGTCGGATCTTGAGCGGCGGGAAATGGAACTCGCGGCCCTTTTTGTCCTCGGGGTAGCCATTAGGTCCCAGAGGGGGCATTTCCCCTTCCGCGGCCTCTTCCTCTCCTCTGCCTTCTAGTCTCGCGAGAGAGTCTTCTTGTGCTGATTGTCGGTTAATTGGCGCAGAGGGATTGGCACGTGGCGGCGGCGGATGTGGTTGCAGGTACTTCTGCTGAGGCAGAGCGGTGATACGGTCCTCATCCTCGGCGCGAAGCTCGCGTTCGTAGTCCTGGTCACCTTGGGCCTCGTCCCGTATGTACTGCGAGTTGCGTTTCGAGGCGATGCCCGCAACGAAGCCATCCAACTTGTCGTGAAAAGCATGGCTCAAGGGTCGTGGTGCCCTACCATGCTGCTGTATCCTCGACTGTCGTACAGCCGAGGTCACGAAGAACTTGCAGGTCACGCTCTCGGGCGGCGCAGAATCGCGGCAGATACGCAGCTCCTCTCTGAACCAGTCAAGTGCCTCGAGACGCTTGATGGCCCAGATGACCACGACTTTCTTTGTGATGGCTTTACCGTCGCGCATGCGCTTGATGAGATTAAGCAACTGCGACATGAGTGATGTCACGCCGCTGCCGCCAGCAATGAGGATGCAGGTGTCGAAAGCAGCGAGCTCGCGTCGCATGCCGCCATATGGCCCGTCCAGATACGCTCGGTAGGTGTGGAACGGACCTTTCTCAATCGCAGTGTCAAGGACCCTCCTGGTGAAGCCGCCGTACGGTTTAAACACAATCGTGCAATCGCGGTACTGCTCTCCGTACTCCGAAGGGAAGTCCTCGCTACATAATGAGGAAATCGTGAATGGGTGGTTATCGAGGAAAGAGATGCCAGGCATGCGGATGTAGACGTATTGGCCGGGCTTCCACCGCATCTGTGTAGGCACAGTGATTTTGATTGCGTCCTCGCTCATAAGCGTAATGGCGGCTTCGTCGCCTACCATGAAGGCTGGTCTCCAGGGTTTGACCCAGTTCAGCTTCGTCAGCCTGTAGACGTAGCACGCCGCCCAGATGGCCACTGTCGCCCACAGAAAGTTCCATGAAGCGAGATAGTTCTTCGTGTGCCAGAACAACAGTCCGACGTAAACGAACCCGACAGGAACGTGAAGCGTGACAAAGACTTCGAACGCGATGCGTCGGATGAACGGGAGTGAAGCGATGCAGAGCCAGCCCAGCGGAACCAGGCATGCGATGCCGGTGCCGTAGATGACGCCGCTCCCTTCTGGGAAGAGTCTCTCAAAGACGTCCATACCACCGTCGTCCCAGACTGGCTGGACGTAGAAGGGTATGGCGTGCACGAGCGATAAGAACAGGCACAGGTAGCCCGCCCAGCGATGAAAGACATTCAGCCTCTCAGGGCCGATGCCTGTAATCAGAGTGAGAAGGTTCGCCTTCATGCTGGTCGCTATGATCCAGGGCGTCATAGCCACGGCGATCATCCCCGCACGAATAGCCACGGGTGGCGAGCCAAATTTGATGCTCTGCCAGTAGAGAGGTTGAGTAAGAAAAACATAAAGGCAGACGAATGCCATGGCGATGAAGCCGACCGCCAGCACAGAGAGCGACGAGAACGTGAATCGCCATCTGCGCCAGACAATGTCAGGGATTGGACGGTAAAATACCCAGCGGAATAATGCGAGGGCGTCGAGAACGGGGCCAATGGCGGAAAAGTCGCTCTTTGGCTTGAAGTCCCGCTTCTCTCCCCCATCCTCAGGGAAGAAATGTTGCGTCGTGGCATTCGTCTGCATAGCACTGGGCGCGATTTCTGGGTCAAGGCTGTACAGGTCGCGGTAGTGTTGCTCCATCTCCTGCTTATAGATTGCCTGCCGAATCTTGTCCTGCCACCAGTGCCATATCCGGACCAGCACCACGGACCCAACTAGGGCAACGCTGAAGTATGTCCATCCAAGCGCATACTTGCCCGACTGAGCCCACGGGTCGACTGTGTTCGCCTCGACAAGTCCCGGTGGACTCGTGGGCGTAAGAGGTATAAGGATCCGCCGGATGAGTTCGGTAGCCGTCTTGGTAGCTCCCGAAAGAGCTGAGTACTCTGTTATCGCCATTATTTGCCTGTTCCGAGACACCGGTGAGGTGTGGCGATCTGATTTCCTTGTTGTGAAGTTCTTTCCCTGAAGGTGTCGCGCGTCATGAAGATCAGGGAGAAAGGCAGCACTCCCGGTTCACGGCTACCTAAGCCGTGTTGGACAAATGCCCACTGTGACTTGTAACCACATCTGTAAGGGAACGATGAGGCTATCCGTCCCTGCTGTCGGTGAGCGCGGCGGGCAAACAATGCGACCAGTTTCGGGGCGGTGTTTGGGGGCCAGATCGCGACAATGATTGTACACGAGCTGTTGTCTTCGAAGCGAGGGGACGTCAGGCAATATAAGCCAATTCGAGGGGACCTGTCGGGGGGATGGGGGCCGGCCTCCAGGCGCCTACTTTTGCTAGGCCAATATGCAGTGACAGGGGCAGCTCCAGTCATTCAGCCGCGGAGACGAGCTAGGACTGGTGCAAAGAGTTGTGACGAACGAGCTTGTACTGCGGATGGGGAGACCCCTGCTCAGCAGCAAGTGATAAAGGCCCTCGCTCAATTGGAGGCGACCAAGGCAGGGTAGCAAATGTTGGTTGTGAGCGTGACAGTGCCGAGAACCCTGTCGTGATGGAGACAGCGGCCCAGCGGCAGACCACACTCTGATATTGGCTGGCCGCCCAACAGGCCGCTACCGATCTGGTGTACTGGCTGCAGGGTGCTCTGCACGCTCTGTTGGTGCTGGGCCTGTACCTACAGCATGCGTCGATGTGCGACCGTCCGTCTGCAGGCAACCTTGACACAAGAGCGACTCCCTCCTACCAAATCCGGGTAAAGAGGCAATGTGATATGCTTGCATACGATGTTGGTCCCGTACATGGAGAGGCTCGAGCCGAGAGATCCGCAGCAGCCAGGCGGCCGAGTCCTGGGCGAAGGTCTATGTGGTTCAAAGCCTCTACAAGCCGGAGATTCGTGTTGAAATGAAGGAAAGCCCTCGTTACCAAACGTGAGGAAGCACGGCAACACTTTGTGCCTGGCATGAGTACTGATGGGGTCTGGAAGCCACGGCGCGACCGCAGCTCGCGCAAGCTTGCAACTGCGGAATGGCGAGCTCTGGAACTTACCGCCGAATGAGAGCCTTTGAACTTGTCACCTGTGATAAAGGCAAGGGAACTATGCTGCAAAGCAAGCAAGTCGACAGGGCATTCGACAATGGTCTTGATCAGCGTGCGGGGAGCCTCGCCAATCGCAAGGCAGGAGGATCGACTACCTCGTAGCTCGGCGGCAAGCGCACGCTGCTGATTTGCTGGTCTGCTCATCCTTGCGGTGAGCACCCACCGTGCGTTGAGCGAATCAGGAGACGATCACGTCCTGACAGGGAGCAAGGGTCCCTGCACCCATCGCTAGCGGGTTCTGACGGGAACGATCAATCCACACAAGGCCAAGGCTAGCGAGCAGGGCCGTTTAATACGTAGTAGAGGACAAGGCGGCCCTGATGTTGCCTGTCAACTCTCGGCCGACACCATGGTTGTGTGCTTTGCGAATTACAGCTCGCTCGTCACACGCGTTGTGACCTTCTGCAGTGCTTGGTTCAACGACGCCTTTCATGGCTGGTGAGTGGCACCACAGTGGCACCACGGTGTTCGATTGCCATGGCTCGTTTCCCCCTTGCGGGTTGTCATGGCACGAGGAAACCAGCGATGCTGGACTATGGACCACACGGAAAAGGCTGAGTTGTGATTGTGGAAAGATTCACTTCGGCTAACACTGTCGGAGGGTCCAACTGGGCCGTTGCGGTGTGTGATCTCTGCAATGAGTCAGTCGGCTTCTGAGACTTGCAGTTGGCCCAAGCACTCCGCGCAGTGAGGCATGGGGTTGCGCGCAATTTCTCACAAGTATGGTCTCGAGGAGGGTGGCAGCTAGACAGATTGCGTGTGCGTGGCGGTCGAGCTTGATAGCACTCTGAGCTGCCACGGGGATTTGGCAAGGAACCAAGCAAACTGGGGGAGGGGTCTGCGGGAAGCGGCAGCCAAGAGCACGGCCCGTGAGGATTGTGAATACTAATCAGAGCCGATTTGCCAAGTGAGACAAGGGCTGGCATGGTATCGTAGCATGTTGGTTGTGTTGGGTGTGTATCTGCAAGCAGGTAGCCGACAGGCCAAGGATCGGATCGGAGGAGGCGCCGGCCGGGAAGGACCGCACAAGTGAAGCATGTCTGGCAGTCTGGAGAAACAACCTTTATGACCCTGGCTCGTTGGGTTGGCCCGCAAGGTACGGCTCAACGGCTGGCATGTTAGTCGCGGTGAGGCGTGTTGGTTGGTCCCCAAGTCCTGGCTCTTCACAGGCCAGCAGCACCAGCAGCAAGCGGGCGGAGCGGCTGCCTGTGGACGTGGACGACAGTGCTGAACCCCTGGCTTGTATGGCGTGACCCAGATAACTATAAAGCCTCAGGAGACTTCATATGGCGTACGGCGTCCATCAAAGTTTGCTGCCATTACCCATTGGGAGAGTGGAGAGATGGAGTGACAAGGCGACAGGTGACAACGAGACGGCCCTGAGGGCAGGAGAGGGGTTGTGGACAAGCTCAAGCTCTACGCCTTGGAGACTTATGTCAGCAGGCCGGCCAGCCACCCGAGCGTCGCTTGGACCAGCACTACGCTGGGGCGCCGCGGCACGGGCTGGACTGGGCCCATGCCAGCTGTGCAGCTGTGTATTACAGCGAGGTTTGCGGGATGGGCAAGGAAACGGACTTGCCCTTCACCAGTGACCAAAAGCCACTCCCGCACGGCAATCAAGCATGACTACATTATTACCACCTGCCTGTCCACCGCTCTCTTCAACTCCTCTCTCCGCGTCGCAGCCTCTACGATCGTCCGGCCCCGGCAGCGCCAATGGCACAGCCTGCGAGCTAGGCAATCGCGACGACTCCAGCCCACCGCAACATCGCTCGCTTCCGGTTTCGCCCTGAACCAAGAAGGGCCACTGGCTGCCGCTCCTAGCCCTCACATCCTCTCCCTCCTTCCTCTGCCAGGATCAGGCCGGCGGCGAGCGAGGCACGCTCGCCCAGAGTTGTGCCTCGAGCAAGCACAATGGCCGCCTTTGTCCCAACCTCCAAAGACGAGCTCTACAGCTGGCTGACGAGGGTAAGTTCCTGCGGCCAGGCGCACGCCTCACTCGCGTAGACCACTGCTGATATGCCCATGATCGTGCCACACCAGTTCAACAAGACTATGGATTCACTAGACATCACAAGGCTTGGCAGCATCTTTACCAAGCAGGTCCGCATACAGTTCGCCGAAGTCCCCATCATGGAGGGCCTCGAGGCAACTCAGGCGTACTTCAAGTCTCTCTGGTGTAATCTGGAGAGCATGGAGCACGAGATAGATTCCTATGGTACGTGGCCACGGCTTGCTGATGGCGTCTGGCCTGTCTTCCGTCTGCTAACTTTGCGGGTTCGCGATTCGTCAAGACATGACTGAAAATCGCATATATCAGCCGTGCCACATCACATGGCGGTTGCATGGCGATGATGAGCACGAAGAGATCACAGTAAGGGCCCTCTCCATACTCCGCATCACCACGGAGGGCCCAGAGACCGGGCTCGTGTATGATGCTCGGTTCTACCTCGATGCCGCGCCGCTCATGTCGGCTCTGGCTCGGGTTGCACGAGCCGAGGCGGGGCTTCACGGCGTAGACGAAATGGACTGCCACGGCTGAAGAGGCCAGACATGTCAGATGCGCCCAAAGGGCAGCCAGGCAGCTGAAAGCCCCCATGCGTGGGAAAGGTGAGCTTGAGCAACGGTTGGCAGCCGGCGATCACCAGTGAGCAGGGCAACCCCTCATGTCGCATTGCAAGCGACCCCTCGTTCTGGATCTGCAGCGGGAGCGCGGGCGTGGGGGGGTGACGAGGGAGAGACGGGAACAAGGATGACCTTGGAGAATGAATGGAGGCGTGGCCAATACCCAACGATACCATAGCAACGCTCAGCACGAATGAACCAACCGCCTTTTTGGGCCCAGCCTTTGCAGGCAAGGTGCATGTGCGCATCAGAAGCCGCGTGCCTGCTGGACTGTCGCCACGCATGCCATCATCAAAGTCGTGGTGCTATTTTCTGCACAAGCTCCCCCCTCCGCCCCACGTGAACCGCTTCCCCGGGTTCGACCGCCGCGCGCTGGCTGCACCGTAGCATTTGCTTCCCGCTCACGCACGACGGGGCGCCACCACCACCACCAAGCACAAGCATTGGCCGCCCAGCCAACCCACTCCCCGGGCTAAATTTTAGACAGGACAGGCTCAAGTCTGGAAGCACCTGCACCCAACATCGACGCCCAGTTTCTGCACTTCTCATCCACCCAGGCCGACTTCAACCAACATCCACGGACAGCCCTGCCTCGTAGACAAGGACCTGCACCAGCTGTACCGCCGTGTCGTCACACCACTTTTGGGACTACAGCGGGGCCGCTCTGCGACTTCGCCGACGAGTCATCTCTCCATCCCCAGCACTCGCTTGAGATGGCCGCCGCCGCCAGCACTCTGACGCTCTCGAGCGCAACGTTTGCCAAGCTCTCCCCTCATCCCTACCTACTCGCCAATCTCCAGCCATCCGACTCGTCGATACCGTCTGCCCGCACCAATGGGCGCCAGCCTCGTCAGGCGCGGCCTCCCTTCATCAATTCCTCATCTCTGTCCCACGCCCATGGCAGCGCGGTCGTGAGGACAGGCGACACCACTGTCATCTGCGGCGTCCGGGCAGAGACGCTCCTGACAAACCAGATTCCCAACTACAGAGTACAGGCAAAGGACGGACTGGCCTCGTCGAACACAAACGAACTCCGAGACTATGACCTGCTCGTACCAAACATCGAGCTGGCCACTGGCTGTGCCCCGAACTTCCTGCCTGGCGTCCCCCCGACAGCTATCGCTCAGACGCTCAGCACACGCGTGTACTCCCTCCTGCACTCATCGAAGCTGCTCGATGCTGCCGACCTGAGAATCACTTACCAGAATAAGGATCTGCCTCCCAGGCTCGAAGGGAAGCAGGAGGAGGAGGAGAGGGGACAGGACGTTGCCCATGGCAATGACGGCGCCGGGGACAACTCGACGCAAGGCGAAGTCAAGGCATACTGGGTGCTCTACATTGATGTGCTCTTCATCTCGCTCGACGGCAATCCGTTTGATGCCGCCTGGGCCTCGATTGTCGCTGCACTGCGAGACACGAAGCTGCCCAAAGCGTTCTGGGACCCAGACCGTGAGATGGTCTTGTGCAACCGCGAGGCAAGCCCGCTGACGGTTCGAGGCCTCCCCGTCGCCAGCACGGCCGCCGTGTTCACTGCCAAGGAGCGACAGCAGCAGAAGAAGGGCAGCGGGCAGTTTTGGATCCTGGTAGACCCGGATAGGTTGGAGGAGAGCCTGTGCCACGAGTCTGTGACGGTTGTGGTCGACCGCTCCCAGGGAGAGACTGAGGTTCTGGGACTTTCAAAGAGTGGAGGTACCATTGTTGGGCCTGAAGTGCTGAGGAGGTTTACGGCAATTGCAGAGGAGAGATGGGAGGAGTTCGAGAAGGCTTTGTCATGAGCGGCGATTGCCTTGGCAGGATCAAGGGAGCGATTCAGGAAGTAGATGGACTAGACCCACTCTGGGGAGAAGAAATGATACCCATCGCGCGCGCAGAATTGCGTGACAGCCTGGCCGGATGAAGAAGCCTAGTGATGTTGGCGAGTGATTGCAACAGCTGCACGACTAGTAAAGAGCGCGGGCACAATCTACACCACTCTCGTGACTGGCCCTCCTGCTTACGGTAAAGAGCCGCTGCACCATCTCTAATTGGCACAGAGGCATTGCACGTCACGGCAACTGAGTTATTGCTTTCTGAATTTCTGTATCAACCCTTCGAACTATCCTATCAGGTTGTGAATCCAGGACAGTAGATACGGGACGATGTGTTGTTCTCCCGCTCACCAAGAGGCAGCCTAATGAAAGGCCGCCAGGCTGCCAGCACAGCCGTGGGGAGAGACAGCAGTGCTGGACGGAGGGTGAGCGGTGGTTGTTGAGAAGAAGGAAAAGCAGAAGCCCAGCGAGGCCCCGTCGTCAAAAGTTTTTGGTGCAGGCACGCAAGGCACGCACCACGCCCACTGTCCAATGAGCGCCCTACCCGGAACCCGTCCCCGCCGCCCGAGCTCCACCATTCCCACAGGTCTACCTAGGTAGTGCCCAGGTGTTGGTTGTGGTCAGAGGCAGGCAGGCAGGCAGGCACGGAACCCACCTTATTGTGTAATCAAAGCCCTGGCCTGAGCTGTGAATGAGGTCCGCGCAAAACTCGCTCGCCCTCTCTCCTACGCTGTTTTCTTTCCTCCCAACCATCACCTCTCGACCCTCTCCGTCTCTGACACCCCGACTTCGCCGCGCACCATGGAGTCGCTGGGCGACGAGCCGTGGGACGTGGTCATCTGCGGCACCGGTCTGCAACAGTCCCTTCTTGCCCTGTAAGCAGGAACTTGCACCACGCAGTTCGTCATGGCCCCCAGCCCGGGGCGAGAAAACACCTCGTGGCTGACCGCAGAACCGCAAGTGCTCTCTCCCGCTCCGACAAGCGAGTCCTGCACCTCGATCCCAACGACTACTATGGCGACCTCGAGGCTGCGCTCAGCCTCGAAGACGCCGACGCCTGGGCCGCGGCGGGCGGTCGCTCCCGGCTGATTGCCAACGCAAGCACTTGGACACATCCCGACCCGGGCGCGCATGGTGGCCTGCGCGCCGCGCGGTCCTATGCTCTGGCTCTCGCGCCACAGATCATACATACCCGGTCGGCGCTGCTGTCGCAGCTCGTGTCGTCGCGAGCATACCGGCAGGTCGAGTTCCTCGCCGTGGGGTCCTTCTTCGTGTTCGAGCAGTCATCAAAGGACGCCGAAAACAAGGGGCAGCTTTCGCGGATACCCAGCAGCCGCGAGGACGTCTTCTCGACACAGGCCATCCCTGCGCGGTCGAAACGCTCGCTCATGAAGTTTCTCAAGTTCGTTGTCAACTATGATTCTGAAGAGGAGCGGCCAATGTGGCTGGAGCATGGCTCGGAAAAGCTGGCCCAGTTTCTTCAGGAGCAGTTCAAGCTTGATGACAGTCTGCGGCAGTACATCCTTGCATTGACGCTCACGCTCGACGGCGATATCACTGTCCGCGACGGCCTCGCCATTATTCATCGCCACCTCTCATCGCTTGGTTGGTTCGGGCCAGGGTTCTGCGCCGTATATCCCAAGTGGGGTGGGGGTTCCGAGATTGCTCAGGTCGCGTGCAGAGCAGGCGCTGTTGGAGGCGGCATATACATGCTTGACACTGGCATGGAGATGAGCGATCAAGATGCTGCGGCTCGTGACAAGATCTCGCTCAAGTTGTCAAGTGGTACCATTGTGCAGACCTCAGCGCTGATCACATCCCAAGACGAGCCTGGAGAAGATGCATTGACTATCAAACGCCTTATCGCTGTTGTCAACACGACCTTTGCGGAGCTCTTCGAGGTTGTCGTTGAGGGCGCACCCAAACCGGCAGTGGCTGTGATCTCCCTCACTCCTGCTGACGCGGCTTCGCCTCTTCCAGTGTATGCCTTCGTGCACTCCAGCGACACTGGCGAGTGTCCATCAGGTCAAAGTAAGCCACACTCCTCCCCTTGTTCCCGCGCACTCCCGCACAGGTGTTTTCCATGATGATCAAACCATCAAAAATCTTATCTACATTGTCTGAGCTTTGCCTTGACGAGAAAGATCATCGTACGACCTGATATGAAAACACCAATTGCATATTTCATCGCATGCGCGCATTTTCTTCTTATGAGTTTTGGCTTTTATGCTAACTATTGGCGTTCTGCAACTCAGGCGTGGTTTACCTCACAACACTTGCTACCGAGGATGCGCAGAAGAGACTAGACTCTGCCCTTGAAACACTCTTGACACAGGTTGCAACGTCCCAGCCGAGTGATGCCGCATCCACTTCGCCAGTGTGCTTGTACAAGCTGGTATATGACCAGTCAGCCAGCCGTCGGGAGGCTGTCACTATACCTCTGGTGTCACCGTCCTCTGCTTCGGCGGATGCGCCCAGTGGTAAGCCTGCAGCAAGGGAACGCGTGCATCATAAGCTCCCCTCGCCGGCCCTGGATCTCTCCTTCAGGGACGATACACTTGATCATGTCCGAGAGGCGTGGCGAAAGGTCGTCGCTACTTTTGAAGTTGGGGGGATTCCTGATGAGGAGGAATACATGAACTTTGAGGACCGCGAAGGGCCCGATGGTTATGACGACGACGAAGTCTATGAGTGAATGCCGTGCAAATGGTATGTTTGCTGATAGGCACATGATACTATGAAATAAACAAACGATTATGTTGCACTATACTAGAATGTTCAGTTGCGCATGTGTTTTAAAAGCTATTCTATTCATTTTGGAAGGTATTGCTAATCTTTTTCTGAAATCTGTGCACGTTCCGTCCCTCTAGAGCACAATCTCTAGATTCTTGGTGCAGTGGTTGAAGCTCCCATACTCACGACTTTCTCTCGCTTTGTTCTTGGTCACCATCAGAGCCGTTGTTGGTTTTCTCCCATCCCCGCCCCAAATTGGAAGAAATGAAATAAAGTAACAGAAAGGGAAAAAACTAAATGAAACAAAATACACGGTATAAACTGGGGGCATACGCCACCATGTTCCGTGATGCGAATGCGAGCAAAAATAGTTGTTCACCTGGTCGTTCCCTCACCACGAATCAAGTCTCAGGGCTCCTCTTGTAGCGCTTGACAAACCAGTTGGGTTCTCGTCCGATCGTGCGGGCCGTGGAATTCTTCGGGCTGATGTATCGGCTCGACCGCGTATCACGCCGCTTCGTGTCTCGCTCATGGATTGGCTTGCTGTGTTGCCGTCGTCGACACACTCTGCATGCCGAGCCAGATCTGACCGGGAGGCTGCATTTCCGAGGTGCGAATCATGATTTGCGACTTGGTCGCGAGGCAGAGAACGTTGTAAAATGCTCGAGCGGCGACCGTTCGGGCCGTCTGCTCAGGCACAAAAGCGTCGTCAAAGCGCATCCACTTGTGGCTGCGAACATGCTGGCTCTCGTGGCTTTTATCGTCATCAAGGCGCTCCCCGTTGAGCTCAATGGCCGCCTCCATGAAGTCAAAGAACTCTTGACCCTCAACGTCGAGAGTGGTGCGAAGGGCCGCGCCTTGAGGCATGTTTCCTGGTTCATCCTGCTCAGCCGGAGAGTGGCCTCTGCCAACAGCACCATCAAAGGAGCCATCAAAGGATGGAAGGTCGCCAGCATCATCGCGCCAGCCCCCTTGTGCGTCATCGCTGAGTCGTTCGATGTCGGGCAGATGGCCACGACCCTGTGAAGGGCTGACGAGCTTGTGACGCGAGCGTTGCGCAGAGCCATGGCCTTTCACGGAGGAACCAGGTACCACAGAGGAGTCACGGGCCCAAGGCATTCGCATGGCAGAGGAGGGCGCGTCGGACATGGCGGCCTGGGCCTCGCGGCCGACTTCGAGCTCTTCTCGTGCTTGGCGATGGTATGCGTCGTCATCGAAGACGTGCTGTCCAGCATCTGTGTTGTAATTGTCAAGTCCATGCTCGCCTAAGTCATTCAGTCGTGGCCGCACGCGCCGACCAATCTCGTCAGAGTCGCCAGACGGCTCCCGCGTGGACCGGCGCTTGCCTAGCAATGTATCAACTTCGTAGCCGGTGAGAGTGGTGTAGAGCGAGTCTCCAGAGTACATGACAGCCAACGGGTGGATCATCCCAAGTACACCCAAGCTCTGTCCGACGTTTCCGAGGCCGAGACCGAAAGTCAGATGGATCGCGTTTTCTCGTGCTTGCTTGATGCCAGCCGGCTTGGTCAGCTTCGCGCCGCAATTCTGAATGTAGTCGTCTTGCCATGCTCCAATCTTCACCCGAGCAATCTGATTGGCATCGTCTATTTTCACTTTTCTCGGCTTCTTCTGTTTCTTTGCTGGTGCCTTCTCGCTCATTTGCGAGCTGACCGTTTCGAGCTCTCTGGGTTCCTCGTGTGTGCGTCCCGGCAAGGCAGGCGCATCCAGAAGAGCCTCGTTGTCGATGAAAACGAAGTCATCATGCTGCCGTGCGGCCTCCTGCTCCTCGTCTTGAATTGCGGGTAGGGTGGCTGCTGGCAACTCGGCTTGGAACATAGGCGGTAGGTCCGGCTCTTCCCGAGTGCTGATGTTCCCGAATTCATCTATCTCCACGCCCCATTCCTCGATGCCCCCGAAGTCATCCTCGATACCAGGCAGTGCGGTCAACTTCTCGTCACCTGGCATGACGTGCGACTTGTGTGCTGAGGAAAGTCCTTCGAGACCCGGAAACTGCGCAACTCGGTGATCGGGTGTAAGAGACTGGCTCAAGTCGAGCTGAATGGGGAATGCACGGGGGTCAGAACTAAGTGATCCGAACGACGACTCCGCAGGCGACAATTGTGAAGTGGTCTTTGTTGTCAACTGGCTGTTGACGACATTCGCTTCGAGATCGAACTTGGGAAGGAGCAATTCGGGAACGAAGTCGGGGTCGTTCATGATAAGAAGTTGGTCAGGCCTGTTCAGATCGTCAGACATCGGCAATCCTGGTTTGTGAGTTCGTGAAAGAACCTGGACTTGGCAATCTGAGCATACCGTGACTTGGCCTGCTCCATGTCGAGCTCGTGCGCGCCGAGCCTACGAAAAAAGAACTCCATATTGGCATGGACCTTCTGCGCGTCGCTCAGCATGTAGTCGCACTGCTGATTGTATACTCTTGAGACGCCGTAGAGGAGGTTCCCTTGCAGACGAAGCGCAATGGGAGCACCAGGTTCCAAGATTGTGCCGCATGCCTTCTCTACATTGACGCCCTGGATTGCCTTCTTGGTGACCTTTCTCGTGCTTGATCTATTGCCTATCGTGGCGACGAGCCTGCCAAATCATCAGTGAGACGGACGGAAAGCCACAATTCTAAGTCGACTGGCGATGGCGACTCAGGCATTGAGCTGTTACGTACCAGATGGTGGACACCCCATGCTTGTGGCTATTGAGGACTAAGGTGCTGTCAGTTGACATGCCCCATTTCCTGCGTGGGCTGAAGAGACCTACTTTCGTGACTGTAAAACATACTGCTCAGAGTCAAGGCCCGGAGGTGCTCCGCGGTATGTACACGTGAATGGTAAAATGGAGAGTAACTTGAACCAGGGATGAGGCTCCCAGGAGATGATCACAATCGACCGTAGTGGCAAATCCAGAGCCGTTGTGTTTGTGTTGTTATTCTTGTCGTCCAAGCTGGTGTGCCATTTGTGAGTTGATGGTGAAGAGACGCCGAGGATATAAGGCTCGCTTAGTGACGACGATGACACAGCTGGAAAGTCCTGGTCAGATGAACGGATTCGACTTTAAATGTTGAGGCTGGTGGTGGCTGCCTTTTGTCAACAGGAAGGCACGGAGAGCGTGGTTGCGGTCTTGAGTTGTTGCAGGACTGCAAACGCTGTCCGGCCATGTGATGCTTCGTCTCGCAAGACCAAAATTCAGCAAGACCCCATCTAACCACAGACAATGCCGCATGTATCAATGTGCTGTCATTACGCTGCTTTATCCACCTCACGCTTCTTTCCCGCGCGGTATGGTATCGCATCTGGATTGACAATCATTTTCGCTACGGGATGCTAGTATTATCGCAGCCTGTGCTCTCGTACCCGCGTCCAGTCGGGATTGTTCATTCCAACACTTCGACCCAATTCTGTTCGAGCTTGCGGCGGCCAAATTTGGTCTCTGCCTCCTGCCGCATGACTTCCTCTGCTTCCAGCTTCTCTGCCGCCGCCGTGGTCGTCTCCTTGATCAGGTGGCGGATGGCATTCATGTGCAGCTTGTACCAGCCCGTGTGCGGCTTGCAGCGCTTCTTCTCGCACATGCCACGTGTGACAGAGCTGTCGGTGTGGCCATTTGGTATCGATGCATCGACCAGAGGGCTTGACAGCTTCCCTTTCTTGAAGGTAGCCTGTCCCTCGGGGCTGTCGAGCCAGCCGGCAAACTGATGCTTTACAGACACCGTGTCGAGGCGGTAGTCATAGCCGCAACTGTCCTTGGTGAACTTGCCAGCTTCGATGGCTGCTTGCCGTCTCTCATTGGCCCAGTCCACCACCTGCATCATCTTCTTGTACTGCACAATTTCGTTGCCTAGAGCCAACCTCTCACTGGCGGAGTGTTGAAGAAAGTTCTGCTCTTCTTCACTCAGGACACCCGACTGCGTCGGCAGTCCATTTGACCAGAGTCCCTCCGTGTCATCTTGAGGGTGCGGGTCGTTAGTGGCAGGCTGTTCAAGCGGCTCCTTGGAGCACCTTTGCTATGAGAGATGGGACTTACCAGAGAGACTGTCACCCAGCTTCCATCCGGCCCCATCTTCTGATGTGCTGGCCAGCAGGCCCATGAAGTCCTCTTGCGTCAAGGCCTCTACTGCTTTTCCCGAGCTAGCTCTTGTTGGCAACTTGTTGATTGCCGATATCCACCACAAGTCGCAATGCTCGCTGCTACAAAATATGCTCCGCTCCTCTTCCGCTATTCCGTACAGTCGTGCCTGATTCTTGCAACCAGGTAACGAGCACGTCTTTCTGAATTTTGTGTAGTTGCTTTTCCCGTCGGTGCAGTTAGGGCAGACGAAGCGCTCGACGAGCCGCTCGCCAATCTCTTTCGATAGGTCGACGCAGGTGCCATGGAACCAATCCTCGCACACGTCGCACCCTATCATCCACCTATGATCGTCGGGCCCTCTGCAGATGCAATATGGGCCATTGTCAGTGTCTGCGTCCGAGCTGCCGTCCTCGGGCGTACCCTCAGAAGCCCGTTCCCTGGCTGCCTTGAGTTTGTGGCCGTTGACGAGCTTCCTCCCTGTACCCTTCTTGGTTGATGCTGTGCCCTTTTTCTTGAGGCTCGACCTCGGTTTTTGAGACATGTCCAGAGTGGGCGCTGGCGATGAAGCAGAACGTGTCGCGTCGGGATCCGGCTTGACCTTTGGCACGAACATGCTGTTTGTATAGTTGCCTGTTTGCTCATCAGCGGGCACGTCCGCATGGCTACCGGGGCCACCACGCTCAGACTCTGTGGAGCTGGCATCCTCCATTTCGATATCTCGGTGAGACATGACGGGCAATATGGTTCAACTTGTCCCTGGCGTCCGTCTGAGGCTGATGTGGACTCGCTGTTGTCGAGGATCCCACTCCAATCACGAAGTTCTCAGTCACCCGAGGCTCTGTCTGTCCTCACAACAGGCACCTTACAGTCAACTGTGCATTTGACATAACAGTTCAAAGCTGGTACGAGCCGTTGTGAGATGAAGTGACGGGCGGGCGTCTGAATCCCCCTGGACGCACTCACATTCAAGTCAGAGTCGTGCACAGGCGTGCTGCACGCGGCTCTCTGATCGCGATAGGACAGTGCGTTTGCTATCGATAACAGTGTGGCAGTGGGCCAGTTCATGGACAGAGCACAGTTCATACACACTGTGGCGCAACCTCCTTCTCGGAGGAATAGGCTTGGTAGTCGTCTTGAGAATCATGCTTCAGTACGGCAGCCCAATCACTACTGTCTACCTTATCATTTGAGCGGATATCGTTCTTTTGCGATGATATGCTGCACATCCTCCCAGGTCAGCTGTACAAAGGATACCGTGAAAGCGCGTCTCAACGTGGTCAACCAGCCAGCCATAGACACCCAAAGAAAACCTCCAAGACACTCAGTCTTGCATCTCCACCCTCTCCGCCCTCCGCCGACGCAACGCAGTGCCATAAACTCCTCCCGCGAGACCAGCCACTGAAGCCGCCAAGACGGCCGCCCCGTGATACGCAGGTTTGAAGTGGCCGCTCTCGAGGTGCTTGATGCCCGAAAAGTACCGCGCCGTGCCGTACAGGATGGAGCCCGACCCCAGCGCCATGAGCGTGCCCACGAGCACCTGCGAGTGCTCCTTGTCGAGCTCTTTCTCGAGCTTCTGCTCAGCCGTGCGCGGCCGTCGGCTCTGCTCGGGGACCAACTCCGTCAGGTCGAGCTGCGAAAACCGCTCGATCGCGATCCCCAGCGCTACGAAGCCCAGACCCGTCCGGATCCAGGCGAGGAACGTGCGCTCAGAGGCGAGATGGTCGCGCGCGACAGACCCGGTGTTCTTGTAGATGGGCGTTGTGAAGCGAAACCAGGGCGCCATTGTGCGGCACGTGGAGTCTCAGGATATGACGCAAAGGTCCGGATATGTTGTCGGAAGCAGCCGATGTTGGCGACGTTGCACACCTGAAGACACAGCGCGACCCGCCGACGCTCTATCAACTCGGATCGACACGATGGCAGTGGCCTTCTCGGCCTGTGATGTGCCTTGGTGGACACTTGGCGATCGTCATCGCCTTCCAGCAGAGTGACGCGCCGTAGTTGTGCTTATCGATAGGCTCATGGAGCAAGCGAGGTTTACAGCCGACTCCGACGAGATGGTACTGACAACTCAACGAAGTGACGGCAGTGTACACAAACATGCCAGCACGGTATAGTCAGAGGTACCATTCGTTTCGCTATCGCATATGGCCTGCAGAAGACACAAGTTGACGACAAGGACAATGAGCCGAGCAAAATCTCACAAAGGCTGCCAATCGCTGCTCCTTGATCGAAACTACCTACTACGGACGCCACATCTCTCCCGAGATGACTTGGATTATACCGCGAAGCAGTTATGACAGGTACGTTCATTCAACATGTACATTTAAGGTTTCCAGCGCCGTTGCCGCGCCCGTGTCAGGGATCGTCGTCAGGGGCGGCCATACACAAGACAATAGGCGATCCAAACTCTGATGAAGCAGAAATTTGCAACGTGCACACCCCTACGGTACTTTCCGTCATGCTGCTTTCTTCCTTGCAGGTCTCCAAGGAAAAGTGCCAAAATTTAAATGCGGATTTCACCGTGCTTACAGAACCCCGGTGGGCGGCAAACCCTGAACGCATCCGCTCAAAGTCTAGGACTCTAGCTACATTGCATTCTGACCAAGAGTCCGTGTCCCTCTCCAGTAGGATTCACTCCCGGAAGTTGGGGTCCTCATGGCAGCAAAAAAGGGGTGAGACCAGAGCTCGATGGAGACTGTGAGGAGAGTCCTACTATCACGGTCTTCGCCGCTGATCGCGGAAGCATCCTGGCCGGTGGCATCAGGATTTCACATCCGAGGTGTTCATGTCGAGGCATAACGTCGTAAGTTCCTAGTCAGCATGCTGCTTCGTGTTCTCATTGGATGGTTGTATCAGCTCGAACATCGTGTGGTTGAGGCAGTCGACAAGAACTGGCTCAGATTGAAGGCCTGGTCGGAACTCACCAGCCGCCTGATCGACATAATCGAAGGGCAGCCATGAGATGTAGTCTGAGGCTGTTGGCATCGCCAATCACCTGGCACATACTCCGTCCAGGGACTGTTTCCTTTCAGGTTCCGTTTTTTCTTGCTGAAGATGGGATTGAAAGTTACGGACCAGCTATATTCACCCCCCCATGAATCGCCCGTCAAGTAAGAGCTCCATCCAGAATACCGGAGCACATCCTCTTATGTGCAACGCTTCTTACATCTTCGTCTTTAGCGCATTTCTGGCACAAGGACACAATACGACCCGATAAAGCGTCGTGCTACGAACAGCAGTCTCATGAAAGAGTATTACCATGGAATGGAGCCAAGAACACCAAGCTTGTCTCGCACTTGTATTGGTGCCGTCGAGTGGGGAGCCCACTTGTGCGCATCCGACCCTGGTATGTTAGCTCAACAAGCCGAATACAGGAAGAAGGCTCCGTTTCTTGCAGACCAGAACACCGTGTACCCAGACCGTGGGATCCTCCCGTCCGTATCACGAACAGGACCCGTTTACCCAGTGGGCGAGGCAAGCTCAACTTGTCATCCGACCCTGCGGGCCCCCCTCCTTTCCCTTGCACCTCGAGTCTCAAGGATGGCCTGTTACAACCCCGGTCGAAGATCCTGGCCCCCAACCGGTGGCCACGCCATGGTCGCCAGAGGAAACAAACGGGAGACTCGGCCACCTACCCACCCATCCCATCACCCGGTGTGCTAGTCAGGGATGGCACAACGTCAAACGCCACCCTCCCCAGAACCATCCCATGCCTGGTCGTCCAAGCGCCCACTTGACAATCTGCAGTACATGGGTAGGGACACGCCTCTTCCACACCCTCATCGTTGCTTGTCCCCACGCATTCGCACCCCTCCGCTTCCCTCCCTTCCCAAATTCCCATCTTGGCTGGGAGGCAACATGCAACAGCAGTGCGGATCATCAGTGGGCTCGTCCGGGAGGGCACGAGAGGTCGATCATATTAGCAGGGGGCTTGACATGCTCAGCATCCAGTACCAACATCTGGCGATCGAGCGAGAAGAGCAGATTTAGAGTTCATCCGTGACTCGCTCGATGCTCCGCGCCGCCCACCACCAGGACTATCCGCAGAACAGATGGAACCTAAATCCCGGACTTTTGTCTCGTCAGGAGCGATGCCTGTGGCGGCAGCATCTACGGGATGGCGCTGTGAAACGCAATCCACTGCAGGCTCGGTGTCAGGTCAGAGCCTCGCCTCAGGCTCGAATGCACGCTCGGACGATCCCCGGCGCCAACGATCGTAACATCATTCGCTTGGGGACGGGATGGACTGCCGCCGGGAGAGCTCGAACAAGCCCTCCAGAGGTTTTGAGCAGGTGATTGCGCTCCTGTGGAGACATCAGAGCCAATTCACACGTGGCTGGGTGATACTGGAATGGTTATTTCAGGCGGATATCAGGGTTTGGCGAGCTGATGCTACCTTGTGACATCCCGGACGTGCAACCTGGGTCAGCCCACATATCCAGGCGGTTGGATGTTTTTAACGGGCACGCGGGTCTAATAATACGACGTCGGACTGACCTCTTTTGACTGACAAGAGAAGCGAGTCGGCTGCCTTGCGCAATTCCACGTCTGTACGTACCCACGAAGCGCGTCGATGATGCGAGATGCCTTGCGTACCGCCTTTCCGGGGAGCAACGGGGTCTAGATCCCCCCCATGAACTCTACTGGTCATGAGTACTTGCAGACCAGCAGGCCCCACGAGTTAGAGCAAGCAATCAAATCTCGTGCCAATCCTCCCACGGCTCTGGTTGGTGTCGACGAGAATGGGGGAAAGAAAACCGACAGGGAGGCATGTCCTCAAAGGGAAGTGACCAGGGTATCAGAAAGAGGATCGGGCAAAACCTTCTTCCAGCCAAACAGAGAAGAAAAGGGGAAAAAGGGAGGTGCTGTAAAAAGCATCTCTGGGAGGGCTGCAGCGGCGGAAGCCCGACCCGAACTACAGCGGCGATCATATGGAGAAGCCGGCACCCCCATCCATCCCTTGCCTTTTGCGTGCATATCGCGACATGTATATGATGTGTATTATCATGTGCATACGTGGACATGCCTGCTGCGCGGTACGGAGTATGCACGTCGACACACCTGAAGAAGAACATGCATATGCTCGCCTCCGAGGCCAGCAGCTGAGATGCGCATGCAACCCATGGAGTGGTTGGTCGTCAATGTGCTCGAGAATGGGCCGGCCCAACAACGGGCGGCAGTGGCAACAGCAATAAGGAAGCGCGCGCGAGTTGTGTGTGTGTGTGTGTGTGTGTGTGTGTTGCGGGTGACGAGCGCGAGGAAAAAATAATTATTCGCCGGAAGAAGAAACGTTTGTCGGCATAGTCGACCTCGTTCTTGCATATGGGCCTAGCCAGTCCGGATGGACCTTGACGAAAGCAAGCACGCATGTTTCTCGAGACATGCAATCGTATCCGAAAGCGTGGTTAACCCGAGCATCCAAAGAAAAGCGCGAGCCGTCATGTCACGAATCGCTGGACAGCGTGCCCTGCCGCCCACTGAAAAGTGTCATGACAGGGGCGTGTCGACCAGACAGACTGACAGCTGACTTCACAAGGCGAAGCGAGCGCCTCTCAAAAGCCACCAAGCACTGCCCTGCATGGCTACTAGCTACGACGATGTCCTGGCTCTCCAACGAGATTCGTCGCTTCTTGCTTGCTCCGCCCCGGCGAGGAGGTTTCTGAGGATATCACAACAAGGCACAAGAATCTTCACTTACTCGGCGGCAAGGCAAATCCGCGGAAGAGCCAAGAACATCCCAGAACAGGCTGAATCGTCACACTTCTCACACGCACAAAGCAAGCATCAGCAGTATCTATCAGCAGAGAAAAGAAGATGACACGGGAACAGCGCAGCCTCAAGGATGTCATACCCGAGGAGCGGCCTATCAGTCCTTGAGCCATCTTGAGAGTGTCGTGTCTACCCTTGCTCCTTGTTCTGACGTCTGGTGATCTTGCGTTTCTGCTCTGCTCGTCGCTGGCTGACCCCCTTGACCCCCACCGGGCAGTCATTATTGAAGTGAACCCAGTCCGTCGCTGAGAACTACCGAAATTGTAGGGGACAGGCGCCTATGTCCCTGTCATATTAGGTGGCCAGTGGACATTGTCTCCCACCGAGCTCCTTGTGAAGGAGCCAGGGAATCCTGTCACTTTGGCCTGTTCCTTGACCTGGTCGATCATCATCACGGGGTGCATTCGGCGATCCTCCGTTTCCTTGTTGCTCATCAAGTGTTTCGTCAGGAGACTGCTGCCCGGGGCGGCGGGCTGTTGCTATCCGTAGCAGCAGAACGACGTCTTCGAGGCAGACCACGCGCCCCCTTAGCGCTCGCTTCCCCGACCTCTCCGCCTGACGCCACCTATCGTGTCAGATAATTAGAAGATAAATTTGCTAGCTGCGTAACGTGAAGCTGTATCTGCCAACGATGCCGGGAAGTAAACTTTAACCACGGCAAAGCCGGAAGACCCGGAGTGCAAGGGGACCGAAACAAGAAGCAACAATGAGCCAGTGGCTTGATGAGAGCCACTCTCAGTACATTGGAAGTCGCGAACCCCCTTTCCTGTTGATCCCCGACCCGCCGCATATCTCAAGAGGGTCTGTCGATGTAGGTCGCGGCGGGCGAAACCTCGGGATTTCCTCTGGGTAGAGGGGGGGTCCGAAACAAGGGCATGTGGGCTCCCTGGGGATTTGCCTTCCGAGCTGTAGGGATTATCAGATCTAGCGGTGAGAAACCATACAGTTTGTACACTCACAGCTATGATGGCTAGTGCGGCACCACGGTTCAAAAGCTACTGGCAGGTGCTAGATGTCACAACGACGCTCGCCGTGGCCCAGGGCATCTCCAAGTCGTTGTACACCGTCTGGCCTGCCGTTGATATCCAGCAATGACGATGTCCTTCGACTTGTTTGCCTGCTCAAATACAGTCCCAGCAGACTTTCTACACCCACCTGCCACCCTGTTTCGCGTGGAAGATCACTGGGCCCGAAGATAGCCACAGCCTTAGACAGCACCAACTCCCGAGCCCCCGCCACTCAGTCACGTACCGGCGATGGTACCCTGGAAGAAAACAATGAATCGCCATCGTGTGACACTAGACCTGTACGGATCAGGAGAGCCCCGGTCCTTTGGTTGGGGGGCATGCTAGGTGGGGGAAGCACTACCGGCGTACAGGAGATGGGGGCGCGCAGAGCAGGCAAGTTTGGCGGGACAGCGGGTGAGAAATGAGATCACTTTAGGCTCTCCGTTCTGAAAAAACTCTACATGGGTGCTTGCTCACTGCTTGGCTAGCTGAACGGATCGATGGCTGGCTGGTTTCCCGGGTACTGGGCTGGATGAGTGCCGGATGACCGTACCGCCGTGGCTCCTGTTCGTATGCCGAGTCTGAATCGAGACTTAGCGTGATGCCAACAGCCTCTTGCCCACATTGTTACCTTGCGGGAGGACGAACAAGTCAAGTACCCGCCACGGAGCACAACATCGACGAGTGGGTTTCATACCAGGATTGTTGTGGATTGACCAGGGCAGGGTACCAGGTGTGTGGAAGATGACACTTTCGGGGGCTAGCTGTCGTCCCGTCCCATGTAGCTATTCACTACGGCGTGCGTTCGAAGATGTGGAAGGACACAAGAGCCAATTATGAGACCTCTACCTCATGACCTTGGGTTTTTTTTTTTTTTTTTTTTTTTTTCTTAAGGCACTGGCCATGAGAGTTGCTGCCCGGCACGGCATCATCCAGCTCGGATTGCTGGTTCCTAAGCTCCGGGCTCCAAGGCTTTGAAAAGGAATCACGAACATTCTGCATCCGCAAGTAGACTGCGAAGCTAGCAAACTGCAAGCTGGCTAGCTGACCACACGAGCATGTGGATATCTGGGGACAGGAGAGAGCCATATCGCCACCCACGAGAGACGCCTCAAGTCGGCTCTAGGCAGGGGTCCTGACACGTCCTTTGAAGCGCATCAGTCCTAAAACTAACAGGCCTTCTCATGACCTCGGCAAGACATAAGTGGCGACAATCCAGGCTGCATGATAACGAAGCGGACCTGTAACCGGGGCCGTGATGATTGTCGAGTATTGTTCCATCTCCCGTTGCTTTTCCCCGGTATCACGTTTGGGGCTGATTTGATCGCATGTGCTCCATCCCGGCTTCGAGTCTTGACGGGACATGGCTGGTAGATGGGTCGAGAACATACGTAGCACAGTCTAGATCTCGTGAGCCAGACTTCTGATCAAGCCATTCCTCTAGATTCACGATGCGGCGGATGATGATCGGAGGTACGAGGACTTGACCTTGATGTAAGATGACCGATGGCGCGTTGTTTTGGGTGAGGCAATCTCCCCAGGTAGAGAGCCCTTTGTGAAGCGCATGTCAAAGGTTTGCTGCGTGAAGGCATGAATTCTCTTTGGATAAACACTGTGTAAGGTTTTCTCGTAGAAGCAGCCCTCATTGTCCTGGTCGTGTTTGCAGGTGACGGAGGCTGCGAGGGTCTTCCCGGCTCGAAACCGGATTTTGATGGATCATGTCGACTGGGTCGGAAGATTGATGGCTTCATCGGAGATTGGAGCAGAAAGGACTAGAGAGAGGGGGCCTGCAGAGATCAGCACATCCCGAAGAGGTCGACATGGCGGAACTGACGTTCCCGGTCGATCACCCCAAGTGGCTGCACGTAATGCAGGAAAGGAGAAGACGGATGGATTTTTGGAGCGGTAGGAACCAAAGCCCGTTTCCAACATTTCCGACACCAGGGTCCGATACCGTTCCCGTCCATTGATGGTGACAAGACGATTTCTCATCAGTCAAGGCGGGCAACGATGATAGGCTCTGTAATTTCTTCTTTCTGGACAGGACTCCTGCCGGCCAAGTGAAACTCAGGTCAACTTTGGCAAGGAACTCGCTGTA